AACATACCTTATATAATTAATTTAAAAGCTTTAAACTATAATTAAATTTAATTACTTGCAATTAATTTATATCTTAATTAACTATATTACAATTATTAAAATCATTAATTATACCTTTATAAAAATAATAAATAAAATAAAGATAAATCTTAAGCTTACTTTAACCTTAAAATACCTTAATTAATATTAGCTTTTAATGCATTATATATTAAGAATAATTAATATTATTATTAATATATTATTATAATTATTAATATATTAATTAACTATTAATAATAAAAAAGTTTTAAATAAACTCTTTAATTTAGCTATTTATACTTTATTTAAAATTTAACTTAACTTAAACTTTAAAAATAAAATAATAAAGGTATACTTTAAAAATAAGAAATAATTTAAAATTAAAAGCTAACTTTAATAATTAAGTATTAATATTAATATACTATTTAAATTAAATAATAATAATCTTTTTTACTTTAAGAATTATAATAAAAAGTATTAATTATATATCCCTTTAAAAATAGCAAAATTTATTATAATTAATGCTTATAATTTTAAATATTACTTTAAAAAAAAAGGGTTTATTAAAAGCTAAAAAATTTATTTATTATTAAAAACTATTAATATAAAATATATAAATATTTAAATACTTACTTAATATATATTATAAATTAAAATAATAATTAAAAACTATTAAAAGAAATATAATTTATTTTCTTATCGCTAATATTATTTTATATTATTATTATAAACTTTATTATAAATCTCCTAAAAGTATTAATAATATATACTTTATAAAAAATATTATAAGCTCTTTTTTTAACTTATTCTTATTTATTATAAATAAATATATTAAAGCTTTTTTTATTATTTTAAGAAATACTATATATATAATAAAAGATTAAGTAAAAGTTATATTAAAAATGCTTTACCTAAATAATTAAAAAATCCTAAAATATATTATCTTTAATTAAAATTATAAATTCCTTTTTAAGTTTTAATAAAAACTTTAAAGAAATTTAAACTTAAAACTTTTCTTTTTTATTATATAATATTTATAAATTAATAACTAATTTAAAGTTAAGAATTAAATAATTAAAATAATAATATAAATAATAATAATTATTTACTTAAATTATAAATAAATAAATTTAATATTATTATTATAATTTAATCTTAATAATATATATAATATAATAATAAAGTATTTTATTAATTAAATACTTTATAACTTTAACTTATTTATATTATTATTATTAATAAATTAAAAGCTTACTTAACTTTATAAGCTATATTAAAAGAAAGCTTAAATTATAATTATTAAAGCTTAAGTAGCTATTAAGTAATAATATAATAAAAAGCATTATTAAATATAATTCTAATTAAGGGACTAAATATATATATTCTTAAGAAAAAAATATAACTTATTAAGGAAATTAATATATAAGTTTTCTTAGCAATAAATAAAATTATTTAAAATTTAAGAAAAGATAAGTAAGCTTATATATTAATTAATACTTTCGCTATATATAAATATATATATAATAATCTTAATTACTTAATTATTCTTAACTTAATTATTAAGCTTTAATTTATATAATTATAATTCTTTATTAATAAAAGCTATAAATATTATTAAAGATAAGGTTAAAAGCCTTAAAGCCTTTAAGCATTATAAAATAAAAAGAATTATTTAAAAGTAAAACTATAAAATAAGCTAAGATTTAATAATTATTAAATATTTTATTAAATAAATAAATTACTTATATTATTATAATATATAAATATTAATTTATTATTTATAAGCTAATAAGTTAATTAAAAACTTTAAAATGTAAAAAATTAAAATAAAGGCCTTTTATTAATAAGTTAATTATTATATTATAATAAAGCCTTTACTTTTTAAGTTAAGAAATATTCTTTAGCTAAGCTTGCTTATTAAGTAAAGAAAGCTATTAAAAAGGAGAATTAATAATAGTTTTATTATTATAGCTTTATTATATTAAAATAATATATAAGCTACTTAAAGGGTAATTATTTAAGTATAAATAATTTATTATAAATTTATAATAAATTAATATACTTAATTAACTCTTTTAATTATATTACTTTAATTATTTATAATTTTATAATATATCTTTTTAGCTTTTATTAATATTATTTATTATTAAATTTAATTAATTATTTTATTAATTAATTATTATTATATTACCTTAAAGATTATTATTAATTTTATTATTTTATAATATTATTTATTTATAGTAAATTAACGCTATTATAACTATAAACCTATTAAGGTTAATAATTTCATTATATTAAACTTTTATATAATTCTATATTTAATTAATTAAAACCTTAATATAGCATATTTATAATAAAGTTATATATTTAAATATTATTACTTTATAATTAAGTTATATAAAGCTAATAAGCTATTAATAATTAGCTATTATTAAGCAGCTTATTTATATAATAAAAAAATATATATATTTCTTTATATATATATTATTATAACTTATTATAATAATTTACTTACTTATTATTAAGGCAATTATAAGGCTTTTTAATAAACTCTTTATAAGAAAAAATATAATAACCTTTTTAATTATAATATTAAATATAATATCTTTATTCCTTATAACTTCTTACTTAATTATTTTATTAAACACTTTATTATTAAGGCATAAGCTAAATTATTTATTAATTAATACCTTATTTCTTGCTAAATTAATTATAATAACTCATTATACTGCAGCTAAAATCTTTATAATACTATATAAAAAAGCAAATAAACATTAAAAGACTTAAAATTAATAAAGAAAGATAAGCAAAAGCATATAACTAACTCTCTTACTTATAATTACTATAATAACCTATTAAGCCTATACTTATATAGCCCATCCCTTAATATTTATTATTAAAATATATTATAAAATTATTAATATAATATACTTTTTAAAAATTAAGCTTATAACTTATATAATTAATTTATTTATTAAAATAAGAAGATTTTAATTATTAATAAAAAGATTATTATTATTATTTTTATTATAACTATCTTTACTTATATAATTAAAAACTTAAGCATATATTTAGCTAAATAAATTATTAACGTTAAAATTAATAAGGCTATTATTTTAATGCTAGCTATTTTAATTAGCTAATTATTTAATAAAGCTTAAAAGCCTTAGTTTTTTATTAATATCTTTTATTATTTTAATTTTAGCCTTAACTTATTTACTTTTAATTATAAGCATAAGGTAATTATTAACCTTTTTAATAATAATAAAAATAATATTAAGCTTATTTACTTAATTATTTTAAAGTTTAGTTTTAATAATTTATTTATATTTTTAATTAAAAAGAAAGCTAATATTACTTAATTTAAAAAGGTAAACTTAGTTATTATTATTATACTCCTTAAAATTAAAAACTTTTATATAAATATTATTTTATTTATAAGTAAATTTAAAAAGATTATTAACCTTAAGTTTAACTTATATTATTTTATTATTATTAACCTTTTTAATAATCATTTTACTTAGCATAATAATATAATTAATATTAATAATTAATGCATTATTATTATCTTTACTTATAATAAATATATTATTATAACTTTAATTTTATATATTTTCTTTATTAATTTATAAAAAGCTATTAATATTTTATACTTTATTAATTTAAATAATAAAATTAATTGCATTTTTATTAACTTTATTTTATATAAACTATTATATATAAATTAAAACTTTAATATTATTAAAATTTATTATAATAAGAATAATTAAATTAATTGCCTAATTATTATTTATACTTAAAAAGCTAAGTTTAATAACTCCTTAATTATTATTAACCAAAATACTATATATAATTATATAGCTAACTTAATTAACTATATTAAAACCCATAGCATAATAAAGTATTATGCATTAATTAATAATAAGATTAATTTAATTATTATTAATATTATTAATAATATAATTAATATAATTTAAAGAATTATTAATAATAGCCATAGTAATAATAATATTATTAATATTAATTAAGCAAAACTAAATGCTAAAAATTTTATAATTATATAATTATACTTATATTTTATTATAATAAAAATTAAAAAAAAATAATATTATTTTTATTTTACTTTATCTTAAAAAAGTTTATTATAAATAAAAGTAATTTAAATTTTTTCTTTTAATAACTAATATATTAATTAATTTATAAATTAATAATTTTATATTAATATAAAAAAATATTATAAAAATAAAATATATTAATAGCTATAATATTTATATATATAACTTAACTTACCTTATAAATATATAATTATACTTATTATTTTATTTATTTTATCTTAAGAATAATGCTTAGCGAATTTATAATAAATTTATAATAAATTTATAATAATAATTAAAATTCTTATTATAATGTTATAAAGGTAAATTAAATTTAAAACCTTATTATATTTAGCTATTATATTTTTTATATTATAACGCTATTTATATATATTTTTAGCTTAATTACTTTACTATTAACCACTTTAATAAATTTACCTTATATAATTTATTTTACTATTATTAAGCATAATAAAAATAAATTAAATTCTATTAATATATTAAATTAAAGTATACTTTGTTATTTACTTAAAAATAAAAATTAACTTATTACATTATTTATAAAAAAAACCCTTTAATATTATTATTAATTACTTTTATTATATTAAATATTTTAGCTAAACTATAAATATACTTATATAATTATTTTTTTTTAATATTTAAAGTTTATAATAGCAGCTAAGATACCTTACTAAGGACTTTTATATTTTTTTTGCTACCTTTCATCGCTATTAAGGCGGCTTTTAAGGTTTAAACTTTTTATTCACCGCTATTTCCTGGATTTACTTAAGTTTATATTACTTATTAATATTATAAGAAGATTATACTTAAAAGTAAATTATTTATAAGGGGGAATTTAATATAATATAAATAGATTACGGTAAATTTATGGTAAATTCGCTGTAAATTTATGGATACTTGTAAATTCATGATATTTTTACGGTAAATTCATTATAAATGTATGGTTTTATGATGAATTTACTGTATATATACTTAAATAAAGAAATTCCCTGCAAATTCACCTTGAATTCACGAGGGACATTAAATTTCAAACCTTTGTTCTCATTAAATAAGCCTTGGAAAAGATTTTTAGGATTATTCTTAATAGCATTTTCTTTTTTAAGTTAAGCTTAAATTTTAATGCTTTAATATATATAATTTTCCATTTTATTAAAGAGTAAAATACTATACTTATTAAGGGATGCTATTTTTAAAATAAATAAATAAAGTATTTATTAAGATAATTAAGATAATAAAAAGAAAGATATAATAAATTTTAAATAAGTTTAATAAATTAAGGAATAAAGATATAAATATTAAAGTAATATAGTTATAAAAAGAAGAAGAAAGGCTTTTAAATAATATATTTTTAAGGTATTATAAATTGAAGATAGCTAAAATATAGTTAAGTGTTTTTAAGAGAGTTTAAGGATTATTATAGTTTTATTAAAATTCACGTTTTTAGTATTAATTTAATATGGTTTTTAAATTTTAAAGAAATGTTTTTATTATTTTTAATAAGGGCTTTTAAATAATATATAAATTATATGGGTAGGTTAAGTATTAATGGAGAAATGATTAAGTATTTAGGTAAAAAAGGTATGGTTTTTATATATAAGCTTTAAGTTAAGAGATAAAGTTAATTTATAACGTTAAATAGGGCGATTTAATTAATTAAGGGCTTATTAATTAACCTAATTAAGTAATTAATTAAAAGGTATGTTTTTAAGTGTGGAGCTTATTTTATTTAAAAGGTTTGAAAAGTAGTAGTGATTAAGGGTGTTATGTAATGTATGTTTTCCGTATTAGGTTAGCCGTTTTTTGTATTAAGTTAACGTTGCCGTTTTAGGTAAGCTTTAGGCTTTATAACCTATTAAATAATAGCATTAAATGCTTAATCTTTTAGGCTAGCTAACATTTATTTAATGGGAGGGAAGGCCCCTATTTATAGTTATTATCCTTCATACAGTGGCAAACATATAGGGAAAAGGATATCCCGTATTAATAATAGCCTAGATATCTAGAATATTCCAACACGTCCTAGCCAAGGATACGAAACTTGACTTTCCTCTCGAGCCAGGCCACGAGCAGAACCTTGCAAGGCTGGTCAATGAGGCGGATCCCGCCACCTTTGGCTTGCATGGAAAGGACGTCCTCGATGAGAGCTTCCGCAAGGCCTCCAAGTTGGATCCCAGCCAGTTTTCCACGTCTTTCAATCCTTATGAGTTGGGGATTATAGACACCGTTGCTCAAGCTCTACTCCCTAGTACGAAGGCGGCGGATAGTTACCGAGCTGTCAGGGCGGAGCTGTACAAGCTCAATGTAAGGCCCAAGCTTCTGATTTTCCATCACGTTACGGTATCACATGTTACAAAACGGTTGACGCCTGTAGATATACTCTGGACCTTCGGGTAAATTCAAAGCGCATCTTGATACTCCGCGATCCAACACTCAATTCGGCTCTCTTGTCGTCTGCCTGCCTGTCCAGCACGAGGGTGGAAAGCTCGTCGCTCGGCACAAGGGCAAAGAAATGGCTTTCGACTGGGGAAATAGCACCCAAAGCATCCAATTTGCAGCTTTCTACTCCGATGTGGAGCATGAGGTCCTCGAGGTCCACTCTGGCCATCGGGTGACGCTGACCTACAATCTGTACGCCGGTGAGTTGGATTGCCCGCTGAAACGACCTCGGGGACAGGGTCAAACTGTATGCTGAGATCTACACGCCAGTGCGAGGTAATGGGTTGCTCACCGGGCACTGCCCCACGCTTGATGCCAAGCAACTTCCGCTGTATCAGTCCGCATGCGAGATGTTGGGGTGCCAGAAGTTCATGAGCGAGGGTAAGATGCTGCAGCCAGCTGGCTCCATGTAAGAGCGTTTGGAGCTTATCATATGCACAGGAGGCTATCTCGGTTTCTTCTGCGCCCACGCCTACGCGCATACCAACACCCAAACGACTAAATTTCCCGACATGCTCAAGGGCATCGACATGGCCATCTGGGAGACATTTACTGCTCTCGGCTTAGAGACTATGGTCCGACCAGTTAGTAAGTAAATCCCCGTGTATCTGTTCCGGGAACCATTCCACAAGTTGGCAGTGAGTCGAAAAGGTCATGGTCTCAAGAATCTCTATTCTGAGGCTTCTCCTACATATCGCCTTGTTCTTCTCTTCTCTTTCATATCAATCGTGTCGAAAACCTGAGGACTTTCTCGCTGATCACAATTCAGTTGACTTCGAAAATAATGTCAACTACTACGACTTTGATGACGATGAATCGGAAGATAGTGAACCTAGTGACAACAAATTAGTTCCGGCAGAGAAGCGCATCATTGGCTCTGCACTTTCAGACATGTACTACGGTGGCTCGACAGAATGGGACGATGATGTACTGGAAGGTTTCGCGGACGAGGTGTTGGGTAACGTACCCGTGCATTGGCTGACAGACCCTGGAAATGAGGAGCTACAGGTGAACTTCATTGCTGTGAGTACCTTCCCTTATGTCCGAGCTTTGAGTCCCATTTGCACTTGCTGCTCAGAAAGCCTGACGCTTTCCTGAAACTTCGTGCTGCTGACTCAGTATTCCTCGGCAGTACGGTAATCAGGCCAGTCATGATTCTTTCTACTCTCACTGTGCCATCCTTGTCAAGGTTCCCACGTGGGCTGGTCGCGTTGCGAAAGGGCTGGGAGTCGATGATGGCCTAGGAGTAGATGATGGACCAGGAACATCCTACAACGAGGCTACGTAGCGATGAGGCTGAAAAATCCTATTGTTATCTAGATTCACTCCTCTATTTGTTACCAATGAATGGCCATTTGTGGACCGAATACATAAGCACCCCATTTATTCGTATCTGTATCTCCTCTACATTTTCCCATCCGGCATATTAACCCGCCATCCCATTTCTTCCTTGCCGTCTCATCAGTCCTCTCTTCTCTTCAGTCGTTTCTTACAAGGACGTGCGTCTCATTATGTCATTAAGCAACGATCCGCCATATATGCTGCATTCATAGGCAGTATTCTAACGGGATGTATAGTTGGAGGAGGCATTGTCGGCAGCGTCGGTGCGCTCATCTTCCAAAGGCGATGGAGGGCCAGCAAGGCAAAGAAGACCAATTACACCAACTCACTCGTCGTCATGGAACGCATGAGCGACGACGACCAGGGTGCGAATAAGCTTCTGCACACCTGGGTCTGCATCTGATACGACGCCATTGAATGTGTTCGGTACTACCGCGTCATGGACATCGGCCACGTTTGGCGAAGCCCCCGGTCCCAGCAGTATACGTCGGTTGAAGTTTTCATCCGGGTGGATCGGATGTAGGTGAGTGAATGCCTTGGTTTGGAGTGTCTATCCTTTCTGGGGGTTTCCAGATAAGTGGTTCTCCCTTTATATATATCCCCTAACCGGATAACGATAACTCGGACGGTAAGTGGTTATTATTATGATACTAATGTGTTTTTTTTCATCTTATTGTAATTATAACTCTCCAGCATTATCACAAGCCACTCTATCACATAAGACGTTATTTGAGGCAAGTTGGGGGCCTGCCATCCTAATGAGGCGGTGGACGAACAGCCTCAGGGTAGCTTGGAGGGTCCGCTGAGATCGTGACTGGCTCGATCTCCTCGAGCCCAGTGGATTGCTTGTAATTCGGAAGAGGCTCAGGATCGCCAGCCTCTCCCAGGTCTTGCCGTTGTGCAGGGTGTGTTGGTGCAGACGTCACTGCTGCTTGTTTAGAACTCGTGGAGCCGCAACCGCAGCAGCCACAACAAGCCGAACAGCCCATGATGCACATGACACAATGTAATATCCTAGACCGTCTCAATCAGCCCTTACATCCGGGACAACATAGAACGTCATTGATGGATGACATACCAAAATACAATGATCATCGTGGCGGCGCGATCCTGGTCCCGTCTCCACGGTGTGGGATAGCTTGGATCCGTCTGGTATTCCGCCATGACAAAGAACAGCCACCCGGGGATCCCAAGACCGATAACGAGCAAGTCGAAGAAGATCGTCCCTGGGCCGAGAGGTCTTGGTCCGAACTAATATCGCGGTGCGAGGCGGGCGACGGTCTCCCACACAGCGACCGCGAGAGACACGGAAGCCTACAGTATCATCACCGCGTCAGCCTGGTGTGTTTTCGGGGCCGTTTTTTTTCCGACCAAAGATTCAAAAGAAACAAGTTTTCTCACCATGCTTAGAGCCAGCCCGCTCTGGCCCAGCGTCCTTCCTCGTCACGAACGGGTCGTCAGCGTCCTCAGGCCTGCGGATAGCGCCCTGCCACTTGCGAATATAATGCACCAGGTAAGCGATGACCGCGACGGCAAATACGGCCGCTGGAATGCGGAGGACGATGAGCTGCCAGAAGTACCCGTCTCGTCGCCTGCGGCGCGGCTTGGACGAGATGTCCGTGTTTTCGCCCCTCGGCGAGGTTGCGCCCCCACCCATCACGGAAAGCTTGTGCGGGTATGGCTACGGGGATCACGTCGTTGGTTGCAAGGGGGTTCGCGTGCGGAGTAGTTAACAAGCCTCGAAGGCGTTCCGAGCCCGTGAGGCCTATGGGCGGTCGGGCGGTCCAGTGCTGGTAAGGAGTCGTGGAGATGATGATGAGATTGAAGTCAAGTACAAGCCGACCGTCGAAACATTGAAGGTGATCAGGAAGAATACGCCGCTCGTCCCCCAGGGAGCACGGTCTCTAGCATTGCGAGGCTCTCGTACCCCCAATTTGGGACCTGCCTTGGCACGAGGGGCGCGAAGGATCACACCAGTCTGGCCTCAGCCACTCCCCAAACAATAAATCTGCCTAGCCAACAAATCACCGTCAGAACTTGGTCAAAGCTCACCGTATTGGAAGCGACATCAGGATCCAAAGTGGTGTGCAGTACACGAATCACTCAAAATTAGGGCTCTGTATGAAACCTTGTTTTGTGTGAGTACGCCCGGCCAAGACTCACATGCAGCCGAGACCATTGGTACATGTGCGAGGGGGGGGGGGGTGATGACGGATAACGACCATTGATTGCTTGGAATGGACTGGCTAGATGAAAGATTATATTGGACTTAGCACTGATTTATGGCAGTCACTGACTGGCTTGACCAGTCACTCACTGTACACCACGCCAAAATATGGAATGACGCCTGCTTGCCTATTGGCACAAACGCTCGTCCTGGAGAGTCTAGTTATGATGAGTTCTAGTTCCTACATTACTCTTGCCGCAAAGAAACCTTACAATTTCAGCAGATGACAATGCGCGTCTGCTTCCCCTCCAGACACCGCGCCGTCAAATATCCCGCGCCAACTCTCACCCAAGTCGCAAACTTGCCCTCATTTTCGTTCATAGGCTTCACCACAAGCACATAACTCCTGCCATCAGCATCGCCGCCGCCAACTCCAAGCACCACGCAGTGCAGTAGCGGGCTATCTGCCTCCTCGGGCCGATCAAAGACCAGCAGGGCCTCGTCCGGGTCCTGCGCACGCGTCAAGTCAAACCTCTCCGCCATCCCCTCCAGCGTCAGTCCTCCACCTTCCGGCAGCGGCTTCGTCGGCGCGTCAGCCCAACCAGACCGCGTCCACGGAGATGCCAGGGGCCTCCAGGACGTCTTGTCGAATGCGGGCTCGAGGTAGTCGATCCCGCCCATGCACGCCATCCACGACCAGCTTGGCGGAGACACGCTGGTGCCAGAAAAGTCAATGGGCTCAAGCCGCCCGACGTCTTCCCCCCTCCGCCACAGCAGACTGCGGCGAAGGTGGCCCCGCAGCACAGGCCCCTCGTCAAACAGGCCGAACCCGCCCTCAGTAGTCCGGAAGGCTCGCAGCAGCCGTGTCTGCAGGCCGTTGATGGCATACAGCCGATCCGAAGGCCGGCTCAGCCCCAGCCGCGAGTATTGCGCGTACAAGTTCTGGTACCGCACGATGTGCTCGCCCTTGCTGGCGGACAGAATCATCTGCGGGAAGTGGGTGTCGCCAAGGAATGCTGCGCGGAGGCTTGTGGAGCAGCCGGCGTTAGTAAAAGGGAATCTGGTTGCTGAAGAACGAGGGAATGGGAGGCCTTTACTTGCTCATCTTCGCCCCTGTCTCACACCGCACACCCGCGCCGCACTCCCAGTACGTCTGATGCTCCGTAAAGAAGATTGTCCTTCTCGCGAGCGCATGCTCCTGTAACACCCACCCTCGACTGTTCAAGTGTCCTCGAAGCGCATGAGCGTCGAAGTCATCCACGTTCTCACACACATAAAATGGCCCCTCCCCCTCCTTCGACCGAAGCGGGACATAATCCCGCCCCCGCCGCGGCTTGAGGAACCCGCTACCCTGCCCCACTGCGCATGATGCCGCCAGCACGCAGTACGCGCCGCGGAACACACGCTCCATTCGCTTTGCCTCGGTGCCAAAGTCCCCGTCGGGCCCCTGTACGATACAGATCGAGTCGATCCAGAGGTAGCGGACTCCCAGCGCGCGTGTCACAGCCACGGCGTGCTGGAACGTCGTTGGCAGGTCGGCGATGCAGATGCCAGCCAGGTGTGCGGTGATGTTCGAGGTGTAGGTGCAGAAAAACGGCGGCGCGCCCCACGGGTGAGAAAGTGTGATGTACCGTCCCGTGTCCGAAGGCCGTGTCTCCCACAGCCGTATAGTGTCCGCAGAATCGGAAATTCCGACGTCCAGGAGTCGCGTAGGAAGAAGGGTTTCCTCGTCTGTGGAATAGTCTGTTGGGGCGCTGCGTTCGTGGTGGTGCTTGGTGTCGCATTCATGAAGCCACTGGCGGATGACTTCGAAGTGTGCGGCGCTGCCGGCGACCGATAGGGCTGGAAGCCCGATCTGGAAGTCGGCCAAAGCCTTGAGTTCTGTGGAGAGGGATTGCCTTTGTTCAGCTCACGGTGATTCGTTCCAGCTGTCTATCTTGGGGGAAAGCCTCACCTGGGGCACGGCAGAGGGAGAAGCTCCGAGTAGGGCCCATCCACAGCCAGGACCCCACCCGCGCCAACGTGACGCTGGAGCTGCGAGACACCCCTCCCTCTTTACTTGCCTTCCAGAGCAGACGGCAGAGATTGCACGTCGGTGCCGTCTGTTGGAGTCGGCCAACATCGAGCTGAACCTTGAAGCCTGCCCTCGAGATCTCAAGTGTCGAGCAAACTTCGCACAGCTGCGCCTCGTTTCTCACATCTGGCAAGCCTGCCAGCTTTCTTTTCTTGATAAATTTGAAGACGCTGGCGGAAAAATGGTTGTCGACGTTCAAAACCCATTCATCATCAAGCTTGATGGCGTCACTACATCTTGTTTCGGGCAATAGGCAAGGTAACAAACTCACATCCTGCATGTAGTAAGATTGGCATGTCAGTTGCAAATTTATTCCAACGCTTTCTGTCCTAGAGAAAGACTTACTGGCTAAATTCATAATTCCCATGCAGGGTTTTGTCAGACATCTCTGATTCCTCAACACGTCCGGTCCGCCACTCTACGGAAGAAAACTCACATGCTGGTGGTCAAGTCAGCGCATTGCTTGGAGCCGCGATTTAAACAGCTGGGATATTGCACTGATACTCCTCACTTACGTTCTGCATGATCACAGTCTTAGTTGGGTGCCTATCATCCGGACTCTTACCCACCGTTTCTGTTACCGAGGGACTGCGGTGGCACACTCACATACTCCACGATGTCAGTTCAACCGACATGTAACTCCACCGCACCCAGACGCAAACCTCAGGGTGGAGAACTCACATCCTAGGCATCAAACAATGCATCGTCAGAAGCCCTGCATTACGATGGATTCGATAGGGACAGATTCAACTCACTTTCTGCGTCGGGAAATCAGCATCAGCGGGTTGACAGCTCCTAGTGCAGTGACGGCCGCTCGGGATCATCGCCTACATTCTCTGGCCCCGGGACCCCGAGGGATCCCGGCTTTGACACTCCGCCCGGTATTTTCAACGAGTCGTCCTGTGGTGCTGCAACGTCACCTGAGTCAAGATAAACCTTAGGCACGCTGGGCGCGGTTTCTACCGAACTCATCGTCGCGGTGTTGTCGGAGAAGACAAGACTGGGAGGCGTTGAAGCGGTCGTTGCTGTAGTTTCGCCAGCTGAAGTTGCCCAGACAGGTTGCTTCGCTGGTGCGATAGTGGAAGAGCCGGCTGGGTAACTCCCTGCCTGGTCTGCAGCCAACCCCATGATGTCCCGCATTGTCTTCAGCAGCTCGGTTGCTTTGGCCCGGGGTGACTCGTTGGGTTCCGCTACTTTGAGCCTGGCGGTAGGGGTGGGAGCGGAGTCTGGGCCTGTGACTTCTATCGTGGGCTTCCCTTCTGGTGTTGATCGGCTTTTGAGGTTGGCGCTCGAGCTAGGGGGCTGCGGCGGCTCCTCTACTATCTCGGCTGCCTCTGCATGGGGATTCTCTGAGTCGTACGAGTTGATGGAGTTGATAAAGTCCACGGTCTGCGCCCGACTGAATCCGAACCCGCCTTCGGCCGGTTCGTCTCGAGGACCGTGGGTCGGCCCGTACAGTTCCGCATCAGCGGCGTTGAGGCGTGCCAGCTCATCGGGCTCGAGGGCTGCCAGATATGTTGGGAGATGAACGACCAGCGCTCGGTTGCGGACGAAGTGAAGAAGCTTCTTCAAGGCCACAATCTTGCAGACCGCTTGGTTGTCGAGTTCATCCATCTTGCGGCTAATCGAAGCACGGACTTGGAGCTGGGCGTTGACATCCAGGCGGGCTCCGAGCCGCTTTTCCCAGAATTGATTGTTTCCCGAGCCTCCAAGCAAGGTCTCGAGGTTCTTGAGGCCGACTGTGCCCTCGGCCAGCCAGACAATGAACTCCAGCATAATGCAGCCGAAGGACCAAATATCGTACAGGCGAGATCGCGTCTTCAGGAGGGTGTTTCGACCCACGACAAACACTCCTTCGCTCATCTCTGGCGGTTCGTATCTGATGGAGGCGCGATAGATCGAGGCGTTGTTCTGATCGGCAGTCTTGCACTCCTTCTCCTTGGAAAGGCCCCAGTCTCCAATCTTTAGTGTACCCAACAGCCCCGGCCCGCCACCCTCAGGTCTGAAACGCAATATGTTCTCGGGCTTGAGGTCACCGTGCACGATCCCCTCCTTCAACTCGGGCGAGTAATGGAGAGTGCAGAGCGCATCGGCCAGGCCAAGTAGCTGGGCGACCACCTCCTTGACCAGGCCCGGTGTCGTCTCCGGCGATTTGTGGTCGTTCCAGAAGTCGCGGAGACTTCCGCCGTCCGCCCACTCGCAGATCAGGTAATGGTCCCGTAGCTCGCCGTCTCCCCTGCGAAATGCGGTCACGAAGCGGAGTATATTAGGGTGCTTGAGGCGAGTGACAGATCGAAGATTGGCGAGCTCCTTCGTCCAATTATTGATAACCTTCTGGTGATCGGACTCATTCGGGCGAATCTGCTTGAGGGCATAGCTCGAGGGCATCTTCGAGCCGAACTGATTTTTAAGTCAGCCACTACACTAAAGCGTCGGATATCTTGGGCATTTCAAGGCACGAACCAAATTGTCTGGGTCCTTCATGTGTCCTGCCCGGACTTTAATTTCGGACACAATGCCGAAGCCCCCTCCTACGTTTTTTTTGCCCCGCATTTGAAAAGGCAAGACAGACGATTTCCTGAGGTCCTGATTGTCGTCCTTTGTGGAGAACACTGGCGCTAGGAACACCCACTGCTCGGTCTCGATGAAGGATAGCCTTCTTGCCAACTCCCAGATTTTCTCGTTGGGGTCTATTTCATGGAGCCTGGAATCAAAGTTCTTGGTCGAGGTAGATGATACATTGGTATCTTTCATGCCCAAAGACTCCTGGGATGACCTGTCCCAGTCGTCGTCGTCAGATTCGTCGTCGCCGTGATCATCTTTACTGACTGGAGGTGGCAGCCTCGTCTGTTCCAGCGGCAGGTCAAAATCCGACATCGAATTCTCCTTGAAGAGGACCATCGCATTCAAGAGGGCATTGTTTTCCAGATGCTGCCTAAGGCAAATGGCGAAGAGGTTCCGGGCTCGGAAGACAATATAGTCGACGAGATCCTGGTCGACTTCGTTCTGTCCGGCCGCCAGCCCCTTCGCCAAGGTGGCCCGAACATCATCAGGTACAATCAGACCTTTGATCAACCCATTCGGTGCGAACTTCCGCGTTGGGCCAGTGTCGAATTTGCTTTTATCCAACTTTCGAGTGATCCTTTCCACCAGGGAGGTGTTGTCCTTCATGTCATTCCCTTTGATTCGGCCGAATCGGCGAGGATCCAGTCGGCAGGCTGCCTCTCTCACGGTCTTCAGGTTTGCATCGTCGCGGCCGAGCGTATCCTCGAGACAGAGAAAAGTCCTCAAAGGCGCAACAAAATCCCGAAGTTGCCTCGACAACTGATCCAGGTGGTCTATGCTCCCTTGCCTCGCTCTGTCACGTGCGCGTTCTGTCAGCAGGGGGATCATCTCCAAATACATCGTATCTTCACTCACCCTTCGGTGGCTTTATCGATGAGTGAACATGCTAACATGATATCCAAGAACTTTCTTCGCAGAATCAAGGAAAGACTGTTGAACCCGTCGTTGCTTTTCTCGGTGATGGATAGCGGACTTTTGTTCTCGACTTGGATGTCATTGCCCCAGTGCTGGAGGCTGAGGAGCAGCCCATTCATATGAAAGTATTCCTTGACTCTTGACTCCGTCGAGGTCTGGTGCTTGTCCTTTAAGCCGTTAGCCGCAAGCAGGACCATATCTCGAACCCTATTTACAACAGCGTCGAAGAGCTCATCTAGTGGTTTGAGATCAAGCTGATGCAAATGGGCGTCCTCATTGAGGGCCTCATCCGCGTCCATGATCACAAATATCATATCATCACTCGGGACGGCCCCGCTCTTGTCGCTCGTATCCTGGCCCATTGCGATGAAGCGATGTCCAAGGCATGTCGGAGGAGCAGGGGAAGTCGAAGAATGCCCTCTTGGAAAGCCTTTCCATAGAAAAGACGCCCCCACCACCTCGACGCGGGGTCTTAATCAGCCGCTTGGGTGGCGTCCCGAGAGTGCAGATGCAGCAGCCAATCCAGGGCAACAGCTCTACCGGTGTGACAAGATTGCGCAGTTTTGTGATACGCTGGCGGTAGGCTTTCATCTTGTCATGCATGGCGTTCCGAAAAAGCAGATCCAGCTGCCAATCTGGGCCGATGGCTCAACCAGTGTGATAAAATCGCGCAGTTTTGTTATACGTCGGGAGTCCAGAGGACAGGCTCCCACAATATATTGTGTGGCTGTAGATGGGGCTGTCCACAGCCTGCTCCTCGGAGCCGCCAGGGGATCTGATGCCGGTGTGACATATATCGGCAGCTCGCCGAGAAGCTTGCAGGGCATCATGTGTCTTCCCTTGTGCTTTGTCCCATTCCTTTCTTCCTCGCAAATCATGCCCACACCCGGCATTGCGGAAGCCGGCTTCGCTGTCGGCGCGGCCAACGCCTTGGCGGGCGTCCCAAACAACGCGAAGACGTGGAACGCGGTATACCACGACGTCGTCGACTTCCTCAAGAGGGTGGACCAGGCCCGCTCCGACTTGGAAGCTTGTGCTGCCAACTTCAGGGAGTGGAAGGACATTTGGAAGTACAAGTCTGCCGAGTGGGACTCGTGTGCCTCGCTGTTTCTGAGGTCTCCATACCACGGAGCAACAGCTGATGAGCAGAGGCCAGCGGACAACCAGACGCCGGCAGGTGACCAGCATCCACCACTGAATCATCAGACACCAACAGACGATCACAGGCTGCCCCAAGGTCCATGGTCGGCCGGCAGCCATCAACCCCCAAGCCATCAACCCCACGAGATCAGACGGAAACCGGTGGCCGGCACCGCCGGCACCCCGCCGCCAGCCGCCCAAGGTGTTCTGCCCATGCGGAACCAGGGACCGACTGCCACGCAGGAGCTGGTCACCATCAACGCCGAAAACGCGGCCGGCGCTGATTCCAACGATGATAGCCTCTACAAATCTCTCTGGGGGGACCAGTACAACCAGATTCAGGACTGTGTCCACAGAGTCGTGCAGGGCATCAGAGGCATCGACGAGCACATCGACAGGATTATGAACGAGAAGAAAAACTCCCCAAAATGGAGAAAGTATCTCAATGTTCACCGAGCCCGCTTTGTACGCAATCTCGCCTATGCCCTCTTCAGCAACTCGGCCCTCCGAGAGGAGATCGTGCAATTGAAGGGGAACATCGCCGGCCTCAAGGAGGTATCGGAAATGAGACTGAGGAAGATGCAAGGCAATGCGGCAGATCTCAAGCTGACTGGAGCCAAGGCTTTTCAATTGGCAAATCTCGAGTACTTTGGGCGGAAAATCGTCCAGGAACTGCGCGGCTCCTTCCCAACAGCTTCAGCCTGGTCGCTTGAACTCTGCCACCCGGACATTGCCGGCAGCGCGGCCGAATGGCAAGATCTTACCTCGATACAGCTGTGGCTTTCCTATGCCACACCGGTGGGACAACATGATAAAGCCCAACAGCGCATCATTTTGGATTATTCCCTGGTCGATGACCCAAACCCGCCACAGTGGGCCTCTGCGCTTCCTGGTGCCAACCCTGCTGACAATTCTCACCGAGGCCTTGCCCACAACCCACGCTTGACCGAGAACTGCCAAGGGACGGGCAAGTTGACCGTGCCCTTCAACAAACTCTTCAAAATATGGCACGATGGCAAATCCTCCCCGGCAGAGCTCTGGGCCCGGGACCAGGCCTACCTCGTCCTATCGCTGGTCAACTGGTCCCTGCTGCTCTGCACAAGCGACTGGACGGCCAAGTGGTGCTCTTCTGGGCTCCATTTTGTTCGGGCCGCGACTGATGTTGGGAGGGCCGGCAACAACTCCTTTTTCTTCCCTTCGTTCAGTGGATGCGCCTCGAAGGCGCCGGGCACAACCGTCAACCAGAGACAACACCACCGCCATGACTGCTGCCATAGCAGCCTGAAGCTCTGTAATCTGGGCTTAGTTCTTGCCGAGGCTATCTGCATCATCCCTCTTCGCGTCTGCACAACCAGAAAAGACCCGTACGAGAAGTGCATCGGGCGAGATTGGATACCATTGTCTGAGGACGCCCTGTTAGACTTGGTGGAGAAGACGTCGAGGTCGAAAGGCGTGAGGCACGCCGTGCAGAAATGTCTTCGCTCTCCAACCACTCTCCAAATCGCGGAGAACAAGCTAGCTGGCTCCTTCGAGGAATACGTCAAGATGGTCTTCGATCCGTGAGTACCTTTCAGGTTGTCGTCGTCTCTAATCGCACCATCTAGCTTGACTCCCGTGTCGAACAAGCACTTTGAGCGGAATGAACTAATAGGCGGCATCGCATTCGCTTTAGCGTGAAAAAGTGGTGTGAAACTCAGGAGAAAAACTACGAAGACAACATCAAGCCAAATTTGGCTTATATCCGGGCACACATCGGATCGTGGGAGGGAGAAGATGGGAGAAAGCTCTATCTATGGCCGGATGCTGCCTTCCATACACCTCATGAGGAGGTGCAAGATGCCGGGGCCGCGGCTGGAAATGTGTGACACACTTAAATACGTAGTCCCATGACATATTATTCGATACTCGGCGCCACTTGCTTTTGAGGTTTCGCTTTGGGTCGCTTCGAGTGCTTCGCGTGGGTGGGTGGGAAGCGCGAGCGACTTGGTACGGCTTCTGAACGGGCTTGACTGGACATGTCGTTAGGGCGGGGAGAGCTGAAGGTCGCGACCCTCCTATACCAAATACCTTGTGTGGCTTGCCCAGGCGCCTGTAGCAATAAAAGCAATTGGTTACCGGAAAGGTGGTGTCGGCGGCTGCAGGCCCCCATGAAATGGCGCGGCACCATGCGTGCCCCGACCATTTGGGAAGGTATCTGACACCATCTCCGAGTCCCCTGTATCTCACCCTCTTCAATAATCTCAGCACTGCTTCCACCGAGAAGCACGGGGCGTCAGAGCCTAATTATTTGTCAAATGGTTGCCTCCTGAGAGTCCGCCCACCCGCCATAGTCATCGCCACCGAGGACGATGCCGACAGGCGAAGTGGTGCGCGTCGGCGTACTTGATCAGGTCACCGCCGACGCAGATCCCGAGGAACCATGTTCAAGTGCGTTGAGTTGCTTCTCGGCCTTGACCCTTTCAGCCGGAACTGACCAAGATTGGCTAAGATTCAAGCCAACTCGAACCCGGCTTCCACATGCAGACACCAAGGCGTGCGTCTGCATCTTCTATGGTGTCAGAACAGACCGGTACAACGAATCTTACGGGCGCCCCGTCCCAAGAGTTGCCAGTCGAGTTCAATCCACACCCTGCTGCTGCCGACACTCTGCTCCATGCTGGTGACCACCGCGAAGACGTGGTTTCGGGGACCAAAGCACGCTCAGATCACCATCCAAAGTCAATCCAAGAGCTGGACAATGACCTTGTCGTAAGTCCCGCAAGGTTCCCTTCCTATTTCCTGCGACGAAGCAGAATAGAACTAGCAGTAACGCTCCTATCTCAGGAACGGGATCCGGGGTCCAGTGATATCAGATCCACGCAGCCAGAACTCGAGACAGACGAACAACTCAAGTTCCCTGTTGTCGCAGTCGACGCCATCAAAGACCCCGGCGCCGCCGTCGTCCCCCACTCCAGGAAAGTAAAACGGACCGTCATCACCCGCCTCGGCCGGCGCGAGGCGGCACAGCACCGGCGGTCGCGGTTCCCCGCAGATCCGCCTCTCGACACCTCGCTGGGTCCGCTGAACAGGGAACTCTTCGCCGCGTCGATCAAGGCCGAGACTCTCTTCCACCGCTTCCTCCCGGATTCCGAGCTCCTCCGCCTCGTCAACCCAGCTTCGGTGTTTCGGGAGCACAAGCGGTGCCGCAGCCGATTCCGGCGATGGGGACTCCGTCGTGGCCCCGGCCGCAGCGACGGGAGCTTGCACGAACTCGCCGCCGCCATCTGCGGCGACGCGACTGAGCTCTCCAAGTCGTACCGCCGGATATTTGCCATCTTGGTCATGATGGGCCTCCCGTGGAAGGTCCTAAACTTCATACGCCACAGCAACACCGACGACGGGCTGCCATACGAGGGCCGCGAGGGCAGGGGATTCAAGGTACGGTACTACCGTCTGGTGCCGAATAGCTATCCCGATATCTCGAAGCCTCACCCTGAATCAAAAGGCCCTGAGGGGGAGACCCAGCAACACGGCAAGGCCTTGAAGCTGAAGCGCCTTAGGAGCTTCCGTGGCTGGACACGTTCCAAAAAACGAAAGTTTGAGGGCTTGCAGTGGATGGTGCGGGCGCCATTCTTTGCCCGCAGGTCAGATGCCGACAACCCGATTCACCTCTACGATCTTCCGGACAAAGCCATTGTCCCATTCACGTTGTGGCAGCGGTTTGGCGAGGGAGGCGCGGGCGAGGTATTCAAAGTCAGAATCCATCCGGCACATCACGGTTTCGAACGCAAGGGTACCAAGGTAAGGCCGTCCCCTAAGGGGTAATATCCTCCCCGAGTCGTCACGTTTCAACATTCCCTTTACCATCATTCCACTCCGCAGCACAACAGTCCCCACGCTGACAAACACACAGCTCGATCAGAACGACAGCCTATTCGCCGTAAAGCGTCTATTCTGTCCCGACATGGACACTATCCGCGCGGAAACGCGCATGTTCAAGCTCCTCAGCCGCGAGGACCACCCGCACCTCAACTCGCTCCTAACAACATACACTCAGGACGCACAGTTCCACCTCGTCTTCCATTGGGCCGAGTGGGACCTGTGGAAGTACTGGCAGAACCACGACCCACGCTCCTCTACCTTCACCAAGTACGGCGGCAGCGCGGGCGACTCCTCGACAGCCCTCTGGCTCGCCCGAGAATGTGCTGGGCTCGCCAGTGGCCTCCTGAAGATCCACGGGCCCCACGACCCAGCCTCTTTCGCGCACCAAGACTCCTTCGGCGTAGACGTCGCCCAGATGACAGCCGCCGAGACCGCAGACGCAGCAGCAGCCGGGCCGCCGCCCCCAAGGCTGTGCCACCACGGCGACATCAAGGCCATCAACATCCTGCTCTTCCCCCGGGACGGCACCCAGCTTGTACCTGCCCTACCTGGCCTCCCGCCGCCCGAGCCCCGGCATGCGGGCTGGACGCTCAAGATCTCCGACTTTGGGCTCGCGGGCTTCCGCAAGCCCGGCGCGGCGCGCACGGGCGGGACGGCCTGGACGCCCAAGTACATCCCGCCGGAGTGGGTGACGCGGCCCGAGAGCGTCGAGAAGCCGGCGTGCGACATCTGGGCGCTGGGATGTGTCTTTCTCCAGTTCATCGGCTGGTATCTTGGCGGGTTCAAGCTGGTGGAACACTTTGAGGATGCGAGGAAGGACGAGGATGGGACGATTCGCTTCTATCGGCTCCCTGCCGGGCCAGAGGTTATAGAAGGGGGTGGGGCTGTATCGGCCTCGGTGAAGGGATCTGTTACAGAGGTGAGGCAAGCCCCTGGGTACGAGCGGGAACATGTTAGGGCGCAGTGAGCTAACCAACTTTCAGTTCATCAAAGATTGCCGCCGCAATCAAAGATGTAGTCGGTACTTCGACGAATTCCTTGACCTGATTCAGAAGCACATGCTTGTCGTCGAGCTGGAGGGAAGCTCTGGGGATGGGTCACAGCCTTGGCGATATGACTGCGAGGCGATTGAACGGACGTTGCGAGAACTGCATCTCAAATATAGTGAGCCAGGCTCCCCGAGCTAAGGCTGGAGACAGCCGGGTATCTAGCTACGCGAAGTACTACCCGTCGTCAGGATTGTGATTAGTATGACCCAATTGGAGCAAGTCCTTGACCATCCAGTTCCCAAACCAGACACGACGGGATGTCCGGCAGTCTGGATACAAATTGTCTTGCCCCTTCGCGGAAGTACGTGTACCCACTCACAACACAAGCAATTCACACATAATCCTGATTAGCATTGCTTAACTAAATAATGGACCGTAGGATCCCAATCAAATGCGGTCATAATTCAAGCTTTACGTATTAAGCTATGAGCTGAATTTTCGGATGTTAACCGTATCGGAGAAGAGATGATTGATGGGCTGGGATCATTCAACCTCAACAACGCCATCCTTCTCCCTTCTTGCTTCCTCAACTCGAGCGTCCAGGTCACTCTTGAACTGCCTCTTTGACCCCGGCACGAACCAAGAACTTGACGAGAACAAGGCGTTCATCTCCTCCAGAGGGAGCTTCTTGGTCTCAGGCATGAATGCCCAGAAGAAGATGGCGTTTGTGAAGTTGCAGACCACAAAGACGAGGAAGTACCTCCAGCCAATATCTGCAATGGCCGGGGCAGTGACCTGCCCAATCATCGTGTTGAATGCGAACGAGGTCATGACTCCGATCGAGATCCCCTTTGAACGAGTCTTGGTGTCGAAGACCTCGGCGGGAATGATCCAGGACAGAGAGCCACAGGTGAATGAGAAACTGACTTGGTAGACCCAGTTGATGACGATGAATACCCAGGCAAGTGCACTCTGACCTGAACTAGAGGCGTTGGGGAAACTCGCGATGGCGGCGGTGACGATGATGAAGCAGACACCATTGATTGCGTTGCCGAGGATCAAAGGCCAGCGGCGGCCAAGCTTGTCGATGAAAAGTATGGTGCATAGCTGAGCGAGGACGGAAAGAACGTTGCTGATGGCCTGGTACTTCAACGAATCTGTTGTCCCAATGTTGACCTGCTTGTAGATATCGGGCGTAAAGTACTGGATGGCTGAAACACCAGTCATCTGCACGGATGCTTGCAAAGCCACCATCAGCAGGAGCCGACGGAAGCTCGACCGATCGGTGAAAAGATCGCGGTATCCTCTCGCAGCGTGCTCGTGCTCGTGGGTGATAGCCGCCTGGATCTGGGCAAACTCCTCCTGGACCCATACGTCGTTCTCGTTGCCGTTGGCATGTAGCCTCGCTAGTGTTTTAAGGCCTTCGCTCTCCTTGCCGTGATCGATCAACCAACGTGGTGATTCCGGGAAGAGGAGTATCATGAGTGCAAGGATGCCCGCCGGTATGATCTGAAGCCCAAGCGGAATTCGCCACTGCTCGCTGTTGTCGTAGTGCAGGTTGGTGCCATAAACGGTCCATGCTTCGCGAGGTTAGTCATGATGCCATCTTCAAAGTCCAGGAAAAGCACCTACTTGCAAACACGGCTCCTATTCCGAGCATAAACTGTTGCAGGCCGGTGACACGACCTCGAATGGAGGGATGGGAGATCTCGGCCTGGTACATTGGCACGATCATGACCAGGAAACCAACGCCGAACCCTCCGACAGCGCGTCCAGCGTAGAAGAAGTTCAAATGCTGGCCTGCAGCTTGTAGGGCTCCGCCGAGGCAGAAGATGGTGGCGCCAATCATGATGGCCAGTCTCCGGCCGAGCCAGTCACCCACGGGTCCCGCGAGTCCCGCACCAAAGAATCCACCACCAGTGAACAGAGACACTACAGCACCACTTTCTTCTTGTCAGCTCGGTTGGCAGTGTGTGGGAGGAACCACATACACTTCATTCTTGTTGGGGTTGAAAAGCGCGACGAACGAGTCCGATGCAACACTGCCTCCGATAACGCCGAGATCATATCTGTTCCAGTATTAGCCATGTTCTGGCGGGGAATGCTGGTATCTGGGACGAATACATACCCGTAGTTGAATGACCCCAGAGAGGCGAAAACGCCTACCAGGAACTGTTGGGCGATTAGCTACGAATCGGCGGGGCGGCCAGCACATGAGCATCGATCTACGTACCTGGTAGACCCTGGGAGAAAGCACCATTGTTTAAAGATACTGCGAGCCTTGCGGAGGATACTGAGATTTGTCGAGACCAGAACACGGTGAGGAATGGTGATGCAGAGATGCTCAGGGGAAACGTAGTCTTATACATCAGCACATTAAGGCACAGCATGACCTGAGAACCCTGCCAAGCACGTGGCAAAGATCTAGACGCGGTTCACCAAAGGCCTAAAATGAGCTCTCGCTGTTTGTTGTCCCGAAGGAAGAATTCCGCTGCGCGCTTGATTCCTTGGGGTTAGACGACATTGGCGTAGTCTGGCCGCCCGGGGAAGTCTGGGGAAGAACCACTGAGCGCATGCTCACATAGTCACATCGCGTTCCCGGCAGCCTGGACAGGTTTCACTAGCCCGTTACCACATAGCCGACCCAATCGTAATACGCGACCCCATGCCCCGCGTTCACGGATTCGCCCGCTTGTTCGCTTCTGGCAGGGGCACAGACTGCCGCTAATCATAATTGAGGTTGGAAATATGCATGAAGGATCGTACGCATGGCTCCTCGACGATTCGATGTGAGGAGCCTCGAGAAAACATACACCACGTGCCCGAAAGCCGATGCTAGCGGCATGACCATGTTTGAGCAAGGCCGGGTAATGCATCTGAGCAACAGAAAATGGACTCGGAATGGTCAATACGCATACAGGTCTATTTGTCAGGGAAAGAACTAGGAACTTAGTATCTCCTAGGTGCCTCCCACATGATCAAAGCATTCTGGCACTTGTCCGGAATGGCCTTGGTCCTGGTGCCAGCACTGCTCCAATCAGTCGAAGAGTCTCTAGATTCGGAGTGACAAAATTCTACGAGTTGTTTCCTGTGGCAACTCCCCAGAAATATCTACACCAACTACCCAGAATGAGTAGCATGCAAGCTCCAAATGCTTCCATAGAGATATTCTTATTTCTTTGGCGGTCCTCTTCGAAGAACCTCCTTCTTCTCTCCTGAAGGATTTCAAATCCAGCCATGCGCTGCTTGCGAGTCCATTGCAGGCGTCTCAGGTCCACCGTTCTCCAAGCGATGGTGGCGAGCACAAGTGACACAAACACTGACACACCTGCGAGGACAGCGTATACGATAACCACGATGTCGTATGAGTTGTGATCAGGGTCCTGGATAACACCGGTAATAACCCGTACGATAATATTCATCCTGTTTCATCTCATCAGTGAACTGTTCCGTCTTCAACGTTAATGGCGGCCAGCTCACGCATTACTCATGGTAATCTTGAGTGCATAGGCAGAGCCAAATGCAGAGGGGTGCCAGAGGGATGTGCGGATGCTGTCGATGATGGTCGTGGGACCAAAGTAGTACGCAAAGGCAAATACGCCCAAGGATGCAGCGGCACCGGTCACGTTGCCGCCGAAGCACAGAAGAAGCATTGGCGTGAACATGCCGACTCCGCAGAATAGCACTGTGATGACATATCAATAAGAGTCGCATGGTTACGTCACGGGCCTTTCCTTTACTTACGGATGGAAATGAGGTTGCCGTACATGTCGAGAAAGACACCAAGTAGTGGTACAATGAAAAATCCTGCTTTTGATCAGCGTCTTAAGCTCGTGGCTGACTAGAAACACGGTTCGATGTCACTTACCTGCATACTGAGAGGTTGCCGTATACCACCCTGCAGTGATGGAACTGACACCGAACCTCTGCTCAGCAAGTTCAGTGACATTCTGGAGGAACACGATAGCTGTACTGGTTTCGAACAGCGAAAACGCCTGTATAGCCCAAAATGACCATGGTAACTCGAGAACCTTCCTAAATTTGAATTTCTTGGATTTCTCTTTCGGGATCTGGCCAGTGGCTGGCTTACGTACTCCGTGAAACTTTAAGTTGCAACTTTCGTGAACCAATAAAACACAATTATCATAACGTTTGTGAAAAGATTCATAAAGCAGGCAATCCAGAAAACCCATGCAAAGTTTCCTATCCAAATAGTAATAATGTTAGCAGACGACTTCCCGACAAACGCGCCAATCTTGCCGATCCCTAGCTCAAAGCCCAAGGTTGAGGCGAAGCCATTCCCTAGAGCAAACCACGAGGAGAACACCTTATACTGGGCGACTTGAGTCACGATATCTCCGAGAGCTTGGACGACACGCCCAGCGATCATGAATTTATACGAGCGAGTCTGGGCAGCTCCCGCGACAAGGATGGCTCCGATAGAGAAGATCGCATTCCCATAGAGTATGGCGCCTCGGGGATGTTTCAACATACACGAGATACTCAGACAAAAGTAAGAAAATGGTCACTAACCTGCACCACCGATACGATCAGTCACGATTCCGCTGACCAACATGAGAGCCGTGACCATGAAATCCTCGCTCGCTTCCAGCAGGGCAAATTGCGTGTTGTCAATTTTCATCTCCTTCTTCATCGTCGTCTTCATCGCACCCGTAATACCTCCACTCCATTGTGATCCGAAGCCGATGAAGGTGACAAGGAGGATGGCTGCCAGTTTCCAGGTCAGGGGCGGCGGCCGGAGGCTGCTATGGCCTGAAGCAGCATCACCCTCAGCCTGCGCAGAATCGGGGTCGGCAGTGATGGTCACTTCGTTCTTTTTGGCGTCAAGGCCCTCCTCGGAGATAAGGGTCTCGTCCGAACCGACTGCGACTACTTTGCTGAGCTCCATCGCCATGGCGACTCGTGTTCCCAGGGGAAAGGATAGACAAAAGTGAGCAGGACGCAACTGTGAGTGACTTGTGAGTTGGAGAAAACGTTTCGGATCAAATTTATGAAGGATGTGATTCTTGGTTTATACTGCATAGGCGGGAAGCCTGGCATCAATTTGCGTGAGCCCATTCATCTCAACATCGGCAGCGTATCAAGCTGACTAGTGATAGAATTTTTATCAGATCCATCAGATAACATGATGCTCGGGGGTCCAACGGAGGACTCTAGCCTGTTGCGTTGCTTGGCAGACCCACTCGTATCTGAGCACACTGCTCGTAAATACGGACAGTAGCATTACATCCTCATGGCCATCCAAGCTTTGCGGTTGTTCCCCTTGCCAAGATGCCAAATACCTAGGTTGCAAAGATCTCGCCGCTCTTTCAATGTTCTGGCCCGCTCAATGGACATGGGGCTCGCCGACAGCGGAATTGACCGACTGATCGACACCGGACAGCTGCTCTGGCCTGGAACACGTTCTCATCTTCTGAACCCCTATTCGACAATTACTTTCTCTCTAAAGTGCAGCAGTGAATACGGAGTAAAAATTAGAGGGTGTTTAGTACTATTTAAAGATTACCCTCTTGGGGGCCCTTCTGCATCCGGACTGTGCCCAGATGTCCACCTCGAATACAAGCACATTTTGCCAGTCTCAGTCGACTCTGCTACGTAAGATATGGATCTCCAGGACTGTTCGACTACAGGCACGACAACTGAAACCAGCGGGGACGACCTATCAGAAAATGGCCGAGCTAGAAACATTGCAAGCATTGGCGATTACGATGAATCCATGTCAGAATCTAGTCTCTCCGGTATTCCTATGCTTTCGAACCGTTGACTGAACGATCACTGAAATCGTATCTATTCTACCAGCTGCGCTGGTTCAATCAGTCGCTTGATTAATCCATATTAGCGTACAGAGCCGGCCTCTTCACCGCCGCATTCCCGGCAGCACAAGGCGCTACGGCGATGGTGTGGGGCCTCACCGAGGCCATGGGAATCCTCTAGCTGACAGGTACATAAACGATTCTGGCCAGGGGCGCATCCTTACATCATTGCGGCTCTCCTAGGTGTGGTTCCCAACAACCAACCCACTTGTCTTCAGACTGAAGGGGGCAAGGCATGAGTACCCCAGACAGAGGCACATCTTGACGTCGATGACAATCATGCGTTCTACCTATCTGACCAAGGATAAAGTACAACGGCAATCCTTGATTCATCGCCTTTCCCGGCCGCAATTGTGACTAAGAGTGGGAACTGGTCACTGGCCTTTTCATGTCATTCTCCTGCCATGAAAATCCTGTTTCTGTGGCTGCCGAAGCCACCACACTCAGGAATGGCTATATTTTAAGAGCAGAAAACATGGCCTGGGCCGGTACATGACACAACCGTCATATGATCTGGATCTGCTCCATAGAGAATGGGGACCTCAGCTTTTAACGGCGCCGGGGCTTATCTGGGAGGAGGTCACTGCCTTCACTCCTAGCTGGTTCTTGCAGAAAACATCTACCATAAAGGTGAAGTACCTGAACATTGACGAGATCAAAGATACTGAACTCAGCAGCTGCTACTTAAAGGAGATATCTCTGACCGTCGATGACATGAGATACGTTGCGAAGCTAGCTATTTGGCCATCAAGGTAAGCATCATATGGGTCGTTCATTGATCACTCACATCTAATACTTGCACAGAGAATTTGAGATGGTCCACCGCAGGCGAATTTGCAGACTCAGTACATCTTCTTTCAGGCTGCTATCGTTGGATAGCGCAGTACAGTGTATATTACACGGTCAAGAATCGTGGTGAAATTTCGATCGCCATTACCGGCAAAATCGGCCGGATTGAGCAGTGCATATGGTTACGTCGTAGCCAATGGACTGTCTAATTCCAGCTCAGCGTTAGTGTCGATGGAATGTATCTCACAATACTTGAGGCCATCTACCGCATCGTCATCGAGGGGAGTGATAAGCCACAAGTGCAATCCAGTACATTACCGGTGCACGGTAGAGCTCTCGAAGAAGGAAAAAGTCGGAACGGAGATTTCAGGGATTCGAGGCTTCCGATTATACCGACAATCGCCCCCTAGCCAAGAGGTCCCATCGGCAGACATGTCACAACACTTATGCCTACTGGACGAGTATCAGCTCTGACCGAAGCTTCGTATACATTGCAGATCGAAGCCGTGGACAACGCAACAGCATCCAAATCTTTGTGAGGACTTTCGTGGAGGGCAATGGAGTGAATTATTCTGATGTGGCAGGGCGTGAGATGTGGCTGAGTGTGCCTTACCCAGCAGACGCGTTTTGTGCCCGCGCTGCATGAGACGACCGAAAGACCTTCCAGCTAGCCTTGCATCCAACAGACGCCAGCCTTGTTGTGACGCATAGGAGTTATAGTGAGGATGAAATGTTCATCTGTGATATATACCGTAGGTTTCAACCACCGCAGTGGACTTTGTTCAATGCTGACCTCTGTGGGGAACGAATGTTTGGCCGTCGGAGTCTTCACGCGAGGGAATAAGCAAAAGATCAATTTCTCAGATTTCGGGGGATATGCAATCCTTGAGATGAAAGCTGGTGACTGCACCGTAGTTCCGCTTCCGGCAAGCGGTCCGTTGCAGTTGACAGGCTCTCCAAGCAATTATCGACATGAGGATGAAACATGCAGCCAACAGGCAGAGCCGGACTCGGCCCTGTACCTCTTGAGATCATCAGAAGATGGATCTCGAATCAGAACGCCAAGTTTTGCTCCTTTGATTGACTCGAACATGTTGCCCGAACCGCCTTCCACTCTCGGATTTCGCAACGTCGTGGCTCCTGCCCAAGGTGGCGGCAGTTCGCACTCAGTCGTGGAAGCATCCTGTGCTGGCTCAAAGGTGAGGCTCGCTTCGAGGTCAGGCCTAGACATCCTACTATCGCGGCTGCCCCTGACTGAGCAGAACGAACATCGACAAGTAGACGTCATTCTCCCAAAGGTCGTCGGTGAGCACCTAAAGGCTATCCTTCTCTAGGGGGCTAGACTATGGTCATTGACTCGGGACTCGAAGGACTGGAGCTCTACGATGATGATACATCGCGACATCGACACTCTCACCCCAATAGACGACAACACGAAAAGTCGGGCTATTGGTGTAGGCCCTACGGCTGAGGGAGATTCTCAGGCGCTGTTGAAGTTGTAATGAGATATATCAGTAGAAGTGAAAACGCTGTGGTCGTTAAGATCTTGATAGGTCTGGGAACTTTCGATACTTGGTAAGAGCCTGTCATGAGACGCTTTGTATGATGTTGGTAAAGATGAGGTAGGTAGGGGGTTTATAATTGTAAAGACTGGCTGTCGGATCACAGCCGTTAAAAGTCAGATCCAGAAAGGGATAGAGGGGGGGGGGGAGCAGACGTTTAAATACCTAAAAAGCTCTGTTTGAGTCACATGTTTCGTCCGATGCTTGATAAGGGTCTCTGTCAGTGTGCAGTCTAAGTCACGACGATGACTGCAAGATGTTACGGTGTCAAGACTCTGTGACTATGGTGGTACCCATGGGCAACGCTGTTGGCGGGCCTGAAATCCTGATTGAGCATTCCCATGTTTTCGAAACTGGTGGGGCATATATATCTTGGAGATTGCATGTGGTGCTGGTTTCGATGCTAGTACTGGGAAATTTCCCGTTCTGATACAGTATGAAGATCCAACGGAGGAAGGAGTGCTTGCCTAAGATGTTTCGCATCTCTAGAGACCCTGTCGCCGACTGCAAGTCATTGTGGCAGCATCTCCCTTTGGTGCGCCCTGTGTTCGTTGATGTCGACTACCTGCGTATGTAGCCACAACGCCACAGAGAATAACTTTAGGAGAGAAGAACCAGTTACAAAAGTGTAATGATTATAGGGAAGAAGGGTGAAAACTTCACGAGTCATCTATTCATTCATGTCTATCATTGCTGTCTTTACACTTCTCATACCTCTAAGCTGAGTACCTACCATGGGGCATTGAAGTTTAGAGTCGCAGAACTTTGTGCAAGCTTCTGGTTTTAGACTCATCCCGTCTTCCTTGAACGGCATGACTGTTGAGATCCGCGATTTCATTGTATAATTATGCCTCACTCACATACCTTTACGTTTGGGTAGGAAGCAAGTTCCTATCGTAGTCCGTTACTATTACTGCATTTCAAAGGACAATATGTCTAAATTGAAACGGCGAGTAGGCGAGTCGCAGTTCTAGACGCCTACGCGCCCCAGAAGCGTGAAGAAAACAAAGTCACCGTATTACAATATATCATGCCGGATAGAAAATAACGCATAAATTGTTTTTTTTTCTGAGAGAAGGGCGCTGTCTGGGTCTATTCATGTTCGGCCCTCTCAGCCCAAAGCGAAGTGTGGGGGCTGCTGGGCGCCACACTGGCAGCCACAGCCACAGCCACAGCTTCAGCATCAGCTGCCCCCTCCCAACACTCCAAGGTTCAACTTGTAGCATAGGGGTACGTAAAGTCTGAATTTTGATAGTATTTAATTTGGATTTACATTTCAATGTCTTCAGTTCCCAAGTAAATGGTAGATAAAGAGAAACCTAAATTTCGCGCAGCCCGCAGACAAGCATTTGTGCAAGCCGGATTGGGGGAATGCAGTCCGCATCCTGAAAACAATTGCGGCATGGTACTGCACCAGAGACTCGCAGAATGAATACTTAAATTCTCTTGAGCTGACTCTCTAGACTAGTGTCAAAGTCCTTGTTTCCCAAGCCTGGAGCCGTGAGATCTTGAGCGATTGAAAGTCAAATTTGCCCACCCTCTCGTATGTTATATCTCCATCCTCCTTTCGACCGTAAACTGGCTTGACGACCAAGCCCCGGACAGATCTGACTGTCTCTTCCGAGTCACCCTTACGCTCGTCGACGCAGACGATCAACGCAAGGTACTCTTCTGAGGTGAATAAGCTATGTTCGATCTCCGGCTCAACATCACTGCCTGTGAGATGGAACGTGATAGCGACGAGGTAAACACCATCATCATCCTCCGCTATAAACAGCATTGGGAATGTACAGTGACGAAGTCTAGGCATGTCTGGATTGTCCCCTTCGTATCGAGGTGGGTCGTCATCGAAATGTAAATACCCACGATAGTATCCTCGAGCGAATCCCTGGATGTGTTGTCTACTGCGGATTACTGGCAAGATGAGGCCTTGGACAGTGATAGAAGCTGACTTGATTTCGCCGTACGGATTGGTTTCATCCTTGAGATGAATGCTGTAGTCGACAAGTCTGATACCCATTGAGCTCTCTGGCCAGGCTTCTCTCTCATAGAAGAGAATCTGTTCGTCAGTGACCGCCCATGACCAAGAAGGTGCGCGGTATGGCTTCACATGCTTGCATGTGGCCATCTCCGTTTGCCACAGTAGACCTGCCGCAAGATCTTTCGTCCAAAGCCCTGCTAGATATCTGCCTCCAATGACTGGATGAAGGCGCTCACTGATGCCAGAAAAAGCAGGCAGCTTGTCAGAGCTGAAGGTAAGACTGCGATGAGAATATTGCTCCACCACACTGTAGTAATCTTCGAGCAAGAGTCGCTGTGCAGGGAGCTCATCTGTCTGAGAACGCAGAATATCACGGTAGAGGACGGCGGATACGTTCGGCAACGGATCGTCCGGAATCCGAAGCCCAGACGAGGTGCCATCAGCAGCCTGGTAGCCGTGAGGGCAGCGCCAGTAAATTTGACTTCTGCCGTAGTACAAATGTCGTGGTGAGAGTATGGACTCTTGCAGGCACCAGCCCCGGCTGGATAGAGGACAGAGATTATCCAGTTTCTTGAGAGTCTCTTCACCGAAGTCCTGCCGCAACACAGTTACAGCGACCTCGCTGCCCTGCGAAACTTTGACGCTCACCGGCAGAGGAAGATTCGGTTCGTCTTGTACATCTTGGGGGATGATGCCGTGCTTGCTGCCTTTGGATGCCATGGCGTAGACGGTCACAGTGGAGTTGCGATAAATCAGTCCCATCTTCTTAGATTCTTCGGTCCAATCTTCCCTAGAGTCCTGTATGATGCAAAGTGAATCAACCCAAAGATAACGGATTCCAAGTCGTCTCGTGATAGTGATCGCGTCTCGAAAGTTAGCAGGTAGGTCCAAGAACGGCAGTCGATCCTGAAAGCTGTCGATTGTCTTGCTTGTCAGCATGGGTGAGATGGCTCCGCCCCAACAATGGCTCAATGCTATGTACGCAGCTCTCTCCTTTCTGGCGTGGGTGATACGGAGATCCATCCAGTCTTCTTGCATTCCCACATCGATCACCCGAGTTGGTAGTTCAGGTATACTAGTACCTAGGCACTCCAGATGCGAGGTCTTGCACGTGTGCAACCATTGTTTAGCGATCTTAATATTACTCTCAGCATCGAGCTTCCTATCCACCTCATATCGTCCAATACGGAATCGCCCCAAGGTAATCGCGTTCGCTTGATACATCGCACTCAGTCAGTATATGGACGTCGAATGCCAGAACATGAGATAGTTCCTCACGTACCTCTCGATGAAGACAGAGTCAGTTTCAACACTGGGAGCCTTGCGATTTCATCATCGATCCCTCTCGCTGATCTATCGTGAGGCCCAATTTGAATCAAAAGGGTATCGAGAACCTTTACATTAGATAATGCCTCTTTTGGGTCTGAATCGTCAGACAGTATGCAAAGCCTGACTTCTGATTGTGGAAGACGTCTCGCAGTAGCTAGCAAAGAATGCTCAGGATTGCAGTCTTCACCTTCCCATTTGTCTGCGATCCAGGATCCGTTGTCCAGGTACCCTTTCAAGCAAGCCACGAGCAAATTGCAGAAGTGACAGCCTGCATCTGCGGCAATCTCGAGAGCCTCAATTGAATCATGGAGCTGATAGCATCCTGCGCTGGGTACACTGCTGTCACGAGAGAACTCCTTGTGGGCGAGGTCGACCAGATGCTCGATCGTCAGATTGGCGCACTTCACACATTGTGTGCCAGCGTCCATTGCGGAATAAGCTCGCGCACTGGAGATATGCAAATCTGAGAACTGAAGATACAGGGGACGGTCATTGCAAAGAAGATGGAGCGAGATCTTGCTGTCGAGGTAGATGGTCAGCTCGAAGCAGATGCCAGTAGGAGGAATTGCAGAGGCAGACATCTGATGTCTCACAAAAACATCACATGTTTTGCGGTGATGGCGGCTTCTGATTGGCTGAAGAAACTAGGTAGTGGAGCAGACAGAGATCAGAAACCACCTACTCCATCAACGAGTCTACTCTGCAGCGCGTTTGCGTGCGTGCATATTATCTCCGTAATCTCCGCGGCCTCGTGGGTACCTGCTCAACCAAGAGCTAAGGCCTTCCTCCTGAACTTAGACAAGCGGCTGAAAGATTGTCCAATTCGAGGCCGTCTTTGCTAAACATCTGATATTTTCTTACCCAGTAAAGTAATTTGAATTAGAGATCTTTGGTGAAACATCAGATGTTTGCCGCCTCTAGTTCCCATGGCTGGCTACATTACATCGGCATGCTGGAATCGTTGGAAAGAGGGGTTGCAGCCCATCCGTGATGCCGTTGATGTGTTACACACAACGAAAGGGTGGGGGCCAGTTACGTTGCGACACATATCAAGCTCTTGTTTAAGCATACTTCAAGTGCATTAAGTTTCTTCTTCGTACCATAGAGACAAAGTTTGGGAAAGAGGAAACAGTAAGAAACTCGTAGACGATAGGGTGAAGACTTTTTAACCGTCTATTGAGGCGACCTTATCCTTTGCTGCCTTCATCCTTTTTATATGCTAGGGCTGGGTACCATAATACATTTACGCCTGGAGATATAGCATCATGTAGATTGGTGCCATATATCTTTTTCCCAAGAGTTGAGGGGAATCAAGGTCGTTTTTTCTTTGTTGTATTCCGTCTGCGTAACGGAGAGAAAGGTGTCTAGAAACAAGAATTAAACACCTTGGGAGTTGCTGAGAGGATTTGTGACTAGCCAAGAAACTCGCCATCATGCCAATTTTTGCTTCTTCCAAATTTGTGACTTGCCAACAAACTCGCCGTCATGCCATTCTTTCCTTCGTACAAATTTGGGACTCGCAGCATCTGCTTTATCACTCAGAGTTCCGATGATTAGCATAGTTCTCGCAGGATGGACTGGTTTACGATCGAAGCAGGATCAAGGGAGAGAAAGACGCACTGTCTGTACTATAGCTACTCTGATAACAATGCAGCCCAACAATTTAATTTCCGCAAGGAGAGGAACGCAAACACCTTTGCACCGTTGCTATGAGTATCCACTCTCATCAAGTACGCCACCTCCCCCTTCCGTTCCATCATGTGCTGTTTTACCGCGTGTTTTCATCTTCTCTGTTCTGCTCTGTTGCCCAAATCACGCCCAGCCGCAGACCGGGCGTCTCACAAGAAAAGACCAATCATTCCATGCCCCTAAACCGGCGATTGAACTCCTCCACTGCAACCCCGACCATGCGGTACACGAAGGTCCGGCCGCTCTCCTCGCCAATGGGGATGAACGGCCCGTTGGTGCCCCCGCGCAGCGTCAGGCTGAGCCCCGTGCGCTCCTTGGCGATGGTCTGCACGTCCTTGAGCGGGACGTCCCACTCGGTCGCCAGCCGCCGGCTCCTGATCAGCAGGATGCGCGCGTACGTGATCATGACCACCATGTCCTCGCGCGGCAGCTCTAGGTGCGCAATGTAGTTCTCATCGAAGTACTTGCCGTTGTCCACCTGCTTGAGCCAGAACTGGCCCAGAGCCTCGCGCTGGTTGTACGGCCGCACGATGCCGTCCGTCGGGATGAATCGCGTTAGGCGCACGCGGTCTAGCTCCGACCCGTCGAACACCGTCGTGGTGTTACGGATGCCCTCGGCCGCGTTGGACGCCGCGTCGAGCACGCCGATGATGGGCTTGGTCCCCAGGCCGAGCACGCCCTTGCCCACGCCCTTGAAGAAGCCAAGCGCACCTTCTGACTCTGCGCCCTCGAGGGGCTTGCGAACCACACCGCCCACGCCCGACGCCACAGACGTGATGAAGCTGTTGGCTCCCGTCGTGAAGCCGTACAGGGCGTGCTTGGGCCTGTTCCGGGATCGCGTGATGCGGCGCCGGTCCTGGAACTGCTTGTCCAGTGTGGCTGCAGCAAGACCCTTGCTCATAGCACCGGTGAACTTCGAGAAAGAATCGGTCACACCAAAGACAGACTTCTTCAAGAAAGAAGCTGCCCCACGAGCAACACCCAAGCCAAGGTCTTCAGGGCGATCGGACATGATAAGTCCCTGGTATGGCTCGTAAAAGACATCTGCAATGCCGGAGCTAATGTTGTTGAACAGACCGACAGGGTTGCCGAGGAAGTCTGCCGATCCAAGCACCTTGTGCACTTGGTAGAGAGCCTCTTGACTGTAGTGGTTCGATATGTTCTGGATCAGAATCGGAGTTGATACCCGCACATTGTCCAACATCAGCGCGTTCATTCGAAGTGGAGCGTCATTCACATTGCCCATTGCCATCGTCATGATGTTGAAGAAGAACATGAGCGGGTTACGAGACGACGTCTTGTCCTCGGCGTTGATGCGTTCAGTCCGCACAAAGGACAGATCGATCTGCATAGGTTGAATGTTGAGCAGCTCGAAGTAGATATCTTGGCCAGCTTGTTGTTGACTGGGCTCCGGTATGTCAAGGTTGTCGTCACATAGCCTGCCCTCTTCTTCGGCCTCGGTCCAAGTGGCACCCGGCACCTTGGAGAAGTCCAACATAGCAAATATGAAGTCCTCGTCCAGGTCAACAGTCATCTGCTGAAGCAATACCGTTGCGTACTTGATGTACAAGACACCATACGAGTCATCCTTGACTCTGGTCACCATGGCATGCAGCGATGGGTGAGCATCCGTCTCTTGCGCTCGCTTCGGCACGACACTGGGGTACAGGATCATTGGGAAAATTCCACCGTAGAGCTGATTATCGATCTGGATCCACTTGATCGATAAACTGGCAGTTTGCAACAGAGGCGATTCACTGTACCGCAGAGTAAGGTCCCGGAATGTGACATAGGCGAGCTCCCTCAGTTGAGAGTTGATCAGCGACACACCGATGCCAGCAAGCTTGAGCTGAGCTCGGAACCTGGTCCCAGTGTCCTGGTCCTTCGCCTCGAAGCCCGCCATGCTAAGGTTTCCGGTGGAGCCAGACATAGACTTTTGGCGGTAGAGACTCTTGGACTGCTTGAAGTTTGACAGGATCAAGGTCTGCGTCGGTCCATCGGCGGCAACGTTGATGTCAATGATCTTCTGGCCGCCCGCGCTTGTGTTGAACCTCATTGGGACGAGATTACCAATCTCTGCCAATTTGACATGGCGCTCTTTGTTGTGGGCGGAGATGACGATCTCGCGGTGCTTGGCTGCTGGGAAATCCCAGGCGTAGGGCATAATACTTCGAGGTGGTAGGCGGTAACGGATCGGCCGCCAACCGGATCGGTCCTCGACTCCATCTTCATCAATATTGGGGTTGGCTTGATAAAATGTGAACTCGGTGTCACTCTCGTTGCGTACAGAGAATGGCCACTGCTTGGTTTCCAAGCTCATTTTAAGGAAGATGGTTGCGTCTTCCATCAGGATCTCCACGCGAATCAGCCGTTGGCGTTGACCCGCTTTGGCGATCTTGATGTGAGAGGTTCCGAGGTCCGAGATGTTGAAAGGCGAGGTCCATTGATTGTCAACCCCAGGGTGGCACAAACACAGTTGCTTGACAGGGCTCTTATTCAGGAAGTGCAGAGGCCTCAGTTGGCCAGCCTTGATGGTCATGAGATCGGACGAGCTTGGCTCCCTGATGTTGATTTCCTCGCCAATCTTGTTCTGGACGATGAATCTTGGCGCCAGGGTCACAACCTTCGTCATTTTGTATTTGCCTTCACCCGACTCGACAATGATGCCGACATGAATCTCGGAGTTGCGGCTCGATGATTGCAGCACGACGTCCGCGGCACTTCCGATGGCGTCGAAACTCTGTGGCTTGCTCCACTCCGAGTTGCCGACTTTGAGCATGGCTCTGTTGCGGTGATCGTCACTGCCGTAGGAGAACATAAGAGGAGACACCTTGCGCTCGCCCTCAGTCACATCGACCAGCAGGCCTGGCTGACCGGCCGCGGCCTTGGCTTGCTGCAAGAAGCCCTTGTGGCGGATCTGTATGTCCAGACCCGTCTTGTTCAAGATGACATACGGGCTGTACACCGTCACCTTGAAAGCGCCGCCACTGTCCGGGATACGGTGATAATGTAACTTCAGGTTGAGCTGGAGGCCTTGGTCGTCCTGACACTTGAGTGTGTGCTCTTTCTTGAAGTCCTCAGAATTTCCGGAGTTGATGATAGCAAACTCGCTCGCCTTGAAAACCGTGTCCTGCATGTCGACACTGAGCAACAGGAGACGCGAGAGCTCCGTGACGTGGACCGGGCTGACTCCTCCCTTTCGTAGGAAATTCGACCAGTCCTTCTTGGTGTTCTTGTCGTAGATCCGGTACTTGAAGTCGTATGGCAGAAGATTCTCGAGCGTCACCGGGGCAGAGAGTTTGAGCTTCATGTTGGGATAGGTTCTGCAAAGATTGTTAGTGTCCACGGACCGAATGTCATCGATAAATATCTGTACTTACTTCGTCATGGGATTTGAACGGTCGAATGTCGCGTTCATCTGGAAATAAAACGGCTCGCCATGTTCTCCCTTGCAGACCATGGTCCGAGTCGGCCTCTTTAACAGATCCCTCCACCACAGTGATTCGCTGGACCATGCATACCCGAAGCCGCTGTCAGGTCGAACAAGCAAGCTCTTCAAGTACACAGCGCCAACTGGGGCCGGGCGTGCCTCACCGGGCGCGATCTTCTCGATTTTGAGCAGATCGCCTTCCTGAGCATCAAATACACCCAGTTCGACCGGGATCTGAGTGGCGTTCTCCACGATCAAGGGGCTGCGAAGGGTGACGTATTTGACGTTGTCAGCGCCCAGCTTGACATCGACCATGAGACGGTGTGAGACGTTGTCTCTCTTCGGCTTGAGCGAGTAGATGAACTCGCCCTCGCGGTTCAGGCGAATGTTTTTCAAAATATCGAAGCCACTGCCCTCGAGCTGGACTGCGACAGCCGTGCTCGCCATGCTGTCGGTCAGCATGTTTTCACGCATCTTCTCCCAATGTTCAAAGCTCCACGGCGCCTCTTTGCCGTCATCGAGGCGCACGTTGATATCCTCCTCGCTGGTTGGGTTCTTGCTGCGCACGACCACCTCGAAACCAGTGTAGTTTCGGATTCGGTATGGCGACTCTGTGCCTCTAGGCTTGCCAAGGACGTCTTCATCTTGAGTGAGGAATGCAAAGGACTTTGAGGCAAGTGCGATCGTGTTCGTGGTGACTGTGATGTCAAACGTCTTCTTAGACGCCACATCGACGGAAAGCAGCCCAGTGTCTTGCTCTCTCGCAACACCGACGCCAACTGACCATGGCTCGAGAAGTGGTTCCCAGGCAGACTTGGAGAAGTTGTACACATTAACATACATCTCTATCGGTACCTCGGCCTTCAGACTTGACGACCAGTCCTCGGCAGTCGCGCTGAAGTTCTTGATGCTGAGGTCCAAGATCGGCAACTCATGCAAGTCTCCGATCAAGACGACGCGAATACCATCGATAGTAGCCGTGAGTTCCTCTCGCCTTCGTGGTTTCTTGGCAATGTCGTGGGGTTGGCCCTTGCCTTTGCTACTAGCAGCAGTCGAACGTGCGCCTACGGCGGTGGTGTGCTTGCCAGACTTCGACTTCTGTCCGATAGTCGTGGGCCCCTTGCTACTGGCTGTCCGCTGCTTCATGCCTGCCTGTCGAAGCTCCTTCGCCTTCTTATCACCAGCACTAAGCTTGTCCTGAGCCTTGTCATCCCCTGAGAGTTCCGATGCCTTGCTAATAATCTGAAGCGCAATCAGAATATCTCTGAGCGAAAGACGCAGAATCAGCGGCTCAATGTCGATATGGAGGTTGGTCAAGTCTGGCTTCGAACTGTCCATGGACATCTGGATGGAAAAGTCGTCGAGGATTCTCAGCCTCGAGTCCTCAAACCGGTCCATGCGACACAAGAACATCCCCACTTCGGAGACCTGGAAGGTCAACGCATGCTGCTGTGCGAGTAGCACCTGCTTAGTGCCCAAAACAATCGCTTCGCTGCTTGCGCTCAGCGGATTGGCGATGAGAATGACCTGGGCGTCGACGATATTAACGCGGAAGGCAATGGTCATCTTTGACTCGTCCTGGTCCTTTTGCTCCGTCTTGTTCGGCGACCTCGTGCTAACCGAGGTCCTTGGCGACTGGATGCTGGACTCGCGGCGAGCGATGCTGACTTGCATGCTATCCGCGTCACTCTCCTCAGGTGTTTCCAGGTCCTCCTCGTCTATGAGGCTGGGCTCGTCGACCTGTAGACCAGTCATGATAAAATTCTGGAGGGCGAAGAGATAATCCAGGGCGAAGATGATCCTAGGAGAGTCTATTGCAGCCATGGCAATGAGGTTGCGTTCTTTGCCGCCCGATATTGTCACGCTCGCCATGAACTGCTGCACACTCTTGTTTCCGCTCGTCATGATTCGACGGAACTTGTTCGTCTCCCGAGGACGAGAATCATGGATCGTGAAGCTCTGGATGACAAACTCGGCCTCTAGGCTGCCGTTGGCTTGCATCCGGGTTTTAAGCTTACTATCATCCAGACTGAACTTGCCCAAGCTGGCCGAATCCACATTGCCAACCGGTCGCCCCTCAGGAGCATTGATGAGCTCCAACCCAACGGTGGGCACACGGAAGACGAGATCGAGCTTCGTCCATGTATCGCCGTGGCTTCCAAGCTCGGGCTTCATGTCAACACTTTCGTCTTGACTGGTATCCTGTGACCTCGGCAGTGTCCGAGCACGCTGCAAGGTGCCAGAGTCAACGTCCTGCTCTGCTTGCTCAGCTTGAACATCTGCGTCGCCAGAAAATGCCGAAGGCACCGACTTCGAAATCGCAAGCAGGGCCTTCATTTGGTACTGAGTGATCTTCAGGTTGACTTGTGTCATGTTACCCTCAATCTCGAGCTCGGGTCGTTTTGCACCCTTCTTGTGTTCGGCGTAGATGATGCTGAAGCCCAGGTCAACGTGGTCAATCAACTCCAGCTCCTCGGATTTGTCGTCGGCGTAGTGGAATAAGCTGGTGAGCCTGACGTTGCGGATCCCGGCGGACATCTTGTTTGCGATTTCCGAGTCTTCGGAATCATCGAGTGGAGCAAATTGATTCTGTGCATAGATCTCTCCGAGGTAAGCAGTGATGAGATCTCGCTTGGGTCGTCCAGGCGTTACGACGTTGGGGAAGACTACGATGGGCGTCTTGATGATCACATCGAGTTTGATGCGGCTGCTACTTTGCTGCAGTTGCTGTGCCTGGTTGGCAGCGGCCTGACGAGCAGCGTTGTAGATGGCCTGCATCTTGCCGAACTTGACCATGAATTCCACGATCTTGCGGAAAGGATCTTCGAGGAAATTGACCTTGACAGAGCCAGCGCGCAAGTATATGGATGAGTCGTATCCGGGATATGATTTCTCGTTCTTCGAATCGAACGTTTCGTACCTGAAATCGGCAAGGTCATCGCCCTGGATCGTAATGAGCTTCCGGATGGGGGAGTCTGCGGAGACGCCAAGGTTCACATCGTCAACAAGGCTGAGATCGCCCAGCTTGGTGTTGACTCGCATCGTAGTGCCGAGAAGAAAGACGCCGACCTCTGCATGGTTGAAAGAAAGCGTAGCCAGTCGTATTCCATCATTATTGAGAACAAGCTGAATGCTTTTCAGATCGACCCTAACTCGAATGGCGGAGGCAGCAGCCTGCGGTGCTGGTTCTGGCGGCTCAACGGCGATGTCAACCTCCGACCCATCATCCGTGATAGCTTTCTGTTGCTGCTGGTTGTTATTTCCAGGATTACTGAAAGTGACGAGGATGAAGTCGAGCAGAGTTAGCAACGTCTTGCGCGTTACCACGAGGTTGATGGTGGCGATCGCAATGTTCACGTTCGTCTCTACTCCTTCGTATACGGACATGAACTCGGGCGAGTCTCGCTTCACACGGACAACGTTGACCTTGACCAGTGCCCGGTGTGCCTTCTTGTCCTCGACGTCGCCTGATGAGACAATTGATTTGAACTCTGCTGGTGGCTGGTCGACAAAGTCATCGACCGTGACCGAACCCAGAGACACCTCGGCAACCATGTCAAAAGGCCTCATATAGTAGTTGACCTCGAAGCTTTGGGCCACAAGCTCAACCAGGAGGGCGTCCGGATTCTTCCCATCGGGATCGCTCTTGTACAGAGAACCGCGCAACTCGTCCACTGTGAACTTCAGCTCGAATGTCTTTTGCTTCAACTTGAGCTGTACGCTTGGCTGATCGTCAGTGGCATCTTCAAAGGTTTCTTCATCTTCGTCAATGTCGTCCAGGACGATTGCCTGTTCTTTTGTCCCAGTGAAGGGTAGAAGTTGAGAAGACCGTCTGCGCCGTACTTTGGGACTCTGCTGTAGAGAACGACTGGACCGCCTTGACACATTGCTCTGAAGACGTGGTCGATTGGAGTGCTGTGGCTCTGGTGCAGAATCGTTGCCAAATTTGGGTAGCGCCACATCGATCAATTTCATGAGACTCTTGTACTTGGTGTCAGATGCCGTTACATGCAGGAGAGGGAGATGGCCGGAAACTCGGAGTTTGGCAAGGTTCGGAGCCTTCGGCAAGATGGAAAGTTGGACAAGGAAGTCGATGTTGATCTGTTCGACAACGTGCATTGTTGAGCTCTCACTCTTAGTAGATAGCTGCGACTTCGCCTCTTCGATTGAGGGGCCGATGAGCAGCTGAGTGGACGTGAGCTTGACCATGAACTTGTCATACATCAACGACTCGAGCCGTTTATGATCTTCGTCGGTATAGGCTGAGTTGTGTTTCGACTGCACCTCTTTCATGGTTTCTCTATCAACCAATTCAGAGTTGACACTGATGTGACCAGCATCAAGAATCATGCACGTCGAGCGCCGGGTAGTGATGCTTTGCGGAATTATGATGAGGGGAGCCTGTAGGTCGAGCATGGCGTTGATGGTCTTGTGCTCCTCCAGGGCAAACTCCAGACCTGCCCTCGTCTGCTGTCTGAATTCTTCGACTGTGGCTCCTGCTGTCTCCATGAGCGCGGTAATGGATTCCATGTGGCGCTCTGGGGGTCGAAAGAAGCCCACGACACCAACAACAATGTTTGGATTCCACACGATCTCCAGGGGCTTCAGTTTGGCCTTGACAGCGAAATCGCCCTGGCCATCTAGAGGATTTTGCTCCAGCTCCAGGTGGAAGAAAGCCTCCTCGGTCGACTTCTCAAGCTCGACAATCGAGAGACGATTCTGCTTCTTGCGGTCTGGTGCATCTTTGACTCGCACAATCTCCGGGAACAGGCTGTCGGGCGTGGTGCCATCGTTGACGCGGAGTCCGCCCAGGCTGACCTCAGTGAGGAAGGAGTCCGGACGAGCGAGGGCCTTAGCCTTAAAGACGTCAAAGTGCAGGCTGAGCAGGTCCTTGGGGTTCTTGTGTGGACTCTGCCGCAGTGTAAAGCTTCCGGTGCTGAGCGAAGCCTCGACCTGGAACTTGACACTGTCTCTGGGGGTATCGACGGCATCAGCCAGAGCCGTTTTCTCGTCCCAGTCGATGGCCTCGTAAAGCTCCTGCCGCTGCTCCTCCGTCATTTGTGTGTTTTCGTCGTCCGACGTAGTTTGCTCCTGGGGCTTGGAGCCCCATACCCACGCAACCCAGCCTTGTGGCTGTTCTTGCTTCGGTGGCTGGTTTCTCAGGGCCGCGGCGTTCTCTTTCTTAAGCTGGTTGCGAGCCAGTGATCTCCAGAAACGGAGGTCCTCATAGTCGAGCTTCCACTCCAGCTTATTCAGGTCGTCGTTCTCCTGCTGCGAGAGCTGTTGACTCTGCTTCTTCTTCTTGAAAAGCTCGATGTATCGTATACGATCGTCACGGCGCTCCTTGAAAAACTCCCATGACCACCGTCGATTTCGCTCGTGGATCTTGCTCAAAACCGCATCACCCGCAAACTTGAGCCAGGCTCGTGGATCCTCCTTCGGTCTGACGCCCTTGGGCTGGTACTTCTTGTACTCCTGGTGACGGATGAAGTAGTGGAAGAGATCTACCATCATCAATGAGTCTCGGTACTGGTCATCATCAAGCACGACACCAATCTCGTCAAAGAGCAGGTTTGCTTTCCACTTTGGTGTGTGGGCATCGCCCGATTTGTCCAATTCGATCTTGGCTTGTCCACTAACAGGTTTCAAGATGAACTGATGGTCAACTCCGACGTTTTCATCAGCCGCGCCAATCATGGCCTTGAATGTCTTGATCATCTCGGCATGTTCCATTGGTGGCTGGTCAGAGGAGCTTGCCTCCCGGCCTGAGCCGTAAAGTTTGGTGTCGGTATTCCAGTACACCGAGAGGGCGCCGAGGGTGGCCAGCTTGTGGGTGGTCTTTGAGGTGTCCTGGATGAACATTGGTTTCCAGTTGCCGTCGGTGCTGACGGCACTGAATTCCTCCAGCGTAACACCCAATGCAAAGGGATGTCCCGGGGCCGATATTGAGTCTTCATATCGCACGTGGATGTTCTTGACCGTGACCTGCAGGTTATCGACGATCTTGGTGACCAGACTCTCGGTAAAGCTCTGGCTCTTTTTCTGCTCCTCCTGCGTGAGGCCTTCTTGTGATCGCTCCTTCAACAGCTCGGCGGAGTCCAGCTTCTCCATCTTGATCCTGTGTTTCCGGCGCTCCTCCTCGTCTTCGTCATATTGCGCCTCCTCTTTTGGGCTTGCCAATAGGAAGACATTTTCGATGAAGATCTGGACCGGGGCGCCACGGAGGTTGGACCAGGGGATGACCAAGGTCAGCTCGCTGAGGTGGCCCTCGGCGACGTTGATGGGGAGATTGAGCTGGTCGAGTGCCTCTTTACGAAGCTCGAGGTCGCGTAGCTTGACGTCTCCGGACCAAATTCCGACCTTGAGCTGTGTTGGGTCGAAATTCTTGACGTACATGCCCAGGAAGCGGTTGAGCAGACCGGCAACGAGTCCTTCAAGCATGGTGGGCAGTTGTTTGGCCGGTTACCCAGGCCGGGGTATAATGGGATTTGTAGGTTACGTCGGACAGGGCATCGGTTACGTCGACACGAGGCAGGCTCGAGGACGGAAGAGAGGTACAATAGCAGCACCAGCAGCGTTTGGCGGACGCGTTTTGGTAGGAAAAGTGAGGTCGGAGGAGATGGGTAGGGTATTTCGTCACGTCGTCATTCAAGAAAGGGAGGTCACGTCGCTAGGGAGCTGCTGGCGCCAGACAGGTTATTAGCCTAGCTTCTACCAAGACGAAGGAGCCGTCGTGTCACCCAACCCCAGTTTCCAGCGTTAGGGTCTCAGCCTCACCAGGTCAACCGGAGATAGGCAGTCAAGAGACAAGGGCAGACGTACTCGAATGAATGGAGACGGAGACGAGTGACTGCTATGCAGGGCGGAAAGTAAACAAATGTTGGCTTGGCTGTGGCGAGCCAGTGCGGGAGGAAAGAAGGAAAAAATAGAAGCAACAAGCAGGACCGGGTGGAGGGATCTAGCACCCAGCAAAGCAGCACAGGACAGGCTTGCAAGCGAAGAGAATGCAGCAATACTGGGGAACTTGGATGTTGGCAACTGGCCAGGCCAGGGAGAGCGAGTGGAAGTGGGAGAGACAATGGGAGAGGCAGAACCCGGTCGACGTCAGCCATGGAGGGGGCCAGTCTGTGGCGCAGATGACGATTCGCAGAGATCCTCGCTGCTCGAGTTGTGGCACTACGCTAGGACAAGGAGGAGCTCCAGGCTGGAGCCAGCACTGCCAGAACCGGGCTACCGGGGCAAGGACTGGCCGTCAGTTGCTGTGAGGAGCTGCAGGTGACAAGGGGTGGGACTCCCTTTCCTCGACGTCACTCGCCCGACGCGCAAGGAGCTTGGGCCATCTGGCCATCTGGCATGTCCTTCCCCCACTTTCTTAGCACCCCCTCCCCCCACTTTCTTAGCACCCCCTCCCCCCACTTGTGTCAGCCTGAGGTGACCCTTACCCTTCCAAAGCTGCACAACTATGGAGCAGCACTCATCGTCTCCCTCTTGAAAATGCTCCGGAAAGCTTGACTTGACCTCGAATATCTGACACAGGTGAAGATGCGGCAACTTTAACAAGATGTCAAGGCAATCAAGGTTCCGGAACATGCCTGACAGCGGCTGATCCAAGGCTCCAATACGCACGGTCAGAATGTGCATCCCATGTAACGGTGAAAGTGATCTCCCCTGCTGTCACTTTCCCGCATGGACACAGCGGTCATCGGACGCATGCACGTGGCATGGTGGCTTGTGGCTTTCAGTTTTAACAAGATGCTTGCTTGAGGCTGTCCTCCACCGTCACGGATTGAATTTAGAGTTACCTAGGTCCCTTACTAGAAATTCATCCATGAGCCAGGGGACCCCAGGTAAACTTTCGAATACGGTAAATGAATTACTTATTACCATATGCTTTCGCAAATCCCCTTTTCCAGTGCACAGCGGCACCGCATGTATCCTTATGGACTTCATTCTTCAAATGCAAAGTTTCACCCTGTCGAGCTACCAGAGTGCCCAGATCAAGGCGTAGCGTCAAACAAAACGAACTCGAGATGGAGTCGTATTCGGATTTCAGGACGAGCCGGGGCTGATGGGGTTGAGATGGTCTAATCTCCCACAGCTGACCCGTCATTTATGCCACGACCCCCTTCAACCTCAACCATCCGTCTCAAGAACTCTCACCCCTCTCTGATCCGAACGCAGCCCAACACGAAGATGGCAGAGCCAAAGGAGCAAAAGGCAACATCACCGCCGCCCTGCAAGGGCACCATCCTCGTCACAGGCGCCAACGGCGGCCTCGGCAGGGGCTTCATCACCGCACTGAGCAGATCCCCGTACGCCAAGGACCATCACGGCATCTACCTAGATCGCGACGATGCCGCGGCGCAGGAGATAGGCACCTTCATCAAGACCAAGGTGCAGCCCAAGAGCAACAACCACCAGTGGGAGACGTCCGCCCTCGACCTAGGCAGCCTGGCCAAGATCCGCGCCTTCGCGGCCACCATCAACGCGCGCGTGGCAGAGGGTTCGCTCGAGCCCATCCGCGCGCTCGTCCTCGTCGCCGGCTACCTGGATGTCGCGCCCGAGGCGTCAAAGCCGCGGCGGTTCACGGAGAACGGCCACGAGGCTGTGTGGGGCATCAACTACCTGGCCAACTTCCTGCTGGTGCTTCTGCTCCTGCAGTCGATGGACAAGGAGCACGGGCGCGTCGTCATGGTTTCCAGCTGGTCGCATAACCCGTATGATAAGCGGAATGCTGTGACGAAGCATCTCGGCCTGCCGGAGTACAAGGTCCAGTACCGCGACACCGACACGCTGGCCAAGGGCGTCGAGTACCCGGACGAGGGGCAGAAGGCCGGGTTGAGGAGGTACGGGGCTAGCAAGGCGTGTCTGGTGATGTTTATGTGCGTCTCCTTCTCCAATGATGTTGAACTACTGCGGCAGGCGTTCTGACACAAGACTACAGGTTCGAGCTCCAGAGGCGACTCTCGGTAGACCCAGAGCTCTCCAAGATCTCTGTTATTGCTATGGAGCCTGGTGCGATGATCACCAACATCGCAACAGGCGGCAAGCAGTCAAAGACTTTTAGCAAGGTGGCCATAACGCTATCCAAACTAACATCGGCCGTGGCGCCGAACTCGCCCCTGCGGACGCCATTGAAGTCCGGAGAGCACCTGTTGCGAGCCAGCTTCGACACGAAGGAATTGGGCGAGCACCCCAAGGCGACCTATCTCGACGGTGGAAAGAAGCGAAAGCCTGGGGACGAGGTGCAGGATGAGGAGAAGCAGAAGAGGCTGTGGGGGGACACTTTGAAGCTTGTGAACCTGCAACCGGGGGAGACGGCACTACAGGATTTGACTGTCTAGACTGATTTTCTACACCTCAACTTTTACGCTACTAACTTTAATAGGAACCTGTTCTGCAGATACAAGTCTTTGAATTATACCCCATTTGTCTCCTCGCCTGAATGGTCTATCGTATCCCATGGTTCAAATGCTAAGTTATATTCTGCCGCTGATTGCTTGACCGCATAATCTACTCCATCGCGGTCTCGTCAGCTTTGTGATGATTGCCTTCGGACTCGATCTGCATGTTTTATTGCTCATATTCATCGGAGTGCCAGGCTGTTAAGGCCGGGGTGCGTACGAGTTCGGACGAACTTGCTTGCCAGCCAACAGAAGCCTTGTCCACCACCACCACCACCACCAACACCACGACGTCACTCCCACTTAACCGATGAAAAACACCGTTTTTCACATCCCAGTAGTCCAGTCGTCAAGCCGCTAAACTTACATTATGAGAAATACTAACCAGTTCACAGAGGCCGTGTTCGACCGTTGAGTCGAAACCAAAAAGTCCATGTTGGCGTGTTCTAACGTCAAGTCACATGGCAATCAGGGGACGGTATTTAAGGGATGGTAGTTAAGGGACGGCAGTGACTGCTGCGAGCTGACGGCAGGAAGGGTGTCCGGCTAAGTAAGTACCAGCCCCTTCCATTACACACATATCTGCTTGACGACTGGGCTCTGGGTGTTGCTGCTACTCTCTGATGACTCCTGCTCGACTTATACCTCTTCTTTTTTCTTTTTTCCCCACTGGCATTTTTACTTTTTGTACCTTGCTTGTGTTAACCTGTGCACCTTTAGACAAGGCTCACCTTTAAATGAATGCTAGCTCTCTGCGTTAGAGAGGGAGGTCAAGGGCAATCGCCTTAGGATGTGTCATGCAGTGGCCTCGACTGTCACGGTACCCACTACAGTGGCCCGCCTTATAAACACCGCAGCTTCGCCTGCGGCTTGTAGACTTCTAGTTTTCCTTTCTTCGCGCAACAACAAGTTGTTACTACGGCTTGTATGCTGCACCGTAACATCGACGCACAACGGTACGGCCTAGCTAGGCTCTCCATTGATGACGGCAGCCCTTCAAATCATGCCACATTGAAATTTGAGTTATGGCGGATTGGCATTTTTGCGTTATTCAATCTGAGACTCTGGGTGCGCAGTGTGAAGCGTTGGTACTGTTCAAGTTCATAAGAAAACGAAAAATCCAGCACTGGAATTGAAATACCGAATGATCTTTTTGTACCTTGACACATTTGACTGTCCGAATAGACTCCACAAATGGTGCTCTCCGGTCTCCATGTGGTTGCTCTGAACTGTGGCCTTTGCAGACATGTTCTTGGCTGCAATTTATTGGGCCCACCAAACGTTGATAGATGAGGCTATCACCACATTGACGCCGAAAGCAGATCGGGTAATCGGCCAAGACGACAGGCTGGGTTTAGGCAATTGACAGGGGACCACGCCTGAGATTAGAAGGATGACGCAAAGGGTTGGGGCTAGACCTTGGTACTGAAGCTGGAGCTCTGCCGCGGTTCAGTGACGTCAAGGCCGTGTAACGCTGCGGTAGATAGCTTCAGGTCCAAGGAGTGGGCGATCGCGCTCCAGGTCCAGGTTTTCAAAACGTGATGTGAATTCTGGGTGGTGGTCCAGCCGCCAGGAATTTTCTCGGCTTCCCCAAGGCGATATAGGCCTGCTTCTCCCAGTTTCAATCTCAATTGCACGATTCCTGCTTCACCTTTACTGACCTCTGCTACTTGCATTGCCCCTCGAAGATCGCGATATCCGAGAACGCTCCAGCAAGACTAATTCGTCCGCGGTACAAAGAACCCCAGTATCTACAATGCTTCGAAGCACGAGACCACTTCTGAAGCTCCCAGCTCGGGGTTTCCCCCGGGGCGTCGGCGTCAATTGCCCCATTCACGACCTCCCAGACGGGGAAACACACCTCCAGCACAGCGCGGCGAGCTCAGCTCCCCGCGGCAAGGCCCTCGGGGCAGCTCGTGCCCCTGGTGCAGCGGGCGCATTATGCCAATGATAACGTGCGAGACAAGAAGTTCGAGAAAGAGGTGGCACAGCAGAAGCTCGAGTCCCATCCGGAACAGGTCACCGAGGAGTCTAGCGTTCGACCTTCCTACGAGGGGCCCGAGACCAAGCCCTCCGACCCACCTACTACCGCTGGCGTGAAGAAAGACCTGGTTCGTGCAGCCCTAGGAGCCGGAATGCCATACTACATGCCATCGTGCTGACCACCCGCCTCTAGAACACGCTCAAAGAGACGTTTGCCCTCAGAGAAGTTCCCCCTATATCACTCCAGTTGGGTCTCGCAGGCACTCTCCCATACCTCGGAACCTCTCTTGCAACAACCTTCCTTAGCTGGAATCTGAACACGGAATGGCCGTCGCAGTCCCAATTTGTGAACCACTTCTTGATGAGCCACGAGAGCGCCAGCCACTACCTCCACCTACTTGAACCGATCCAGGTCGGCTATGGAGCAGTTATTATCTCCTTCCTGGGTGCCATCCACTGGGTAAGCGCTTGGAAGCCCCTCCCCTTCCGTCGCGGGGCCAATACCCCAGGCTGAATGCTGACAACCCTTAGGGTCTCGAGTACGCGGAAAAGCACCCCGACAAGGCCCGGACGACCTTCCGCTACGGCCTCGGCGTATTAGCCCCCGCCCTGGCCTGGCCAACCATGGTCATGCCCGTGCAGGCCGCACTGACTGCTCAGTTCGGCGCCTTCGTCTTCATGTACTTCGCCGACGCGCGCGCCACCACCCGCGGCTGGGCGCCAACTTGGTACGGAACCTACCGCTTCGTGCTGACCGCCATCGTCGGCGTTTCCCTCTTCATCAGCCTCGTCGGCCGCGAGAAGATCGGCGCTGAGGCGCCACGCCTGACCGGGCTGCGGGAGAAGTTCCACAAGGAGCAACCCAACGAGCTGGACATGAAGAAGTACGAGGAGATGGAAGCCGTCGAGCTTGAGAAGAATAGAAAGAAGAAGGCTGCTGAGGACAGGAAGAAGGCTGCCGAGGAGGAAATAAAGAAGCTGGAGGAGCAGAAGAGCAATGCTGAGAGTGAGAGGAAGAAGGTCGATCAGGAGAAGCCGAAGAAGGGCAAGGCTGAGGCCAAGGAGAAGTCTGGGGACAAGGAGCCCAAGGAGTCCAAGGGCAAGGACGAGACCAAGGATAAGGATGAGTCGAAAGATAAGGGCGAGTCAAAGGGCGAGGAAAAGTCTCAAGAAGATGGAAAAGACGAGGGTAAGAAAGATGAGGGCGGAGATGATGCAAAGGACGGTGGCAAAGAGGAGGGAGGTGAAGACAAGAAGGACGACAAGTCCGAGTAATTCGTGGTGGAACGAAGGCTTTCTGGCGAGGCGTTCTGGGTTCGGTCACATTGGCACATTGGCATTCATTTCTAGCTTGGCGGAAATCCATCTAGGGCGCGGTCTAGATATATTGAAGATAATTTGCTGTCCATTTAATGACACTACCGTCAATCTATGCATGCGAAGCATACCACGTAGTTAATTGGAGACATGCTACTCAGCACATTGGAATTTCCAAACACGGGATTAAACTGGATTAACGAATTCGAGAAATGACGAAGGCGGCTGCAAGCTATCACAAGTCGAATGAACTGTGTCAGACTGCAGTCAAAGTTACCTAGGCATGTTGCCAGCGAAGTGCGTTACATTGCTGCGTTCGCCTCGTCCCAACTCAGTCGGGAGCCAGCCATTCACATGTGATGCCGCCGGTCAGGCAGCCCGAGTCAAACAAATCATGCGGCTCCCCCCAGGGATCTGGCACACGGGATGAAGCGCTGGTACACGTCAATCCTGAGAAATTTCCAGATTGGGTTGGTTATTCGACATTTACCAGATGCGGATGTACGTCATCCCTCAGTGCGCAACATGATGTTCTGGGGATATATATGCGTTGGAAAACGTTAAGAAGAGGGCCTAGAAGCTTAAATATTGACACTCATCCGTTCATCTACCTAGGGATTCGTCTCGCATTTACACAAAGTTTGAACCTCGACAACATTTACTTAGTTTTTAAACTTCCACGCCCACGCATAAAATGGACCCGTAAGATATTCTACCATTTAAATCTATTCACAAGTTCGTGGGGCTGACACACAAGCGAACCAACAGTGCCCCAGAACCTCACCGAGCACACGGCCCAAGGAGAGGAGTCGGCCTCGCAGGAGACATCGTCGCATCTGTATCCAAAGGTCTCGAAGCGCTGACATGTGGGCATCGGAACCCAGCCAGCGAGATCGTCGGAATTGTCTCGGATGGGCTGAAGCGTGGCGCCGGGGAGACTCCAAACAGGCACCCGGAGAAGAGGAGATGAATGAGAGTTGGAAGTGATGGGGGAGTAAAGCACAGATACGTTAGAATTAAGCGTTGTGGTCTCTCTCCATGCCACATGAGACAAGAATGACCTCGGGACCCTTTTCGGATGATGCAGTAACGCGTGAGTGGAACATTGTGCAAATATCACTGCACTCCGATACTCGTCATGCTGTGTTATTAGCATTAAAGAGCCTCTGAGAAAACAGTATGAATTGTTTCCAAACGCGGAACTGAGTCCCGCTCATTTCAAACATGCACTCCCCAGTCAGTTTCCCTCTCAGCCGAATTAAGATCTTCGACGACTTCAATGTGTGCTCAAGACTTTCCTCCCAATACTAAGCATCTTCCCCATTTGAACCCTGCTGTCTCAAATTTTACAATATCACGACCCGTAAGTAGCCTCCCATGGCTGATATCCCGCCATCTGGAAGATCTTTTCAATCTGCCGCCTTCTGACGCCAACATTACCACCATCAAACAGAGGTAAGACCATGGCATCATTGAGGAGCCTCGAGAATGGCTGCGTCTTGGCATACGATGTTCTTCAGATGACCACCAAAGTCAGCACGCACAGCCTTCACAGAGAAAACGAGAATCAGGCGGACTTACATCCCGACAGCCTTCATGGCGTCCACGACACTCTGCACCGCAGCCTCGGACGAGTAGATCTTGGCCTCGAGAGCCAGCTCGAGCCTGGCCTTCCAGTCTCCAGGGCCATTCTCGATGGCATGCAGGGCCTTCCACGTTAGAAGCCGGCTGGTCTCGGCCCGAATCTTGATGTCGATCAACAAGTCTGCCACGCTCTGCTTCTCCAGGATCGGAGCACTTCCTCCGCGCGTGTCCTCCTTGGCGAACCGTAGCGCGGCATCAAAAGTCGCTCGCATGAGCCCCACGCCCATGGCACCCACGAGAGCCGCTGACGAGCCGAAGGTCTGCTCGACTACCTGGGCGCCTTCACCCGGCGGGCAGAGCAGGTTTGCATCCGGGACGCGGAGGTTCGTGAAGCGGCTGTGCGGGCCTGATGCAGAAGGGAAGCCGACGAGCTCCTGTTCAATGAGCACCTTGTATGCGCCCGGGTCGTTGGCGGCGATTACTTCGGGCGTGACAAGCAAGATGAGGATGTCCTCCGCAGGATCCTTGGCCGGATCTGGAGCGCCGCCGTCATCTGAGCAACGACAGACGACGCACTGGAGGTCCGCGCCCTCGCCCTCCCATCCACCGCTGTTGGTGGTCCAGAGCTTCTCGCCATTGATGACCCACTCGGCCCCCTCCTTCCTCGCCGTCGTGCCAAGCCCCTTGCCGCCTTTCTCGAGCCAGTTGGCCGTCCCGCCCGGCTCGGAGTGCACGAAGCTCGCCAGCGGCTCACCCTCGCCGCTCAGGAACTTTGGCAGCAGCCGAGCCCTCTGCTCGTCGCTGGCCGCGAGGATGAATGGGGTCAGCCCCAGCCCCGTCCCGAGGATGGTGAGCGCGGCGGACGGCTCGACCGAGAAGAACTCCTCGACCAGGATGGCGGCGTCGACGAGGCCCTGCGCGCCTCCGCCCAGCGTGGTGGGGACTTGGCCCTTGATCAGGCCGGCTTTGACGGCGGCGGCGTAGATGGGCTTTGTTGCGCGGAACCGGGCTTCCTGTGTTGGGTGTTGGGAGTAGGCTTCCCGGGCATCCTTGAGGTGGGCTTCCGCGAATGCGGCCGCGCCTGCACGGAGTTGGTGTTGCTCTTCTGAGAGGCTGAAATCGATCATCTTGTTCTGGGAAGCAGTATTAAGTAGTACGAAGTGGGTACGATGCAGCAAAATCTTGGATGTGGATGCCAGTCAGCAAGTGGGAGGGACCTGATAAAGATTCTCACATGACCTTGGCCTGTGAACCCCGCTGTCAGACTGCAACAGTTACAGTACCAAGAGTCAAGCTGGCCAACCAGTCAACTTGAAAGACTCCATCTACTCTGGGCAAATTTGGTGCCACCAGACCGGATAGCAATACATTTTCAATACATTGTGTTTGCGGAGAAGTTTGATTTGTCTCATCTGAAAACCAGCTAAGCCACTACCAGCGTAGCCCAAATACACTCCATCCTAGAACATGGTCAGCCATTGCAGTTGGCCAGAGAGCATATGCCTCGGCAGCCATAAGTGAGACATCTGGATTGTCACTGAGCACTGCTGCAGGCCGTTTCTCCCATGCCAAGCACTCGAGCGGGAACGTTTTGATTGACTGAGCGCTGTGTTTTCTTGCAACTCATGGGGAAACCTTGATTCACATACCAGTACAAAAAAAAAAGAAGACGGATATTCGCATCCACCAAAACGGAGGGTACATCCATACATGCTGACACCAGTGCACAATTAACGGCCAAGAAAGACTCTTTGACTGCTTTTTAAAACAACTGGAGCCATTTCTTCTGAGAGCAATCGTCGGAGAGGCTGCCCACTTCTCACGCTCTGTCCATCCCCCCCCCCCCTAAGAATGTATTTCAGTCACACGCCTTGGCTGGAGAACATCTCAGCCGAGCGATGAGAATGCCGCGTGCGACCTGTGTGTGAGTAGTCATGGTAGAGGATGTTGTTTGGACGAAGCAGCAGCGGCGGCACAACACTGGGAGTGGCGGTAACGGCGTGGTAGATAATGAACGGGATATTGGGTATGAGGAGAGGCACACGGACCTCCGGGCGAGGAACTGTGCATCTACATCAAGGCTGGGTATATGATCATCAGCAATACACCTGGTAGTGGTGGATGGGGCAAGGCGATCGAGGCCAACAGCCATCGTGAGGTGGAGGATCATGCGCAGGGAAAGAGGAAGGGGAGTCATGCTGTAATGGGGGATGCTGCTTTGCAGGTTTGGGTACCAAATGAGAAATGCTCGATGAGCTCGTTAAGCCAGGTATGTTTGTGTTCATGCTAGATGGCATGACCTATTAGGAACACCAGCCGAGCAGAGTGGCCACAAAAGATGGTAGGACTCGGGCAGTGGTCTTCGGGGGAAATGCAGGTGATACCTCAAGGACACACCGAGATGGCATGGCAAAAAGGTATTATTACTCTGTGTAAGTGCAGTCCAGGTCCCCAGTCAAGCAGACTCGGGCCCTAAAGATACAGGAAACGATGCATCGGTCTTTGGTCAGAGTCTTCCAGGTTGAGATTGGGAAGGGAGACCATGGGGAATGGGGGATGGGGATGAAAAACCGGGGGCCGCATATGCTTGACGACAAATGGCCCTCGAACTTCACCCTCACATTCATCTGACATCAAGTCCGTAATTCTCTCTTGTCGAGGTGATAGTAGAGGCTTGCGACGAAGAAGCTGATGACTGTGGCGATAAGGCCACAGAGACCAATGCCCCGAGAATCTGCTTGGTCACGACCGCGAGAACAAGACCCGGCGTCACAATCAGGGACATGACGATGATAACGAGCGTAGCTATCCACATCCGCGCAGTGAGCAGCGCTCTGGGTCCGACTTCGGACGGCCGACCGGCGACTTCTGGGTCATCAACCTCCAAGGTGAAAGAGATGTTGTGGTCATTGAGGGCCTGTTCTAGTCTACCCTCGGGCTGCCGCGGGCTCTCGGGCTGCCAGTCATCATTCCCGCCCTGTTGGTGATGATCAAGCTGGATAGCGAGATCGACTGACTAGGAAAGACATCAATGACTATTACTACATCAGCGTGCCGAGCCCAGAGATCCTTCAGCATCTCATCGAAGACCTGGACCATACTTCGGCTTGCCCAGCAGCACAGACTGTTCTGGTGGAGGATGTGTCGGACCTGCGCGCTCTGGGGGCCGCAAAGAGGGAGGAGAGGGCGAAGCGCAGACAGGTCCAAGAAAGACAAGACCTCACCGTCGATACCTAGGGAACCACAGATATAGAGAATTACAAGCGCTGGAAGCTCGGCGTGCAAACCAGGCGCGCACTGGGCGAGCAAATAGATGTCTGGTCACCGCCGTCACTGAATGCATCCTTGCTGAAGTCATGGTCTCCTAAATACGCAACCACCAACTAGGCCTTCCGTCGTGCAACTTTATCTCTCCATACTTGTTCTGTTATTAGTCCAGGGTTTCTTCATATCTCAACAACCCCCCGTATCTTAATGCAGTCAGGCCATCCGAGTGACCGACTGCAGCCTTTCCGGACGCGACACATATCGTGCCAATGCTCTGATGTAGTAGTGTATTGCTAGACGCGCCTGACTGGATACCAGGGAGCTGTAATCGTGGAGCATCCAGGCATCGGCGGGTTGTAGGTTCGAGTAAAGAAATCTTTTGACTAAGGCACGCCACGACCAGCCCTTGTCGCCTTCGCAAGCTCGCTCTGCGCCTTGTCCGTGTGATACCGCTCGTATATGGGCAGGTAATACTCCCTCTCGCTCAACGTGTTCTTGACGCTGTCCCTCCCCTCAATAGCAGCAGCCCACTTCCTCCACCGCTCCCAAGCCTTCTCGTCCGCGCCGCCCTCTCCGGGCTTCGGGATGCCCAGTCCGCCCTCCTTGAAGTGGTCAAACACCCACAGCCGCACCGCCCACGGGCCGAGGATGACATCCGGCATGGTCAGATCTTTGCCCGCAAAGAAAGGTCCCTCCGGGTCAGCATCCTTGATCCATGTCACAAGTGTGTTCAGGAACTCCTTCCGCGCCTCATCAATGCCGTAGGGCTTGTCAGGCGTATGCTGCAGGAACCTGTGGAAGGCCGGGATGATGCGGCTGGTGACATAGTCGATGGACACCCTCAGCTTGGCCTTCTTGAACGGGTCGTCCCTCGGGTACAGCGGGACGTCCGGAAACGTCTCGTCCAGGTAGTCGCAGATGACGCCCGACTCGATCAGCGGCTGCTCGCCGCCGTCCCTGGTCGGCACGCCGAGGGTGGGGACCAGCCCGCGCGGGTTGAGCGCCAGGAACGAGGCCTCCTTCTTGTAGGGGTTGATCTCCTGGTAGCGGTAGGGGATGCCCTTCTCCTCGAGGGTGATCCACGCGCGCTGCACGAAGGGGCAGAACCAGCCCGAGTAGAGGACGTGCTCGCCTGGCTTGCTGGCGTGGGAGTGCGCCTTGACGACCTCGGCTGCGGGGCCGGTGGCGGTTGGGTGGAGTTGTTCGTCTGGGATGGCCATTTTTGATGTTGACTTCCAAGTTTATAGTCGAGGTGGTTTCGTAGACTGAGAAGATGGGATTCCTTTTATCTTCAGCTTTTCAAAGGTGGGAAGTATGTTGAGTTGAGTAGATGGGATCGATTATTAATGAGACATGACGCAATCGAGGCATCGCACTCTCCTTCCCCACTCCCGGCAATCACTGCTCGCGGATGCCCTCCATCTTGAAAGCCTGCCGTTCACTTTTGGAATCGAAGAGCTGGTTTACGTAAAACAGACTTTCATCGAACTTTGTGTAACCGATCATTGCACAATCCATCATACACCACTCGTCTAAGCCCGTTGAAGCCGAGACGTGCCGGCACATGTGATGATCGCCCCTGGGGAGGGATTGTTCAACGTAGCGGTCCCAGAGGTAGTTGTACGGACTTGACTTTAGGTCTTATACAAACTATTACTTATGTACGAGCATATTTATTAACAAAGAGTCTCACTGGCGTTCCACGATACCCATCAGCCACTGGCCAAGACATGAGAGATGCACGATCAGACATGACTTCATGACCCATTCTACTTCCCATCCAAACCGTCCAAAGTAGCTATGTCCTCCGAAGAGATGTCAAAGTCGTATAGCTGCGTGTTCTCAATGATTCTCTCCTTGTGCACGCTCTTTGGCAGCGGCACCCATCCCTTCTGGAGAGCGTACCGAATCAAGACCTGCGCGGGCGACTTCTTGTACTTCTTTGCAATCTCGCCAACGGTGGGGTCATCGAGTTTCTTCCCAGTTGCCAGAGGGCTGTATGCCTGGAGCACAATCCCGTTGTCCTCACAATACTTGACAATTTCTTTCTCTTGGACCCATGGGTTGAGCTGCATTTCTTCGAGTTAATCGAGTTCACCGCAGAGAACGCCATAAGAATGGCTGAAGTGCTTACCTGGATCTGGTTGACATGCGGCGGCCAGACAGTAGCATACTCCTTCATGCCCTGTATGTTCTCGCCATTGAAGTTGCTCACCCCGATACTCCGGGTCTTGCCCTCCTTCAGTAACTTCTCCAGTGCCTGCCACACATTCTTGATGCCCTCAGCACCCATCCGTGGGGTATGGATCAAGAACAGGTCCACATAAGCATCAGCGTCCGCGCCGTCACCATTGATCTTGTTGACGCTCCCCACGAGGCTCGTGTAGTTCTTATCCACGCTCCCCAGGTCGCGCGGGATCTTGGTGGTGAAAAACACATCCTTGCGCTTGACAACGCTCGAGGAGCGCAGAGCTGCGCCGGCCTCGGCCTCGTTGCGGTACGCCTGTGCCGAGTCAACGTGTCGGTAGCCCGCCTCCAGGGCCGTCTCGACCACCGAGGTGCACACGGCGGGGTCGACCTGCCACACGCCGAACCCCAAGCGCGGCATGGTCACTCCATTGGATAGCTTGATGACGCTGTCAAGCTTGAGGTCTGAGGAGCCTGTGGCCCAGACTCTTGAGGTAATGGCGCCCATTTTGTTCTCGTTGCGTGTGATACTGTTCGATGCTTTTTCCTGGCTCGTCGTTGCCTGTAGGTGCGTGGATATTGAAACGCAGGCAGGGTCACATATGGGATGGAGTAGGTGTGCTTAATGGATGAGTGCTCCCGGATATAATGTGCCTGGGCCGCCCCTCCGCGGTGACGGAATGTGACAGAGGGAGCTTGGCCCCCTCCGGGAAGGTAGCTTCCGGGTGTCGCCCTGGAGATCCCGGGGACAAAACCTCACCACGGGAGATGCAGGTTGGCGTCATCTATTACCAGTTGACCAAAGCTTGCCATCGATGCAGGACCGACATGAGAATGCCGACTTCGCTTGAGCAATTTAACACTGAATTGGGCCCGTGGTGAAAGCTCGTCCGATGCCACCAGCTCCTGCTGATGCACATGTGTGCTCACCGGCTAGGCCTCTAAGCATTCTACCTATAAGCGCCCCTCATTCCAGTACACCCCCCAAGCTTGGAGCAAATGCTGGCCCTGCTTCGAGCCAAGGTGAGGCGTGAGTGTAGAGATGGGCCAGATTCCGGCGTGACCTCTTGCTACCCTTACCCTCTTAGAACTTTTAGTTCGTCGTATTCGTCTTTCTGAGGCGTTCTATGGACCTCATAAATAACCTCTCCACCAGGGATTGTATCTCATGCCCCTGCACGTCAGGCAGGGGCTGGAAATTGACCCGTGAACTTCGCTTCGTCTTCCCAGTCTGGCGAATCAACCATCGACCGATTCATCCTGCGCGTTTGCTCCAGCCTCGAATGCGCTCTCCATACTACTCGGTTGTCAGCTCGGAGCCAGAAGTCATGGCATTTGATGTCTACTCACGTAAAACAGTGCGAAGGGAATAGGTATAAATAGCACAGCAATACCACCGAGTAGCGAGTTGCCCGGGCCGACACCCAGTCGGTAGAACAATTCTCTCGCCTGATCGGAGGAAAACGTTAGTTGAGTGAAAACAGGGAGCACAACATCGAGCCATTATAACTCACAAAGAGCGGAAAGGCACCGCCGAGCAAGGCGCGGAACAGAGCGGCGCCAGCGAACAACGACGCTGCGTAGGGTGCGTAGACAATGCCAATATAGGTGTAGACAGAGTTGAAGAGTGTCACGACACCGATAGCGAAGGAGCCGGCGCCGATGGTGGGGACAATCCAGTGGATGCTCTCCCGTGCCGACCACCCGAACCAGAACAGACAGATAGGCAGCGCAAAGCACCCGACAAAGCTTGGCGGGAGGAACATCTCGGGGCGGAAGTTGCTTGACTTCATTGCTGGGACGAGGCGCCGTTTGATCCAGAACAGGAACGCAGTCATAGTGATGGCAGTGAACACGAGGATGCTAAGAAACACGAGGCCCTGCGAACCGACGTTGAAACCGTATATACCGCCAAATACAACAGGGAAGGATTCAAACCATATGAACAGCACACCATAGAGAAGGCCCGCGTAGAGGTCGACAAGCAGGACGATTGGCTCCAAGAAGGTGAGAGTGAAAGCTCTCCCGAGGAGAAGCAGGTTATCCTTGACGGTGTAATGTGTAGTGTCGACTTCGGTCTGGCTTCTGAGGCGTTCATTTCCCGTTGCAGCCCTGAGTCTCTTGGCACGCTTGTAGAGAATATTGGAAGCGCTGGTTTCGGGCAGCAAGAAGAACATTGTGAAGAGCACCGCAGTGCACAGAAACGTGAAAACCCAGATCGTCCATCGCCATCCCGTCGCTGGGGCCAGATAGCCGCCAATGACGGGCCCAAACACAGGGCCAAGAACACCTGCCGACTGCCAAAGGACTAGAGGGTAGGGAACTTGTGTTGGCGGGTACATGTCATTGATAGTACCGCCGCCGGTGGACAGACAAGGGCTGCCACAGAAGCCCGTCACGAACCTGAAGACCAGGAAGACGGAAATATTTGGAGCGAATCCGACAGGGAGTTGAAATACGATGAAGGCAAAAAGTGTCCAGAAGAAGATGTGGGTACGCCCCAACCTGGGAATCTCGGATAATGGCGACCACAGCATAGGCCCGGTACCATAACCACTGGAAATTTCAGATACATCAGCACGGCAGTTATCGAGCATGGACAGTCTAAGATGCATCTCTTACAAGGTGAAAAGCGAGAGCCCCAGCGTTGCAACGACCTCGTTCACACCGAAATCTTCCATGAGGTTCGCCTCGCCGGGTACGTAGATCGAACTTGCGATGTACACGGCAAAGTTGAGAATACACATCTGCAGAGTGATGAGGTGTTTCAAGTTGCTAGGCCAATTCTGCGGATTCTGTCCAAGATCCCAACGTGTCAGAAACGAGCACACAATTGAGCGCCACGTTCAAAACAGCAAAGTCACTCGCCTCCGGATCATCTGGGCCGTACCAGCCCACCACGAGGACTTGGTAAGGACCGTCTCTCGGCGGCATTGATTGTTCATTTTTCTCGACATCTCCATTTAGAGCCTCGCTCATCTGTGTTTCCCTTTCCGACCCATCGATGTTGCCATTAGTGCGCTCTGGCTCGTGTGACTGCTGCGACTCTTGCGGAATGGTTTGTTGGACTGCGCTTTTCCACAGTGACAGATCGATCTCGTCTGGGTACTTGAAAGTGCCATTGCGCGAGACCCACCTCACAAGCTGGCCGAAGATGGTGCTCTGCATGTGAAGCTTCATGATGGGGGACGTCCTGATCAGACTGGTGGAGTCGAGACAGAAAACAGGTTGTCGAGCTGGGAGTTGGTCGTGACTTAGACATGTTGGTAAATTCTCTTATACCTGTATCGTGCATGGCGGCTGGTCATCAGTGTGGGATTGAATTTGTGTGGTAGCAGCGAAGAACGGGATGAAAACAATGATCACGGAGTTTAGCGGTTATTGCCAGCTGGGGCCGCAAAGTCCGTTATGCACGGAATCTCATTGTTGGTGAACTTCAATGGATGCATCCAATGAACACAGATTCGGACCGGAAACAACATGGGAATTAAGGCTGCTTATTGATTATTATTAATGTATGTGGGTAGGTAGGGACGGTGTCGCTCGCCCACGTTTTTCTGGTGGCCACCTTTGCATTAATCCGAGAAGCATCATTCAAGAATGTTCAGTACAACCGAGGTGATAGTGTGGTTCAGTGATAGATGTGCTGAGGGTATCTTCAGGCTCATGATGATGCAGGGCTCTAATTGCTTCTAAGGTATTCTGCGGGACCGTGCAATCATCTACATTCCAACACATCCCTCCGAACCTACCCAGCTCGCCATCCTGATTGTTGTGAGGAGTGAAAAGAAGAGAAAAAATTCATCATATCGTAATTAATAATCAACCAACCTGCGCCGGCACCTTCGATTACGGAGTTTTCATGGCATGCTTCCATGGGACCTTGCCTTGAAACGGCTCCTCACTCTCGATAAAGTCCATAACAAGCGTCTTGCTGACCAGCCCAGAAATGAAATAAGTGATCGCAAACTCGTCGAATTTGGGAATCGCCGGCAGAACATAACGATCCAAAAGATGATTGATACCGTTACTCCAGGCTGACATGCGGGTCCAACCCGCCGAGGCATTGAAATCCTTTCGCAGGAGCTTCATCCGGGCAGCTTGGTACCGCGAGAAAGCACCAGTGAGAGACTCAAGAGGCAACACAGCGCCTCCAGAGCGGTACTCGGCCGAAATCTCGCGGTCCAGCTCGTTCACTAGGGCGACGACGTCCTGGACGCCGTTATTGTAACCGAGACCTTGGTTCGGCGTAAACTTGTGGCACGCGTCTCCGACGAGCACTATGCGGTCCCAGCTCCAGTGCTTGACGATGCCCTCTTCCAAGTTGGACATGCCTGCCGTGTAGCGCTTGGGAAATACGTCCTTGACCTTGAGCTGCTCGCCGATTGCGAGATCACCATGTCGCTTGGCAAAACCCTCGACATCCTCTTGTGAGTAAGAGACTCGCTCCCGCGTGGTTTGTCCGAGCCTCTCGTAGATGAACAGCCATGATCGGTTCTGGCTGTTGAGACACTGGAGTGAGACATCCTTTCCGTGGATCTCTACCGTGTCGCCTGGGTCATTGCATGGCTGGCGAGGAAAGGTACACCACAACACCTTGTACGCAGAAAGGTACGGCTTCTCCACGTTGACGTGTGGTGCTGATGATTTGATCGCGAGCTCACGCATTTTCTGGCGGACTTTGCTGTTGACACCATCTGCTCCGATGACCATGGACCCATGAAATGTACTTCCATCGCCACAACGAACCTCGATTCCGCCATTTTCGGTGGCAATGTCGGTCACGGTTTTGTCTGTAAGGATTCGCGCCTTATCATCTTTGCTGAGGCTGTCATATAGCAGAGATACGACATCAGCCCGATGGAAGACGGTCGCACGAGCACCATGACTGTGCAGAGAGGTCAGTGCTGGATCTCATCCAGGGATTGTATACACAAGTGTAGAATGTACTCACTTCTTCGTCATAGTCTCTGTAGCCCATGTCTCCTTGTACTTGTATCCCCCAAGAGTGACCGTCGTGGTACGCCCCATCTCCTCTCCGAGCTGTTGTAGGCGCTCCAGAAGGCCTAGCTGTGACAAGACCCGCAGACTCTGGGGCCACAGTGCCAGGCTTGCACCGACATCAATGTGGACCGAGGAGCGACGTTCGAGCACGACGTACTCTATACCGGCTCGCGAAAGAATATGAGCTGCTGTCAAGCCCACCGGTCCTCCACCAACCACGATTACTTTGAAAATGCCCTGATCCATGCTGGTGATTTCGGTATATTGGCAAAGCGTCTTTGTCTGATTTCAGTTCAGGGTGGATAGTATAGAACTCGGAAATGCGTATGAGCACCAGAAGGAGCTCAGAAATGTATGGATTCAGCGACACCGGTGAGAATGGAAGATGGAAGCAGACTGTACCGATGGAGTTGTAGTACAGAGAAGACGCTGACACTGGCCAGTGAGTGGCCGTTGGTGGAAAGTCTGAGTGAATGGAGGCAGCAAGTGATTGGCGGCACAAAATGGCTGTGAATGCTACGGCTTTGTAGCTGTTAATGATGGAATCACGAACAAAATGGTAAATTTTATATGAATGAATTGATTACGGAACTAATCCCTTGCACTCGAGGCATGTAGTCTGTGCCCCTGCGGCGGCGGACTTTCAAGCGGCGGAGGTGGACTTCCACATCTGCTATGCGGAAAGGATTACCAACGTGTGGAAATGGACTCCATAATATCCTTTGAACCCAGAGATATGATATACTAGGATTTACAAGCTGTATATCCATCCACGTGAATTCGATGAGGGATTACCATGCGAATAACGCTGTAATAGTGTACTCAACATGTCTGCAACGTTTGTCTCACGCTCGAACTGCTGACACTTGGTAGCCAACATCCTACTTCGGGAGGTTTCTGCAGAGACATTACTCAGCATGTGTGAAATGAGAGTCCAATTCCATTCCTGTGAACTATCATCGGCATGAGTCCAATGTGTCACAAATTTCGAAGCGAAAAGTATATTCGACTCTGAATCCCTTCGTCTTACGAAACGGTCCCCTACAAACCTATGTACAGATCATAGAACTAAAAGCATTTCCATCCTCGACACAATTCGAGGTTGGGAATCATCACGCTCACTGAATCCCAAACCAGGCTAAATCCACCGTCTCGTGCACCGGGACAGTGTGCCCGACACCCTGCGCGCTGTAAGCCACAAGCTTCGTGCCATCCCCATACACCATCTGTGTGTACGAAGACTGCGGCGTGTTCGTGTTATTCTTCGAAAATGCCACACCATGGATACCAGACCACTCCTTGATCTGCTCAGCCAGATTCGGATAAAACACCAGGTTGTCCGCGGTGCCGTGCCAGGTCTGCATCCGTGGGTACGGACCGGTCCATGCCGGGTACATGGCCTTCACCTGCGCCGCCCACTGGTCCTGCGTCTTCCGGACGTCGCCATTCGCGCAGGCAGGGTCCGCACTGATGGGTGACGCACCGGGCGACCCGGCGAGGCAGCCCGCAGCGACCCCGGAGTAGGCAGAACCCGCGGCGTAGAGGTCCGGGTACGTGGCCGCGAGGACGTTGGTCATCATGCCGCCGGACGAGGTGCCGGTGACGAAGATCTTGGACGTGTCGGCGTCGTACTTCTGGATCGTGTACTTGACCATGTTGGAGAGGCCCTGTGTGTCGCCGCCGCCTTCGTGGGTGAGGGACTTGGCAGATGCGACGTCCCAGCAGTTGAAGTCCTTGGTGGTGCTTGGGAAGATGGTGATGAAGCCGTACTGCTCGGACAAGGTGTTGTACTTGGTCTGCTGGGCGTATCCTGGCCCGTTACCGCCGCAAGCGTGGAGCTGCATCAATCGCTGTCAGCCTCGTTCTTGATCTTGGAGGCTAACACGTACCGCGAGGATAACAGCTGGCTTGGTTGCGAGCTTGGCTGGAACATTGATGTACATCTGGAGCCCTGTCGGGTTCGAACCAAAGTCCGTGACTTGGACCAAGGCGCTCATGACGACGGAACAGAGCACCGAAAGTACAACGAGGCCGCTGTTGGAAAAAGAAGTTCGTGCCATTTTGATGAATAGCTAAAGGGCGGGGAGATGTGTTGGGAATTTGGGTTGAACGGGAACGAAGACAAGCGAGTCGATTCGATCTGCTTTTATAAATAAGTCGTGGCTTATGAAGCCATCGCATCTGTTTCGTGCAATAACACAACCATCCTGGAGCATGTGAGTGAGCACTTTTCCGGGACTGCTGTGTGTGTGTGTCGTGTGGGGTGTTGCATTTAACCACAGCCTAAGACCGAATGGTAGCAACGGGACAAGACCGGCTACAGACCAATGGGAAGGACTGAACCTCGGCAATGCGGCTGAAGTCCCAAGCACGTTGAACCACGTTTCTAAATACCGATCGAGAAGCCGAGTTCTATGTTCGTAGTTCACGGGTAGCAGAAGAGCCACTGGAGAGACGTGTCCGTCGTTGTGCAGTGGTCCTGTGAATCGCTTAATTAATTACTCTCTAAGGAACGGTTCTACCATCTCCGTTGAGATTCACGGAAGAAAATGTCCTTGCTTTGGTTCCTGAATCCAGGTGAGGCAAGACGTCTTTGCTGTACTGATCAAAGTGCATCATGCCTACGAGTTTCTACATGCCTCTTCAAAAATACGGGTGCCTCGCCCGGGATGTGACAAATTGGAGGATTGGACTGATAGATGAAGGTGTTCCCCCAAATTTGGAAGCCCCGACTGCCTGCCTCCAAAGTTTGGGGGCATTCACAATATGTGGCTAGTTACAGTAAGTCCCACAGCAGTACTTTTTTGTAGACATGCGACATGTATGGATTCAAAACCTTTCTTAACCAGTCGTAAATAACGAAATTTACATAATTGTGCAGCAAACAAGTGACTTGTCTTCATTCAGAGGAGGTTATCAGACCCCCTGTCTCTATCTACGGTCTTGGCCTTCGTCTGAAAAGGGAAGGAGGATAGTCGTTCCGTTGGAATAACAAGGAGACAGAAAAAGGAAAGAGATGCCGCACGACTTTCCGAGCTCATTGCACATGCCTGCTCGAGCGTTACGGGTGCAAATTGTGACGGTATGGTAGCCTCGTGGTTGGTTTCCCCCCCTCCCCCTCTAACTCCGCCCAGATGGGTACTTTTTGGAACTTCCCGTCTGGACTTGGAGCCTATCACAGAATTACTTAAGAGACAATGTGCAATAGTTCTTTATATCAGTGCAGTACATTGTACATTCAAACATAGTTTCTTCACGCCTTATTTTGCACTGCCCCTGACCGCAGCCACAACGCAACGTAACTCCATTCTCTCTCCTCGTACACCCGCCCCCGCTTCTTTTTGTTTTCCTTCGTCCTTGAATCTGATACATCTCAATGTGTAAATAAGGTGATGATCTTAGTGGTCTCAATAGTCTTCTCCTTCGCTTGTCATCAATCGCTTCGAGGACTACTTGGAATATTTGAAATCTGTTCCGCCCGAACGGTGGTGTGCAAGTTACTTACTTTAACGGATCAACATTTGCATTGATCAGATCTACATTGGGCTCACTTCGATGTTTGCAACGGAGCCTTGTGGTGGTGCACACCTCTGTATGTCTCTACTTACAGTCTATCAGATTACTTAAGCCTTGCGTTGGAAACCCTCTGCACCACTTCTGCGGTGTCCTGCGGTCAATCCTTCGAAACCAGCCGATTCAAGTCTGGCGGGCGGACTTTGGCGGACTTGGCGTCAGATCGGGGGCCCACTTTGCGGAGTTGCGGAGCCGTCAACCTGCGGCTGACAGGACCCTTCTCCGACATCCACCACAACAACTTCTGCGTGTCTCACGCAACCAGAGGCCCGGTACTCATCGCTGAAACACTGACGGCTGGCTCGACACGATGGCGACCCCCCCAGTTGCTGCCGGTGCACTGGGATCGAGGCAGAAGAACTGCAACAGCTGCGTGCAGACCAAAAGGCGCTGCGACAGGCGGACGCCCGTGTGTTCCAGGTGCGCGGAGAAGAAGATCCCCTGCGCCTACGGCAAGGCTAGAGTGTCTAGCCATACTGAGCATCACATGGAGGCGCTAAATTTCGTCGGTCCTGGTGTTCCTCCTTTCGACTCTGTCCCGCCGTATGAGATAGGCTCTTTCGATAGCCTGCCCCTGGACTCCTCATCGGACGTACCTGGGCCTGCACCCCAATCCGTGCCAAGTCCTTTCGTCAACGACGACGTCCTCATGGACAACTTCATGAGCTTTGTTGAAAATGACAACCAATCCATACCGGACCGGTGGCTTGTCCCTGTCGATGACAACGTTGCCATAGAGCGCCCTGGCACACCAGCCGACGAAGAAATCACAAATTCATACCAAAAGATGGCGCCGTTTTGTGTAAGTCAATATCGAAAGCGATTCCACGCGCGGGGAGAAAGATATTCTGTTGCATCCCGGGAAACTTACAATTTCCAGGACAATGTTCAACCATGGCATCTCTATGACCCCAAAACGCCTCTGCACTACACTGTGAACCGGGTGAAAGCGTTTACGAAAGAGGTGGCAACACAAAGCTCTGCCCCTTTTCTACACCGATATCTTTACCAGACAAATACACCGCAGTGTATCCTCACGTGCTTCGCGACCTGTGTGCTCTACGAGAATCGCACGCCAGGCAACACGGCGATGGTAATACGAGCACTCCATGCTAACATTCGTGAACTAATCGACTTCGAGACTGGCCGAATAACAGCCACACCTACCGAGAAGCTTGCGCGTGCACAGGCACTCTTTCTGTATCAGATAATACGGCTCTTTGACGATAACATCACTTTGCGATCGCAGGCCGAGAGAGACATGCCACTATTGGAGACATGGCTCGGCGAGCTGTGCAAGATTCGTGAGAATTTGGGCAACTTAGGAGATGACGCCAGAAATCAGAAGCCGGTAGAGTGGGAGGTGCGTCATTCACCACTATCCTCAGAGGTAGAAAGTCTTCTCGCTAACTGGCTCAACTACTCCAAGCGATGGATCTTCGCCGAATCTGTGCGCAGGACTATTGTCATGGCATACTCGGTAATTGTCCTGTACAGTATGATGAAGACGCTCGATGACGACAATGGTGAGCCTGCCCTATTCGCGTATTTGATTCACAGACTAAAGAAAGGGACAGATGACCCAGGTCCTTGGGCTTTCACTCATCGATGGACGTTGTCTCGAGCGCTGTGGGAGGCGAGTTCCTCATTTGAATTCACTCGCTTGTGGAAGGAAACGCCACAATTTATAATTTCCAACTATTCCTTCGACAGTTTTCTCAAGCACGGCAGAGGCGAGGATGTGGACGAGTTCGCAGAAATTCTCATGACTGTGTGAGCTACCGAATGTCACCTTCCCAGCCCTGAGAGATGCTAACAAGCCATCGCAGATACATGGGAGTAGATGAAACAAGAGATTTTGTTTCCACACGAGGGACAAAACAAGTGGAGATCCGTTAAAGTCCACAAATATCCTATTTCCCCGATGGACTCGGAGTGTTGGCGGACCCTGCATTGCTCTTAGACTCCTTCTGAGTGGACTTTGGTCCGCTCCGCTACCTGCGGACTTTAGGCACTGAGCCTGTGACAAAGTCTTATACATCTATAAGTGAACCTCCAACTTCATTTGAAAATCTCACTGCACATCACTCCGCACCTCATACTCCACACATCACAAATATCTTCATCAAGGGTTCATCCGCATTGCCATCGACATGGAGACACACTCGTCCATGAAGCGTCCCCTTGGCAAGGATGGCCCCATGGTCTCGCGGATCGGTTTTGGTACGATGGGCATTGGCTTCCCCTGCTCTTGGACAATTGATCCAATCCCTGATCCCGAACGTCTCGCACTGCTTGACCACGCGTATGAGACGGGATGTACCTTTTGGGACACCAGCGACTTTTACGTAAGAACCCGATCATACGCACCCGAGAACCATTGGATGAGACGCGATTGTTAACCAGAGTACCACTGGCAGGGCGATTCCGAGGTTATCATCGGCAAGTGGTTGGCACTGAACCCAGAGAAGCGCAAGGACGTCTTCATTGCCACCAAATTTGGCGGCGTGCGGCTGCCAGACGGCTTTGGATTCCGCGGAGATGCTGAATACGTGTCTATTGCTTGTGAGCAGAGCCTGCAAAGACTCGAGGTTGAGACCATTGACCTCTGGTACCCCCACCGGCTTGATGGATCAACACCTGTCGAGCACATTGTGACTGAGATGGTCAAACTGAAGGAGTGAGTACCATTTGTTGCCTAATTCACCGCGGGTTGCATATCAAGTAATTGATTCCGGTCCTTGGGAGGAATGATAGTTAACAACATGCGCAGGCAAGGCAAGATCCGTCACATCGGCCTATCCGAGGTCTCATCAGCAACTCTGCGGCGCGCCCACGCCATCCACCCCATCGCGTGTGTGCAGATGGAGTACAGCGCCTTCAGCACCGAGATCGAGTCCCCCGAGCACCAGCTCCTCGCCACATTCCGTGAGCTCGGCGTGGCGGTCGTCGCCTACTCCCCCTTGTCCCGCGGCCTGCTGGGCGGCGGGGTCCAGGGGCCCGACGACTTCGAGGAGGGTGATATTCGGCGGTTCTACCCGCGATACTCCAGGGAGAACTTCCCCAAGAACATGGAACTGGTTGAGGCCTTCAGGGAAGTTGCTACCGCGAAGGGGGTGACTGTTGGCCAGACGGCGCTTGCTTGGCTGCTGGCCCAGGGAGATGACATCTTCCCAATTCCAGGGTGAGTTTCCCAACAGTTGACCAACTTCCCACATATCTAACGAAGTCGGCAGTACGATCAGACCAAAGTACCTGAAGGAGAATTTTGACGCAGTGCATGTGCATCTCACGCCCAAGGAGTCGCAGCGTCTCCGCGATCTGGTGGACAGGGCATCTGTTTTCGGCGAGAGATACCCCGCGGAGCATGCGGGCGGCTTGTTCGCCGACACACCACTTCCCGAGGAATGGGATGGTGAAAAGAGGGATGTGGTTGTCATCGGCCGTGTTATTCCTCCCAACAAGTAACGTGCTCAGCCTCTTAGTGAACTCTTCGCAGATCCTGAATTCCCTGGCCCGCAACTTGTTGGTCGTGTCTCATGCCGAGAATATAACTACACCTTCTCCTTTCTGCTTTAAAAGCCGTGAAAGCTTTTCTTCTTCCAACAAGCAAGGAAAAAGCAGAGCAGAAATTTCTCCAATGCCTTTCGATGATGTAATGCTGCACCATTGCGAGCGTCTCAGTGAATCATCATTTGAAGATGGCAGGTCATCGACTATTAGGCCTTCGTACTCATTGCCCCAGCAGGATGGCCGACAGACATTTAGCTGTCCTCCGGGCAAATGCATTGGATCTGATGTACCTGTCCGGTGATAAGCATTTGGTGTTCTGAATGGAATGTATTACTAGATTGGATGCTACCCTTATCAGGTGTCTTGGGTGGTGGAGATATTTGATTAGTCTATACAGGGAGCATCAAAAAGCATACTGTAAACAGAGTTCCAATTGAGACAAAGCCCGGTCGCTAATCTAATATTTAGGCAACCTGTTGGAACATGCCGGGAGCACATGAAGGGACCGCTCCTAGAGAATTCCAAATCCTGGTCCTTCCAGTCACAGTCGGCACAGGTCATAGGTTTACATACACATTGTTGGCTGCTGGGTCACGTTTGAAGCTTTTTGCATGATTCCTTTGGAAAATAATTATATAAAGGATTCTAGCGGACCGAAAACGGAAATAACCTCTCACCTCTCGCGATCCCTTTGTTCGGCAGCTACTTGAACTACCTAGGTACTTCATGCGTACAGCTCGTGCCTTCCGTGTGCACTGTCAGCAGTCTGCATTTAGTTATCCTTACTTCGGTACTGAGTATTACGTCTGTTGTTCCTTATATAAATTTGACAAAATGTCGGCCCTCAGTCTCGTTGAACAACAGGCTTATTGCCAGCATAAGTTCCATTACTTTAGAAACGGAATACCCGGTTACCATGCTACTCTACAGGAGATCGTGGACGGGAATACCGCGGGAGATCCCGAACATGTGCAACGCTGGGCTGACATTACTCAACGAAGAGCAGCGCTCCCAGGGCTTCCAGGAGCAGTGATCCCACCAGCAGCTTCATTCAATTTCACAGACAACAACAGAAACCGGTTGCGGGGTGTTGCTTTGCCGATCCGCCGCCCCTTTAGGACTTTACAGGCTCAGTTCGGCACTGCCCCGTTGGGGCCCGAAGCTCGAGAGCTGGTGCAAGAGGAGTACTCAAACGCTTACAAGTTGATGCGGTCGTCATTTCGCTATATCAAATGTCTTGGGTGGGGAGGCGATGGTATTGTGTCGCTGTGGAGGTATTCGCCTGGCCCTGGACAGGAGCATAGCGTGGTTATGAAGATGTCCACCCAGTGGGAGTTTGTCGCACCGACCGGGAGGAAAACCCGCCTGGACACAGGATTTCTTGAGAAAGAGAGAGACGTGATAACTGTGAGTTACTACGCATGATCCGTTGGCTAACATATGTTGATTAATTCGATGCCTATCAGCAACTCGGACGAGCACCACACATAGTACAACGGTTCTACACGGCGCATCATCCCAGGGCGAGCAATCCCAACTCAAGGCGGTCTACCCGTGCAGCTGCTTCCGTGGCAAACATGGCCCAGAAGATTGATGGGCACGACGGCAGTTATTTCCTAATGGAATATTGCAAGTTTGGAAACTTAGAAGCTCAACTTTTTAAAGCAGCCAGAGACATGCCGGGTGGAACGGAGAGATATCTCCCAGAGTCCGTCCTCTGGCGCTTCTTCGACTGCTTGGTGAAGGCATGCATGGCGGTGGAAGAGCCCCCAAGGCTGAACCCAGCCAATGGAGCAGTTCCCGTGTCCACGCAAGGAGGCCACCTTCCAGAAATACTTACCCCTGGCAACCCAGGACGAGAAGGGATAGTGCATATCGACCTTGTAAGTCATCCTTTGCGTCTATATCCATGTTTGTAGATCTAGACCGGTCTTCTCCTGTGAAATACTTCCGATTGTGTATAGATGCATTCATCTACACTTGCTTCTCACGAAACAGAAAAAGAATATAATTTTCAGTCTCAGGCCCATTTTCACATCACAATTTGTGTAGTAATTTAAACTGACGCGTCAAACTTCAGGATCCCACAAATGGTATTTCTACCACACCATACTAATATCTGCTTATCACATTTGATATACATGCACGTATTTTCCACTGACCGAGTTCTAGTCTTCGTTTATGGATATGATCCCCCGGCTGTACCTCCTGCTGCACCTCTTGTGCCACCCCACACAACGCTTCCGCGTGTACAGGTAAGCTCCATTTCTAGCCCCTAATCACCGGTGCGATAGGCAGGGAAGGAGCTGATGAAAGCATATCCAGATTGGAGACTTTGGGTTCGCCCAGAACGAGGCCAGCCTCTGGGCTCGCGCACGTCCGCCAGCGCTAGGAGCAGGGCCGCCATCAACGGCTGCTGAGTGGAGACGACGTGAGGAGAGATGGCGCTTAAGACATTCCGGCAAATTTATGTATTTACTTCCGGTGAGGACCGCCGCATGCCTTGCTTCTCTTGCCTTGTTGCTGACCCTCGAGGCGGATTCGTAGGAACAATTCGGCAAGGACTGGGACAGAATACCCCGCTGCCAGGACCCTTCTGATGACCAGCAGCTACCTTGGATGTTGCCCTGGATGCCAGCTTGGATGATGCCATGGGCGCGACCTCCGCCGGTAACAACAGGCCCGGGAAGATTCAGCTCTGCGTCTAATGTGTGGCAAATGGGAATGGTAAGCAAGAGCCCCGCACTTCCGCCCTTGGAGACTGTTTGCCAAGGCTGACTCAATGTGCACTAGGTTATGAAGGTTTGCATGATGCTGGTAGACCCCGACCTACCGCCTTACGCGGGAAGGATGACGAGCCAGGAGCCAGCCAACCCAACGCCTGATCAAGAGCGCTGGACATATGGGTGGTCATTACTCGACCCCGCCGAGCCGTGGGCCAATTTGTACCAACAATCCCTGATCGACCTTGTGGCGAGATGCCTTATGGCTAAACAAGAACATCGCCCTACATTGCAGCAGCTCCAGACTGTGATCACGCAGGAACTGGCCCTCCCTGCTAACCAAAATGTCCCAAATTACTGGACAAATACCTTCTTTGCCGATCCGCAACCGCCAAGACCGCCCGTGGACACAGAAAACGTCAACGTCATAGACCCGTTCTGGGACTACAGGAAGAGGAAGCCTCTTTGAAGATATCTGATCAGGAAAGGCGGCGCCATGTCGAGCTTCCTACGACATGAAAGCCAGCCCAGAGGAAGGAACGCAAAGAAATCAGAGCAGGCAAAAGCTAGCAAAGCGTGCGCACGGGACTTTGTTCCAAGTTGTCGGAAAGTTTTGGTTGGCACCATACCACGTAAATATTCGACCTGGAACATGATCCAGGCGGCCATGTCACACAAGCCGGACTGCTGGGCTGTGGCACAGCAGTGTGGTTGCACTCATATGCAGCAGCTCGCCGGGCTTTCCTGTACAGTTCTTGTCTCGTCAAAATGCACAGTATCTCACGCCGTACCACACTGGGCCCCAACCGGTCTGCAGAACTGTGAGTGATCGTGGTAGTTATGTTTTCGCGACCACCCGGTCTGAGAGGCTTGCAAGTAACCAGTATAAGAATCGCAATACGTATCTATTGAATCTATAGGGGCGATGACGTTCTGCCTATCCTCTCGAGGAATGCATGTGACAACGTCGCACGGGTAATTGTCTTTCTGTTCCCAGTCAAACAGGTCATACACAAGTACCCCACTCCTCAAACGGGCGTTGGCTGTCATCTTACCGCGGCCTATGGCAGTCACTGGGGGATCACCCGGGGGCCAGTGAATGGAGGATATGTAGCCGACGTACGTCTTTAAAGTGGTTGCCTTGCGGTCCCTTCTGCACTCAGACCTTAGCCATCCGCTCACTTCAAATTAAACAATCGTATATTTGCCAGACCCAGTCATTCCTGTCATACGGCAGATTGCTTGAGCCCACTCTCCAGGCTGACATCACTTCTTTCCTCTCTTTCAGACTCGGCGACAATCCTAGTGAAAAACGGAGTCGAAGATTTTGCTCAACGGCGGCATCGCCCTCGTGACTGGGGTAAGCTATCCCAAGAAGTTCGATTTACTGACCTTAGCTGACACTGGAGTCCTAGTCTGTTGGTGGGATTGGCAAAGAGACTGCTCTTGCTTTCGCGGAAGCTGGGGTCGGATGGGTCGTCTTTGCGGATATCAACGAAGCGGGTGCAAAAGAAGCTGCTGAAGAGAGCAAGAAGTTTGCGAGACATGTGAATTTCGAGGCGGTCTCTTACAAAGTGGACATTGCCGATAAGGACAGCGTGCACAGCTTGGTGGATGCGACAGTACAAAAGTTTGGACGCATCGATTTTGCTGTGAACAGTGCTGGGGTGAGCTGATTCATCCGCTCATCAAACATGTGGGGAATACCTCAATAACACTGACAATGTGCGGCCGCAGATGGGAAATGTTTCAGGCGCTCTTACTCCCAACCTCAACCTCAAAAACCTCTCCACGACGGTCGACACAAACGTGAAGGGAGCGGTGCTGTTTACACACGCTGTCACTAGAGCCATGCAGAACCTACCAGGGGGAGGGTTTTTTTTTGTCAACATCGCATCAGTATGTCAATAGAATAGTAACATAGTAATAATATGCAATTAAGATTGTAATATGCTTTTTTTAATATATATCTTGCATAATTTACACATTACTAAAATATAATCATTCTTAATATATTATAACATAATATTTACCCTTAATATAAAGGGTAAAAAAAACCTCTTCTTTTTCTTATCTCTAACCTAATTATTTACTTACTCTTTATTAACTTAATTATTTATTATAAAAGGATTTATAAAATTATAAAAATAATTAAAACTAAAACTAAGTTTAAAATTAATAAAATTTAAATTAAAGCTTTTAATATAAATTTATAATAATATTAATTAATATAAAATTAATATTTATATAAAGTTAATATAAATATAATTTAAAGTTTTAATATAATTTCCTTTTAATAATATTATAATAGCCTTTTATTAACATTTCGCTAGAATTACGAAATTTTAATTAAATGTTAAAATATAAGTGCATTGCGTGACCCAGTCAGAAACCCCCCTACCCCCTGGCAGGTATCGAAGGAGCATAGGGTGAAGAGAACAACGTCTGTTTAATTTTAAAGTCACAAGAACATACGAAGACTTGCCATGAGAGGCGCCACGCCCTAACATTGAGGAGGGAGGTCTCTGACACAATCAAACTCATTCTCGATAGCGTCACGTACCATGCCAACACTCGTACTCCTCGCACTTACTCTTGCTGCTTTCGCATGTGTACGGCTGGAAAGATCACGGACGCCCGACATTTCTACGCGATGAGCACTACGCGCTACGATCTGGTGTTAAAGATTGGCCTTGCTCGGTTTATAATTGCGGAGTACGTCCGCCGGAGTGGCATTTGAAGGGACGCAGAGTCGCGAAGGTACCAGTATCTGAGTGGGACTCCAGCATCCGACTGGTTCGCGACTACCACAAGACCTAGGAAAGCTGTCGCCCGAACGAGCGTTACACCAACATGATGGCTGGGTAATGGACTGGATAGATCTGAGAATACGTGGTGAATAGTTCAGGAGATTAACAAGTTGCGTAGAGGGATGTGAAGGACGGAGTGGCGATCTTGTCCAATTGTATTAGTAGGAGAATCTGGACGGATTCCTTAGAATTGCGGTTTTCCCAATTTACAGACAAAGCACTTAATTTTCTACTTTAGATTCTGTGTTGTGCTCCTATCAAATGCTTGATTTTTCTTTGACTGTATCACTTCATCTCCAGCGTCTAATTTTGACAAGTCTCAAGGGCCTATTGAATAGCTCGCTGCCGTGGTACCTGCTCTGTTCATTGTGTCATGAATGGCAACACGAGGCAGTGATCAGACAGGGTTCCCAATGACCCATGATGATCATGTGATAAATCCAGCATATTGAACAACTGCCACCTCGCCGTTACGAGGACACAAAAGCGCCCCGTTGTCAAAAGCCTGGATCAAAGCCACGCAGTCTGGACTTATCCAATCTCCCGGAAGGCTGTAATGTGCGACCACTGATTTGTCAAGAGTACTCTTGTCATTGTGCGAGTGACCGCGAAGAGTCGAGGCCTGAGAGTCCATCCGATGGACTGCATCAGTGGTTGAATCTTTGGACGACCATACCACTTGCGAAATGCCTGGGGGTATACACCACGTGCAAATTGAGTGGTGGCAGTCAAGGAACAACAGCGTGTCCTGTATGCCATCTTTCTGCGCGAGAAACTTCAGCGGACGGTCCATCCGATTCGTGAGTGATGAGGACAAGTCAAGGAAGAATATCGAAGCAAGAGTCGTGGGATTTTCTTCAGACATCGGCACCCAGAGTTGATGAATGTCTAATAGAAGTATCATGTTATGCATTTGACCATCGTTCACAGTTGACGCCTCGACTAACAGATAGTGCCGGGATTGGGCTGAGATCAGGCGCTCGATGACAACCTTCTGGTTGGAACTAAATGGCCAATGGCCTGCGGTAGAGTATTCAGGTGGATTCTCATCGTCCTGTTCATGCTCGCCTGCGTTGTCTGCGGATTTCGACTGCATTCCAGAGCTGTCGGTTAAGTTCCCTTGGATTGGAGTAGAAACAGGGATCGATGTAGTCTTGGACAGTGTAGCCAATTTGTGGATGGACATGAGCCAGGGACAGAAGAACATGACAGAATCCGCCTGTACCGGATGCGGAATCCACATGCCATTATCGCTTTCCAGGCATAGTTCCGAGATGGCCTTCTGCCCTTCCAACGAAATGACAACTGCACGGCTCCGGCTAGACACCAGTACCATGCTTGCGTCGTTGTTGAAAATGGCTTGAGCAATGTTGTCGCTAAAGTCCAACGACAGCTTTAAATGCAGCTCGAAGTTCATCTTGTCGATGTCATTCTCATCTCCACGGACGGAAACGACAAATACTGTGCGACTAAGATCACCAAAGCAGATATATCGTCCGTCACTGCTCCAGGCTATCTCTTCAATTCCAAAACTCGTGAACCCGTCCAGCTTCCTCAATTTGAAGTCTCTGGTGTCGTGGATAGTCAGGACGCCACGCTCGCTGCCTGAGCAGAAGACTGTCCCGCGGCTCTGGGGCGCGAGGGCTGATATTGGGTCCAAGAATTCGTACCGCGTCTCTTCGGAGGAAGCTGTGCGGCCTGATCTGCCTGAAACACTCCCGCCGTCGCTCAGCGGTGCCGTGGGCTCTGAAAGTCTCAGCAGGCTATCAGGCTGCCACACGTTTCCATATTTTCCACGTATGTCGTAGAGCTGCTGGTTGTCCCAGCTGAACGCCAGACCCAACACTGGATGCTCAGAATCTGAAATAATAGCGTTGGATGCTTAGTCTATTAGGCTAGCTAACGTCTATTCAACGGGAGGGAAGGCCCCTATTTATAGTTATTATCCTCCATACAGTGGTAAACGTATGGGGAAAAGGATATCCCGTATTAATAATAGCCTAGATATCTAGAATATTCCAACAGCCCCCCTTAAACTAATTTCCTTTTATTTATTTTATTTTATATATAAGGGATTTAGTTTATAAAAGAGGAATATTTAGTTATATAATAAGAAAACCTTATAAAAAGGGAAAAACTTACTTATTAAGTATTTATATATTTAGGCAAAAAACCCAAAAATTTGCTATTACTTAAACTTAAACTTATAGCCAGTAGGGTATTATATATTAAATTATGGTTTTATATAGGATTTACTAGTTATTTTATAATGACTATAATATATCACGGCATTTTTATATATTAAAGTTACATATCATTTTATTTATACTATATACACTATGGAAATATATTTTCTGTATAGAATTAAATATATATAAATGCAGTGTAAGTATATTTTAACTATGTATATATATGGTATATATGGGCCGTGTAAGTAACGCTTATTTTTTAGGAAAAACCTTTATTATTTTAGTTATTTCTTTTAAGGGAAAACCTTTAATATTTATGGTAATATTATATATATATATAATTAAGTTCGCTTTATTTATTTATATATTTTATAAGTAAAGGAAAAAATCTTAACCCTAGTTATTAAAGAGTAAATACCTTAATTTATTTTGCATGCATTATAATATAGGTAGAAAATCTCTTTATTCTTTAGCTTAATATTTTTATATTATTTTTTTATTAAACTATACTTTTCTTTGGACTCTCTATAATGTAGTTTATTTATTAGTTTTATAAGCTAATTTGCTAAATTCTGCTTAAAATTTATATATTTTAATATTACTTTATTATTTTTTATTGCTTTTCTTATATAATAATATGTAATATTTATATATTTAGTTCTTTTATGAAATAAGGTATTTTTAGCTAATTTCTTAGCCTTATTATTATTTATATATATGATAGGGGGCTTGAAATTAAAGCTAATATTTAAATTATTATTAAAATATTTAAGTAAATTATATAAATATTTAGCTTTTTTTATAGCTTCTCTTAAAGCTATATATTTTGCTTTCATAAAGGAAAGTACTAATGTTTTCTATAGCTAAGAATTCCAGCTTATAGGATTTATTTTATTATTATTATTATTAATATTATATAGGCTAAATATATAATTAAAGGTGCTTTTTTTAATAAATATATCGTTACCTTAGTTTAAATTTATATAGCTTATTAATTATAAATTATTTTTAAAGTAATTATATATTTTAAATATATATAGGAATTTATATATATATCCCTATATTTTATTTAATTCTTTTATATGCTTTAATCCTGGGTTTACTATATATTTAGCTAACTTATTTATAAAATAAATTAGATTTAGCCTAGTTTTTAAGCTAGCATATAATATAAACCCTATTTATTATTAATATAATTTTATAGTATTTTTATTAAATTTATTTATATATTTTTTTAATTTTTTATTTAGGGTATATAAAGTAAGTTAAGGAATTATTTCCTTTTTCTTAACTTTTTTTGGTATATTAAATTTATTTATTATTTTATTTATATATTTATTTTAATTTATAATTATTTGTTTATTTTCTTTATTTATATATATATTATTTCCTAGGAAATTCATTAAATCTCCTTAAAAATCTAAGTTTATATCTTTATATAATTTATTAATTATTAAATTTATATTATTTTTATTAAGTCTTATAATGATAATATCGTTTATATGGCATATAAATATAATTTGTTTATTAGGGTATATAAATACCCCTTTATTATATAGGCAAATAATAAATCTTAGCTTAATTAATATATTTTTTAAGTATTTATATTAAAGCATAAGTAATTATTTTAGCCTGTATAAAGCTTTATTTAATTTTATAACTTTATTTTTATATTTTAATTTATTATATATATAAAAGGGTAATTTTATATATATTTTAAAATTAATATTAAAGTGTAAAAACGCATTTTTAATGTTGTAACTATATATATAATATCCTTTATTTATTGCTATTATTAATAATATAGTATAGGTTTTAGGGCGGTAAATTATGGAAAAAGTCTTTAAATAGTTTATACTTAATTTCTGGTTATATCCCTAAATAACTTATTTAAATTTAAATTTAGTATTATTTTCATTATTTACTACTTAACTAAGCTTTATAATAATTGGGTTATTTATATATTTCTTTTTATATACCCATTTCCCCCCTAAAGCTATATAATTGGGTGGTAAATTCATTATTATATAGGTATTTTATTCTTATAAACTATTTATTTCATTTAGCATAAATTTTATTTATAGGGACTTTTCTAAGCTATTTAATACCTCTTTTAAAGAAAAGGGTTTATTAATATTAGCTGCCATTAAGCAATATTTTAATATATTCTCTTGGGAATTTAATATAAATATTTAGTTATTTAATAATGTATTTTATATAATATATATATAGTCTTTTGGGTTTCCTTAAATTATTATTTCATTTAAAATAAAAGGAGAATTTTCTTCCCTATTTTCTTCCCTATTATTTTATTTAAGTTTTGGGAATATATATATATTTTTATTATTATTATTATTATTATATATTATTTTATTATTAATATATTATTCTTTTAGTATTTAAATATTTTAAATTAATAAAGATTTATAGTTATTTATATTTTATACTTAATATACATTAAACTTTAAGACTATATTTAATAATATGCCCTTATTATTTCTAAGCTTTAATTTTATTTTATAATTATTATTTTAAAAATATATAATAAATCCCTATATTTTTAAGTTATTTATATAGGGCTTCTTTTTATTTATTACTTTATATAAACTTTTATACCTTAGGCTTTTATAGGGTATAATATTATATAAATATATAGCATATTTTATTGCTTTTCCCTATAAATATATAAGTAAATTTACTGTATATAAAAAACTTTTAACTTTATTTATTATAGTTAAATTTAGTCTTTTTATTAAGCCATTAAGTTCTTTTATATATAAGGGCGTAATATAATAAGTTATAAAATATTTATTTAATAAAATTTTAAATCTTTTATTTATATATTTACCTTTATTATTTATAAAGAATTCTTTTATTCTTTTATTATATTTACTTTTTGCTTTATTTTTATAATTACTAAAGGCTTTTAATGCCTTATCTTTATTTTTAAGCAAAGAAACCTTTAAATATTAAGTTCTTTTATTAAGGAATAATATATAATATTTATATTTATTATATATAGGTTTTAAAAAACCGCCTATATTGCTATATACTTTTTTAAGTATATTATATACTTAATTATTTAGGCTAATCTTATTTATTTTAATTATATATTTAACTTTTAAGCATATTTTATAATTATTTATATATTTTTAAATAAATTTATTTATTAATATATTTATTTTATATTTTTAAAGAAATATTTTTAAGGCTTAAATATTTATATAGCTTAATTTATAATGCTATTTATATATTTCGTTTTTATTCTTATTATTTATATTTATATTTTATTAAGTTATATATATTTTTTAAAGTATATATTTTAACTTATTTATTTATTTTATTATATTAATTCTTATAAAATATAAGCCGTCTTTTTAATATCCTTAAGTTATTAATTTATTTATTTTTTAAAAATATAATTTAATAATATTTCCTTTTAATTTAAGTTTAACTTTATTACTTATATATTTATAACTAAGTATATTTAAACTTAAAAAAAGTATATAATATATATTTAAGAATTTCTTTATAGTATTTATTTTTAGAAACTTAATTATTAAGTTCCCTATTTTATTTATAAATATAATACTTATATTTCCTTATTTCACGGTTTTATTAATTATATATATAGTATTAAAGAAATAAATATCTTAAAAACTTATTATATTTATAGCAATATTTATAATTATTTTTATGGAATTTATATATTATTAATTTCTTATAAATTTATTATTAGTTATTATTATTATTATATATATATATGGGGTATATAAGGGGTTATTTACCTTAATTTCCATTGGGTTATTAAAAGAAAGTTATAAAAGATTTAATAAATTCTTATTATATTTAGTATTTTCTATTAAATTATTTATAGCCATATAAGCTATAGGTTCTTCTTAAGCGCCTTTTAAAGTTAAGGGAAACTTTATGCTAATTAATAAAGCTAAAAGTTATTCTTGCATTTTTTTCTGTTTTTCTTAGCTTATATTCTTCCTTAAAAGAGTAGTTTTTTTCCTTTTCTTTTCTTTATTTATTTATTTTCTAGCTGGTAAGTACCTTATTTAAATAAAGAAAATAGCAATTTTCTTAAGTATAGCTCTTTATTTTGCAATTAAGGCATATAATAATCTTTTTCTTATCTTTCTTACCCTTTATATATAAGGCTTTTGCAAATAATTTAAAGGATTTGCCTTTGTTTTTATTTAATAAGCTAAAGAAGAGAGATTTAATTATATAAGCGTTTAAATCTTTTTTAAAACTTTAAGTTATATTTTAAATAAAGCTAATATATTCATTATTTAAGCTATAAAGAATTTAATTAATTATAATTTATTTAAGAAGAATTATATTATTAACCTTTAAATCCTTTAAAAGAAGCTTTAGCTTATTAATATATTGAAAACAAGCCACCCAAAGGAATGGGGAACAGGTTCTGCTAAACCCTCTTGAGGATAACTTAAGGAGGAGCTTTAATGCAATAAAAAGGGAAGATAAGAATAAAAGGAAGTTAAAGAAGAGAAAAGGCAAGTATTTTAAAAATTCTTAAAAATAAAAAAAGCTTAATTAAAGCACTAAATATATAAGAAAAGAAAAGAATTAATTTCTTTAAAAGAGTATTTAAAAGAGCGAAAAAGTTAGCTTTTTATAATTAGCTAGAATTTAATGCAATACCATTTTTCTCTGCATTTCCCTATACCCATTAATATACCCTTTTTTAAGTACTTTACAATAAATATTATAAAAACCGCTAAAATAAAACCTTGCTATTTTTAATTAAGCCTTTAAGTTTTAAAATTTACCTTGCTATAATTTAAATTATTATTATTATTTTTAATTCCTTACTTACTTATCCTATTATAGCTTTTATTCCTTTATAAAAGCTTTAAATATTCTTAAAACTTGCTTAATAGCATACTTATTAATTATATTTTCTTAATTATTAAAATTCGCTTTAATAACTAGTATAAGCATAACTATTAAAGATTTAAATATCTTTATAAAATGGAAAGTAAACTTATTCTTTCTTTTAATTATTGCATTAAGCATAATATGCTAGCTTTATTAACTTTTGCTTTTACTTTTTACAAAGCTTTTACTTTTAAGTCCTATACCTTATATTTTATTGCTTAGTTAACTTATTAACAAGCCTATTAAATTATCCTTAAATAAACTTTATTACTACTTTAAACTTTATTATTACTTTAATTACTTAAGGTTAATTAATATACTTTAAGTTTTATTTATATTTATTATTAAAAAAGATAAATAAAAAAAATTCTTATATATATTAAAATAAGCATTTCTTGCTAATTTTAAAATATCTTATAATGCAATGCTTAAGCTAAAGGCTTATTTAATTAAAATTATGCTTAGCTAGTTTTAAGCTATGCAAAAGTTTATACCTCGTTATATATTAAATATTTAAAATTAAGTTATTAAATTAATTTATATTAAAGGTATTATTTCCCTTATACCTTTTTTTTAATTAACAGCAATCTTAGTATATTGCAATTTAAATAATTACTATTAAATAATCTTTCTTTATAATAAAAGCCTATTTCTTACTTTAATTACTCTTATATTATTAATCTTAATAAAGGAAATTAATATAAGCATTTAAATAGCTTCTTTAATTCCATTAAGCTTTAATTAAATAGCAAATATTTAAGTAGTAATGCTAATAATAGCTTTAAGCATCTTAGGATATACGGTTTTAATTAAAATAGCCTTAGCTTAATCCCATATCTTTTAATTATTCTTTTCTTAGTTCTCCTTAAAGTAGTTTTTAATAAAGTTAGCAGCGTATTATTTATAAAATATTCCATTAATTTATCTTAATTTAAGTGCAAACTCTTTATTAAAATCTTATATTTTATTCTTTAAGGTAGTTATTAAATATTTATAAATAAGCGCTTTAACATTCTTATTTATCTTATTATTTTTATCTCTTAATGCAAGACTATTTCATAGCAAGCAATAGTTATTAATCCTATTAAAAATTATTATTATTTAATAGTTAGGCATATAAATAAGCATAATAATAAATTTATAATTCTTTATTAATTTATACTATTAATATTTTATAAATAGGGATTAATTATAATATAAAGGCTTTTTAAATAAGAATATAATATCTTAAAAGTTAAAAAGTTACTAAGTTATAAAGATTATAATATGCTAAGTTCTTAGCTCTTTATATTTATAAAGCATTCCTTTTATATTAAAGAAATTAAGGGTAAGAAAGGCTTAATATTATTTTATTAAGTTTATTAATTTAGCTAGTTTTCTTAACTTAGGGTAAAGATTAATGCTTAAAAAGTATTCTTATATTATCTTTATAAGCTTATTATTAAACGTTATTTATTTTATATTAAAAAATGATAAATAATTAAGGGTTTAAGTTTATTAAATATTATTTAAGTAAACCCTGTTTATAATAATTTTTATTTTAAAAGGATTTTTAAAAAAGTTAGTACTTACTTTTTAAGTAAAGTTTTATTAATTTTATATATTTATAATATTTAGGAATTATAATGCTTTGCTAAGTAGATTTTTAAAGTTATTAAAATAAGGAAGTTTTATAATTATTAGCATAGAATTATTCTTTCTTAAAGCGATAAATTTAATTATTAAAATTAAGGCATTAAGGTCTTAAGGTACCTTATAATGTAAGGGTAATTAAAATTACTTCTTTGCTTTGCCTTTTTAGTTAAAAGATATTATAGCTTTTAATTATAAAGAAAGGAGGTAAAGGAGATAAGTAGTAAAGTAAAGGGTGCATAATAAAAGTTAGGTAATAAAAAGAGGAGGTATAGTAATAAAAAGAGCCTTGCACCCTTAGGAATTGCTATATAGGTAATTAAGGTAAAGAGGGTTGAAAATAAAAAAAAAATATAATTAGTGCTTAGCTATAGCTTTAAGTAGCTTTTATAAATAATTATTGCCTATCCTTAAATAAGAATTAAGTAAAAGAAAAGATTAATATATTAAAAGTACCCTTTTTATTAAAATAGCTGGGTAGTAGCTAACCTTTAACCTTTAATTAATAATAATATAAAGGTAAAAAGAAGAAGAAGAAAAAAAGGTAAGAAGAGAATTTAGCTATAAATAAATAAATATGGCAATGCATATAAACTTAAAGTAGCAAAAGTTAATAACTTACTGCCCTTAAGTTAAGTAATTGCGTTAATTAAAAGGAAGGAATAATAAGGAGGCTTATAAGTTATTATTAAAAGCCGTTAGTTTATTATTTTGCTAATAATTAAAGTAAATAGGGTATATAGTTTTTTATTTTTCTTAAATAGCAGCTAATTATAAAGTATATTCTTTTTAATATATAAGTTTATTAAGCATAAGCTAAAATAAGTTATTTAGTTAAAATTTCTTTATAATGGAAAGATAAATAACTTCTTTATAAGTAAGGAATTAAAGGTAAGTAACCTTTTTTAAGTAATAAACTAACCTTAATTAAAAGCAAGGTAGTAAATTACTCTTTTTAGTAATAAGGTGGCTTATTATTAATGTTGCTTGCCTTTTCTTATTATAATAACTTTATATATATAAATTTCCTTTCCTTCCTTAAGTTCCTTCTTCCTCTTTTTTTTTCTTAATATCCTTTTAACTTTAATTAGCCTTTAAGTTAGCTAAAATTAAAGTAAAATATTATAATCCTTTTATCCTTAAATATCTTCTTGCAATAATATCTTTATTAATAAATCCTCTTTAATTAAGGTTGGGAAATTTAATATAAAAGGATTTTCCTTTTCCCTCTTAAGTTATTTATTATAATTTATAAGCTAAGTAAGTTTTAATTAAGGGTATTTATACCTTCTTTAAGTTAAAAGGCATCCTTAATAAAAATTAATTCATTAAAACTATCCTTTTATAATGCTTTTATAAAAGGCATTTGCATATATAAGATTATTAATATTAAATAGAATTAGTATCTCGCTTAGCAACTTGCTGATCCCACCTCCCAAAAGGCAATTAAATCTAAGAAACCCAAGCTCCCTTGAGTGGAGCCACTTTAAAGGGCTTTTAGTTCTTTCATTTTAAACCATACATCACCCTAGTATTGCCAAGGGTAAGATGGGTATAAAGGTATCCCTTAAATCGTTTAAATATTAAGTTTATATTTAGGAAAAAGAGCATTCTTAAAAGGATATAATGTAAAATATTAAGAGCTTTATCATTAATAATAAAGAATACTGCTTTGGTTTTATTTAAATTAATATAAACCCACTCTTCCGTAACTCCAATTAAAAATAAGGAATCCCCATTATATATTATTAAGTTTATATTATTAAGCAAAGCATATAAAAGTTTATTATATTTATAATATAATAAAGGTAAGAAATTTATCTTAGCTTTAATATTTAGGAAAGCAGGTTAAAAAGAATAATTATTTACTTTTATATAAACTATTAAATAAGCTAAATTAAAACATCCTTAATTAACTATATTTATAATAAATGCAATAATAAAGTTAATTTAGTACTAAATAATTTATAATAAATTAATTAAAGTATTAACCTTAATATTATTTCTTAAAAGCGTAATTATGCTAACTTTAAGAGATAAGTTTTTAACGTACTTCCTAAGATGCATTAACTTAAAAGGTATCTTTAATAAGATATACGCCTTAAATTATATTACTAATAAATACTTAATTAAGGTTAAATTAGTATTATTAAGTGCTAAGATATTTATAGCACTTATTTTTATAATTACGGCTAGAATTGCTTGGGCTGCTTTTTCCTTAGGTAATAGGGGTTATTAAGCACACTTTTTTAGTTTTAGGTTTATTGCACTTGCTAAGCTTGCTCTTAATATAAGAGACTTAGCGTTTTCCTTTTAAATTTAATTTTAATTAGCAAATAAATTTTTCCTTTTTCCTACCTTCTTTTTATTCCCTAGTTGCAACTTATTATTAATAATTTAAAATTAATTATCTTTTACCTTTTTAAAGTTTTTAAGTTAAGCTTAATTAGCCTTTATAATTCTTATAACTTTATTTTAATCTTTAATATCCTTAGCTATATACTTCCTTTTAATTATAGCAATATTTATTTAAAAAAGCTTATTATTACTTATAATTATAAGCTTTTTTTTAATATAAATTATATAATTTATAAAATTTATAAATGCTAAAATTAAGCTAACTTTTTTTTAATTATTAAGCTTTTAAACTATTTTTAAGGCTTTTAATAAAGCTTTTCCTTTAAATAAAGAATTTACCTTAATAAGCTTGCAATATTTAATTACATAAGGCAAATTAAATTTTTCCTTCTTAAATAAAAACTTTAATTAACTATAAATATATTTTTTTAAATTATAGCTACTTTAATTATAATATAATTAAATATAAGTAAGATTTAAATACTTTAAAAGGCTAGCTTAAGCATCTTTAAGTAAGTTAAGAAATATTAATAACCTTTTTAGCTTTAAAGCTATTAATAAGCTATTTAAGGAAAGCTATTTAAGCTTATTATATTAATATATATTATAATTTTAAGAAATATAGCTATAATAAACTTTAAGTAACTTATTTTTTTTAAAGAAAAGCATTAAAATTATAACTTATGCCTTATTATTATTAAAGTTACTTTAATTAAGTCTTGCTAAAAGCTATTAAATAAAATTTATAGCCTTTAGCTTAATTATTTTAAAATTGCTTTACTATTTATTATAAAAAAAAGCTTTAATATCTTATTAAAATACCTTAAATTTATTTTTAAACTTAACTAAGTTAAGCTTTAATTTTGCAAACCTTTTAATAAGTTTATTTATATTTTATAAATCCTAATTATATCTTTTAATAATATTAATATAATTAAATTTAAATAAAGATTATTAAGCTTATGGGTTTTTATTTTAAAGGTAATTTAAAGATTTAGAATTATTTTAGCTTTTTTAAAGGAAATTTTACTTTTTTATATTAAGTGGATTTTAATTGGAATTATTTTATATAAATAGGTAATTATTTTACTTAAAATACTTAAGCTTTTAGTTAATAACTTTTAATAAGGCATGCTTAAAGTTTAGTTAAAAAATATTCCTTATTAACTTATAAGTAATTTCTTTCTTTATTAACTACTTTTTTAAATGTAATAAAAGCGTTTTATAAAAAGGCTAAGTTATAAGAAAAGAAATATTATTTATATTATTAAGTTCTTAATTATATTTTATAATCTTTTCTTTTTATGCTTTTAAGTTATTATAAGGGTTATTATAAATAATATCTTTAATAATTATTATTAAGTTTATATAATAAGTTTAATTATTTAATTTATAAAAATAAGAAGCTCTTTTTTTTAATTTTTTTAAATATATTATTTAATAATAATGCTTTTAATTACTTTAGCTAAGTTTAAAGTAATGCAGCATTATTTAAGCAATTTTAAGATTTAATTATTTAAATAAGAAAATTAATAAATAATAGTTTTAAGGCTATTTAAAACCTTAATAATATTAATTTTATTAAACTTTAGGGTATTTAAATTATAAATTATAAATAAAGCTACTTATAGCAAAATTATTATATTAATGAAAAGTAAGACTTTTAAAATGTTAATTTAAATCCTTAATTTATTATTAATAATGAATTATAAGGTTTAATTAAAGCAAGGTTAATGCTTTAGCTAATAATAAATAGAATTAAGTCTTTCTTTTCTCTTAATAAGTTTCTTAAGATTTCTTTCTTAGCTTTTAATAAAAGAAAATAAATAATTTTTAGGGTTTAAAGGTACTTTTAAAATAAAAGTAAGTTTAAGAAAACTTTAAGCTAAAAAGTATAATATATATGCTATAATGGTTTTTATTAAGATAATAGCAAGATAAAGAAACTTAAAAGCAGTAATATCTTTAGTTAAAATAGCTGCTTTTAAGAAATTTATTTTTAATATTATTATAAAATATTTAAATTAAAGCTTAAAGAATAAAGGTATTAATAGGTATAATAAATAAAATAAACTTAATAAAAGGATATTTCATTAAAAGATAAATATTATAAGACTATAATAAAGAAAGTTTTTTAAATTTATATTTAATATTTTATTTATTAATATTATATTAAATCCTTAATAATTTAAATCTAAGTTTAATTAAAGCCTAGGTAAGGTTATACTTTAAGTTTAAATCTTTTATATAATTTAATTAATATAAAATATATAATATAATGCTACTTATTAAACTTATAAGCAAACAAGGTAAATACCTTAATTTTATATTATAGCCTTCTTTACTTTAAATTTATAATTATAATAATAATAATAAATATTAATTAAGAGTTTAAAAGCACCTTTAATTAATATTAAATAATATTTATAAATTTAAATCCATTATTTTAAGTTTTATATTTATATTATTATTATATTTAAGCATAATTTTTAATAAAAGATTTAAAATAAGTTTAAAGCTTAATAATATATAAATATAAAATTAAGGTAGTATTTTATTTAAATATTAAAAGCATAAGAAATATCTTAAAATTAAAAAATAATCTTAAAATATTTATAATATTATTATAAGTTTAATTATACTTAATTCTTTTTTATAATAAGTTAAAAATAAATGCAAGCTTTAATTAAAGCTTTGGGTTAAAATATAAAATAATTTAGCAATATTTAATATAAAAATAAAAAAAGAAATAAAATTAAAAGATAACTAACTTATAGCTAATTTCCTATCCCTTTTATTATTAATTAAAAATGCATAAGATTAAAATCATACTTAGGTTAAATTATTAATAAAAATAAGCCACTTAAAGGAATGGGGGATAGGTTTTGCTAAACCCTTTTAAGGATAACTTAAGGAGGAGCTTTAATATAATAAAAAGAGAAGATAGGAATAAAAGGGAGTTAAAAAAAAGAAAAGGCAAATATTTTAAAAATTCTTAAAAATAAGAAAAGCTTAATTAAAGCACTAAATATATAAGAAAAGAGAAGAGTTAATTTCTTTAAAAAAGTATTTAAAAGAGCGAAAAAGCTAGCTTTTTATAGCCAGCCGGAATTTAATACAGTACCATTTTTCCCTACATTTCCTTATACCCGCTAACACAATTCTTTTATAATTTTAAAATTATTAAAATTTAATATTAAAGAACTCTTTATAAAGTAAATATTAACTTATAAATTTAAAAGGTTTATAGTGGAATTTAAGTATATCTTACGCTTCTTAGGTACTATTTATATCTTTTATAAATATAATAAGCCCCTATTTATATATAAGTTTAATATTAATAAAAGCTTTTTTATTTTAAGCTAAAGATAAGCCTTAAAAAAGATTCTTAAAATTATTCCTAATAGCATTTTCTTTCTTAAGCTAGGCTTAAATTTTAATGCTTTAATATATATAGTTTTTTATTTTATTAAGGAGTGGAATATTATACTTATTAAGAAATGCTATTTTAAGGTAAATAAATAAAGTATTTATTAAGATAATTAAAATAATAAAGAAAAAGATATAATAAATTTTAAATAAGTTTAATAAGTTAAGAAATAAAGATATAAGTATTAAAGTAATATAGTTATAAAGAAAAGAAAAAAGGCTTTTAAATGGTATATTTTTAAGGTATTATAAATTAAAGATAGCTAAAATATAATTAAGTATTTTTAAGGGAGTTTAAGGATTATTATGATTTTATTAAAATTTGCGTTTTTAGTATTAATTTAATATAGTTTTTAAAATTTAAAGAAATGCTTTTATTATTTTTAATAAGGGCTTTTAAATAGTATATAAATTATATAGGTAGGTTAAGTATTAATGGAGAAACGGTTAAATATTTAAGTAAATATAATATGGTTTTTATATATAGGCTTTAGGTTAGGAAATAAGGTTAATTTATAATATTAAATGGGGTGATTTAATTAATTAAGAGCTTATTAATTAGCTTAATTAGGTAATTGGTTAAAAGGTGTGTTTCTAAGTATAGAGCTTATCTTATTTAAAAGGTTTAAGAAGTAATGGCGATTAGGGGTGTTACGTAATGTATGTTTTCCATATTGGGTTAGCGTTGCCGTTTTGGGTTAGCTTTGGGCTTATAACCTTTGAAATAATAACGTTGAATGCTTAGTTTATTAGGCTAGCTAACGTTTATTTAATGGGAGGGAAGGCCCCTATTTATAGTTATTATCCTCCATACAGTGGCAAACGTATGGGGAAAAGGATATCCCGTATTAATAATAGCCTAGATATCTAGAATATTCCAACACAGAAACACCTTGATGGATAATTGTCATGTCGGATGTGCTCAGAAGTTTGAAGCTGCCCTTATGACTCCCCAGAGCCAATAGGGTACCGTCAGAGCTGACTGCCATGGTGGAAACCTCAGCTCGTTGTCGTTCGGCATCACCCATCTCTGGATGCCACTTGAATATAAAACCACTGGCCTGTCGACCAAAGACTTCTCCGCTGAATGGATGCCACAGTATTTCGGCGACGTCCTCGAGTTCATCCTGACGAGCGACTTCCTCGGCAAGATCTGTCTCCCAGACGGCGAGTGGGCTTGACCGGTATCCGAGGCAAACCTGTTGCCCATCAGGGCTAATGGCCATACACGTCGGAGAGTTCACCGACCTCCCTCCGGAGCTCTTCTGCATAAACCGAGTGACTTCCACAATCTTGGATTCACTGGACGACAGTGACATGGTCCAGACTCGACGATCGTCAGTACCTATCAGAACACTTGCGTCATTCTTGGAGAATGTTATGGTCATCGGGCGTGGCCGGGAACGTGGACTCGCTGCAGTGGTGACACATATACCAGTAGCAATATTCCAGACCTTTGTCGTGCGTATGCCACAGGTGACGACAAGTGTTCCCAGCGAGTTGATCTGCAATTTCCGAACTCGCTCGCCAATCTCGAGTCGGCGTGCCTGTTGTAAGGTGGAAGCGTGATAGATCACGACTGTGCTGACCATACTTTCAGCGTCTGCCGAGATTGCGATCCATTTGCCTTCTGTGACAAGCGCCGTGGCCTTCTCATCTCGTCTCAGAGTCAGCTGGCCTAATGAATCACCCCACGTAGCATTGGAAAAATGGCCAACCGTCAAATTGTTCCTCTGCTTGCGTCCGAATTGTTTGAACATCGCGGAGTCTGGAGGGCAAAACGGAGTGATTGTCCTGTAGATGCTGTCTGGCATGTGGATAAGTTGGCTGCCGAATCTGCCCACAATCTTTCCCAGGTCAATCGTCCACGCTTCAATGAGCTCTTTTTCATCTGTTTGACGATCAAGGGGCATCTTTTCCGCGTTGGATCTGGAAAGTTTTTTTGCCAGTAACGCCAGGTTGGAAGAAGCGTGAACCAGAACATGTATTTGCTGAGCTTTAGCGACGGCGTGGATCCAGGTTAAAACAGAAGTGCTGCGAAGGAACTGGACCACGGATTCCAATAGTTCCTTGGAGATCTCGGTGACGGCGATCATATGGGTGCTCCAGTGCATTGCTGCATACGCCAACAAGGAGGGCTCTAAGTCTTTGGTGATATCTCGGCGGAGGCCATTTTTCGTAAGGCATTGCAAACATCGCAAGCAAATGCGATCATGTGCCGCGTTTTTCTCGATTGAATATGGCCGACCCTTGGAGCTTAGGAGGTACTCCTTGGCTGTTTGGTGAATAAGAGTAACATTCCCAAAGTTGTCGACAGAGATGAAACCAGCGCAAGGGTCGGCAATAGATCTGGCCTGGGACTGAGACCCCAAGGCATCAATTAGCTCGCTGACGCTTAGTGTGCGGATGGCGCATGTGACCCATGCCAGTATTTGGCAGGTCAAGGATCTGTCTGCCAGTTCCTGATCGGATATGGACTCGCCCATTCGATCATAGAGCTCCTCCATACCGGCTGGCAGCTCACGCATGGCTTGCTCGGCTGACTCAGTAGTCCTGCATTTATTGATTCGTTCCACCGTTAGGCGTAACCATAGAAAGCTTCCCTGGGACTGATCAAGCAGTCGCTTTGTGATGCTTTCCTTGAACGCCGGTATCTCAGACCATTCCAATTCGTTCTCGATGAATTTTCGGTGGTCATCTAGATGACCGTCAATGGAAACAGCATCCCATTTGGCCTCCTCGGGTATCTTCTTGAATTCGGCATCAATTTCTGGAGTCCGGCGGCTGAGAATCAAGATCCTGAGGGGCACTGATGTGCCAAGGACGTCGGTCAGCATCTTGATGCCAGCTCGTGGATTGTCAGACTCCTCCAGGCCATCGATGACCCAGTACAGCGGACTTTCAAATTCGGACTGAAACAATATATTTTTGAAGACCCGTCGCCAGATAGCTGCGGCCTCCACGCCACGCTTCAAAGATGAAGCCGCGTTGCTGATCTCCTGGCGAAAGACGGGAGACACAAGGGCCACCTGAAAGGCAAGCGTACGGAACATCATGCTCAAAGACCTTTTGGCCTGGTCACCGAAGCGAACGAATGTATATTGGCACGACTTGCCCTTCTCCACAAGATGGTTGACCATGAAGGATGTCATGATAGACTTGCCGCAACTAGCAGCACCATACAGCTAAAGGATCCGTGCATCTGGATCTGGATCATCCAGCCAACGAACAAAGCTTGAATTGGATAGGATCCATTCGCATGTTCCTGGAGTCCAACGGTCACGACACGCGATGTAGTCGGTGTCCGTAGCTTCAGCGATGGAGAATAGCTTTTCGAGCTCCCGGATATCTGCCGGAGATGCCGACATCGCGGAGGCTCTTGACCCCCCTTCCCGGCTTGGCAACAACTTGCTGATCTGAGTTCTGATGAAGTTGCGAACGGTCACGTAATTTGGATCCTCGCGATTATCGTACTTGCAGACGGTGTGGTGATCCGCATCAAGTCCTTTGGAAACTTCGCCGGGATATCCTAAGATTGAGGAGTCCTTCTCCACGACCATCTATCACTAAGTTAGCATTACCTGTTTGTCTGCATCGAGCTTAGACACAACTTACAATGCGGTTTCCATCAAATCCTATACGAGTAGGCCGAGTTTCATACAGGGAAACAATATCCAGACCCTTCACAACATGCCGAAAAGTCTCGTTGATTCTCTGTAGCGTTGCCGAATTTTTGGTTAAGTCATTCACATACTCTTTCGGAGCAGATATCAATGAGACACTGAGGATTCGATTTAAGATCTCAGCAAAGTTGGAACCGCGATGTGGGGTTGCCAAGAATAAGATCGCTGTGACATTGCGGATGAGGTCTTGGTATTGAGGATCAGTGCCGCCTTGTATGTATGCTTCTTTCACGACTAGGCCTCCCATGGAGTGTGCCACAAACACGATGGGGAACTGAGTTGGTTGCCGTCAGCTGTATTCTCCATATCATAGAAAGGTAGAAACCTGGGAAGTTATGATACTTGCCTTGCCAATGTTGAGATCTACTGCTGCATCGTCAATGAAAAACCTCATGTCGTAGAGCAGATTCTTAGCAAAATCGAGGATTGAGGTCGAGCTTCGACCGCCAGCCCTCATTACTTCTGCGTTATAGCCGTAGGTGAATATCCTCATATTGCAGATGTCCTGCTCCAAGGGGAGAAACATCAATGGCCAAAAGAGGTCCGGGTCTCTATTTTTGGACCAAGTCGACCGACTCGTACCACCCAAGCCGTGTATGAAAACGATATCGGCCTTGGGCACCACATTTTCTGGCCGATGTATCAAGTGTAGTCCTAGAGGATCCCGAGTCGAGGGGACAATGGGACTTCTGCTTCTGCGCCGACTTTTGGAGTCACCACTTGACACAGACTTGCTTCGATGGACGTCTAGTGTCATTGATGGCCCAGCCTGGCCCGGCACCATCAGTGATGCGTCCGAGGCAAGAGGCACTTCAGCTGAAGGATTTTTGTTCTCGCTTTCGTCCGCTGCTGACCTGCTCCGTAGGCCAAGCCTCTTGCGCAAGTTGAACGGTGCCTGATTTACGTTAGTCGGGCGACTGCCCTCCGAGCCACTCTACCTATGGACGAAGTTGATGATAACGCACCATGACCCGAAAAGCTCCTGAGTGAATCCCAGTCTCGCATAGTTATCGGGTGGCTGCTCCGCTATCGCTGATTTGGGCTAGATAGTACCGTGTGGTATCATAAGACTTCCATCTGAACGTAATGCAATTGAGTGAAGATGCAACGGATGGAATCTCAATTCGCATGAAAGCCCGCACACCGGAGAGGTGAAGATGGTATGTGCTGGAGGGCCTAAGCCAGGTCAGAGTCTGCTGTTCAGTTCTCGTCACGATCCGGATAGTGGTGTCATATCGGTGCTGCGCCGCAACTATGCAGGACCCCGCAGATATGGGAGGGGCTCGGGGCGGTTAATGTCTGGGCCGGTTGTTGGTTGGGACATTGTAACAGCATTTGACTGTCGAGCGATCGTCGAGGCCCTCTTGACCCCTGTCTACAAGGATTACAAAGTTACTCTCATATGCAATTAATCGCATCGTTTTGGCGCTAATAAGCTGCACAACACACATCACACCCTTTTTTAATCGCACTTTATTTAAGTTTCTTAATATAGCTTTAATTTAATAATTACCTATATTAAAAGAAAGCTGCTTTCTTTTTAATTCTTTTAATATAAATTTAAGGAGGGAAAAGAAAGTATTAAAAGTATAAGGTATGTTTAAATTAAAATTAAAAATAACTTAAGTTAAAGTTAAATTTAAAGGAGTAATAAAGAATAATAAAATTTAAGAATTACCTTAAAATTACTATAAATAAAAGGTAATTATACCTAAATTTACTTAAAAACACCTTTCCCTTAAAATTTTAAATTTATTTTTAAAATTAAATATTAATATACCTTATATATTAAATAATTTCTTTACCCTTTTTAAATAAATATTAAAAGAATTAAAAAAAAGTAGCTATCTTTTAATATAAGGTATATTTGGATTAAGGGTATATTTGTTATATAGAAGGTGAAAATAGTTGAAAAACGAAGTGAGGAGGAAAAAGGGTGTGGTGTGTGTTGTGCAGCTTACTAGCGCCAAAACGATACGATTGATTGCATATGAGAGTAAGTTTAGAAACACCTGAACTCCGTTGGATTTCTACACTGGGCTCGTTGTCGTTTTGCACGACCAACTCGCCCTTCTTCAAACTCTTTGATTTCCAAAAATCTGCTTACCAGATCGCACCTTAGCCACAGGATTCGGATTCTGACTATAGACATTTGAGACTCAAGTTGGTGTCGGATTCATCACGCACTGACCTACTATTCTCGTCCTAGCCGGTCATGGCGGGCTCCATCACTTCAGCTACCGCGGCAACACAGCCTGAGCCGTCTTTACAAAAACACCTGGAGGAGATAGAAGGCGACCTTCCTATGGACGGCGCCGTTATCTTATGTATGTTGACATGACTCGTAGTTGTCCATGACTATGTGCTAATATGACCCCAGTGTTCCCGCCCGGCTCCGTCGTTCTCTCGGCAGAGTCATATGGCTCATCCGCCTGGACGCAGACAGGCTGCGTAACGGTTGAATTACCCAACGGCGACTTGAAGAAGTACTTCATGAAGGTGATTAGCCCACTTGTAATTGGAACTCCTGCGCGAACCATCTAACGGTATTGGTATGATCCAGCTAGCACTCAGGGACCATGGCAAGAACATGCTTCATGGTGAGTTCGCAGCGAGTTCTACCATCGACTCTTTTTGTCCAGGAATGGTCCCGAAACCCCTTGGCTGGGGCAAGTTCAACGTCGGCTTCCCTGAGACCTACTTTTTTATTGGAGACTTCAAGGACATACAGCTGGGCCTGCCAGATCCGTTGAAGCTTGCGAGGCGAGTGGTTCAGCTCCACAGCAACACGTCGCCGAATGGCATGTTCGGCTTTGATGTGACAACATTTAACGGCAAGGTGAACCACGTTACGGATTGGGAAACAAGCTGGAGAAAGTTCTTCACTCGCCTGCTTTCAAACACCCTCCGAGTCGATGCGGAAAACAACGGTCGTTGGCCAGAGCTGGCCGCCGTCGCTGAGCAGGTGCTGTCTGCTGTTTGCCCGAGGCTCCTTGATGTTCTGCAGGAGGGGCCTGACCCCATAATTCCGAGGCTAATCCACGCAAACATTTGGGCGGGAAACACCGGCACTGATGAGGAGACTGGGGATGTCATCTTCTACGATTGTGGGTCTTACTATGCCCACAATGAGATGGAGCTGGGCATGTGGCGCCGTGACGCTGCACACTACCTGGGTCAGCGATATCTTCACGAGTACCAGCAACTCTTCCCACCTGCGGCGCCGAAGGCCGAGTTTGACGACCGGAACAGGTTGTACTGTCTGCATTATCTCATCAATTACTCTGCGGGTCATCCAGAGGCCCTAAGCAGGCACACGTGAGTCACCCAACATACTGTTCTGATCTACCCTCGTTCGGAACTAATACCTTCGACTGAAAAGTGCGTTGAATGACATGGCATATCTCTGTGAGAAATACGCTCCATTGGATGGACTACCAAGATATGATCCGCAGAAGGATCCATCTGTTCGCAGGTAGATGGATGTGAGCACGGACAATACCAGTATTTAATTAGGTCCTGTGATGCCTCGTAGACGAACATTTCAAATGGTACTCACGTTCAGATTACACTCCCGCTCACATTATACTAGACAATAGCTTTTCTTTGTCTGACTCATCATCAGTCTTGCGTAGCCATCCCTGACACTTCATCTCAAATAAGCTTGAGTTCCCGCCTGGTCTCTACCTGCGCGGGGGGATCGGCCGTGAAAGTCTTATCACAATGGTATTCCATTTAGCGACACATTCAAAGGCATTGGATACTCTTTCTGAGTCTCGAATGAACAGAAAAAGGAGTAAGAGAACGTCCCCTGCGAGATACGTCCTTGTTCTCTTGGCAATACCGCCTTTTGTTGGCTAGAAGCGCCGCACGAAAAGCCCGGACACCTTCGCAAGGGGCTCGCGCTGGCACCATGCAGATCTTCCGTCCACAAACGACAGTACTGCGAACACGTCCTTTACGGCGTCTGCGATAATAGTGACCAGGGTATCCTGGTAAACGTCGCCCATGAGCGTAGCCTCCGCCCAGTCGATGGGTGAGTCGTGGATGATACACAGCGAATCGATCCAGACGTAACATATGCCCATAATGAGTACAACATTAACGGTATCCGGGAAGGTCTGGGTCAACAGATCCGGGGTGACATCCCGTTCGAAGTCGAGCAGGATACAGCATTTGTTCTGCCGAGTCACCAACCAATGGCAATTTGCCAGTCTCTGTTATTGTGCATCATACTTAGCCATTTTTGCACGTTGGATGACCATAGACTGCTCTTTTCAGCCACACCGGTCTGCAACGCCACGTTGACAAGACCTTCTGTTTATGGATCGAAGATGACGAGTTTGTGTCACCAAGAGAGGTTTTCACTGAATCAACCCCGCTCCTGTGGCACCTCCACCCTCCTGGATACATGTCATTCTTTTCCTCTTCGTCATTCAAGGAACTCCATTGCCACCCCTCAGCCGAGTTGGCACCGTGCCAGAAGTGCTTCTTCACCATGGACGCAACCGCTCCCGCTCTTGATGCTTCGTTGGAAGACAACACTCACGCAGATGGCCGGTCGGCATTCGAGTCTTTGAACAATGTGCTCGCACTTTTAGATCAGGAACGAAGCCGGCAGCTGGTGCAACAAGTGGTTCCGGCCGTCACGTACACTGGACCTTTCGACGTCGTGGGAAGAGAGCATTGTCTTGATCCTCCGACTCAGCTGTGCTCCCCTTGTAAACGATTGGTTCAACAGCCGCCACCCATCTGCTCATTCGAAGACCGGAAGACCTCGCACGACTTTCCACCAGAACGATTCTGGATTCCACATCATAGTACCCTCTTCGAGCTTATTGACTGCTGTTTCAGTCAATCTGGGAGTTGTCGTCTGTGTCATCTATTCTGGCATGCTATATGTCGTGAGACTGTGAGCCACCGGTCGAGAAAGCTTAAAAGTTCATTATGCCACTGGCATGATGGTGGGTTGAAAGTGGCAATACAAGAGATTTCCAAAGCACATTTTGGTCTTGGCCTGAACATCCTCCAGGGACCTCATGGCCTCTTCATGGACTTTAATATTTGGATGAATCGTTGTACGTGATATTCCTAACTTTATGCTGCCACCGCGTGATTCTTTCTAACATGTCGTAGCGTATGTTGGCGATCACTCACAACACGGTCCAATCCTAGCCGAAACAACTGATTCTGCTTCGACTTATAGTCAGACCAAAATCTGGATAGACCACTGTCTGCGCAACCATAACTTGTGTCAAATCACCAGTCCATCGGATTCTCAGCGACCTACAAGATTGATAATCCCTGATCACTCGGCGGGTACTTTCCAACTCACAACAAATGCCGCCCCTGACACAAGGTATGCCGCTGTCAGCTACCGCTGGGGCAGTGGGGAGGGCTGTTACATGTTGACGCAAAAGACGGTCAAGGACATGTGGGAAGGTACATCTATGGGAGTCCTCCCTAAGACGATTCTAGATACTTTCACCATCGCTCATCGCTTAGACCTGAAGTATATCTGGATTGACAGGCTCTGCATCCTCCAGGACTCGCGCGAAGACTGGAGCCGGGAAGCTTCAAGGATGGCACTCATTTACAAATATGCCTTCCTCACTATTTCCGCAAGCTGCGCCGCGCACGAGAACCAAGGGTGCTTCAGGAAGCGAAATGTGGCTGGTATCCAGCCGTTACAATTGATTTCGAACCCGCTTTTGCCCTCCGTGGCTTGGTGTCATGGTAATGCCAGTTGCATCAGTAGCGGCGAGCCAGAAGAGAACCAGAAATTAGGGGGGAAACTTGGACACCTGGCGGACCGCGGCTGGGTATTTCAGGAGAGAATCCTCTCTCACCGCATCGTGCACTTTGCGGAAGAAGAGGTATATTGGGAATGCAGGGAGCTAGAAGCAAGCGAAGCATGGCCAGATGGGGATCCGCTTAAATCACCACGCCGCCCACCGCTCTTGTATGACTCTGGGAACGAGCACCGAGTCAAATACTCGGCTTGGCATAAGGTTGTTCAGGATTATTCTGCACGCGTTTTCACTCACGATGGAGACAAGCTCCCGGCATTGTCAGGTCTAGCAAGGGAGACAGCGGAACTGCGCAAAGATGTTAGTGAAGAGTACCTCGCCGGTCTTTGGCGATCGACCGCGCTTATTGACCTCTGCTGGAGACATTTTCCTGGCAGACTGAGAGTACCAGAGCAATACCTGGCACCTTCCTGGTCGTGGGCGAGTCTAAGCGGCAACATTGACTATGGCATGGGCGGTCAGGGTGTCCGATACAGACCAGCGGCGACGTTCAAAGATGCTCGTTTCAGATTTGCGACCGCCGATCCCTACGGAGCTGTTCTTGACGGATGGATCCATCTCTTTGGGCACCTCAAGCCGGTCACGGTGGTCCAATCGGGTCTACCAGATCACGTCCGGCGGAAGATGCCGTGGGAAGTGAGAGTTCACGGCACAAATGGTCAATGTCTACCGTTTGATGATGGTTTCCTTGGCACGCTCGATATTGAGACGTTCGCACCCGGGGAGAAAGAATCCGTGGCGATGTTCTGCTTGCCCGTGCTGAAGAATCAGCAATTAGACCCCGAAGAATACTGCCCTGACTTTCACTGTCTTCTCCTTGTAGAAAATGGTTCCATTAAACATAGAACATCGAGTGTGGCCTTGCCCTCGCCGAAGGTGTGGCACGAGGAGGAATACCAGAGGGCAGGACTGGCAACGATTACGGTCAGCAACTGGGTAGCATTTCAAGAATGGTTAGATGAAAGCCCACAACGAGATGTTATAATCCGTTGAGGCCAACTAGAAGGAAAAGAGAAATTCTTAAGGTCTGGATTTGATTGATACTTAAGCTACAATCAAGTCTTTCTGCATCCCCAAGATAACGACGAGAATACACTGTATCGACCTCAAACAATATAGAATGGACTTTCGAACGAGAAACGGTTCATCAATATACCGAATAGCTCGTCGATACGAGCGTCAATCTGTTGGAAAGTTTCTGTGCAACATCAAGGCCCCGCTGCCGGTAGGTATGACCATCTGAAAACGTTGCGGCATGCATGTACTGTCACACGCGTCCAGCCTGGTTCAGCATCTTGGGGATCACAACATCACGGTTGAACCGCCACAGATAAGCACTGTAATGAGTATGGAACGCCGCGCCGCTGTAAAACATAGTCCCACCCAGCCCCCCCTGCAGCGCCGACAACTCCGTATAAAACCCGTCCCGGATCGCCTCGCCCGGAACCTGCAAGTGGAACGGCGAGTGCGACTTGAAGACCAGCCACTCCGGCTCCGTGACGGGGAACCCCTTGGCCGCCTGCAGCGTCTGGATCTGGCGGGTGGCGTAGGCCCGCACCTGCGCGTCCGTGAGCGTCGGCGCGTCGGCGCCGAACTTGACCCACCACACGTCGTCGATGGTGCCGACGGGCGCGACGTGGTACAGCGCGGGCAGCACGGGGATGTTGAAGGGGGTGTGGGCCGCGGCGTTGTCGAAGCTCACGGTCTGGTTCATGCCGATGCCGCGGACCAGGCCCGTCCAGTACCCGTTGGCTGTGGTGTACTGCGAGAAGACGGCGCGCTCTTGCGGGGTGAGGTCCCAGCCGGCGAGGTTGGAGAGGGTGGGCGGGATGGTCAGGAGGATCTGGGAGCATGAGAGGAGTTTGGGGCCGCCGTCGCGGCTTGAGACGAGGAGTTCGGATCGGCCTGTTGATGTGTTTTGGCGCTCGGTGGCGATGACCGTGGATTGGAGCATGACATTTCGTGCTCCCAGATATTCGGTGGCCTTGTAATACAGCTCTGAGTTGTTCCCCTTTGCTGATGTCAGGTAGCCCTGAGATAGGGCCTGAATGTCTCCCAGGTTGAAGTATTTGATGACGTTAATGGTGGGCATATGAAGCATGTCTCCTGTTCCCTGTCCGACTGCGTATGTAATCCGAAAAGCGGCCGACAGGTTGTACTTGTCCACGAATTCACCGAAAGGCGAGTACAGATCTTGTGGCACTGGATCCGGAAGATCGTCGCCTTCCAAAACGTACGAATATTGGGACAGCACTGCAGCCATTCGTTGCAAAGCACCCGCAACATCGGGGAACTCAGTCCACGATACATCCGAGCCGTCCCGGAAGTCTGCGTGTTTCCGAATGGTGTTGAATAAAGGGGCGGGAACGGAAGGATTTGGTGGCTGGCCCGGCGCATTAACGTCGGCAGTTGATGTGTTGATCAATGATATCTGGAATTTGTCGAAGAACTCCTGCACGGCCGGGAACGGCTGGTAGACAACCACGCCGATGTCCACGGGCGCCCCGGTGTCCGGATCTATGTACGTTTGTGTGGCACCTCCTAGCTGGGCATCGCGCTCGATCACGATCACAGTCTTGTTCAAGTCCATGAGTGATACCGCAGCATGAACACCGCTGGCTCCTCCGCCCACGACGCACACATCTCGCTCGACTACCTCACTCTCATCTCGGTTGATGTCAATGACAGACCAACCACGGGAGTAGACTCGGAGTGGCTGGGCTAGAATCGCCAATAGCAGCCAAATCTGCCTCTGGGCTCTCATGATGAGTTTGCTGTAAAAGATTGTGGGAAGAATGGATAGCAGAAAGCGAGCCTCGACACTTGGACTGAAGTGACCCGTTCACACGAGTCGCTGGCACTAGAAAATAACGTAATATCACGGCCCCCGATGTCCGCGGGATATGTGATGTGAGATCTCAAGCTCGAAACAGCCGCAATCAGAAGGAGGCGATTTGTTCAGGGGAGATGCCGTTTAGACCATACTGCCCAGCCGCAGCGAAGGATCAGGCGGGCGGTAATGGTGGCTTGTTCGGCAGAGTTATCAACCGTCGGTCGCCTCATCATGCAATTAGGTGAATATCCACGGCATTAGAACCTGCAACTGCTGGTATACAGTGCAACCTCAGCTCGAAGACGCATCCCCTGTATCGTTACACCTGTTGCCTGCGGTCGATGCATGCGGCGAGAGGATGTTTGATCTTGGCAGCCACCTACCCATGTGAGCGAGGACCATGTCTGTCCCGCATGAAGGATTCCGCACGGTGCCCTAATCTGCCCTTCAAGGCGGCGGCGGCGGCAAGATGACGTGTACCTGCCTATTTGGTGCTGCAGGCGTGGGCGATAGATACCTTTGGGTGCATGTGGTGAGACCGATTGCTGCCGGACGAACGGCCGAGGATCTTCGTCCATCCTTCGGTCGTCGATCCTAGCTTACCGCGTACGATTCACGACCAATGTTGCATTAGGGGGAAAATAAGATATAGAAGACAGTTCTGGGAAGTCTAAAAACTGGACATTTTGAGTGCTTGTTGATAATGCTGCATTCAACTACGCTTTTTGCTAACTACTCAGTCTATATACTTTGGATCCAACTGATACAGTGCCTCTTGGTTCCCATGATCACCCGCATTTCAGGGGAAGAGCTTAAATCCACCGGGGCACGCCTTCTGGAAAAGCCCCTTAGGATCATACTTCTTGCTCGCATCCTGTAGCTTCTTCTTGTTCTGAGTGCCATACGAGTTGATGGGGTCCTGGTGAGTCCACGCGTAGTTCATGTACACGAACGGCAGCAGCGTCCCGCGCCCGGCAGCATCCTGCTTCATCTTCTCGAGGGACTCCTTCATGAAGGATAAGACAGCATCATCGTCGCTCTTGTTCTGCCAGTACGAAAGCAGCAGCACCGAGACCAGAGGGCCGTCGGAGCGCTTGAGCCCCAGTGAGTTGCCCCCGGTCTCCTCTGACTGTTCCATCAGGGAGGTTGGGTACGGCTGCAGCGTGAAGGAGGCCAAGAGACCCGCAACAGACTTGACGGGGTCAAGGCCTCCGGTGTAGATGTCTGTTGCCGCCTGCAGGGTGGCCACGTCGGCCTTGACGGTGATGTTCATGTAAGCGCATCTGCCGCCGGTTAGCCCTCGCATCACGAACATGACAAGAGGTTTTGAGAGCATACCTCACTTGGCTTTGAGTCCCCCCTGCCTGCTCTTGCGCCGCCTCCGAGACGGTTTGCAGGCGCATGGTGTTCAAGGCGTCTATCTGCGGCTGCATCTTGCTGAAGACGTCGATCACGGGAGGGTTCTCGACCTCGTCGAGATAGTATGGCTGGTTCAGACACATGACTTCGTCCCCAAATAAGGCCGAGTAGCCAGTGCTGACCATGAGATGGGTCCTCTTGCTCTCGACGGGGTCGTTCAGCACCTTGACGAGGGCTTCGAGCTGGCTGGGGAAGGTTGGGGCAAAGTAGTAGAGGAAGCCTCCCCAAATTTTTCCCTGCTTGAAAGTCCGGAAGTCATAGCGTGTGACGATGCCCAGGTTGTTTCCGGCACCCTTCAGCCCCCTCCATAGATCGGAGTGGTCCTTGGCATTTGCTTGAACGATGTCACCCGAGGCGAGAACAACCTCGAAATTGATCACATTATCGCACATGAAACCCTGACGGCTCGAGAAGAAAGACAATCCTCCTGCGCAGAATTAGTCAATAGGGTCATGAAATACAAATTTGGGAAGGCAAACCCTCGGTAGTCAGGCCTCCAATGCCATTGGATGCAGACCTTCCGCCTGCAACAGACAGACCCTCTTCAGCCAGCTTATCGTACACCGCACCCCACCGCTCACCTGCTCCAATCTTGACAAGGCCGTTACTCGATTCGACGCCTTTCAATAGGGCAAGGTCCAGAGTAATTCCATCCTGAATGTTTGCACACCCGGGAAGAGGCTGCTGCCCTCCGCCACGGACAGCAAATACGATGTCGTCCGAACGGCTGCTGACCACCTTCACAAAAGCGGAAACGTCCTCTTTGGTTTTAGGCTGCACAATCCAGTACGGCTTGAGATCACTCTCGAAGCCGGAGAGGTACGAGCCGTTGAGCGTCTCGTACAGTTCCTCTCCACGCTGTGTGAAGACGCCATCCGGGATGGCCTCTTTCAAGGCATCGATAGCGCTGGAGTAAGCCATTGTCAGAGGGCGATACGTGATTCGTAGATGGCACAAGCAGAGCGAGAGAATATTACTTGACCAATGCTTACGGTGAAAAGAAGTCAGGAGACCCGGATTTCAGGGAAGAAAAGGGTGGTAGACGAGACCCTGGAGCCCGCAAGGGCTGACGAGACGCATGCCAGCAGAAGGGTTCTCACGGCCCTCCCCTGGCTGCTAATAATCATCAGCCACAAAAATACCCAGCATCCCGTGAAGCCCAGCTGAGCCTTGCTGCTGCCTGGTTCATTGCGGTCAAGCAGCGTATCCTACATCAACGGCGCTCGCATGTCGTTGTCGCTAATACAGTTAACCCCCCGTTGGTTCCTTGCCGCTCACCCGGCTGCGCTTACCGGTCTTCCAAATCGGTTATGATCAAGAGACGGGTCTCCAGGAACCAAGATTCCTTCCTTGGCCAGGAGCTTGAGATGCAGATGATTGGTGATCAGTCGAGATTCCTTCGAGGAGATAGTGAGACACCGTAGATGCACGGGACTTTATACACCGTCGTTCAACTGACATGTCACCGCATATGAGGCTCGCGTAGTACCCAGTGTAACCCTCCTGGAATCATACGAGGGCGTGTGGTTGGGGGGCCGCGAGTAGGATAAGCAGGGGGGTGTGCATAAGATGCCAGTCGCTGGCAAGTTGCAGGGAGGGTCTGTGCGGGTTTAACCGAGAGAACTAGGCGTAACCGGCTAATGGTGGGAACGGGGAACGCGTGTAAGCCGTAGGACCCGCCAATATGGTGTACAATCTCGAAAGGCTCGACCTAAGCGCGCGGGATGTAGGCCCGGGGGTTTTTAAGGATCGCATGTGATGTAACACAGAGATACAACCCAGGTAAGGTGCTTTGAGGCACCTGAAGTTGACCAATTATTGATACGGAAGCTGACGGCATGAAACTTCAATGTTAACCTGCAAGGTAAGTAATAAGTACGAGACTCTGTGTAACATGAGGCTCTACTAGTAGTACCTGGGGGTGTGCCGGATGCGGGCCGGCCGTGGGGGCGGCAATGTGACATCTCGCTCGGATGTGACCAACCTTGGTTAGTTGCTGAACTGACCAAGGAAGGCTGACTGCAAGTTAAGCTGACAGCATACACTAGAGATTCGATCTTGTGGTCTGCGAGGATCTATGGTTAGTATGCCAAGTGCTTTGTTTGCACTGTGGGTGTGAGACCCTGTCAGTCTGCCAACGGAACAGCTGATTTCCATGTCCCCATTGGACGTGCAAGACCGTGCATGTAGCTGACCGACCCATGCGTGATAATAGACCCCAAAAGGACTGCACTAATTGTTGGCGCGCCTAGATGGGAGAACTTTCTGTGCGACCACCCAACGCGCAGCGTCGGAGGTGTGCCACAACCCGAGCCTAGCACCTGTAAGGGAGAGTAAGACAGGCAGCAGGTCGCGCCTTTTGTGCTTCTCAACGCTGCCATTTGCCATCATGAACCTAGTGGCTTTCCCCCATCAACAGCGAGAACACTAGACGTTGTCATTGTTGCTGTCAACAGAACAATCCGAATCGAACCAAGATGGCAGGCGAACCGACTGCCATCGAAGGCGAGAAGTCACCTGCCGCCGACCCCTGGGGAACGACAACAACAACTGACGCGACTAGCGCAGCTCCTTCCTCAGAGCCTATCGATCCTAATCAGAATGCATCAACCTCGCCGCCGGCCGACGACCAGCCCGCCCCGCGCAAGAGGCACCCGCCCCAGTTCTGGATAGTCATCATCTCGCTGAGCCTGCTCGCATTCATCTCGGCCCTGGACACCATGATCGTCACGACGGCGCTGCCGACCATCACAGAGGAGCTCGGCGGCGCCACCGAGTACGTGTGGATCGGCAACTCGTTCGTCTTCGCGTCGTCGGTCCTGCAGCCACTCGTGGGCCAGCTCGCCGACATCCTGGGCCGCAAGATGCCCACCGTCGTGTCCATCGTCCTCTTCATCGTCGGCAGCGGCATCGCCGGAGGGGCGAACAACACGGCTGCCTTCATCGCGGGGCGGGCCGTCCAGGGCGTCGCCGGCGGCATATACGTCCTGATTGATATCGTCTGCTGCGACCTGGTGCCCCTGCGAGACCGCGGCAAGTACCTCGGAATCGTCAACGGCTGGGCCGGCGTCGCTGCGGCGCTGGGGCCTGTGCTGGGCGGCGTGCTGGCCCAGGCGAACTGGCGCTGGATCTTCTGGATGAACATCCCTATCTGTGTGCTGCCTCTGGCTCCCATTGCACTCTACTTGCCCGCTAAGAAGGGGCACGTCTTGTCTGGGCTCCGCCATGTCGACTATCTGGGAACTCTAATCTTCATCCCCGCCATCGTGGCGGTCTTGTTCGGCTTGGTTACTGGAGGGGTGTTGTACCCATGGTCGTCGTGGCGTGTCATTCTCAGCTTGGTACTCGGCTTCCTCGGCTGGATCGCCTTTCACATCCAGCAGAACTTTGCAAAGAACCCCAGCGTCCCCACACGTCTGTTCAGCAACCGCACGTCGGCCATCGGCTTCGTCTTGACATTCCTGGGCTCCGTTGCTCTTCAGGCCCTCGGCTACTTCCTCCCCGTCTATTTCCAAGCTGTCTTGACCACGTCGGTTCGCCAGTCGGGCATCAACTTCCTCCCCGTCGCAATAGGCTGCCTCTTCTTCGCAGCCATTGCTGGTATCGCACTGAGTGCATTTGGCTTTTACAAGCCCATTCATGGTATTGCCTTTGGTCTCTCGATATTGGGATACGGGCTGTTCACAATGATCGATGAAAACACCAAAACGGTTGCCTGGGCCTTCTTCGAACTCATCGCCGCTGGTGGGCTGGGAATGACCATCTCAGCTGTGCTGCCTTCCATTCTAGCGGGGCTCTCGCAGGCCGACGTGGCCTCTGCCACGGCGACATTTTCTTTCATCAAGACTTTTGGTTTCATATGGGGTGTCACCGTGCCCTCTGTCATCTTCAACGGAGCAGTCAACGACCGTGTGGACCATGTTTCTTCGCCGGCTTTACGAGACCAGCTCAGGGATGGCAGAGCATATGCTTTTGCTAGCCAGGCGCAGCGCGTCTCTCGCACATTGGACTCAAACCTGTGGGGTGAAGTTGTCCACGTCTATGTTGAGAGCCTGAAACCAATCTGGTGGTTTGGGCTGGGTATCAGCGTTTTCGCCTTCTTGCTAGTGTTTTTGGAGAAAGAATTGCCACTGTCAAAGGAGCTGCACACAGAGTATGGCCTGGAAGAGAATAAGCAACCCGCATCCACCGAAGCCACGGCCAAGGCGCAAGTGTAGGATAACTTGGAGGAGGATGCTTTCAGAGTGGCCTTTTGCTGTTTACCATGTTGGCTAGTGAATAGAAGAACCCCTTCAGTCTCTTCCAATTCATTGTACTCATCTTTATGTACTTTTATAGAAAATTAAAAGTTTAATCAGGGCACGGTCAAGCAGTATGTATTGCAGTTGCCAGTCGAAACTCATGATGAATCATTTATTGGCTACATAAGAAATCGGCGAGAACATTGCAAGCGGGTGAATTGAAACCATCTCGAGAATTTCGATCCGGTCGACAGAAATACTTCGATACCCAAGCAACTTTGCTCGCCATGTCACCAAGACTGTCGTCTTCACAAACTCATTGCGTGGCTTCGTCAACCGGTGTAAAGATCACCGCAGTGCTTGCCTTTGGCAGCATAGTTGACCTCCAGACCATCCAACGAGACGACTCGGGCTCCGCCAGCTCGCAGTTGTAGTTCAAGATCACCTGACCGAGCACCACCTTCATAACCGCGACGGCATAGAATCTCCCCGGACTGTAAGTCGTTAGTCTTGTGCAACTGTTCATGCGACCCCAAGCTTAGCGGGTTGTCACTTACCAGGCCATTCTGCCCGTTCCCCACACATGCCACGGATGGTCGGCATCTGTCAGCTTCGACGGGCTTGGCTGTCGGAAATCGACGCCCTCTGAATCATCTGTGCCAGTTTCCCTTTGTTCGGCGAAGCGGAAGCCTCGGAACTCGAGGGGGTCTGGGAAATACTCGGGGCTCTGCATGATGCTTCGGACGGGTGTGCAGGCCCATTCTCCCGGGCGGACGGCTGTGCCGTCGGAGAGGGTGAAGGGCTTGAGCGCGGAGCGACGCGTACTCACTTTGTGAAAGATTATTGATCAGAAAACGATAAACGGAACCTCAGGAAGCGAGGGGGTCTGCAAATGACTCACTAGATTCGACGGGAGTCAGACGTGCGGACTCCTTGGCGAAGCTATCCAGCAGCGGAAGGCCCTTGGATGTGCGCTCAAACTCGGCATAACCGGCCTGCAGTTCTTCGCGTAGAGGCTGAACATACTCAGGATGAAGGCAGAGGTCATGGATAGCAAAGGTAATAGTCTACAAGAAGGAGATTAGTCTTCACGTTCGACTGCTGCCCAAAGGCACCAAGGGATAGAAAGATTTGGGGGGAGGGGTTTCACCGTCGAAAGTGCATGTACTGAACCGAACCAAATAGCCATCAGCTCATGTATGATCCGTTTGGGTGTCCACGGCCTTGAACGAGGCGAGGTTTCCATGATCCACTGGATGCAATCGGCCTGTCATAAAATTTGGTCAGCTTTCAGCGAAGTCTTAGTCTGCGGTGGTGACCACCCAGATATTGTAAGAAAGAAAGGGCGCGTACATGGCGGGGCACTGCTTGGCCTGCAGCCTTCAAATCTCTCTCTCGGCATCGCTCTTCTGCTATGGGCAAGAGTACATTGAAAATGACCTCTTGCGACTTGAGTCGTCGACCTATGATCTGGCCCACAATTCTGCAGGCAGTCAGCTTCTCGGGATCTTGGAAATCGCTGAACATTGGCGAGTCGCATTGAAAGACATTCAAGTCGCACAAGAGACGTACCGTGCAAGTAACGGAGGCAACAGTTTCACGATCTCAGCGCATATCAGAGTCTCCTCGACGTAGTCCAAAGCCGACTTCATGAAATGCTCATTTTTGGCTGGCGAAGGTGGTACTTGTCAGTGGGATTGATCGAGACCGACATGGTTTCCAAAGCGTGGCTAGGAGAGCACATGGGTAAAACCAAGGAGTTTCTCTTACCCAGATCTTTGCCGAAAAATGACACAGCGTTGCTCAGAACCACCAGCTTGACGATCATAGGATACACTGGCGAGTACCGACGGCCTGTCTCTGTGGCAGTGGATCTGGTGTCAGCGAAATTCGCGACCATGGCCAACAGGAGGGCACTTCCATATGTGCTTACCTTTCTCAACACGATGCGTTGCGTGTAGCTCTTCAAAGCGCGCCCTAATTATCACGCTCAGATCTGGTAGGATGTCAGGCAGGTTGTTGGTCAGGAGCGTGCGCAGAGCGCGGATGAATCCAACGCCCTCTGTTCCTCTTCTGTCGAACCAGTTGAACCCGTGCATGGTATACATAGGCTGCAGCATCTGTATTTGAAGGATTTGTCAGATACACTCCAAATTCTCAAATACATAAAGCTTTCCAGGCAAGTCCCTCGCGGCGTTGCCAGTGAAATGCAGATAAAATGGGCTCATTGGGGCACCGACCTGCTTAGAAGCCGCTTGGAGGCTCAGCACCGTATCGGGAGCCGAATCGAGCTCCTTGATGTGCTTCGTCGATGATACGAAGACGTAACGGTTGTCGGGAGCATTAATCTCGAAAGGATTGCCGTGTGCCTGGACAATGGAGCCACATCAGTCAAGGCTCATGTTGGCGTGTTCGGCTGCGAAGGGGCCTGGATTTACCTTGTCGAAACCATCCTGGATGATACGGGGACCGTCGACCAAGTACATCCATGAAAGAAATCTCCGTCTGACCCAACTGATGAAGTTGCTCCGCTGTTTTGACAGATTTGTCTGCCTCGGTTATCAGCCAGTGTTCCAATCCCTTGTGCGGTAAGTCACACGGGCTTTCACTATTCACCTTCTCACCCCCGATTGTGCTCAGCTTCTCGCTGAAGAGTAGGCCACAAATAAGAGCAACGACCACTACAGTAGCCAAGCTCGCGGTGTTTGCGTGGGCCAAGAACGTGAGCAGCCCTACGGCTGAGGCTTGGTTGTTGAGGCTCATTTTCGTTGAGTCCTGGGCAGAAGGTAGAAACAGTAGATTCACGAGTATAATACTGATATTTTCAGAATATTGTTTCCAGGCGTGCACCTTTGTTTTCAAAGACGTTCACTCCCGTACATCACAGTCATTTCTTTTTCTTTCTTTTTACATATCTTCTTGGGGGTCGGTTTATACACTAGACAGGTACTCTCGCCCACCCCTCGGTCCGATTCACTACCGCTGAGCTGATCTGGACGCTCCTCGGGTGAAACTTCTCAACTTGGATGGTGGGCCGGACCATCCTTGGCAGGTTGATGTAGGGACAGACCACCAATTGATGAGAGCGGCAACATGGAATCTTACTGCAGACCAACACACCTAGTCCGGAGCCGACTGTCTCAGATGCACTGTGCATAAGGGTTGAGTAAACGCGATGAGGATGTTGTCTATGTTGCACAAACGTTTTCAATCTTATGCGGCCTACCTGCCGCCCTTTCCCACCTGCAGCCAATGTACTTCGAGAACACCCTGAAGCCGCCCTCGCCCCCTCCTCATCCTTCCGCTCCCACACACTCACGATTCCATTCCGGTTAAGTGGAATTAAATACAGCGACAAGAAGACGGAGGATTCAGATATCCAGTAGTTTGCGACACAGGTTGGCCCCCAACGTGACCTGCATCCTTCTCTCATCAGCGGCGAGGCTGCTGATGGACCTCGAAGGGTCCATGGCATTGGCCTGCCTATGCTGGTACTTGTAGCACCCCGCTCCCTCTTTTTTCGAATGCGAGCCTCCGCCTCCGGTTGAACTGGTTTCTGGAAATGACCCGTGACGCTTTCTGATTTCTCTTGTTGTCACATCTGCCCTGCCACTATCACATCCCCCGGCCCGACGGCTAAGCTCCGAGCTTCTTTGCAACAATGGATATGTCCTCGGGCATTTCGCGGGAGGCTTTTCTCGGGGCTGGGTCTTTCCTTGTTGTTTTCACCGGCTTGTTCGTTTGTGTCCGCCTCGCAGTAAGCTTCAGGCTGTCGGGAAGCCTGTATCTCGACGACTGTAAGCAGGACCTGCCGCCATGTCCTTCTTCCAATATGCTTGAGGGGCTCGTCGGCTGACCTTTTCCAACAGATGCAGCAATTGCCGCCGTCTTCTTTCTGGCTGCATTCTTTGGGATCCTTTTCGAATTAGTCCCTCGTTGGTGCCTCCCAAGCTCCCTGTTTTGTTCAAGCATGGCGCTAACATATCGCCACCACCGGCAGTCTACTCCGATCCACAGTTCTTACTCAAGCTACGGCTCATCAGCCAGGTATGCCAGACCGCAGATCCCAACGTCGTGTCACAAAGACCATAAACGCTGATATGTTTGTTTCCGCTGCAGTTAGCAGTGGCGTCGGTCTTCATGTCCGGATTTGTCATGTGGACTGCCAAGATCCCCATTCTCCTGCTTCTTATCCGCATCTTTGGAATTCACCGCTGGCTGCGTATCACCGCTATCCTCACAATCGTTCTCACTGGCCTCGCCATCCTTGCAGGCGTCGCCTATAACGCCAACGCCTGCATGCCCCCGAACAGCGACCTCGGCTTCACCCCCGACTATCTGGCAACGTGCGCTGACGCAAACTCATACACGGGAGTCGCATTGGGCTCTGTTTCAATCGCGACAGATGTCATCATTTTTATTTTGCCAGTACCAGTGATCGCCAAATTAAAGCTGGAGACCGGGAAGAAGATTGGCTTGCTTCTTGTTTTCCTCGTCGGCATAGGGTCAGTGACCTCTCTAAAATCCCGTTCCAAGGCACCCCCTCCCCCGTCTCCACCATTTCAGATGCTAATATGTGATGTCCTATAGTGCCATTGTTGGCAGTGCAGTCGCACTCAACTATAAAGTCAAGTCACTGTCTGGAGCAGCCAGTGATATTCAGCTGGCCGGAATATTAACGTGAGTTTACCTTCAACGACAGCCCAGCATTTTTCCCCCACCAGAATGCGGCCCACTTACAGATCAATCCATGACTCTAGGATTCTCGAGTACACAATCGCGATCACGTCCAGCTGCGTTCCTGCTATCAGAGCATTCTGGAGCGGTTTCATCGTCCAGTCCCAGCTATTCTCAAGGTTGACCTCTTACATGTCGAAGGCGTCATTCAGCATTGGCCGATCATCGAGGAAGCCTACGGACCACCTCAATGGAAGCAGCGAGTATATCAACGCATACTCTAATCTCGAGGACGGCCATTCCAAGAAGCCTACACTGAACACAGCGAGCCTGCCGCTCGACAGCTTCAATACCCGACCTTGAGCAAACTGGCACCCGGGGTCTTCGAAACAGGCACGATTGTTTTCCAAATACTGCACATACTGGGCACGGGCTCCCTGACTCGCCCAAAGGCGACGGCGACACAGCTGAACAGGTCAGTTGTCCCGCCGCGTCAGTATGATGTGAACTTTATGGACCAAGCAACTTGTAATTCTCTGGGATGTACCAATCGCAATCAAGTCATTTATTCTTGTTCTCACTCAACTGTGAAAGTCTCCCGCTCCAAGGTATAACCCAGCCGGGTTGCAGATCTTCTCGTGTTACATCAGCGCATACAATCCAACCAAGCGAACGCTATCTCTATGTCTGTGTGTAACGTTTTGCAGAAGTGTAACACGACACTTGCAGATCACTATACAACCTGGAAATTTGGCATTGATCTCCACACATAAAACATCAATTATGCATCGCAACGTGGATCTAACTCGGTCCCGGTGCACACGCCCAGCCGCCTTCGATTGGGATGTGGCGTCTCTTGGTCCGCCCAGCAGAATGCAGCGCTCAGGTGATCACGGCACAAAACATCGCAGGATCACGGCACGGAACATCGCAGCCCTGCCCGGCATGCAGTCAAGAAGCATCTAGCCAGCTCGCCAGGCAGCCGGCGATCTGATAAGCACTTGTTGGGCCCGCCACCATTCCATTGATCAACACCAGCGACAAACCGGATATCCGTGACCAATCACTGCCTCATGACGGGGCACAAGTAGGGCTGGCCGCTTACACAGTACCCGATGCTGGCTCTGGTGTCTCAGACTCTGCGAATCAGGTCATTGTCTCGTCATGAAGCGGACTAACTATCCTCACTCGGGATAAAGCAAACCTGCATGCAGTGCATGGTGGTCGTGTGTTGCTCAGCAATGGTCCTTTTGACCCGACGGTAGCTCGTTCCAGAAGTCCTGCACCGGATGCCCTGGGACAGGGATATCGATCCTACCGTTGCGCCGGGTCAGCACTAAATACAGATGGCATCTGTCGTGATGTCGAACTAGACCTTGGGGAAGGGTCGGACGCGGGTAAACCCGCTGATTTGGGTAACGTAACGCAGCACGATGTCACGGCACACTTCAATGCTGTCAGACAGTCGCTTATCTTGTATGTGCCTCCTCAACCCCCACGAAAGTTATAACTCACCTAGGTATAGTTCTCATCTCTGCGTTCAGACCACCTTCCACTACTCGGCAAGCCACCACCTGCCTGCTTGGCAATGATAGCCCCGGCCGAGTCTTCCCTTTCTTGAAACTGGCAGCTGCAGGGTCGTGTTGGCGAGGATGGCTATGAGGTTCATCCAATGTCATGCCTGTGCGACCACATCCGTACAAGTGGTGGCCACTAATTTTGGCGAGGAAGGATTTACAGGGTCATAAAGGTGGCGCACAATTCGCGCTACACACACGCCCTTCCCGCTCTTCAGGGGCCGGCCGAGCCGTTAGATGCAGGGCTTGCTGTCGTATCACACTGCAGGTATTGTGTGTTTCCTGGGAAGGATCTCATACACATGCAGTGGCTCCTTTGATGCTACCGTGCACAAGGTTATTGGTCTTGAAGTCACGCACTGTCACCTTTCTTCCACTTGGACGAGATGGGGTGCCACACTCCAATCGCAGTTTGGAATCATCTGCCTCTCACTGGCAACTGGCTCTGGCCTCCTGTCTCCGATGTTGTCAGGCCAAAGTTTTGTAAGCAGCGTTTCTGGGCTTCTGAAATGAGTGTTTGTTTATCCGGCCCCGTTGCTGTGTGCCTATCTCCACTATCCAAGAATGCAGTGGTTCCCACGCACGGTCTACCATTGAACTTGTACTCAGTTGACGAAGATGGATTTCTCGGCTTTTCCAGTGCGCACTCAGGCTCTTGCAGTCCTGTTTGTATTGACTATTGTGATACTCCTGAACAGGATTTACACGGCCAGAAATAGTAAATTGGGCCACTGGATCCGCGAGCATCCCATTGTTGGTAGTGGCAAACAGTGGCTGTCGTGGTGGCTTGCCACGGTTCGCTCCATCAACCAGTCCAGGAACTGGGCCTACTATGGCTATTCCAAGGTTGGAGTTCTCATCTATCGTGTAAACAGCCTTGGAATGACTTTTCACTGACAGTTGTAATTTCTACGAGCGACACAGTATTCCAAATCCAACTCCCCCTTCCTCGTGCCATGCCTCGACCGCGGCCCCACGGTGATCATCCCCCCGAGACAGCTGAAGAAAATATATAATCTCCCTACCAGCGTCCTGGACGTGTACGAGACACAGCATGAGACCATACAGTCCAAATACACCATCTCGGATCACGATGTCTGGAGGAATAGTTACCAGATCGATGTCATCCGCCACCAGATGACTCGCAATCTGAAGACACTCACGCCACCGATTGCCACCGAGCTTGCTCTGGGATTCGATAGACAATGGGGGTCCGATACAGAGAATTGGAAGGAGTTCCGGATCTGGGATTCAAGCTTGAAGTTGATTGCGGGGGCCTCAAACGGAGCATTTTGTGGCGCACCGCTCTGTGAGTGACGACACCTATCCGACTGTGCCTGTGTACAATGACTATCCCAACTGACGAGTGCGATGCGATCAAGGCCGGAATCTCGAGTTCCTGGACAGCATGCGTGACCACGCCATGACTGTGTTTGTTGGTGCCATGGCAATCGGGGCTACCCCAAGCTTTGTGAGATCCGTCTCAGGGAAGGTGGTTAGCTGGTTGTGCGAGTATAGGTTTCGCAAGGTGCTCAAGCTTTGCCTGCCATTTGTGAACGAGAGACTGGAGAACACGGCTAGGGCGAAATCCGATGCCGGATTCTGTTGGACGCCACCGGTACGTTCTTCAAATGCATATAGAATGTTGAACTAGGAAGTTTCAAGAGCTGACATGACGCAAATGACAGCAAGACGGTCTGCAATGGATCATCGAGAAAGCCTACAAGACCAAGTCCAGCGTGGAGCTCGACCCCGTTCGTGTTGCTCGCCGTCTCCTGTACGTGAATGACATTTCCCTTCACTCGACAAGCTATACCGTGCAAAACATGATCCTCGACCTCTACAGTTGCGAGCAGTCCGAAAGCCTTGTCGCCGACCTGCGAGACGAATGCGCGTCCGCGCTGGAAGAGGCAGGGGGTTCGTGGACGCGAGCCGCGGTGGAAAAGTTGAAGCTAGTTGACGCAACGATTCGGGAATCCATGAGACTAACGCCGTTTGCGTCGATCGGACTCCCTCGCACCGTAAGTCTCGCATCTTCACGAGCTGGGTGAGTCTGGTTTGCTGACTTCTTGACAGGTCATGGATCCCCACGGTATCTTCCTCGAAAGTCCCAGTGGAAAGATCAACGTGCCCCAAGGCACCGTGATTGCTGTTCCCATGGACCCGATCCACAAGGACGAGACCATCTACCCCGAAGCTCGCCGCTTCAACCCCCTGCGCTTTACACAGCCCGGCGCAGACCGCGACATATTCGAGCACTTCAACCCGGGCAATGACAGGGATACGCCGGCACCGCGCAAGGCATCTTCAACCGCCACCCTGGACAACGCCTTCTTGGGCTTCGGCTTCGGGAGGTTTGCCTGTCCCGGACGGTTCTTTGCCCTGAACGAGCTCAAGCTGTTTGTAGCTCACATGGTTCTCAATTACGATGTCGAGTGCCTGGATCGCAGACCCGAGTTGACGGATGTCATCTGGCTGAAAGTGCCTTACAACGATGGTCGGGTCAGAGTGCGCAGGAGGGCGACGGGATGGAAGCCCAGGAATTGAGAGTGACAAGTCCAAACAGCTAGATCCAACCCTTCCGGCATGTTTGTCAGCCCAACCAACCAGTGCACACGACTCAACACAACGCCCTCGCTTACCCGTAATTGGGAAAGTACGGCAAGACTGAATCAGTAAAATCGTGTTGGGAAAAGGGGCTTGTATTTTGGGTGTCTCTGCGGGAGGCATGACTGCTGCGCCAAGTGATCATGACTAGGAGGTCCGGATTTCTCGGGATAGAGCGGATCCCGGACCTCCGTTTTACTCACAAGATGACTGGAGTGGATACTACTTTGGCTATAAATCTATGAGGCGTGATCCTTTTTGCTACTATTAGGTCTTACATACTGTTTCAAACGTGATCCTAAGTCTTCGCAAGCGAATTATTCTGAATACCTCAACACGAAATCTGAACAAAATCAAACGCACAGCACAAACCCACCGCACCTCCTAGCACTACTGCCACCATCACAACCACAGTGGCGAAAATGAAGTTTGGACTTGCCGCCATAGCGATGTTCCTTAGCCTCGCCGCCGCGACGGCTGCACCTGAGGCCGGAGCCGCGGACCCCGACGTCGGGAACAAACTCGAGGCACGCCAGTGCGGCCCGTGCTGCGAAGGCCCATGCGCAGGCGGGTGCTGCTACAGCGCGTCTAATTGCTGCTCTCGGTTGTTCAAAGGGTACCTGTACTTGAGGTCGAGCAGGACGTCTCGCCAGCGTGAGGAAACGCCGGCCAGTGGGACGAGATGCCGCGGAGCAGTCGCTAGTGCCTGGTAGCTGAGTCAGGTCATACAAGGATATCATTTCGGTTTCAAGTAACCAAAACAATCCGGCTGTGGGGGTTTGGGAGAGCCGCCGTTGATACCAGCACTAATAAAGCCGCGGTTAGGGGCTTCTCTGTAGGGGAGCGGATAGGATCACAAATTTTCTGATATAAACATATGGTCGTCTGTGCTTTGTCAGAGAAAGTCCAGCTGATTGTATGTGGATCTGTTTGAACTATTGGACGAGGCTTACGTGCATGGTGGTATATGAAGGGGGAGATGGACCAAGCTGAAGCGGAAGACGTGGCTCTCGAGATCGAATATTGGACTCGCAGATACAATGTGGACGCCACGAGACTTTCGAGAAGGGCAATGATTTATGTGTATCAACGAAATACAGATATCAACTCGCAGCATACGATTTTAGCACCAAGAACACGGCACGCACGCGCGTTGAGGTAATGCCTGTGCTCATGAGTCCGTCCCATCCTGCCCATGCAAACCCTCAGCGCCACTCAGGGGAATCCGAACCCAGTGGCTTTGGCATGACATCCCAGCCGATCTCAACGCCCTCAATCCGGGCACTGTGCCTGATCGCCTTCATGACACCGAACCCAGTCTTCCTCGTCTCAAAGAACTCTTCCGGTACATCTTCCGGCTTCTCGTAGTCCCTGATCCCGGCGAAGCCGCTGGTCCCAGGGTACTGCCCCAGGCTCCGCAGGTACTTCATGGCGCCGGCCAGGGAGACGTCCACCATCCATGCACCGCCCAGAGTCGCCCTCTTGTAGAGGGCGGCCAGCACCCCCGTCGCGAGCCAGTACCCGCCCGCGTGATCGAGCGCCTGGCACGGCGTCCGCCGCGCAGCCTCCCCCTTGCCGGCGTACTCTGCCCCTGAGACGTTCATCCCCGAGCAAGTTTGCACGAGCGAGTCGTACCCCCGGCGGGCGGACCAGGGCCCACGGGGCCCGAACGCGGACATGTTGGCGACGACAAGGGACGGATTCAGCTTCAGGAGGTCCTCGGCGCCGAGGCCGTGGGCGGCGAGGCTTCCGGGGCGGAAACCCTGGATAAACACGTCGGCCGTCCTGATGAGCTCTATGAGACGCGCCTTGTCGGAGGAGTTGTGGATGTCCAGCTGCACGGTGCGCTTTCCCCGCCCGAAGTCGCGGTCCATCGTCGGCAGGTCGGGGAGGTTGGGCGATGTCACCCAGATGACGTCTGCGCCGTACGCGGCGAGCGTCTTGCCGCACAGCGGGGCGGCGATAACACGGCTCATCTCAACGACGCGGAGGCCCTGTAGGGGCTTGGAGTTGCCGCCCGCCAGTCTGGTCGGAAGGCCCTTGGGGCCTGCGCTGGAGATCTGGTTGACGTCTATAGGGAAGTTGCTGATGGCCTTGGACTGCGCGAGTTAATCCTACTGGCGGTATGATCGCAGGGCGTAGGTGGCTAGCTTTCCTTCGACCGTGGCGGCGTTCTCGAGGTCGACGGCTAACCAATTAATGAGCTTCTTGGATAGTTGTTGCCTGGTTGAACCGATGGGGAGACCAGCCAGCTCCAGGATGCCGTTTGCGTGGTTCGGGAAGGAATCGTGCACGCGGATATAACCATCTGATGTCTCGTGCAGTCCTCCGATGGGGCCCCAGGGAGAAGGGGTTGGTTTGCCGTCAAGGACGTAGAGTCTTTCTGACTTGAACTCGACTGTAGCATGCTCCAGGGGAACGTCGACCTTGGGTACGCTGGGGGTCCCGTTCCGCAGGGCATGTATCCGGGCTGCAGCGAGGGCGGTTAAGGAAATGGCGCTTTGAGCTAGGACGCCGATCTTGTAAGATGATGGCAGGGTGGGTTTGTTGTTGACCGCAAGAGCGACGGCGTTCAGGGACTCAGCGGGCATATCCAGTCCCTTCCAGACCTCCTCCACGACGTCCTGGGCCGAGAAGTTCTCTCGAGATACCGGGCTATGAACTTAATTAAAAATTGGTGTGGACTATTTTGGCTTGGCGCGGGTGCCCTTTGTTTGAGCCTTGGCTGTGTAAGAAATAATAGCGTTGGATGCTTAGTCTATTAGGCTAGCTAACGTTTATTCTACGGGAGGGAAGGCCCCTATTTATAGTTATTATCCTTTATATAGTGGCAAACATATGGGAAAAAGGATATCCCGTATTAATAATAGCCTAAATATTTAGAATATTCCAACAGCCCCCCTTAAACTAATTCCCTTTTATTTATTTTATTTTATATATAAGGGATTTAGCTTATAAAAAAGGAATATTTAATTATATAGTAAGAAAACCTTATAAAAGAGAAAAACTTACTTATTAAGTGTTTATATATTTAAATAAAAAACCTAAAAATTTGCTATTACTTAAACTTAAACTTATAGCTAATAGGGTATTATATATTAAATTATGATTTTATATAGGATTTATTAATTATTTTATAATAGCTATAATATATTATAATATTTTTATATATTAAAGTTATATATTATTTTATTTATATTATATATATTATAAAAATACGTTTTTTGTATAAAATTAAACGTATATAAATACAGTATAGGTATATTATAATTGTATGTATATATGGTATATATAGGCTGTGTAAGTAACGCTTATTTTTTAAGAAAAACCTTTATTATTTTAGTTATTTCTTTTAAGGGAAAACCTTTAGTATTTAGGGTAATATTATATGTATATATAATTAAGTCCGCTTTATTTCTTTATATATTTTATAAGTAAAGGAAAAAATCTTAACCTTAGTTATTAAAAAGTAAATATCTTAATTTATTTTATGTATATTATAATATAGGTGGAAAATTTCTTTATTTTTTAGCTTAATATTTTTATATTATTTTTTTATTAAACTATACTTTTCTTTAGACTTTTTATAATATAGTTTGTTTATTAGTTTTATAAGCTAGTTTATTAAATTTTGTTTAAAATTTATATATTTTAATATTACTTTATTATTTTTTATTGCTTCTTTTATATAATAATATGCAATATTTATATATTTAGTTTTTTTATGAAATAAAGTATTTTTAGCTAATTTCTTAGCCTTATTATTATTTATATATATAATAGGGGGCTTAAGATTAAAGCTAATATTTAAATTATTATTAAAATATTTAAGTAAATTATATAAATATTTAGCTTTTTTTATAGCTTCTCTTAAAGCTATATATTTTGCTTTTATAAAGGAAAGTATTAATGTTTTTTATAGCTAAGAATTTTAGCTTATGGGATTTATTTTATTATTATTATTATTATTAATATTATATAAGTTAAATATATAACTAAAGGTGCTGTTTTTAGTAAATATATCGTTACCCTAGTTTAAATCTATATAGCTTATTAATTATAAATTATTTTTAAAGCAATTATATACTTTAAATATATATAGGAATTTATATATATATCCCTATATTTTATTTAATTCTTTTATATGCTTTAATTCTAAGTTTATTATATATTTAGCTAATTCGTTTATAGAATAGGTTAAATCTAGCCTTATTTTTAAGCTAGTATATAATATAAACCCTATTTATTATTGATATAATTCTATAGTATTTTTATTAACTTGGTTAGTGTATTTTTTTAATTTTTTATTAGGGGTATATGGTATAAGTTAAGGGATTATTTCCTTTTTCTTAACCTTTTCTTTTATATTAAATCTTTTTAATATTTTATTTATATATTTATTTTGGTTTATGGTTATTTATTTATCTTCTTTATTTATATATATATTGCTTTTAAGGAAATCTGTTAAATTTCCTTAAAAATCTAGTTTTATATTCTTATATAATTTATTAATTATTAAATTTATATTATTATTATTAGGTCTTATAATAATAATATTATTTATATAATATAAAAATATAATTTATTTATTAAGGTATATAAATACCCCTTTATTATATAGGTAAATAATAAATTCTAGCTTAGTTAATATATTTTTTAAGTATTTATATTAAAGCATAAGTAATTATTTTAGCCTATATAAAGCTTTATTTAGTTTTGCAACTTTATTTTTATATTTTAATTTATTATATATATATATAGGAAATTTTATATATATTTTAAAATTAATATTAAAGTATAAAAATGCATTTTTAATATTGTAATTATATATATAATATCCTTTATTTATTGCTATTATTAATAATATAATATAAGTTTTAAGGCAGTAAATTATAAAAAAAGTCTTTAAATAATTTATGCTTAATTTTTAATTATATCCTTAAATAACCTATTTAAATTTAAATTTAATATTATTTTTATTATTTATTACTTAACTAAGCTTTATAATAGCTAAGTTATTAATAAATTTCTTTTTATATACTTATTTCCCTTTTAAAGCTATATAGTTAAGTAATAAATCCATTATTATATAAGTATTTTATTCTTATAAACTATATATTTTATTTAATATAAATTTAACTTATAAGGGTTTTTTTAAGTTATTTAATACTTTTTTTAAAGAAAAAGGTTTATTAATATTAACTATAGTTAAGTAATATTTTAATATATTTTCTTGGGAATTTAATATAAATATTTAGTTATTTAATAATATATCTTATATAGTATATATATAGTTTTTTAAATTCCCTTAAATTATTATTTTATTTAAAATAAAAGGGGAATTTTCTTTCCTTTATTCTTATAATTCTAGGAATATATATATATATTATTATTATTATTATTATTATTATTATTATTATTATTATTATTATTATTATTATTATTATTATTATTATTAATATTATTATTATTTATATATTGCCCTTTTAATATTTAAATATTTTAAATTAATATAAGCTTTTTATTATTTATATTTTATACTTAATATATATTTAATTTTGGGATTATATTTAATAATATACCCTTTTTATTTTTAAGTTTTAATTTAATTTTATAATTATTATTTTAAAAATATATAATAAATTCTTATAATTTTAAGTTATTTATATAGGGCTTTTTTTTATTTATTACCTTATAAGGGTATTTATATCTTAAGCTTTTATAAGGTATAATATTATATAAATATATAGCATATTTTATTACTTTTCCTTATAAATATATAAGCAAATTTACTATATATAAAAGGCTTTTAACTTTATTTATTATGATTAAATTTAGTTTTTCTATTAAGCCATTTAATTTTTTTATATATAAAGGCATTATATAATAAGTTATAAAGTATTTATTTAATAAGATTTTAAATCTTTTATTTATATATTCTCCTTTATTATTGGTAAAGAATTCTTTTATTTTTTTATTATATTTATTTTTTGCCTTATTTTTATAATTATTAAAAACTTTTAATGCATTATCTTTATTTTTAAGTAAAGAAACTTTTAAATATTAAGTTCTTTTATTAAGGAATAATATATAATATTTATATTTATTATATATAGGTTTTAAGGAATTGCTTATATTACTATATACTTTTTTAAGTATATTATATACTTAATTATTTAAGCTAATCTTATTTATTTTAATTATATGCTTAGCTTTTAAGCATACTTTATAATTACTTATATATTCTTAAATAAGTTTATTTATTAATATATTTATTTTATATTTTTAAAGAAATATTTCTAAAGCTTAAATATTTATATAGCTTAATTTATAATGCTATTTATATATTTCTTCTTTATTTTTATTATTTATATTTAAATTTTATTAAGTTATATATTTTTTTTAAAAGGTATATTTAGGCTTATTTATTTATTTTATTATATTAATTCTTATAAAGTATAAACTATCTTTTTAATGTTTTTAAGTTATTAGCTTATTTATTTCTTAAGAGTATAATTTAATAATATTTCCTTTTAATTTTAATTTAATTTTATTACTTATATACTTATAACTAAGTATATTTAAACTTAAAGAAGGTATATAATATATATTAAAGAATTTCTTTATAATATTTATTTTTAAAAACTTAATTATTAAGTCCCTTATTTTATTTATAAATATAATATTTACATTACCTTATTTCATAATTTTATTAATTATATATATAATATTAAAAAGGCGTATATTTTTAAAACTTATTATATTTATAATAGTATTTATAGCTATTTTTATAGAATTTATATATTATTAATTTCCTATAAATTTATTATTATTAGCTGCTATTATTATTATTATATATATATAGGGTATATATAAAGTTATTTACCTTAATTTCTATTAAGTTATTAAAAGAAAGTTATAAAAGATTTAATAAATTCTCATTACATTTAGTATTTTTTCTTAAATTATTTATAGCTATATAAGCTATAAGTTCTTCTTAAGCACCTTTTAAAGCCATGGAAAACTTTATGCTAGCTAATAAAGTTAGGAGTTACTTTTATATTTTTTCTTATTTTTCTTAGCTTATATTCTTTCTTAAAAAACTTAATTTTTTCTTTTTTTATTTATTTATTTTCTAGCTAATAAGTGCTTTATTTAAATAAAGGAAATAATAATTTTCTTAAGTATGCCCCTTTATTTTATAATTAAAGCATATAATAATCTTTTTCTTATCTTTCTTACCCTTTATATATAAAGCTTTTTTAAATAATTTAAAGGGTTTTCCTTTACTTTTATTTAATAAGCTAAAGAAAAGAAATTTACTTATATAGGCATTTAAATCTTTTCTAAGACTTTAAGTTATATTTTAAATAAAGCTAATATATTTATTATTTAAGCAATAAAAAATCTAGCTAATTATAATTTATTTAAGAAAAATTATATTATTAACCTTTAAATCCTTTAAAAGGAGCTTTAACTTATTAATATATTCTTTTATAATTTTAAAATTATTAAAATTAATATTAAAAAACTCTTTATAAAGTAAATATTAGCTTATAAACTTAAAGAGTTTATAGTAAGATTTAAGTATATTTTATGCTTTTTAAGCATTATTTATATCTTTTATAAACATAATAAGCCCTTACCTATATATAAGTTTAATATTAATAAAAACTCTTTTATTTTAAGCTAAAAATAAGCCTTAAAAAAAATTCTTAAGATTATTTTTAATAATATTTTTTTTCTTAAGCTAGGCTTAAATTTTAATGTTTTAATATATATAGTTTTTTATTTTATTAAGGAGTGAAATATTATATTTATTAAAGAATATTATTTTAAAATAAATAAATAAAGTATTTATTAAGATAATTAAGATAATAAAGAGAAAAATATAATAAATTCTAAATAAGTTTAATAAGTTAAGAAATAAAAATATAAGTATTAAAGTAATATAGTTATAAAAAAAAAGGCTTTTAAATAATATATTTTTAAAGTATTATAAATTAAAAATAGCTAAAACATAATTAAATATTTTTAAGGGAGTTTAAGAATTATTATAATTTTATTAAAATTTACATTTTTAATATTAATTTAATATAGTTTTTAAAATTTAAAAAACTGTTCTTATTATTCTTAATAAGGACTCTTAAATAATATATAAATTATATAAGTAGGTTAAGTATTAATAAAGAAATGATTAAGTATTTAGGTAAATAAGGTATGGTTTTTATATATAGGCTTTGGGTTAAGAGATAAGGTTAATTTATAACGTTAAATGGGGCAATTTAATTAATTAAGAGCTTATTAATTAGCTTAATTGGGTAATTAGTTAAAAGGTATATTTCTAAGTATGGAGCTTATTTTATTTAAAAGGTTTAAAAAGTAATGGCAATTAAGGGTGTCACGTAATGTGCGTTTTCCATATTAAGTTAGCTATTTTCTATATTAAGTTAGCATTATCGTTTTAAGTAAGCTCCAGGCTTATAACCTATAAGAAATAATAGCGTTAAATGCTTAGTTTATTAGGCTAGCTAATGTCTATTTTACAGGAGGGAAGGCCCTTATTTATAATTATTATCCTCCATATAGTGGCAAACGTATGGGGAAAAGGATATCCCGTATTAATAATAGCCTAGATATCTAGAATATTCCAACAGGCTGCTGGAACGTGGATTCTAAGGAGCGGCGCATGCTGTTAAGTGCCGAGGGTGTCACGCTCAACGACGCTTCCCTGGGCCCATGGTCTCTTCATGGTATACTTCCATGCTAATGCTGGATGGAAGTACATATTAGTTAGGATGTCCTCATTAGTTACACGGTAGAGGCTCTTGATGGTCTTGTTAGTGAAGATGTTGGCATCCTTGACGCGCTGATAGACTGCCGGGTCATTAAACATGACATCAAATGTTAACTTAAACGGCCCAGAGTTCTTGGATCGGATGATATGCGCGACTTCGTTTAGTGGTGAGATTCATCAGTCCAATGGCTGTTATCTACAGAACTAATACCGTAATTGTGTTTTCCAACGGTTACTTCATATTAGGGATTCCTTGCCTCCGGCCGTCCCCACATCCACCTTCGAGCGCTTACCTAGAGCCAACCGCGCTAGGATTCATTTCCACCGGCCCGCTTGGGGTGACAAAGTTCCGAAGGCTTAGCAGCGTCGGCGTCCATACCGAGACGTGGTGCGACTATAGCATTGGGCCTCGTGAGAGCCAAGAGATTTCCCCGTGGGGTCAAAACTAGTCGTCAGGGCTGGAGGTACGCGATCCAACGCTACTACTTCTCACATAAGTATCCTGCAAAACACAGACCAGATGTTGGAGCCCTTGAGATAACTTTGCAAATCCAGGCGGAACCTATCATTCCTCGCCTGATCCTAATTGTTTGCAATGGCGGCAACCCACCAGGACGAAAAGTCTGACCCGGCTCGGCAGACTGCGCACCTTGAAGAAAGCAGTGCTGAGAATGTTCCCCAGGAGAACGGCAATGATTTCGCGGATGATCCGAAGCATGAAGCTCAAGAGTCGGGCGTTTCGTATACAAAGGAAGAGGAAGGCGAGGCTCTGAAGTAACTTGACTGGAACCTAATCCCTCTGTATGTCTATCTTTAGGTTTTCTTGTAGCTTGAGCGTTGCCACATACCCGGCTAAAATAGGCGCTAACAATTAATTTACCTTGCAGTCTTGGTGTATTGTATCTTGTGTTATACATTGATCGAGCCAATGTAGGCAATGCCTATACAGCCGGTATGGGTAAAGAATGGGGGATCACTTCAGACGATTACTCTTGGATTGTCACCATTCTCTATATTGGGTATATCCTATTCCACTGGGTACGTGCATCTAACGAAAGTTTGAAATCGGTAGTTCAGAATCATTCTGTTAACCTTCGATCAGTTGATTTTTGTCTGGACCTTTGTCCCCTTACCCCTCTGGACCGCCATGATGGCCCTCGAATGGGGTTCAATGAGCATGCTCCAGGCAGTGACGACGAATTTCGCCGGGATAATGGCACTGCGTTTCCTCGTTGGAGCCTTCGAGGCCGGATTTGTCCCTGCCGTGGCACTTTATATGACCTTCTTTTATTATCGAGCAGAGATGGGCCTTCGATATGGTCTTTTCATCTCCTTCTCCCCGCTCGCCATCTGCTTTGCTTCAGCCCTCGCATACGGTCTCGTCCATGCCAAGACGTCCATCCACAACTGGAAGCTTCTCTTCCTTGTTGGTAAGTGTTCCATAAGCCACTGTGTAGAGATCATCATCGAAGCACTTGGTCTGACAAAAGGGTTTTCAAACAGAGGGCGCTCCAACAATTCTCCTTGCGGTCGTTGCTTACTTGTTCCCTCCCTCCCTCGCCGTCCGAGTGCCGCTTCCTCACCCCCCGACAAAACGAAATCATCAGCCAGCGCGCTTTCAAGGGCCGAGACGAGAAAATAGATGGGAGACTGAACTTCAAGCAAGCCTTTGCCGCCTTTGGTGACTACAAGAACTATTTGCAGGCGATGATCATCTTCTGTCTCAACACCGCCTTCGGCTCTCTCCCCGCCTATCTGCCCACGATCCTGCAAGCCATGGGCTACACCTCGCTTCGCGCCCAGGGCTTCTCAGCCTGCCCCTACCTGACGGCCTACGTGGTCTGCATCACAGCCAGCTTTATCTCCGACCGCTTCAGGAGGCGCGGCATCTTCATCGTGCTCTTTTGCTGCGCGGGCGCCGCTGGCTACGTGATTCTGGCGACCGTCCACACCACCGGCGTCCGCTACTTCGCAACCTTCCTGGTCTGCGCCGGCATCTTCCCCGATGTGGCCCTCACCTTCACGTGGGTGACAGACAACCAGGGCTCGGCCTCCAAGCGCGGTGCCGGGCTGGCTATCTTCGGTATGGTCGGCCAGTGTGGCCCGACCCAGGGCGCGCGCCTGTTCCCTAAGACGGAACAGCCTTGGTACTCCAGGGGCATGTGGATCTGTGCGGGGATACTGTTTGCCGCTGCGGGTCTGGCGGCCATACTGAGCTTGTGCTTGGAGTACCATAACAAGAAGCGAGATGAGAAATTTGGCAAGAGTGATTTGGACTATGTCCCCCCTGAGGTTTCGGACAAGGGTGATGATCACCCCATGTACCGTTACGTGCTTTGATCCCGAGGGTCTTCTGAAGATGGTCCAATGGAGACGAGAAAATTATCTGTCCTCGTGTTGGAGGGTTGGTCCTTATGACGCGAGCGAGCCCTGGAGTTGGAAATCTCATAGCAAGACGAGGCTGATATTGACATAACCAATTATACTGATGCAATTCGTACTCGTAGCGCTGAAGCTCTGGCGCACCACAAAAGTGTACTATGGGGAAGAAGAAGCCAGGAAATGGCAGAGGGAATACCAGGACCAGCTTGCCACTGGTGTTCTTCGGCCCGACTTGGTGTGATGGTATCGTGGATGCTGAGAGCTACACCGGCATGTGGCTTGTTGCGATTGGCTATGTTTCATCGGTCTGTCTCAAATTTTCAATAGTGCTACTGCTGTGCTTACTGTACCAATTTCTTGAAATGTCGCCATCGCCACGCACTTGCAAAGCGCAGTGCGACAGGCCGTTCCTCCCGCCTTGGTATTGATTTCTGCGACTGTAGTGCCCTGTGGCTGCGGGATGAGGTCATAACTGTCTTTTACTTCCGAGAACACTTTTCACCAGATGACCGGATATAAGGTCATGTAAAGCGGATGTATATCATTATACTCCAAACTGTGTGCGTTCCCACGACAGGTCTTGAACGCTTCCTCTTATGTTCACGGTGACGTATATTGCGTCCTTGACAAAGATCAAATACCTACACGACTCTTTCAATGTTTCCCCAGCAGATCGCCGTCCTCGCAGGGCTAGTCACTGCCATTCATGGCTGGAAGCGCAAGTCTCACCCACAATCACAAACAAGATGCACTCCATTCCATAAAATGCCTGTTGTTGGTCATCTTCCACTAATATTTGCCCAACAGTGCAGTGGTACGCCGGAATCAACATAAACTGCCAGGTCTACGACACATTGGATGATTTCACTGTCAGGGTTTGGGAAGGACGATGCCCCGTCGACGCAGCCACCTGCAACCAATCTAGTGGCAGCAGCTACTCTTCCACCGCCACGAGATGCCGCGACGATATATACAGTGACGGCGTCGTCACTTCAGCCGAAGGTTGCGAGCGGGAGATTGGCCGTGGCTCTGCTCTTGTAGTGAGTGGGTGTTGTCAGTTTTTCGGCGGCCAAGATGCGTGTTCAGGCACGCCGTACCTGTTATTGGCCGAGGGCCAGTGCGAAGATCCGATTCAAATCTCTAACTTCACATGCGTAAGTCTTGGAAGGCCCATGAAGACATAGCTCGCGGGCCTGACTTTTGCTGATTCCTCTCAGAGTGATGAGTGCTAGGGTGGTCGACCCGTTCGTGGAAAAGGTGGAATACCGTCGAGGATCGCTGTTGACGTGTCTGATATTAGCTCATCGGTCTTATTTCTGTCCAGTGAAAGTCTATCGTCTGGTCAGCGAGTCGTCGACGGGCCTTCAGGTAAGGTGAAAGAGTAGCAGGACTGAACGTAGTGGATAGAACCCGTGCAACTCTGCTACAAACTGTTGGCATGGAAACTTGTGGGAGCCTTCTGGGACCACTTAACGTATCGTTTCGTGCCTCGTGTGTGAGATTTAGAATGCCCTACGCCTTCCGCTCGGATACTGGCCGGAACAATCAAGCATCCAAATGTGCGCCTAGGACCTCGCCTTTCTAATGGGAACCAACTTGAGTGGGTTGCGAGATCTTTTTTCCCTGTAGCTCATGTACAGGATGGGGAGCGTAGAATTTTAGATTTCGAGAATAAAACTAATGCCTGTAAATCTACGCTTCACGAAACATAGGCTCAATGGCTTAGTAGAGACGTTTGTGTAAGTGGATGTGAAGTCTCTTTATATCCTTGACTGATGCAATAAAGCCTGTAGTATGTCGAATACATGCATACATGAGCTACCTCAATATCGAGGCTCTAAGGCAGCAAAACCCGACAGTGGGGGCGAGGCACTGTTCGTGAATGTGAGGAGAAAAGCAACACCTCGCAGAGCATCCCTGCAACGAAGTGGGGATATAGATACAGAGCATGGCCTACAGGATTCCGTTGATATTTTTCCACGGACAATACCACAGCCAAGCTTTATCAATCCAGTCTGTATCACCACACAGTGTGGTGCTCGGCTTTTTCTCTCAAACCCTGTCTCTTCGAAGCAGGCTTGTGGCAGATACCGGCATGTTGGGGAAACTCTCACTCCCGCTTGCGCAACCCAAATGAGCAGCCCGGCAATAGAACCCAATGGAGAGGTCGTCGTATCCACGACCATCACCGCCTCCCCAAGATTACCCATGCCTTCTACTTCAGTCTCAGGGCAGGTCCCAACGTCAGACTCGGCTTCGGACGCGGCATCACGTCATGTCCAGGCCACAGGCCCCAGACCAGACTCAGGCTCGGCATCCTCGTCCGCCCGGAAAGCACGTCGGTATGTGTTTGCCTGCTTGAGTTGCAAATTCCGAAAGGTCAAGTGCAACGGTGACCGGCCTATTTGCTCCAACTGTCGGCGGTCCGGCGAAGACTGTATCTGGCCGACACAGACATCCACAGAGTCAAGGCTGCGAGGAGCTAATGCTCGCATTCGGCATCTGGAGGCTTCCATCAGGAACCCTGATCACCACCACGAGCACGCCAACGCCGGATCCCCTAGTCGAGGAGCCCAGGCCGGCCCGGAGCCGGCCTGTACTCCGCGCACGAATGCTACATCAGCCCGAAGTCAGGGCCAGTCCAACGACGGGAGTCGGCTTGCCGCCGGTGCCAACCCGGACTCGGAAGGCTAAATCTGGTTCCAGGTCGGCCTTGGCGACGATGGGACGGTCATCTACAACGGGCCGACAAGCGTTCCATGCCGGCTCGCTCGAGGAGAACCATCTCATGGAGGCCAACCAGGAGAATGACCCCAGAAGGGCCCACGTGGAGATATTGCAGTCTCAGGACGCACTGATGGTCTGGCTGCCTCTCATCGCTGCAAAACCAATCATGAATGGGACCGGCGTGGAGACATCCGTAGGCATGGCTCTGCTTGATGTGTACTGGTCCTGGCTACATCCACTTCATTGTTGTGTCTACCGACCCATTCTCATGATGGATCTGGCCTTGGGTGGTCCCTACTGCTCCGACTTCTTGCTCCTGTCCATTTTTGCATTAACAGCTAGGCATCTGCCTGAACAAAATGGCAGCTTGCACGACGTTGAAAAGGGAGAACACTACATCGCTCGGGCCCGCGAGTTGTTGCTGCAGGAGATGGCAGCGACAAGACCTGCCATCGCCACAGTTCAAGGCTTGTTAATCCTTGGTGGCCGGCAATGTGCCATGGGGAGAAGCTCTGAAGGCTGGCTGTATACAGGCATGGCAATCCGGATGATGAAGGACATTGGTCTGCACCTGGACATAACCAAGCTCTATAGCCTCGAACGGTGGACTCCGGCAGAGGTCGAAACGCGAAAAAGACTCTACAACTATGCATACATCTGGGACAAAACACTGAGGTTGGCGTTAGGTCGCCCCCCGTCTCTGACAAGACGGCCGTATCCCGCACATGAGATATTGGACAAGGCCGACGACCAACGTATATGGAAGCCCCTTCACGCCTTTGAGGTTTCTGCTGAGAGCTTCGTTGAACTACCCGCGTGGACCACGTCGAGCTTCTGCGCCTTCTGACAACTCCATGAGGTCACAACAGACATGATGTTGCTTTTCTCCGCTGTGCCGCAACCCGAAGATTTCGTGTCGCAGATTGAAGACCTCGACGAAAGGATCTCACAGTGGTATGAAAAGCTTCCAGACGCACTAAAGATCGAAGACCCGGCAAGCTTAGAGCAAAGCCCTCCGCCGCATATTGTGTCACTAAAGTAAGTCTATTTTACGACCGGTTGTTTTTGTTGAGCCCGAAACTGACGGGTGATAGCCTCTTATACCACGCCCTCCATATCTTGCTGAGGAGACCATATCTCAGCTCCCCAGCCAGGGACCCAAACGATCGCAACATCAGATCCTGCATCGAGCACTCCAAAAAGGTCCACGCCATACATTCATTATATTCACAAACCTTTCCCCACCGGCTAATGACTTATCAAGTCAGCTATTGCATATATACCGCTGCCACAGTCGAGACCGAGGAGTTGAAGCGGGCGTCGACTCAGCAAGCGAGAGAAGACGCGGCCGCAAGACTAGCAGCAGCATTTCAGATCCTTCAGAAAGAGGCCTCTCACACCCCAGGGAGCGGCCGAAGCCTTGAAACCATCCGTAGGCTCTTGAGCACTGGCCCAACACGAGCCGCGCATGCTGGATCCCACCCTGATCGTAACCAAGCCCATGCCCTGGGCCAAAACGGCTACGCGTACCAGGCCAGTCATCAAGTTACACCCTTCAACGGCCAAACCGGCGGGCAGAGACCAGATCAGACATATGGTCATGGCCAGCACGCACTTTCGTCCGCAGTTCAGTCTACCCCGTACAGCAATATTAACGCCGGGAGCAATAACAACCCGCGACTTGCATCTAGTGTCAACCCGGCTGTGGACGACAACTCTTTCTTCCCCATGGACGTCAGCGCCTGGAATGACGATTTCGGTTTTGGTGGAACAGATAGAGGTGCTGGGTTCCACCCCGATGCTTTCCCCTGGGGAGTCGCGGGTCCCGTCTTGCGGAACCCGGGCTCCTCCTCCCTCGCCAACACCGGGGTGGTGTGGCCCCCGATTCCACAGATTGAAGGTTTGCAGCAAGCGACCCTCTTTTATGCAGCCTCACAAGACTTGGGAGGCTTGCCCCGCCGATAGGGAATTGATGGCGCATTGCAACCAATTCGGTCACGCTCTACCAAGGGTCCCTTGGCATCATCAGTGAATCGGGATCTACAGAATCTCGGCATCTAAAGCCGAGCAACCACCCGAACTCGCTGACGCCAAGCAACCATTAACAATGACAATAATAACAACAACAAAGAAATGGCCTCATGACCGAAAAATACAGTTACAGGAAACGAATCGTGCCTACAGTACTGGATCTTGATGACGCGGGGTAATATCAAACTTTCAAAGTAGTATTTAAGCTGGAGAGGGCGTTCGCTGCTCGAGACCCTGAGAATGCGTGACGAAGCCCACGCAATTTTGCTCAACAACGTCACGCCGCTGTTCTTCTGCATCTACGCATCTCTTGTCGCGAGTTTCGGAACACGAATTTGCCTCAAGGTACACTGGGCTCTGTTCGACGTATGGTGGCGGCATGCCTTTACGGCCTGTCAAGCCTCCCCCTGTCTGAAACGGCTGCTGTTCCCCCGGTCGCTTCGCAGAGACGTGCCGATGTACCCCCCTCCGTATTCGAAGTTCCTGCAGGTACACGAAACGTGTTCCCGGCGGCCAACTTCAACCGCGATGTCACAACCAACTGGTGGGACACGGAGGTTCTTGATGACCACGACGCGGAGGCATCATCAGAGCTGGCCGTGTCACTGAAGAATGCTTCGTTCATCGTATTGGACCAGGAATTCTACCAAGTAAGCAGGCGTCACAATGTTCAATTTCTTTATTGGGATTATAGATCATGTCCCTGACATTGTGTTGTTCTAGCTCCTCGAGAATGATGAAGGAGATATCTCGGCCACGGTGGAGAAAAATCTTCGAATTCCCTTCTGGCCCTTCGTTCGCCCAGCGGATAGTGCACGACGGCACAGTCTACTCGCCCGCGTGCAACTGCATATTCTTTGCCGAACTGTACCCACCGAAGAAAGGTTTCTCAGATGCCATGGGTCTGGCGCGTCAACCTCAACGAGAGCACCCCTACCACGGAGAAGGTCTACCCTTTGCCGCCACTTACCCTCGCCAACGGCGCCTACTATCACAATGGCGGCATCTACTGGGCTCAGGGGGGCAACTACACGACCCCGGGCGGCATCGTCCGCATGGACCCGGTGACGCTGCAGACCGACGTCGTCCTCAACAACTTCATGGGCCACCGCTTCAACAGCCCCAACGACGTGGTCGTCACCCGCAGCGGTATAGCCTACTTCACCGACGGCTACTACGGCTTCGACAACTTCAACGACACTCTCCGGCCCGAGCTCGCCAACGGCCTGTGGCGCTGGGATATGAGGACGGGTGACCTGCGTATGGTTGCTGGCGCCGCGGGAAGGCCTTTTGTGAACCCTAACGGCGTCGCGCTCAATCTTGCTGAGGACAGGATCTACGTCACCAACCGCGGAAACGCGTCGGACAACCCGGCTGGCGGCCGTACCATACACGAATTTGAGCTACACGATGAGGGGTCGGGGGTTCCCGTGCGCGGGGGTGACGTGTTTGCGTATGCTGATGCTGGGTTCCCGGACGGCGTCAAGCTTGATGGGGACGGGATAGTTTATGGAGGTGTCACTGGCGGGGTATCCGTGTACGGGCCCACGGGCAAGCAGCTCGGCCTTATCAAGGTTTCGGATGACGATGTCGCGGTGAACATGGTGTGGGCCGACGACTGGCTTTACATTGCTGGAAGAGACTATCTTTATCGGGTTAGGTTGAACGCTCGAGGGGTGCAGACCTTTTAGGTATAACTTTTAATGGCCGGCAGATATCGTACTTGATGTCACGATAAAAAAAAAAACATGTTTCCTGGATCGTTTCCTGCGACTTCCGTGTGAGCAACAAACTGAATTGGCATAGGCAACATTGACTCGTTCCTCTTTTGCAAAATTTAAGCATTCACAATCACATTCCCTTCTCCACCAGCAAGCTTCCAAGGTTCGTTGTTTGCACGGAAAGCTCGACAGATTGTATGCTGGCTGGGGCGAATCCTGTGAAAGATAGAACGAGGCGAGTCTGTGCATCCATGAGCCAGTATATGTGCCACAGGGAGAGGAGGTCCCACATTCTAGCAGTAGATCTCGGAACAAGGTATAAACGCTCGTTCGGACAATTGCCCGGGAACTTGGGACCACCTGCGTTAGTGTACGTATCAAGGGTTGGCGCACCCGGGAGTACTACCGAAGACCTCGGTGTCAGAACCCGACAGACCGATCACCGGGGTCCGCTGCCCGGAAACCAATACGCCCATGTCACTACAGTACCCAACGGCAACTGGAGTCCCAAGATTTCAAAAGGCCTTCCTCAATCACAGGCGGTCTGCATTTACCTCTAAAACATCTTCAATGCCTATAGCCGAATCCTACTGATGTTATAGAACCATGGGCAGTGCTTTTCCTCTGAAAGACACGTTTGCCGCCGAGCGGCCAGGCTTTGACGACTTGCCCCTGCGCAAGGGTGGTCCGAAGGCGTCGGCGTGGGGCTTGTGGGGTGATGATGATGAGTTGGGCACCTTGAACCTACTTACGCCTTCAATTGTCAAAGCCGCCGCCGCCGAAGTCGTGACAGGAGAGACAGTTGCTTTGAAGTAGGTCTCATCAACGGTGTTTAATCTACAGTCTTCCTCTGAATGCATTTTTACAACCAATGAATCCCGTACGGAAACCTTGCTCTCACAAGATCATCGCAGAGGGGAAATCAAACGACGACGTGGTCAGTCATACCCCCTCCCCCCCTTTTTGTATAGCATGGCCTGATCTATCTGCTTGTTTGCGTAGCTGGATATCAATACCTAGGGATCAAGCCATTGGGACGGACCCCGGCATTGTCCATGTCAGGAAACGGTCCAGTACTACAATGGACTAACACAAGAGGACATATCAGGTCCTGTACCAAACTCCAAAATCGGAATCCAGAGTAGTGTCAACCCCTCTACCTTGTACCTAAGAGAGTGGACACTGATAGAAAGCTCGCAGACATTGCTAAGAAGACCATCACCGGCCGTGGTGTCCTCCTTGACTGGCAATCCTGGGCAACCGAGCAGGGAATTCAGATCGACCATTTCGCCTCCCACGGCATCCCCCTGTCCCAGCTTCAGGCCGTGGCGGCCGCGCAGCTGGTCCAGGTCCGACGAGGCGACGTTCTTCTCGTCGGCACTGGGTGGCTGCCGGCCTACAACGCGCTGTCCCAGGAACAAAAGGCCGCGCTGCCACACCGGCCCGTCCGGTCGAGCTGCGGCGTCGAGGCGAGCGAGAACGCCATCCGCTGGCACTGGGACAACGCCTTAGCGGCCGTGGCCTCGGACGCCGTGGCGTATGAGGCCTGGCCCAGCCCGAGGCTGTGGGGGATCAGCATGCACGAGGTCTTCCTCAGCGGCTTGGAGATGCCTATCGGGGAGAGCTTCGATCTTGAGGAGCTTTCTGTCAAATGTAGGGAGGCGCAGAGGTGGTCCTTCATGTTTGTTGGTGTGCCGCTAGACGTGCCTGGGGGAGTGGCTAACCCACCGGGTGCGGTGGCCATCTTCTAGATGCGCTTATGGATATCTTCACTTCAGATAGAAACAATCATTATGACGGATGGAGCAGTCAGCACTGTCGTCAAGTTCCAGATGAGGCTAACAGCGGTTTGAGAAATCTAACAACGCCCCCGACAAGCCTCGCACTGTGCACCCAATGTTCATCGATGAACGGGACCTGGCTGCTGCAAGACTGGCCGTTTGCTTCACCATGCGTCTGGCAGCCGAATTTCAGACCTCAGGGTACCCGGATCCAGCCCCGTTCGCATTTGCCCCTGGCAACAGGCCCGACATGTTGGAGCAATGGGAACATAGTGGTGATGAGCGGAGCGCGCCGAAGCCAGCCTCGGCGGCTGTGCCAAGTGCGGGTAAGCTCATGGGCAAAGATGCAAAGCAGGGCAAGACTTGGAAGAATGTCACAGACGACGAAGTCGATGACTACGTGAAGAGGGTCAGTCATACGAGCTTGCATCACGTGTGCACATGCCCGATGTCAAAGCATGAGAAGTCTGGAGTCATAGACCAGAAGCTCCGCGTCTATGGGTTCAGGAACTTAGGATCACTGATGCAAGCCTCTTTCCTCGGGTCTCTACTAGCCACACCATGATTCGAGTCATGGTGATTCCGTAGAGATGTGCCTTTCCTATCAAGTAAGATCAAACAGGCAAGTTAATCCAGGTGCAATCCATTTGATTGTGTTGCTTGGTTTCTTTAATCGTAATACATCTGCAGCCCTGCATCTGTTGCTCAAGGGGACGGCGATGACCAGAAAGGTTGCAAGAACGGGAGTTTGGATGAGCAACGAATAATAAGAGAATCAATTGTTTTGATGTCGCCAATCAGAACCTTCGGGAGATCTTGAATCCATTAAACAGCCATTCAGTCCATTATTACAGCTTTTTGTACAACATACATGACCCAGCCGTTTGTCTCAATTATAAGTAGCGAGACTGGATGGACAGTCTGGAAGCATGCCAAGGTATCTATATCACAGAGTGATGTTCCATGCCCACTCTCAATTTGAGTCTTTGCTATTAGTAACTCGGATGCGGAGTGATAGTCTCGACATTCCTGATCAAGGTGAACTACTGCATGCTGTCTATCGGCCCATAGCCGAGAGATCGGATGTACGAATATGCAGTCAGAAGCAGGCTATGCCTGACACATCGTACATGTGTACACAATACACCGACCATGGGTTAGCCCGTGTCATGCCCGCGGATGGATCCTTCCACCATTCGACATGGGGCTGACGTCGACAGATCAAGTGCCGACTCCGTCATGTGTGTACTTGATCGGACAATGCGCCGTCGTATGCAGTACATGTGGAGATTTCAGCGAATGATTCGGGTGGGAACGGATGGTCGGCAAGGGCTGAAAAGACTGCTGGCTGCAAACCTTGATAGCAACTATTGGTTCATCGCGGAAGATTACGCTGCAGAGGCAACCAACTTGCCTTGACCGGTGTGCGTCTGATCGACGATCTTGTAGATCTACAGACACAGTCCTACCTCAAATATTGCACATGAAGTTATTGGCTTGATCTCGTTGCAAGAAAGAAACACTGCAATTCGTACACCACATCTCTATAGATTTACAACCCCGCTCAGCTGCGATCACTTGCGTGTATGCGGGCCATTGCCCAGATAACTGAACACTTTCATGTTAGAAACAAGAGATAGTGAGTAAGCTCCAGCACTAGATTCGGTCACAACGGAACAAGAAAGTCTCCTGCAGAATATGTTGTGGCTTCTCCATCGAAACCTGGATCCTTCACTGAGCAGGAGCAGAAGCTCCGGAATCAAATGCGTGAGCTGACGAGATTTCCTACATATGTACACTTCTCGCTTGCTAAGCAGGTGTGACACGGAAGCCGCAGCCCCGCAGGGCGCGTTCATGACCACCTGATTCAATGGCCTGCTTCTACTGACAGATGACCGTGCTTTCGTTCAGAAATTTGCGTCCGGTACCATTCCTCGGAACCCTGCCAACCCACGATCCATCAGCCACTTTTGATGAACGCTCTGGTGAATTAATTGCTTCCATGGTCAATTAGTCCTCAAAGACCTTATTACCAGTCACCACTTGATCAGTGGTCTCCACATGTTGCTCGGCGACGATGCCCCTTCTCACCAATCGCAAAAGTCTCCGCGCCAGGCTTGGTGCCAGTTTTGGGAAGAAAACGCACCGTGACCAAAATTCTGGAGCAAAGATCGACGGTGAGACCGAATGTACTGCATCAGCTTCAGAAGATAGCGGATCTCAGTGCCACCAAGAGCAACAGGTTCCAGCAGAAACCAACGTCAACATAAGATATACTGGATCAGCTTCAGACGATGGGGGGCCACAGACTCATCAGACGCAAGAGCTTCCAGCCGGAGTACTCATAATGACTCCAGGTGACGGAGCAGCTCCAGAAGTCAAAAAGCCTCAAGCCCAAGAATCAAATGGTGCGCCAGATTTCAATGTCGACAATGGCTACTCAATTGACTCTGGATATGTCGGATCAGAGACGGAAGTCAAGCTACCGAAGTGGGTGAAGTGGCCGAATCCGGAACTATCTACCGGCAGGCTCATACTCACGGTTGAAGCGAACCATTTCTGGGAGGCCAAAGGTCCTGCACTGGAAGTGTTTGAGGAACTGGAGCCATTGATAAGTGACTACCTGAAGGCGCACATGGGACATATATCCGACCCGCTATTTCGCGTCTTCATGACGGGCCGAACAGAAGAGATAGCAAGGCCAGCCATTGTGTTCTATTTCCGGGACATCAGACGCAGAAAGGATGCAAGAACTATCAGAGACGCCGTCAGGAAGAGCGGTATCTTGAATAGATACCCTGGCTTCAAAACGGGTCACTCGTCACGGCCAAACGACTATGCGGCGCTTTTTCCCGACGATGATTTCACCTGGCCCCAAACACCCTCTCTTGATAGGATGAGCGAAACTGGAATTTCCACTTTGACAAGTCCAAGTCTCGCTGAAGTACAAGTTGAGCACACGTGGGAAGAAACCTTGATCCCTAGCTCAAACATCTTTCAGGAATCTCTACCGAACGAAACTGATTATGGGTCCGAAGAGACCGTCCCAAAGTGGGTGCGGCTCACCAGATGGATCACTGACATAATCTGGCCATCACCAGACGGCTCGCAGAGGTTATGGTATCTTTGTGTGAGTTTTGTGCCTGTACCTATACGTCGAAATGGGACTGAGATGCTCACTTCGTCTTTGATTAATGCAGGGCTGTGGCCGGTATACGTACATTGACGTGAGAGAACTAGAAGACTCGGAAGGTGGGGTGGAAAGCGTGCGGCAAAACATTATGAAGAATGCCGCTGCGGTCCGAGGACGTCCAAATTTGCCACAGAATGGTGTTACGGCCCCCAGTCTACCGGCGCTGGCCACACCACCGGGCGTCTATTCAACCACAAGCTCCACACGGGCCGCTCTGCCAATAAGCTCGACACATACTAGGGCAACGGCCCTTCCAAGTCTACCCGCAACCCCTACTATGAACTTGATGGCACCGAACTCGGAAGAACCTCGGGATATGCACCTCCTGGTCTGCGTCGGAGGGAGAGAATTTCAAACGCTAGCAAAAGTCCGGCATGTCCACATTGGATATGATTGGAATGATGGTATGCTTCTAAACGCACTGCTCAGAGAGTATGAGGAAGCTCGCCGAGGACAACAATGGTCGATCTCCTCTCTCCTTCCGACCGTACCAGCTACAATCAAGACTTCGTCGCTCGCTCAGTACCTGCGTACCAGTCAAATGATATCTGCGATTCGGTCTTCGTCCACTTGGGACTTGTGGCGGAAATGGGTGTCTGATGGCGGCCTATGGGCTCCTCTACACACGCCAAGTACAGCTGACTTTGTGAAGGTAAATGCCCCCCCCCGCAGGCGAAACCGGCGTGGAAAATAATGTTGACTCTTGCATTGTCTCAGTTCCATGTGTTTTCCCAAGCAGCTACAGCAGAGACCTACCCTGACCAATTCGAATGTGGCCGGTGGCCTTCCTCGACAGATCGCTATCTTTATGAGCCTGTCCCAATGAGACTCACCACACTGAATATCCCGCTGTGGCACGAGCTCAAATACCCGGGGCCCCATCTTCGCCACCAGTGGTACAATGCCGCTGCGAAAAAGCTTGACGGTCCGCTCTTTGACGAGCCTTTCCCAAATTTCGACAGCATACCGAACATTGTGGGCTATGGGATTCGTGTCAACGAGCGACGAAACGACGTATTAATTTTGTGGTGGTGTTGGCTGGGTATCGTCTTCACTGGCATCATTGTTATCATGTTCGCACACTGTACAGGTGACACTTCTTCCGCATTTGGCTTGGGAGCATATCTTCTGGCGGCTCTTACGGTCTACATTCAACTGCAATACGCCTGGTGGAGGCAACAAACGACGTGAGGGCCTTGCGGCAGCTGCTCGTCTATCACGCCTCAGTGGCTGTTGGTATCGCTCACGTGCATTCAAAGTTTTTAGGCCATGAACGACTAAACTACAAAATGTCCACAGAAAGTCTCGCATAAAACGATTCAGAGTAAGAAATGGCGGCACAACGATAGTAGGGAACGGTTCTTAGATGTCACATCTACTCTCTGACGTAACCTCATTTGAAAAAGCCCTTGATACACAGTGCAGTCATAAATTACCCATAAACTACTTTCTCTTACCCCGTCGGACTGAAGCACATGTTAAAAAAATGTTTCATCCGTCAGGTTCAAAGGTCCTCAGGTTGTGTTGCCATACTAATCAGAAGCGCACAATACCCATGCCGATACGCGTTGTTTAATCTCACACTTGAGCACAATGATCTTTGCGCTCTTCGCGGGTGGCAAAGATATCGAGGAGACATTTCATATTGCAGTGCATAGGCTAACATCTTAGCCGAGCGGAGAGCATGGATTGAAGTGCGAGAATGGAGTAGGAGCTTGGGCTGATAAGCTTAGGAATTCCTAATTGCTAATGAACTTGAAAATTGCTTTCAACATGTTATGAGCGACAGACCCGCATCTCCTATATAATTACATGCTGGATATAGACTGAGTGTTATGCAAAAGATCATTACTCTAGTAAAGAAAACCTTCTCCTACACTTGCCGTCGCTTAGCTGGTAGATTATTCTGCTCTTTGGAATCACAGCTCCTTTTGGACTTACGCCAACCCACTGACGTTGTCGCAAACTCGGTATCTTGGCAGTTCTGCCACATGCGATTGAGCTTCGAAACGAGCTCAATTGCGCCTATGCGCCCCCTTTCCCGTTGATTCGTTGGCTTGAGGATCAGCATCTCTGTTTGTATGAGGTGAAGGAACGAGTGGATATATTCGGTGCAGGTCGGAATGCTGCGGAGGTAGTCGATGAACTGGCAGGGTTAGTTAGGTTAGTTGTGAGGGTAGCGGCGTTTGCTTACCTCAGTCACTGCAGGTTTGACCATCACAAAGGCTGTGCCATCTTTGGAGACACTCTCTATTTGGAAGAATGCAGTGTCTGCTGCGTGTCCATAATAAGAAAACCCCTCCCCTGAGGCACGGCGCTGCTGAAACTCTTGTACCAGCTGCCAACCTCCCAGCAACCACGCAACCATTTCGAGGTATAGACATCCAAGTGCCCATATATCCTGAGACTGGCCGATGCGCCCATTTTTGGACTCACATTCAGGTGGCCGGTATGACGCGGACAGGGCAACCTGGCTGGATGGCCTGTATATCTTGGTGGTGCTGGTCTTGAACTCAGCTAAGCCGAAATCTGAGATTTTCAGGATTCCACGTTTATCGTCGCGGAGGTCATCCTGGAACCATAGTACATTCTGTGGCTTGATATCTCCATGGACCCCGAAAAGTGGCCATACCTGATTTTCTGGGCAAGGTATGGCTTGATGGCCTGCGAAAGCAGATTTGTGCCTGGTAAGGTTGACGGTCTGGTGTCGATGAATAGCTAGAAGTCCCTTAGCAACCCCAAAGCACTGCTCGGCCACCCAGAGGACTGAGTCGTGGGTCATTGACGGCTTAGGGTCAAGGTCGCGCCAAAAGGACTGAAGGTCGCCCTCGGCCCAAGGGAAGATGAGGTAGTACTCATTGTATTGCTCATATGTCGCCAAAAGGGAAATCAAATGTGGGTTGGCGTTTCCACTGAATGTCACCAGCATCTCCTTTTCTTGATCGAATTGAGCTTCATCCCTGGACATGAGACGTTTGACAGCAAATATGTCACCGGATGTGATCTTTGAACCTCGGTCAATTACATAATAACATCATATTGGCTGACTTGAAATGGGAAAAGAAAACACTCGTATTCAGTAAAGGATAAGAATGGACGAGACAAAAGTCGGAAGAGTGGGAGCTTACCTCTCGAGCATGAAAGGAATGATGTGAAGGATGTATTGTAACTTGGAAGACGGTGCTGTAGCCTCCTTGAATTGTTTTGGATTCCGTGTCGTATTGACTGTCAGCTGTGAATGGTAGAGGCATATTATTTGGGAGACTGATATGCTTGATGTCCTTGGTTTCTCCAAGATGGAATGTTGGCGCCAAGGTGCTCCATTGCCACTCTTCTAACATCCGAATTGTAGCAGGGTTCCACTGATTCAAGCACGCAATCGGTTTGATCTTCCCATCAGTAGCGTCGTAAAAGCCCAGCGTAAAAACGTTGCAACCCTCTGGGGCTACCTTATTCAAGGGCAGATGATCGTCGGACACACCTTGTTGGATGAAGTATCTCATGTCTGACAATTTGTCGACAAGTGCTAGAAGGCAGAATATCTTCTTGAACAGCCGAGATCCACATATGGCTCGTGTCATTCTTCCTGATTCTGCAGGGTCGAGAAATTCGAATTGGCGTTGCAATTCTGTGCGCACAACATTTTCATTTATGAGCTCTGAGAAGACGGCATTGGGAAAGAACCTTTTACTTTTGGGGCCACCTCGAGGTTCCACGAGAACACTGATTAGAAAGCGCTGGAATGTTGCTGGTTGGCTTCCCTGCGAATATGGCAATGGATTAGGTTCAAGAACACGATGCCCTCTCTGATTAAGGCACAACTCACTATAGCACGATCCCCGAAGCCATCTATACTCTCAGGACCGTAAGAAGAGTCTCTTTCGGAAGGCGATACAAGCGATGGCGTTGACGGATTTGGGGATACAGAGGCCAGGTCAGCTGAAGAGGAGCCATTGCTGACCACGGATAAAGTTCTCTGTGTTCCAATGTCCGTAACACCCAGGTTGACATCGAGACATGACACATCTTCTTGGTCGAGTGAGGCTTGAGTGGAACAAGACGGAGCTGTGATTGAAAATAATCGTCAACGAATAGCTCAAGATCACTGTCTTGCCGTTTGGTCATCTCACCTGCCACGCTTGAGCCTGCGGCTCGATGACCACTAGGCATCTCTCTAAAAAGTGGAGCAAGATGGCTTGGAATTCTCAGCCTGTACTGGTAGAGAACGTAATATAGGTCAAGGAACAGGATTGACTGTGAACTGAATATGAAAACCGTGTGTTCGAGATACTCTGATGTTACGGGATTGCATCGACCTGCTGGGCGAGAAGCGTAACGTGGCCGGGTGGCACCGCTGAGCGCATGACGGGTCTTATACTTCTTTCGTGCACGTATGTCCCAACGATGAGTAATTTACACATTGGCCTACGATAAGAGTCGGTGCCAACAAGTCTGCCTGGAAGGATTGGCACGAGCCTCAGTTCGGTTCACAATGTCATCTGTGTTGAGGCATTGCCCCCCAGGGCCATCATGAGCGCGCCTGGGCGCGCCTTAAGGCGTCTGTCGCAAAAGACACATTCACTCCACCTTCATCGGCGGGTACTTTTGTCACAGTGACAACTGTTGTATACATCAGCGATGTGTGGACATGGCTGTGGCCCGAGATCTGCTGATCCTGCCGTGAAAGCCCTAAGTATATAAATCGTTTTCAGACCCCACGGATTCATGAAGGCAGACTTCTAGACCCCTATCGAACAATCCAACGGATTTCTGGACATCCTGAATGACAGTATTGTCTCTTATTCTACTTTCCTACTGGTGATAATGCATTCGAACTTGTCCTAGGGAGGACTCCGTCTGTCGGGTCCAGTTGTGGTCTATAAGTGCTATCTTCAGATTCATAAGCTCATCATTCGCGTCACGTTTCCAAATTGCTTGTTCATATCTAACGACAACATAGTCGTGGATTCCAAGCCACCAATCACGCAACCATCATTCAACGTAATCCACGGACTTACTAGAAAGACCCGATTGGAACTACGAAGCGTCAGATCAGTGCTGAGAAACTATCAATGATGATTACCTGTGGGTATGGTATGGACAAAATGGCGGATTAGGGGAGTCAGACTACGTTCAGGCACTAGCACGACGTGAACCAACCCGCCTTCTAAGCAATGACCCCGAGAAGGACCAACAGGAAGAGAACTAGATCCATGTGCCTGTCCTGCTTCAGGCACATTCAGACATGCCACTTCTTTTGTTCAATGTAGCCGAATGTATCGCGTGCCATTCGATCGACGTGGTCCTGTGATCGAACTTTGCCCGCAAAGTGGCGGAGCCTGATGAACCAGAAGCAGCGATGGATTCTAAGGACCTTTCACGCAGGTGAGCGACTGTATGGAGAATTTACCTGCAGTCCTTTGGGCACGATTTCGTGTTGAGGTGGGGGTTTGGGGTCGGTTTTGTCAAAAACGGCTCGGTCAACTGATGTACCCAGGCGTCAAATGCGTCGCCAGTACTGTTCTGTCATAGCCTGTGCAGGGTGTGTGACACACATAGGGATCGGGCACTGATCTTATGCGTTATCTGACCACCCACTTGAACACCGCCTATGATATAATGCCGTGTGTTGCTTGGCATACGTTGCCTGCACCATCACCCTGAGACCGGTGAGCATTCCAGCCGTCCGACCTGGGTCAGATTGAGCTGGGTCGGCAGGTCGGCTACGTTCAAAGCTCGTTCAGACCTCCAAAATGTTCCTAGACTTCTTGACCGTGGAACTTGGGGCATTATTTTCAACTACCCATATTCATCGCATCGCGGAATCACCCTCTTCTGGCGAAGATGTTGTCAACTCATATGAACAGCATGGGACCACATGAAACTTTGTCAACAAAGATCAATAAAGAAGTGAACGTATCCCGATTCCCACGTGACTCTAACCTTCGATTCGCCCCCAGACGTGTCCTAGATCTCATCACTAAGGATTCAATCATACAACACCTCCATGGGAATCCGTTGGAGAAATACCTCATCGACTACATCCTGAACGATGTGAAAGAGCTATTCGCTATATGTGTCGCCATTTCGATGCCAACAGCTACTCTCATCGATCTAATACAGTCACTCAGGATTGCTGGGTTTACAGACAAAAGGGTCGCATGGATTGGCCAGGACATCGCAGCGATATTTCCTGGGCGTGCCGATGTCTGGACTTACATGTTGGAATGCCACCGATACATGTTCCAAGCTCCAGAGATCTCCCAGCACTTGAGGTATAATAGGAGGATTCTTCCTGTCGGGATGCCTCTGCCTATTAAGCTTTGCGACAATAAACCGTTGACGGGAGGGTTTGGCGCGGTGTATAAAGTCGCGATCCATGAGACGTTTCTAATCAATATCGGCCCTATCAACGAGGTGAGACATGCTTATTCCAAATAATCGATTTGGTTCACAAGACCACGCGGCGTCAAAAAGAAAATGATACTGAATGACGTAGAAGACTCGCACCGCTGCCATCAAAGAGTTTTTCCAGGGTAAAGACCCGAAAGTATGGGAAAGAGAAACCACCGCACTGGAGAAAATTGGCCGACGCAACATCCTGCACGTGGTCGAAGTCAAAGCTATGTTCATCCAGGCCTTCAGATTCTTTCTTGTCTTTCCCTGGGCGGACGAAGGCAACCTCATGGACTTCTGGGAGAAACACAAGTCTTACGACCGCCGTTACCATATTGCCCGCTACTTCATTCCTGGTATTTTGCGGCAGCTTCTAGGGCTATCACTTGCGCTCGAATCTCTTCACGACTTCAAGAGGAACAAAAGGGCATCATATCGCCATGGCGACCTGAAACCCGAGAATATACTTATCTTTAGCTCCCCTGGCAATTCCAACGACTTCCCTGGTACCTGGAAGATGTCAGACCTTGGTTTGGCCAAAATGCACGAGTATCTCACCGGTGAGAGGTACGGAATGCAGGCTACGTCGATGCGAAGCTTCGGGACAACATCGTACAAGCCTCCGGAGGCATTCAGTAAACCGGACCATCCGACCACACGATTGTTCGACATCTGGTCCATGGGTTGCATCATTTTACAACTGATAACATGGCTAGTTTATGGGATGAAGGGTTTGGAGGCCCTCACCGGCGCAACTGCCTTTTTGGACAAGCCCAGTTGCTTCTGGATCGGAGATTACTCCGCTGCGCGAGGCTGGATTAACCAGACCGTACACGGCGAAGTCACCATCCTTATCAACGAATTGAGAGAACGCCTTAGAGAATCGCCTGCTCTACTTGACCTTCTAGGAGTCGTTGAAACCCAACTTTTGGTGGTAGAAACAGCCCCAATACCAGGAATGTCCAGACACCGGACTGATGCACGCGGCCTATACCAATCTCTCTTGACTATTTGCCAGAGATGCAAGCCGAATGATCCGTATTCGTCATTTTCCTGGAAAGCAGTCGCATTAGAAGGCCAAGGTGACACATGGAATACTCAGCAGCGAGGAGGGAATGTCAGTTCATGTCTCCAAGCATCCTACCCTCAATTCACCCTATCACATCTGCAGTTCTGAACCAGAGTTTAGTATCATGGGCAATTACGGCGCTTGGAAAAACAGAGATATTAACATTCAAATCAGCAGATCGTGAGGAATAAGCCAACCCACTATAAATCGGGCAAGAACTGACGCATTAGCAGTATGTGAGACATGACCTCGCCTTCATGTTTCAGGCACTTACTGATGTGAAAACCGAATTTTTGCTCTGTACAGGATGTAAGTGTGCAATCCCATTTTCCAGTCTTGTACGTGTCTGGAAACTGCGATATGGTCTAACGTTCTTGTGACAGCATGTGAGTATCCTTGTAAATACACCTCTGACATCATGCATTGATTTGAGTAGACTGATTGATGCCGGAGAGTAGCCAGTAAGCTCACAGTGATTCAGTCTCATGCGTGCGGCACGTTCAACTAACTTTAATAGCCCGTAAGCTCGTCTCACTTCTCCAGTTTACTCCGCAAACCAACCAAGGTCATCGGACATTGACCTTGTTATCTAGTTCAATGACAAGTGGGAATTTCAGTCTGATAATTCTTTCGCCGATACTCTGCTCCGTGATAGTGAGGATTTGAGAATGGTCTTATCGACGACACAACGGCGCGCGAAATTGTGTGCGAGTTGCAAGCAATTCGACTTTGGGGAGCAGGAATTTCGAATAAGAGACAGTCTTGATCAGCTCCAGGAGCGGGCCAGGTCATGTGAATTTTGCAAGCTTCGATGGGGAATTTGCAAGTACTCTTTCGACAACATTTCATCCATCTTCTTTGATCAAGTTGACTCAAATCTGCAGTTGAATGGGCGTTACCTACCAGTCTGTACGGTTCATCAAGGACGAGGTGTGTATATCTGGTAGTTGGAAAGAATCATGATTTATCAAGTGTGGGGCTGACCATCTGAACTCCTTAGATGTTTCTTGCGATACTCCCGCCGTCATACGTGGGCTCCGAATCGGTTTGCCTCAACTTCCGATGGCTGGTACGGCGGCACACTTTGACATCATGCGACATTGGTTGCTGGAATGTGACCAAAATCACACGGATTGCAGGTCTTTCAACGCACCCGAGAAGACTTTGCCGACGAGATTGATTGACGTCGGTAGCGAGGATTCAGCATTTGTGAAACTATATGAGACGCAACGGAATGATAAATATGACTATATCGCCCTGTCCCACCCATGGGGACCTGAGAGCGCGAGGAACTTTTGCACATTCCGAGGGACTCTGGAGCAACACAAGGAGGGTATCGAATTCAACCATTTGCCCATCACCTTCCAGGACGCTGTAAGAGTAACACGGGGCCTTGGCCATCGATACTTATGGATCGACTCAATCTGCATTATACAGGGCCCAGACGGAGACTTCAATAACGAGGCGAAGCGTATGGAGGATGTGTTCAGCCAGGCCTATTGTGTATTAGCGGCGAGCTCTGCTAAAGGACAGCATGATGGGTTTCTGAAGCCTCGTGAGCAAAGGAGGTACCTCACTTTTCGCGAACACCCTCTGCCGCCCATTTACGTCTGTGAATTCATGGACAATTTCCAGCAGCACGTTTTGGACAGTCATCTCAATAAGCGCGGCTGGGTTCTACAGGAAAGGGTATTGGCAAGACGCACCATTTATTTCACGGAGAAGCAGACATACTGGGAGTGTGGAGACGGTGTGCGTTGTGAGACCATGACAAAAATGCACAAGTAAGTAGGGAACAATTTGAGAGATGACATTGATATCCGAGAAACGGGTTAACCTTTCTGATCGTCAGAGCTGACCCATCAACTTCACAGCCAACTTGCATCGTTCCTCGGCGACCCGAACTTCCCCACGGTGGCGATGAAGGCAAACCAAGGAGGGAAGATTCGGCTTTGTCAAGATCTTTATGCGCGTTACTCGCGCCTCGGCTTCTCACATTACGAAGATCGGCCTGTCGCTATAGCTGGGCTCGAGAAACGCCTCATTTCGAGCCTTGGCCTCCGTGGCGGCTTCGGCATGCTTGACGACAATGGGCCCGGCCTTCTGCGACGGAGTCTGTTGTGGCGCCGAGCCCAGGACGTGGAAAGTCTAGACCTGATCACCTTCAACAGCACTAGCGACACATCTTCGAAGGCTGCCCCACCCCCAACGTGGTCTTGGATGGCATACAAGGGCGCTATCGAATACCTAGACCTTCCCTTTTATCAGGTTGAATGGGAAACGAAGGACATCATCTCGCCATGGGCCACGAACGCGTTAGGGACTTGGAGCTATAGTGGTGATATTTCAGCTGAACCCCGAGGGTTGAGAGTCATTGCCCGGAGCTTTGATGCAGAGGTTGCAGCGATAGATGACACTTCAGATCTCATCATTGATACGCCATCTTCGACGCCATTCCCAGGGTCTGCTTTGAAGTGTGTCATTCTAGGAAGGCTCAGGAGCGAATCAGAAGAGGCAGCGGGTGGTAGAAGACATTTCGTTATGCTGGTGAAGCCGACGGGCTCAGAGGCAAAAGGTTCCTATATCTATCTGAGGGCCGGGGTTGGGTTCATGCCCGGAAGTCTCATCCACTTCGATGGGACAGGTGCGGTGGGCCTTGTACTGTGAACTTCCGTGACGTTCTCGTTCGACATTGCATGTACCTCGCACACACATTGGACTGCATGCAATTGTTATCATATGCCTGTGTCTATTCAGTATGTCGCCTCAGAGTTTGAAGAGGAATTGTATGCAAAGATAACGAGACCACTGTCGGAAGGCTTCAAGCTGTGTCGCGAGACCAACGCGTTTGCCGCAGTGGGAGCTGGATTCATCGGATGTACGGTAAAACAAGTTCTCGTGTAGAATGTTCCAGTTTTTGGCGAGGCAAACTTAGCTAAAGGGAAGATGAAGGGGGATGAGTAGGATGCCACAGACTTGACGTTACAAATATGATCCCGAGGGTCGCCTGGAGCGGATACCAAAGTGAGCCCTGGTGCATTGCTCCGTGCAAGGCAGCGCAGGCTGACAAGGGCGTAGCAGATCTGGCAGGTAAAACCACCTAGGAACACCCAGGTGCACAGCGAATAGCGACGCCCCTATTTCGCTTTCGTGGCATTTGAACGTGATCACGGACACGTAAGCGCGACACAGTGGCACTTGACAATCGTTTGTCCGACTACGGGCCCACGGCTCAGTTGTTCAACAGAGGCAAACACATCGTTAGTCCCGGAGGGTGGTATGGGGTCACAACGTTTCATTCATGCTACAGGTTGGTCAATGCAATAATTCGCAACTTTCACTACAACATTGTCCGCTCATTGCTGCAAAGAAAAAGGTGTTTACTCGTCACAAACTTTCTGCTCCTGGCATCCTCTGCACCGAGGCCAGCTCTTCTTTCCAACCAAAAGAACGCAAAACACATTTGAAGTAGTCCTGCAGTCCACGCAACATCTTGGATGAATAATATTGCATTATGAGACCATCAAAATTCCCCCTGTCCTTGCTGCCTCTCGCTGGGTGCGGCCTCGCCGTCTCCCAGCAGCGTCAACAAAGCGAGCAGAGTGGCCACAGCACCGGTGTTGACCCAGTCGAATTGGTGGGCGCCTTGAATGGACTAGTCTCTATTTCCCGAAATATGCAGCAGGAGTTACTCCAATTGAACAAAAACACGGCCGCAGAGATGAGCAGGGTGAGGATCTGTCCCGCCTCCATCCAAAATTCCCAGCAGCTCTTGGGGCCTTCTCCCCTTCAGCCGCGACAAAAATCTGAACTGACTCTTTTACCGTCCTTGGTCATGACAGGAATTCATCGGCGACATGATAACTGAGGTCTACACCCTCATGACGTACGCCAAACGCCTTGAAGACACGCCACCCTTCAATCGATAGGAGGACACTCTCGCTCTCGGCATAGGATACGTGAAGTGGAAGAAGTACACCAGCGACTTCCTCGTGACACTGGGTCAATCTTCGGACATTTTCCCCAAGATCATGCCGCAATCCGCTCCCCTTGAGGAATATCTGAAGACGTTCAAGAGAGCTGCCAACGTAGGTCATCTGTCCTATCACTTTGATATGTATTGCATGGGGCAGCACCAGAGCGCCTGGATTGTGGTCATCATTCCTCCCCTAACGTATTCTCTAGTATTTCTCCCAGAAGTTTGAGTCGGTTACTCCGAATCTTGACCGTCACATTGGTTGGATTGAGCTCGAGCTTTACGTGACCGGGAAGGCTTCAAACCTGCCTGCCAACTTTGAACGCACTATTCGCAGGTTCACCACGAGGAAGACGAATTAAGGCACTGATGAGTCCATAAAATGCCATTCAAGCTTCAAAGGCCCTGGCCAGCATGAACGGCATATGATAGGATTTGGAACATGAAGAGCAGCTTCGAGCACACAATGGATACGAGGGGAAGTTGACTTGGTGCAGGGGAACTATGCCGCAGGATTTCGCGTCATCACAACTACAAGGTAAAATTTGAAGAATAAAAAGGAAAAAGGAAGAAGGTCGACTTGTGAGGTACCGAGATTTGCGTTTGAGTTAATGGTGTAATCAATCGCAAATGCATTTCAGTCACGATGATCTGTGGCTCAGATCAAGGATCCTGTTTAAATAACGCTGGTGATCACTTCGGTCATTCCAGACTACGTGATGGCAGCGGTAACAGGAATTGGCAGGAAACTCGCGAATTATCGTAGCTTTGTGTATGTACTACATCGAGCTCAAGGAGCGTGTGCGAAACGCGGCTCAGAGCTTCTGGGCCACAATGACAAAGTTCGGGGGCTCATTCAACAGGTCATCCCACCATTCTCCTTCTTCGCCCTCCTCGTTTCCAGCAGTGCCTGTCTCTTTAACGTGCTCCATTACCGGAGCATGGTAGAAAATCTCACCCATCCCAGCGTTCTTGGCCTCCGACTCCAGAATCCCCTTCCTCAACCTGAACCCATCGAGTTCAACTTTGGGTTCCGTCAGAAACTCAACGTGGTCAGTCCAGCCCTGGCCGTTCTCGAGTTCCGTGACGTTCGTCTCCTGAGCGCCGTACTTGAAGCTCTGCACACCAATGGGGTGCACAATGTCGTGATTCTCAATGACGCCCACGAATCTGCCCCCAGACTTGAGGAATGTCGCAACATTTTCCCACATCCCGCGCATCTCGGTGGATGAGGGACACTGGTTCAGCAGCCAGAAACCAAGCACTACATCGTAGCTCCCAGGTTCTAGTCCGAGCCCGCCCAAGGGCTTGCTGCAGTCCGCCGTGTGGAAAGCGGCGCCCGGGGTTGTCGTCTTGGCTATCCCGAGCATCTGAGGGGAGATGTCGACTCCGACCAGCTTGGTGGCGCCGAGAGAGCCTGCAAGTCGCAGGCCGATTCCTGTGCCGCAGGCGAGATCTAAAACGGACGAGCCGTCCAATGGGCCGAAGGAGCTGATGGTTGACCTCAACAGCGGGAGGAGGGGTTTCACGGCGGGGGTCGTCCAGACCAGGTCGTATGAGGTCGCAAATGCATCGTATTGGGGCTTTGGGTTTTCGATGCCAGCCATGGCGAGAAACGTTGTGTGCTCTGTCGAGGATTTGTTTGCTTCTTGTTCACTTTGCTGCAGATCCTTGCACTTGCCGAAATCAGGGCAGGAAGTACCTCAGAAAAATGAGGGGATACATGGGTACTCGATTAGTTGGAGATGTTGCGAGAGTTCAACTGTTAGGGTGTAATCGTAAGCGCTTGCATCCAGTCTCTTCCAATCGGCTTCCGTGCCTAGGTTGACGGTTCGGAGTACGGTGCATCATTCCAAGCCCCTGACCGTGGCAGTTGACTCTTGCCTGACAGTCGTTATCGCACGAGCTTCATGATCTATGTTCAGGATGAATGCACCGACCAGACCGAATTCAATCACGCGTCATGACTTCCACTTGCTGTTGTTGTCACACATAACTTTCAGATTGCTCTACCCTCTTCCAAAAATCACATCAAGTGTTCTTACATGGAGCAGGTGCTGAGCGGAACCAGTAAAACAAGAATAGAGTCAAATCCATATACAGGCATGTCGGAGACATACACAACGTAAAAGCAAGTCCGTCAATACTTTCTCTCAAGGAGGCAGAGGACTGTTAGTATTCATAGTGTCCGAGCTATCCTCAGCCGCACTGAACCGCTGCCGCTTAGGTTTTACACACGTGACTTCCATCGGGCTTAACCAATTCTCTGCTTCGAGGGTCCTCGGTGAGCCGTCATCTGCCCCCCGGCTCGTCAGACCAGGAGCTACCACCAGGTAGACCCTGGTTCTGGTCCCCCTTGCAAGCTTCTTGGAGGCTTCCTCCCCCGCGTGGAGCTTCATGATGCCTTCTTGCTCCAGGCTGAAGTCGAACGGAGATTCGATGGGTCCTGGGCTAAAGACCCACGTGAATCGAGGCACTATCTGGCTGAGCACTTTGTCGAATTCGACGGCCTCATGGATGATCTCGACCAGAGCATCCTCGTGGCCATCGGGGCTTGACCTCATGAATGGGGTGATGACCTCGCTCATTTGCTGCGCAAAATGTCGTTCCAGCTGCGTACGATGCTGTTCTGCGTGCGCGACGGTGCCGGCCTCGAGGAGCCCTAGTACCAGTTTGGTCGTCTTCCATTTCCAATTCTGATATTTCCTCACCTGTTCAGGTTCAGAGCTCGGCGAACTGTAGACTGTTGACAACATTCTTAGTGTCCATTCCAGAAACATTCATAATTCCGGGATTCACCTGCATTCGCTGAAGATCTTCTGAAGTCCTCCCACGTGGGAGCGGATCTCCTCACTTCCGCTCCACGGGGCAGAATCGAAGATCGTTCCACATAGAAACCTCCAAACGAATGCCTCGATTATCATTGGGCACCTCCACCGTGACCGAAGATAGCTCATGTATGTCTTCTCTCCCGGCGTGGTGGCCTCCATAAATTGCGCAGCCCAGCCTGCCCCAGGCACGGCCACCGGGCGTTTCTCAAGCTTGTCGCCAAAGTAGTTTGTTGCGAATTCGTGAATGGTGGATCTCAAGCTCTTCAGCATTATGCCTCCAACTGTTGTGGGCTCCTCATCTTCCGTGCCCACCTCCTCCCCAGGCCCAGGCTCGACAGACCCTTCTGTATTCCTCCTCTCTCCTTCTTTCCTTTTCAATTCGTTAACTGTCGCCTCTAGCTCTTGTATTCTGTCCCGGTCCACGTGTGCCTCACTGCATCGTTTCAATTCATCATTCTTCTCCGCTAGCTTTGCTTTTGTTTTTTCTAACTCGATATTTCGATGCTCTGAAAGCGCTCGAGTTTTTATGAGTGCGATGCGGACGGCATTGTAATTTTCCTTCGTAGGATGTGCAAGCTCCTCTTCAAGATCGATGTCTGAAAAGACTCGATTTCTACTGGGACTCGAAGTTGATGGACCATCCAGGGGGGAAGGTCTGCGATTTCTACGGGGACTCGAAGTTGATTGACCAGCCAGGGGGGAGCTTCTTCGACTTCTACTGGGACTCGAAGGTGATAGTCCACCCACGGGGGAATTTATACCCAGCTGGGCTGCTTTCGCCGATCGTGTGGGCATCACCGATGCTAACGAAATATCTATCGGACCAGAGTCGGTGCGCCCTAGGTGTGCAGTTGTCACATGGATTAGCTGGATTGATCGCAATCGATGGCTGTCCTAGGAAACAGACCGAGATGAACAGACTTAATTCCCGTCCCTTCGAATTCCCGCGGTAAGAATATTTGGATCACATCAAACTCAGAACGGAAGGAGCGCCGGTCCATGCTGTCCATGCTGAAAGCGGCCCGCGCACAAAGCAACGCGGCACATGAAAGAACCCCGACCTTCAGACACCCTATCCGAAATTGAATAAAGGGCGCGAAGTTGCATGAAAAATGGGTCAAAATTAGTGACGAAGAATACAATACATTACTGAATCACAGATCTTACGATACGCTACTTGCATGTGTACTTGGAGAAGCCCACTCCCAGATTTGATCAGACAAATCGCGATGATATTGACTGGCATATAGATTTGTTTAATGTGGCATTTTTGTAGCATGGGATGTGGTAGCTGTCAACTTGATTGTATAGTGTAACCACGAAAAGTATCCAAAGTTGACATCTCAGCATGGGTCTCCTGGGGCATTATCGTAACATCGTGGTCCTCGTTCAATACTACCCAAATAAATCTCCAAGAACAAACCCCATTTTAAAACATCAGAAGCTATTCCTCCTCCTCGAAGGCTCCGACACAAACACGTGCCGCCCGTCCCTGACAGCAGCCCGCAGATCATCCGCCAGGTGGCCCAGCGCCTCCCGCACGTTGGGCCCCCTGTACGAGAACTCGGCCTGGCTCTCGTACGTGTCCTCCCCGACGATCCTCAGCACCCGGAAGTACACCGAGCCGGGCGCCGCGGCGACCCCGTCGCCGAACTTGTTGAGGTGCCAGCTGCCCAGCCCGCCGAACCCGGAGATGTTGACCTCGCGCAGCTCGTCGAGCGGCATCGCGGCCAGCTCCCCGCACAGGCCGATCCACAGGTCGACCTCGGCGCGCACCTCGTCGGCGGGCTCGTCGTCGTCGTCGTTGTTGTTGTCCGGCACCGCCTCGATCTCGGCGACGCGGTCGCGCAGGTTCAGCTCGTGCAGGTCGAGCTTCACCAGCGTGGGTGCGACCTTGTTCAGCAGGCGGGTCAGGTTTGAGGAGAGGATGTCCTCGCTGGCGAGGTGGAGCTCGCGCAGGTGCGGGAGGGAGATTGGCTGCGGGGAGACGAGGGGGTTTGTGCTGCTTGCTGGGATCGTGTCCCACTGCCACTGGATGTTTTCTCCAATGCTGTCCTCGTTCTCGGCGTTGTCTTCGGCCACCGCCTTGCCCTTGCCCTTTGGACTCCACCCCAGCCATGTCCAGAACCCGCCCCTCACTTCGGGATTCTCGAGGGCCGTCATGCCGGCCGTTAGACGCGCGATCCGAAGCTTCTGCAGATTCTTCGGCAGGCCTAGGAACCGACGGAGGTGGCAAGTCCGGCAAGTCGTACTGTCTTCGGGCGAGGGGTACAGCATCCGGTTGTACACCTCGAAGTCAAGCTCCTCCAGCCCCTCGATGACCGGCAGCAGGGACTGCTCCAAGAACGCGGGGATGTTGAACGCGTCGTCGTCAACACCCAGGGCCTCGGCGGGCATGTAGGACTTGTTGACCGACTTCCCCGTGATGCTGAAGCTCTTGGGCTTCGCACCCGCCTTCGCCACGGCGCCCAGTAGCGTCTGGACCGCCGTGACCCACTGGGTGACCGGCGAGGCCTGGTTCGGCGGCCTGCCTGCCTCGTAGCCTAGGCTCCTAAGCAGGGTCTTGAGGCCGTACCCGCCGTCGATGACTGAGTTCGGCAGGTTCTCGTCAAAGTCCCAGATCTCACGGTCGTCAAAGGACTCGACGCTCACGCCCTTGAGGTTGGGTAGATTCCGCAGGGCGTCGATCAGTGTGTCGCGGTCCCACCCGGAGGCCAACATGCTCGTCTGATCGGCATATGCCTTGTAGTAGGCCTCCTTGGAGACATTTGGTGCGTCGCCCGGGGCGCCGAACTCCAGCAGCTCTGTGCCGAGGACCAGGGTCTCCAGGTAGGGGCTCAGGCGCGACTGGGAGATGGCTAGTAATGTGCTCAGGCTGAGGTAGCCGCGGAAGAATTTCCTGCGGCCAAAGAACTTCTTGGCGAAATATGGGAATGTGTAGTCGTGTGTCTGCCTGTTGGCAAGGCGGAGGTTGCCATAGTTCTCAATGTCCAGCTCATCCGCGATGCACGCCAGGATTTCGGCGGGGATCTCCAGCAGTTTGGCTGTCATTTTCGCTGTCCTTGTCTTGGTCGTCAAATTTATCGATGACAACTCCGGTTCCCCTTTACCAGATGTATCGGGAACCCTTGATATATCTACCGAGGGGTCGCAGGAGCCTGATTGACGGTTCCAACGGGTCCGATGAGGTGACGTTGCCCGAAAATTCCGTCTCGGTCCAGGGGTGGCTCGCCGTTGGCTCTTATAGGACAAAGCCACATTCTGCCTGCATGAGCGTGCATGCAGGTAGCCCGCCAAACCGACCACAGCCCGCTTCGCTGCCTACAAGCCCCAGGGCGATGCGGCCGACCTGCAGATCCGGCCAGCGAAGCAGATGCGACATTGTCGGAGGCTCTGCCACACTCAGCTGCACTCGCCGATGACGGTGAGGCCGACGATTTGCAGAATAAGCTTTTTCATAACTCGTGAGCAGAAGTCACAGCGGACAACTTCATGGACGCAACTCCACGTTGTCTCTCAGTCATCCGGCCAGAGGTGCAACACGAGGTCTCAGGGGCCACTGTAATCCGGGACCCCGCTGTTGCCAAGGTGCTGACGGTCTTGCCCTCCCGGGCCGCGGCCATCTTTCTAGGCCATTTTGCCCTGTTGCTGGCCTCGAGAGAGTTCCACCTCATTCACACTAGGCCGGGGCGACGCCATCTGCTGTATCACTACCTAGGTAATTCTTGCTGAGTGATTCCCATTCGGGCGGGAAGCCTTGACACGAGTCAGTCAATGTGCAAGAGTAACTGGACTATTCAAAGATTCGCTTTTTAATTCCTAGATGCAGCACATTTTGACTTGTTCTGCCGTGCAATTTTGTCCTCCCGAAGCTCTGCAGCAGTATTGGTCGGAACCCGATGCCGTCGTCCTAAATATGCTGGAGTGTGTCACATATCGATGATGCAAGAACACCTCCTCCGTACAAGCTGCTCATGTAGACTAGTACCGACAACCAGTACATCCAATTATCCGGTTGACCCCATACGAAGAGCTTAAGCATCAAAAGGGCGGATAACGACCTTCTCTCCAGACACGCCCTTCTTGTTCTTCGCCAGCGCCTCCTCGATGTTAGCCAGGCCACCGCTCACCACAGCAGGCCTGTTCGGCACAAACCGGCCCTTGGCGATATACCCATCCTCACCACCAAGGTGCTTCATCAGAGGCTCGCTGAGGTAGCGCAGGTGAGGAGCGCTACCAAGACCCAAGACCTGCTTGACGGCCGACTTGGGCTCGAGCGACTGGCCCAGCTCGGCAGCCTCAGCGTTGACGCCCTGGACGGTGATCACGTGGCTGTTCTCGGTCTTTGTGGCCGCGAGGATCTTGACGCCCTGGATCTGGGTGTCCTTCTCCGAGATGGAGTCGAACACAAAGGCGAGCGGCACGCCGCCCAGCGCGGCCTTGAAGTCCTCCTCGCTGTTCTGCGACGCGCGGTCGAGGACGACGTCGGCGCCCAGGGCCTTGAGGTGGTCCAGGTGCTTGGCGCTCGCGTTGGTGACGACCCTCTCGAAGCCCGAGAGCTTGGCCAGCTGGATCGCGTACTGGCCCACCGAGGAGCTGCCTCCCAGGATCACGATGCCCTTGCCCTTGCCGGCCTGCTCGCCGCCCTCGGCCCAGGGGGCCGGCAGCCCGTGCCCGCTCTTGTCGTAGAAGCCCGTCAGGGCGGCGACGGTGGCGAGCGAGATGCCGCCGGCCTCGTCGTCCGAGATGTTCTTGGGCGTCTTGCCCGCGAGCTCCGCGGGCAGCTTGACGTACTGCTGGAAGGTGGACGAGTCGTATTTGCCGATGATGCCCTGGAAGAAGACGCGGTCCCCCTCCTTGAAGTTGGTCACGCCCGATCCCACGGCGGCGATCTCGCCTGCTGCGTCGCTTCCCAGGACGGCCGGGTAGTCCTTGATGAAGACCTTGTAGTCACGGATCTTCCAGTCGACCGGGTTGATCGCGGTGGCCGTGACCTTGATGGCGACCTCGCCGGCCTCGAGCGCCGGCAGGGAGCGGTCTTGGACTGTGTGCTGGGCACCAGGCTCGGGCACGACGGCAGCTTTGAAAGTAGCGGGGACGCCCATTTTTTTTTTTTTTTTTGAGAGCGATTGACGAAACGTGTTATTTGAGAGAGGAATTGGTCTGTATAGGGATTGTGGTTGTGTGGTTGAGGTCTCACACAGTCGAGGCAAGACACGGCAGGGGTCGACTAGCTGGTGAAGGTTTTATGCCCGACTCGTGTGACGATTTGTCAGCTTGGAGAATTTAGAGTTGATGCCATCGTGCACTAAAAGCATGACGTCAGCGAGCCATGCAACAGCGTGGAATCTCATGGATGGGGAATCGCTTATGTTGCCGAATTCTTCGAGTTTGACGACACCATTGTGCAGTTTTAAACACAGCCAATAGTGCCTAGGCCGGATTGAAACACAACATTCGTCCAACATTTAGATGCATTTACAGGTACCCGGCCGTCCAGTGTCAGCACTAGAGCAGGTGTGGCAGAGCGCTAAGCTTCTGAGCATCACTCCCATGCCGCATAAAACCTCTATGGAATTAGGACCAGGGCCAGGGTGTAAGACTGGCCATGCTAATGTAAACAGACAATGCCATCATCCATGGTTGGTGATTTCTGGATTCGGGCTACATGACGGCTTCTCCATAGGACGACAGGTCGCTTGTCAACCATCACTGGCAGGTCCCTGATTCCGAACAAATTCGAACGATGCACCCGCATCCCCGTTCTCAGGCGTCTATGTGTTCAAGAACTGAGATTGACTCTCGTCGTTAACTCCCCTTTCTAGTTACTTTCAAGCAGCCACAGCAGAGAAACAGACGCCAGGGAACGATATCGGTAACACCAAGAGAAAACAAGGCTCGCAACGAGCCACTGCCCTTGTCAACCCAGTGAAGTTGTTTGGTAAACAATTTAGAGCTCTTTTAGCCACAATTCAAGCTGTGAAATCTTGGGCGAAGCGCGATAGCATGATACATAAATAGCAAACTTTGTAGTCCGCTATGGCTCCAGCTGGAAACATCCCTGGCTCATCACATAGTGAGCCTTAAATTGGTATCGAAGACATTGGACAGCGTACTGACATTAAACTTGCCTGATAACTAAGATGACCATCAGAGACTCGCTTCACGCCAACCCAGATCGTATGATGAACTGTTCTTGTCAAGAAGCAAGGTACCCAAGTAGATTTCTCTGCATGAAGTTTGGAGATTCACTTTGAAGGACAGCAAGTCTTCTTGAGGTATCATATTAGGGTATTATACTATAATTTCACGCTAAATAAATGGCAACAACGCCGCCTCCATCAATCTCCACCCGCACCCAGACCAACTCAGGAGTCAGGACTCACCTCCCAAGCCCCCACCCTCACGCGATCGGCGCGACGACCAACACGCTCCTCTCCTTGCCCTCCTCGAGCCCGCCCCGCGTCGCAGACCCCTTCCTCGCCTCGTGGTGCTCCTTGGCCTTGTCGTAGAGGTGCCGGGCGCGCTCGCCCAGCGCCTTGCGGGCGTGAGAGAGACCCCCGTGCGCAAAGTCCGACGACGGGATCGCAACCGCCGCCCCGACTGCGGTGGCGGACGTCGCTGCGGCGCCGGGGACGTAGGTCATCTTCGCGGACGAGGATGAGTGGCCCTTGGGGGATGGGCTCCGGCGTGGCGGTGGCGGGAACGCGCCGGGCATCTGGGCGGCGGTGTCTGGCTGGGGCGTTGTGGAGGTGGACGCGGCTGCCGGTGCCGGGCGCGGGGGCAGAGGTGGTGGGGATGCGGCCTCTGTTGGGCTCGCGGCCTCGGCGGCGGGTGCAGCCTCTTCTGATGTGCTCTCCTCGTTGCTGGTCTGCTTGTCTGGTTCGGCCTCGTCCGTCGTGTCTTTGGCCGCGGCCTCGTCGGTGTCGACTCCCGCAACTGAACCGCCGACTTTCGCGGCGGATATAGCCGCACTGCCTGCGAGGCTAGGACTGCTAACTGGCTCCTCGGGCTCCTGAGTCTCGGTGGCGGCTGGCTTCTCCGGGGGAGGCTGCACGCGCTCGGATTCCTCGTACGCAGGAGGCTGATCGGAATCAGACTCTGCCTCGTGCACTTGTGCCTCAGGCTCCGATGACGGGGAGATCTCGGCCGGGGGAGACAACGGTTGTGGGTCTTCGAGCTTGACCTTTGGCGGGAGCGGCGGGGAGGCGACTCGCTGGATAGGTGACTCTCTTCCGGAGCCCTCAGCTGACGGGCTGGAGATGGTGTCTTGCTTCTTGATGTGGAGGGGCTGGATATCGAGCGCGGTAAAGAACCCTTCGATCTCGTCGGCTACTACCGATGCACGAGGATCTTGTGGTGTTGCTGGGGGCGAATATGCCTTGTACGCAGGTTTTGGTGTTGAGGACGGAGTACGCTGGTGGTGCTGGGCTGATGTCTGGGGTGCTTCCGAGCTTGATTTCCGGGCGTGATGGTTACCAGCGCCGGGTCGGAGAACAGTTGGGTGCCTCAACGGGGATGTATGTCCACCGGGAATCAATGTGGATGGGTGACGTTCGGGCACTTTCTGGGTCGAAGACACGGTGCAGAAGAGCTCCGAGTCGGGGTTCGCGGTGGTGGAAACCATGGTGGGGGAATTAAGAGCAAAGTAGATAGAGAGTGGTAGTCGGGATTCTTTGTGGGAAGCAATTGTAGAGAATGTGAAGATTATATGTTGATAGGTCAATTGGGATCTGAGGGTGAGTGTGAGTTACAAAATCAGAAGTCAGATAGTCTGTCTCGGCCGTGGCTAAATAATGCAGGTTGGCAACACAGACGATCTGTTCAAGACAGCTGAACGAGGACAGAAGACCCACTACGATAGGACGGGTTCCAGGGATCATCAAACGGTTGCCTCAATGTAACCCTAGAAAGAGCCCCTGGGATTTGACGGTGAGGGAAAAACAGAGGAGCAGCCAGGGGTTAGGTGGGTCTAGCCCGGGGTGTCGAGCTTGAAGCACACAGCCACGAGAGGCGCAGCCACCTCCCGACATCGACCGCGTAGGAGACCTCACAAATGACGCACGTGACAGCAGCACGTCACATAATGACGATACGGCATCTCTACTAGTATTGACATATTGATGTAGCAATTTTTATGACCTAGGCTGTTTTTCAAAGGTTAGTAAATCGTATTGCAATCAGCGATCTGTTGTGGTTAGCATGTCACACCGCCTATTTGCCAATCTCTAACATGAGCTGTTCGAATTCAACATCGTGACCGGTGGCCTCTGGCTGCCGAGCCATCCTGTCCTTCCTCCATGGAGGCACTTTTCCTGACCCTGTGCCCTTTTGTGGACAATCACGAGCAATGTGCCCGGCGTTCTTGCAAGAGTAACAAGTGACACCGGCTACGAACCTTGCAGGTATCGTGCAGAAGTAATGCCGGTGACCAGTTTGGCCACAGTTATCGCAGACCTGGTGCTCGTCGTTGCGGAATGTCCCATTTATGACAGCCAACTGGCGAAGCTGGTCTCGCTTCCGCTGGTTCTGGTCCTCAGGGGCGGAGGCGGCAGCCTCGATGACCTCGTTGACGAGCTTCTTGGCGTGGTTCACTTTCTCCTGTGTCTCAGCTCTGATAAGACAATGGAGCGGTTCCTGTTGGTCGTCAGTAGTTTCAATACTAGCTTTCCTGTGGGTACGCGAATGGGTTGCTCTGCCTTCCTTGACTGAGCCTTTGCCTCGGATGGCGATGTTGGCGCCGGACTGGTTGTTCATGTCGGTGAGGCTCCGGCCGCGTGGTCCGAGAATCTGGCCGATGAAGTTGACGTGGGGAAAGTCTTTTACCGGGATGTAGACCTTCTCAGTGACTAACTGGCGCTGAAAACCACGGAAGTTGCGAGAGGCTTCGTAGCGCGGGATGGTGTTGATGGCGAAACCAACCAGCGCTTGGCGTTCGTCCTCCAGTCGTCGGCGGTAGCGTTGCTGGCGGGTGTTTATGCGGCGGCCCGACGAGTCGTACACCGGTGGCGGCGATGGCGATCTTGATGAGTCAGTTCGCTGTGTGAGGTCAGCAGAACGGGCCTCTCGGCCGATCTCCTCGATTCGGAAGTGGAGGATGTAGGCATCGAGCTGTTCGGGTGTCATGGCTGTGGTAATGGCAGTCTTGAGACCATTGAGTTCTGCAGTCGGGGTTTCTGAGCCCCAGCGTGTTCTTCGTTCGCTTCTTGGGAAACCGCCATTCCGTTGATGAGTATCGGAAGAAATCATTTTGAAATGAGGGTTGATGTGTTGAGGAGAATCTGAGGAATGCTGCCTGATAAGATGAGCGTTGCTGGTTAGTATTTTTTGTGGTTGTCAGAGACGGATGTGATGGTTGCAAAAATCTAATGGCACATTTGAGCGGGAAAGACGAGGGTCATGAGCTTATATAGCAATTTATGTGATTCTACTCAATTGTTTGGTCAGGCACTGTGACTCAGAGAACCCGTGTGGATGGTCCCTTGTTTGATGCCACGCTAGTCAATGGGTGACATCTGTTAGAGGTTGGCCCAAGCCCATTAGCCGCTAGCCAACTCGGTCCTGGCGTAACATGCTCCACTACTAAAAGTCGCTAACCAATGAAATCCCTTGACGGACATGCGTAGCGCGACGCTCTTGTGAGTCTGTATACCTCTGTATGGGACTAGCTCGAATGCTGTACAAAAGCTCCGTCACTTCAGCTCAAAGACTCAGTCACTCAGTTCAGCGAGTCACGCAACTGATTCCTTCGGCTCCAGTCAAGCAGGGAGTCATAGGGGACCGAGTCTTCGGACCTCACAACTTGGAATACAAAACGCTGCCCATTGCGACCAAAATACTTCTGCGACGTTACCACACAAACCTCCACGACTTCTTGCGACTTTCACTGCCGTCAAAATGGCGTCTCCTGTTGTTGCAGTTGCAGTCTCTCCCATCCGCTCGGCTCGCTCGACTCCTGCGAGGCGGCGTCAGATCACACCGTCTGCCGAGGCATCATCATCCAAGCACTCACTCATTCTAACCACCCCGAGGAAGAAGCCATGGAACCTATTTCTAGGCGGCGCTCTTCCAACTCAGCCATACTTCGCACCGAGACAACTGTTTCCTCAAGGTGCTGCCACTGTGGATGCCATACAAAATTTGCATGCTCATCCGCTTGCTGCGCCTACACCTCATCAAAACATTGGAAGACATGTCCTACTACCATTCGACCTGAGAGACCGTACAATTTCACTGGACCATGAAGATATCCGACCCGTGCTCTACAACGTCTTTCCCGGCACACTCAATGTCGCTGAGGGCCGACAGCGTTCAGTTCTGCTTTTCCAAGTCGAGAAGCTTCCCGAGAAGCCGTGGCCTTTGACCGTTGGGGGTGTTCCTGTCACTATCACTGATGGCACAGAAGGACGTGGTCCATTATTCCCTAAACAAAAATTGGTGGCATCCAACATCCAGATTTGCTCCCACTTCGCCGAGCAGGACCTGTCATCTAGCATAGTTCTCAGGAACTTGGTTCGAGAGGTCAACGAGTTATTTCAGAAGAATCTCCCCGGAGTTCGTCTCCTGGAGTTCATGTGCACAAAAGATGAAACATTCTACGCCATTCTCGCGAACGAAGTCTCTTTGAACGCTATTCGTGATCAGTTACCTGCCCGGATTGCCAATCGTTTGGTGGGATACATGCGAGACGAGGAGCTAGGGCGACCGCAATGGGCGGATCTACCAGCAAAGAGACTCATCAATCCGCGTCCAACGGAGGGCATAATCGATGATACCCCGTACGATGTACTGAGACCTGGTGTTATCATCTGCAGCCAGACATTCAAAGACAACGCGCACCCAGCATGGTTCTCCACAACTTCCGGCGTCCAGGTCGAGAATTCAGCAGGCGACCGGTTCATGACTGCAGCTTCGCACGGAATAGGGGTCAACGAACGTGTTTGGCAGATTGCGTCTCAGGGAATGCAGAAGCTGCTCGGCAAAGCTGTTCAAGAAATCTCGTTCACTGATGTCAGCTTGGTGCAGTTGGAACAGGACATTATCTTCACGAACGAGACTTTTGAGAACAGTGCTGGGGAAGTCCCACGATTCACAAGACTCTTTGGTGAGGATCCAACAAGGGATAGGATTGTGGGCGGGAACTGTTACTTGAACAGCCCTTACACAGGCAACATGGACGGGGTTGTGGTGATGAATTCCATCAAGTTGGAGAGATCCTCGCATCCTACAGAAGATGCACTGAGGTATGTCCTCTACAATTGGGCGTACATGGGCCAGGAGGAAGGAGATCCTGACAAAGAGCGGCCACCTGACGGGACATGTGGTTCGGTGATTTGGGACGATGATGGTGTTCTTCTCGGATTTTACCGTTACTACATTGCAAAGGGTCCGTTCGCAGGGTTTGCTGCGGCGGTAAATGCAAGCGAAGTAGTGAATGCCGGGTATCGCCTGGCCAGATAAATAGTGGCCAAAAACCCACATCGGCTTCTTACCGGCAATTGAAGGACATCTCATTCGGCCTGTGTTTTCCGGTATTCAATAGCCTTGGAAACACCTTGGCTCCCAGATCCGTGTATTGAGCATCCCATAGGACTAAGCATTGATTTTGACTAGTCTACAACAACTCAAGCCAGAGCGTTGCACAAGGATAAAATCTCAAAGACATGGCACTAAGGAGACTGATTTTCGCGGAGTAGTACGCAGTTATCCACCCTATTTAACCATCGCTGTGCGCCTAGTCATCTACTTCAGATTCCTACAGCACCAAGTATCTTTCATTCACTATTGTCTCTACATCTAAAACCTGGTGATATGAACTAATTCAACTGGCATAATTACATGGAATTATCCTTCACTGAATGTCTGTGTGCCGGTAGCTATCATTCCTTGCCACCGTCTTTTACACACAAGGGGTTTTTTTAAGACAACGGAGTAGTATTTGACATACGATAATATTTATGCTCTACTAATCATCAAATCCATTGCAGAAATCACAAAAGAAATTAGCGTCTGCCAGGTCTGGCACAGTTATAGTTCCCCTTACTAGGAGCGCTGGGAATGTGCCCACCACAATGCACAGGCCAGGATACAGTTGAAAACATTCTGCTCCACCTCGTCTCGAGGTGCGTAGACAATGACCATGTTGTGGGGTAGAGGCGTACGGGTCCTCAGTATCCGGTGATGAAAAAACTTCCAGAGCCACGTCTCGTTCATGACGGCGAGAGGATTCCTCTGGCCCCAGCCAAGCTCAATCAACTCGTCCGCGTCAGAGGGGTGCAAGCAAATCATGGTACTTCCATCGGGACGGACATGGGCAATCTCGCCACCCCACTCGGTCACAGCGCCGGGGGTGCCATTCGGTGGCGCCTCTGGCAGGTTGCGCGTGAGTGCCGGAAGGCCCGTGAGATAGCTGGTTTGGTATCTGAACACTTCCGGATCCGTAAGACCCACCTCTACAAAAAGGTTTCTTATCCATCGCTCTGCACCGGGAATTGCGTCGGTTCTCTGGCGCATGGGACCCACACCGATTATTTCCGGGCGATCACCGAGACGCTGAGGAATGGCGAAGGTGTATAGACCTCCATTGTATGGCTCCAACAGAGGGTCGACAAATGGCGTCGACAAAATGTCCACACCGATTATATCCATGAGAAGAAATTTGTATAGCTTATTTTGTAGCCATCCTCTGACGGTCGAAGGTCGGCCTCCGCGCCCTAAACTCAGAAAGCGAAGGTAGTCGCGTCGGAGGTACAGAGCAGTCTTTAGAGCGTAATAGACGATAAAGATGTAGTAGAGGAACCAGAATATAGGTGAGCAAAAGCAATAGTCTTCCAGAAAGAACACAACTGCATCTGAAACATCTTCGTAAAAGTACATCGGATCTGTCCAGGGATTTGAAAGCTCATTTAACATGGTTGCGAGCCGGTGCTGTATACGTAGCAAAGTGGGGTCAGCCATGTTGATAGAGGTGTAAAGTTCCGCTTAGCAAAAGCAATTGGGTCTTGCTATATCTGCCTCTCTTAATGTTCAAGTTGTATGTATGTGGTCCCTCGAAGGTTGGTTGCATATGTAAAGGAAAATATTCAGTCCTGGCAGTTCCGGAGATCTTATTTATTCATATAGAACTGTATGTTGAAGGGCATCTAAGATTCCTTTCAAATGACCATCTTTTTATCGTTGTTCACTTCTACAAAACTCTTCGAATCCAATGCTTCTCATTGTCTTACAAAATCCCGATTGAACTTATAATACAGCTGCTGCAGCTTCTTAGTATAGTCTGGGACAATGGATATAACAAAGACGCTCGGGACTCACGAGCCGCACCTTGTACTGTTAGGTCTCATTGCGAATATGGCTGATAAAGCATCTGGCTATCTCCTACTATTGTATTATGACTAATAGCTTTCAAACGCTACAGACTTGCTAATGTTGGAATTTGCCTAAAACCCGGTCGTTAAATGTTTTCTATCAATCCGAATCCGAATCCATCCGATTATTCCATCCCGGTCGCTCGATCGGGTCCACGTCGTAAAGTCTGCAATCACGCGTGTTATGCTCGTACAGTCTGTAAGATCCGTACATCATTTTTCGTTCCCAGGGGTCCCGATAGATCTTATACTTTGGCATTGAAAGTCTGGAATCCCGACGGACGTTCTCCCTATTTGCCAAGATCGGTAGTGGGCAGGATGACGATGCCACGGCGGGTTCCGACTCAAGGAAATACGCCAGAGACACAAGCTGGTCTTGTCGCAGCGCATATACATTCATCGTCACATGACGCCGGTGACTGTGGAACCATACCCCATTTTGCTGTAGATTGTTAGATTTGAAAGAAAGCATCACACACTCGGAGAACCAAACCTCTTTCCCAGACTTGTGCTCGGCCCAGTATGCCGCGACATCCGCCACGCCATCGAGAAATTGCTCGGGTTCATCGAAGGTGAGCCATAGGAGAAAGGGCGTTGGTTTTCTCTTTCTGCGAACTGGCTTCTCGTCATAATACTTATCGTCGGGGTACTTGTGGTGTTTATGAAAGCCGCCATCGACTTCCCTGAACACCTGAACGGCAAGTGCGTGCACAGCCACGGCAACGAGTTCAACAAGTGCAAACTTCGATGCCTCGGACGCGGCAGTTGTGGACTGGTACCGTTCCAGGGCCTAGAAGCCAGCATTAGACGAAGCGGTTGTGCGTGTGGTGAGTTCGCCGAGCGGCCAATCTTGCCTCTGTTCTGGTTTCCATGGACAGAGGATCAAATGCTCCACGTAGCGCCCGGGTCTTCTCTATCGCTTCAACACGTAGCTCCTTGTGGTTGTATACGGGCTCCTCTCGTGCGTGTGTGTGCTCGGACTGGTCAATGGCCACATCCCACACCGGCAAGCCGTCGACAAGCTGGGCGAAGGTGATCTCGGCCAGGTCAGTGGCAGGCACGTTTGAAATGGCCCGCTTGAAAGCCGCTTGATGTGCAACATCAAAGGGCTTGGGCGGCGGTGTTTGTCTCGATTGACTTGGGAGGGGGTGTCGTAACCCATGGGTCGCGCTTCCACCGGAAGGTCGGTGACTCAAGGGAAGATCTCATCGAAACTGTCTGATCGACCTTCAAGAGTTGGTGAGTGGTTGAGGTATGCTCACTCAGAAAGGGGAGGGCCAGTGGTATTTAATGTGGGCGACGTTGAGAGCTTGGGTAACCCGTCGATACAGGACAATTTTCCAGGCAACAGAGCCCCACCCAACGTGATCCTGTGCTTCAAGACGGACCCATGTATTAGCGCCAACGTCAAAATACGATGAGTGCCTTGAAAGCGATTGTTTTCATTTAACTCTGAATTAATGTCTAATAAAGTCTAACTATAACATTCAAAGCACACGCTTCTACATGCAGTTAATCATGAACAGGAAAGATTACAAAGTAATTTGCAATGTCTTAGCCGCACTCGGCACTCCATTCGCAGACACAGCAAACAGGTAGTAGAACCCGGGGAGCAGGATGCCATAGTCTTCAGGCAGGACGACCGTGTACTCGGTGCCGACAGGCGTCGGGTTCGTCAGGCTGCCGTCCGCAGCGACGTCCCCAGCCATCTGCGTTCCCGTGACGGTGACGTCGACGAGAGGCACACGACGCTGGTCGGTGTTGATCGAGTGTGTCACAGACCCGAGGCGGATGAGCACGAGCGTCGAGTTCTCAGCGACCTCCTCGTTCTGCACGACGATCTTGAGGGTGGCACCCGCGGTGGCGTTGGTCGCGGACAGGGTGTCGATGGTAGGCCGGGTAGCCGCCGAGCCGTCCTCGTTGAACAGATACGGCGGGCTGAAGATCTGGCCATCAGGGTGGTCCACCGTGCGGTCACAGTTCGAGTCGTCGGCCGTCATGGACGCCAAGTAGCAGAGACCACCGCCGCCACTGAAGACGGTGGCGTCGGGCAGAAGGATGGAGATGGAGTGATAGTTCCGCGGGACGGCCTCGCGCGCCATCTGCGTCCAGGTCTGCTTGACCGGGTCGAACAGCTCAGGATACATGATGCCGTCGGTATCCGTGAAGACGAGGGACCTCTTCTGGCCGCCCGTCACGAGGACGGTGCCGTCGGGCAGCACGGCGGCGTTGGCGAAGCCGCGCGGGTAGGCCGGGTCTGGCATCCTCTCGACCTTGGACGGCTCCCAGGGCTCGCCGATGGTGGTCACATGCGCGCGGTTGTTGGCGTCGCTGTCCGTGTAGTCGGGGGATCCAACCGCGGACAGGACCTTACCGGCGACGGCATCGTAGATGGCCCAGATGCCGCACATGGCGTCGTCGTCGTCGCGGGTGCCGGCCTCGAGGACCGAGCCGTTGCCTTCGGTGCCGTACCAGTGCTGAGTCTTGGAGGGGCCCGCCTGGAAGACGGAGCCGTTCTTCCAGCCGAACAGCCAGCCGTGGTTGTCCTGTCTCCAGATGCCGCCCTCGTCGGCAGTCAGCATATCCTCGACTGCGGCGTCAGGCAGGTAGGTCCACTCGTTGGTGTCCGCGTCGTAGACCTCGCCGTTCTTGCCGCCCCTGCCGCCGGAGTATGACCCGCCAATGGTAAATACGCGACCATCAGAGAGCGTACATGAAGATTGATAACCACGAGCGATGGTCATGTTGGGTGCGCGGGTGAACTCATTGGTCTCTGGGTTGTAGATGCTCACGGCCTCAGCGTCGGAACCTCCGCTGATGACCATGCGGCCATCCTCCAGCGACGAGAGGGCAGGGCAGAACATGTCATGGTGTGTGTTGGCAACTTCACGCTGAGAGACCTCTCCTGTGCCAAGGTTCAGGTCGCCGAATTGCGTCTTCCCTGTTGCGCCGCTGAAGTCAAAAGCCTTGAAGGACGAGAAGAAGAGCATCCGCTCGGGCGCAGGGAATGCAGGCACGATGTAGGCGGCAACAGGGATGACTGGGAGGCGGATGAGGTCAGACCACTGTCCCTTGGTAGCTGGGTTGTATGTAGTCTTGCGTTGGATGACCTCATATCTCTTATTGGTGTACCAGATCAATGTGTTCTGGTTCTCATCATCAGCGCCTTTGATGTGGCAAACCCGGTCCGCGGTATCGTAGACGGCTTTGGCACAAGCCTTAACGGTTGAGCATTGCATGGCGCAGTCGACGGCATTATCAACGTCCTTGATTTCGTTCAGGTCGTTGCCGCGAAGATCTGTGCCGGGGCAGATCGAGAACTGTTCCCCTGACTCTGCCTCATAGGTCGTTTGGTTGTATGGACATGTTGCAATATCCGTCGTCTCGGGGAATTCGTTACTAATGTAGACCGTGTCGAGGTCCTTGTTCTCCGTCCAGGTTAGGTCGTCATCGTTCGACTTGATGTGGCACACCTTTCCGCTACTGTCGTAGACAGCCTTCAAGCACAGGCCGTCTTCTGCACATAGTGAAGCACACATTTCAAGTGTGTTCACCATTTTGATCTGTTGTGCAGATTTGCCGACCCAGTCTGTGCCGGTGCAGATGTTATAGTTGATACCACTGGTGGTGTTGAAGCCGGTCTCAGTGGTCGGACAAGCCTCGAGGGCAGCCTCTCCCGCAGCAAGGGACAAGCGGAACTGACATGCCATGGCGAATGCCATGGCGCCGGCGAGATACGTCATGGTCGTTCAATGTTGTTTTCCCCTCTTGTGCAGGTGTGAAAATCCGAGTTGAAAGGAGTGTGATTGGTGTAAAATGTGCCGCTCGGGGGTATAAGGTTAAGGGAGTGTGTTTCTAGCCAGTGGTGTTGACTGCGGAGAGAGTGACAATTACTTTTGAAGTGTTGGAAGGAGTGTAATACTAAATCGCGTAAAAAGAGAGTGGTTGTCAGAGACTATGAAGAGAGGGACTGCTAGCGATGCTAGTAGGAAAAGAGTGACAAGACCCAGACAGAAATCTTCAATGATTCTGGACCTGGCGCCGAGAAAAGGCTGTATGATGGCGACAAGAGAAGAGCCAGTGCAACATGCCTCGGGGGAGCTCATTGCTCTTATCCCAAGTTGAGAGCCAAGAAAGAATACGGATACTGAGAGCGGGACGGGGGGCATAGTGGACACGGCTTGAGTCGAGATGGGATGAACCGGATCAGTGTTCGGGATACAACCTGGCTGCCGTGAGCCGGACTCGCGCCGGCCGATCCGACCGCGAGCAAGTGCATGATGTGCGCTTGTCGTCTGTGTTCTATTCTAGTCACTATCATCAACGAAAACACAGAGCTTAGCACACGAAAATCGAGATACGCGAAGATGCATTGACGCTGATTGTGGATCGCTGAAGATCATTATCATCGACAGTCGATGCCGTGTGCGCGCCTCCATAAAAGTTGTTTCTGCGGATCTTTTGTGGGTTGGCTGCAAAAGGGTTTTCCATTTCGCTCGCCAAGCACAAAGTTCATAAGCCAAGGATTTACCTAGTGCTATTGCAGCTATTGGGTTATTTTAAGCATCTTGGATCGCTTCAGGGGTTCAGGTCTGGGTCCTTCATTGTAAACTCGGACAAGGCTGAGTCATTCGCTACTGAACGCTGCAGGGATCATAGTTTCTCTGGAGATTTGAGGCTCGGGAGAAAATGGGGTAAACCCACTTTACACTCTCGATGACGACTAAATAGTACAATAGCGCGGATAACTACCTTTTGGACGACTCGTAAGGATCTTTGTGGTGACTCGCACCTCTGTCCATAGAATACTGTTCACTCTCAGGTTTCTCATGGTGGTTACCATTCGGGCCAGGAATGCAGTTCGGCTTCCGTCAGCCTTGGCACAACAAGGCAAAGTGACAGTATGGAGCACTACAGCGAGCGAAGACATGCTCGCTCTTGTGGCCGTGGTGCGGAAGATGCTTCTTAAAAGCGACTCAATTTGCACTTCCACATGTCCTGATAAGTTGCAACCCGGTGTGGAGTCATGGGCTCTCGTTGTTCCGGTTGCTCCGCGCGTCCAGTCCAAACTAGGCTGGAGATGTGCAGCAAATCAGCTGCTCATGACGCAACTCACCACCTGCAATTTTCCGGAGCGTCAAAGCGACTACGAATGAGGATATAATGAAGTTTTGGACGCAATGACCTCCGCACATAGGGTTTGAGATAACGATGAGCTATGCGGCTGCCTGTTGAGGAAACATGATCGATTGAAGTACTCACTGCCCACCGGTCCAGTGTACGGGCGAGTCAATTCTCACATCACATGCCTAATAATAAAAGTGATATATCACATCGTGGAGATATTCGTACAGACATCCTGATAAGTTTCATAAATCTCACTCGTTTTTTGGGGGGCCACGCGTGGACACTGGCTGAAGCAGACCGCAGTTTTGTGCAAGGCCCGTTGGTGTTTCGTTAGCGGCTTCCCACTGTCTAAGAGTTTCCTCTCTTCAGACGCTGATTGTGGACAGAATTGTTGTACTCTCAAACTCGCTTGGCCGTACGGCCTCAGGATATTCCATACCGGTAGACAAACTGTCCACAAATTAGCACTCAGATCATGATATTTTAGGAATGACCTGTTCAAAATTTATTTGCAATTGGAATATTTGAAGATTCCATCATCGCCTTTATCCTTGATTGAATAAATATTGGCTGCTGAGAACCTTCGGACATTGCATTGTTCCAATCTTAAAACAGCCTCGCGGCGCATTTGTCGTTCTCGTGACCACTTACTCCTTATATTCAATACTGACGTTGGGCTCATTCGCAATCGTTGCAGTTGACAGTCGTAAAGAGGCAGACAAAGGTTACATGATCTTTAAAAGGCTACTTCTTGCTGCACTCGATCTGTAGAGCTAATTAGCATTTTTCCATCAGGTCGACCAAAACTCTTTCCCTGTATCCATACCAGCGAGTTGGATGGACTCGCTCTATTATAGCACGAGTCACCCTGCGCTCGGATTTAGGAGGACGGTCAGCGGTAGCAGTTGAAGTCTCTGAGATGGCGTTGAAGTGGATAGATACGTCGGAATATTGAGATAAAAAATCGGACTCATTGCTGATATCGAACATCGGAAATGGTGGATGTGAGAAAACAAGGTCCAAGCTAGCAGCAAATGAAAAGGGTCGAGCGACAAGAAGTGATGATAAGAGGTGAGTGCTGTAAGGACATAACGGACTCGAAAACCATCGCTACTTACCAAACGAGGACAACAGTTCGACCGAACCTTGCAATTGGTCAGCGGACTGGCCCATGTACTTCAAGGTTCCACCCAAAAATCCTCGAATGAAGCCAGCGTCCAGATCCTGGGCCTCATAACAACCCGAAAATGACTTGGGAAGTGGAAGCCAGCATTAAGGCCAGGACTCAAGTCAGTATCGCCCTTGAAGGAAAGTCGCAGATTTGGGGCGGGGTGCTAAAAAGTTCAGAAAGTGGCAACTCGAACCTCGATCGAGGCAGCAGTCTGTGAGAACGGGGCACAAGGAAAATTACGAAGTTAATCACTGGTCAGTATGGCAACCAAAACGTATTGAAGATCGAAAAGACGAACGTTTAAACGTCGATTATGTTGAGCAAGAGGCTCCAAACACCACCCTTGGAGGGGAAGGGGACGAAAACTCAAATGTGTTAGACATCATATAAAAATGCAAAAAGTACAGGCCGAGGAGCATCACCAGCTGTGGCTCGAACTCAGAGTCTCTGCGAGTCCGTACCTGACGATACATCGGGGCTCAAAGCTCACCCGACGATCACGCCAGCGGTACGCAGCCGTGTTTACTTACACCATCTGCACTTTGGACTGTTCTTCTTTTCGACCTCTATAAGGGAGGGGCAGAGGCTCTCCAGGTCCGTGCGGCCTGTCCATTGTGGCCCCTCCGCGCAGTGAATATTGCCTAACGTGAGGCCCAAGTGTCCCTCATGGCCAGCCAACCACCTGCTCCTCCTGGAGTCAGAACAGAACGACGGCCACATTCACTGACCGCCCATTCACTGGCAGGTCAGGATCCAACATGAATCACAATGCTCTCTCGCCTTTGCCCTCGGTCCGCAGGCCTCCCCGCCTCACCCTCAAGCCTTCGATCACCTTTCGCCCCTCTCACTCCCCTTGCCCACCCTCTCGACCTCCCTCTCGCCCTCCTCGTGGGGCGCATGCTTTTACCTGCCCACACCCATCGCTTCAGACCTGTAGACCTTCAATTCGATCCAACACCCACACTACCTCGACCCAATACTCACACTACCAGCACCGACAATACCAACACCCACAGTACCAGCACCGACACTAAAACGCTGACACTAAGAACGCCCACGCGAACGCCCACAACGAACGCCCACACGAACGCCGACACTCGACGCGACACTCGACGCAACACCAATGGGAAAACGAGATGGAAGACAAAGACACCGACAATCGCCCAATCGACGATCGCCCAATCAGATTGGATGGTCGCACCGTGGCCAGGGCAATCATCAGGCACGACCGAAAGCAAGCAATCGAGTCAGCGAATGCAGCTGCGTCTCATGTCTCTACTCCGGATGATATCCAATTCTGCACCTTCAGCGATGGAAGCCATAGCAATGACACTGAGAACTGGGGTGGAGTTGCGTTGGCGTACAGACAAAATTGGCTGCCGCAGGGATGGGCTGCAGAGCGCGAGGCCACATATTGTGGTGGGTTAATTGTTGAGAGCGCCTGGTCGTTTGTCCCCTCGGACATGGTTGCGAAGGCCTGGCCATTTGGCTACGCGGTTGGGTCACTGGTGATGGAGGGCGTGGGCGTCTTGGAATCCCTACATGCAGCAAACGAAGAGCTCGAGTGATATCTGCCCGTGCTGACAAAACATGCCAGCACCGTCGTGGTCAGAGCGATGACGGATTGTCAGGAACTTCTCCAATACACCTCGAAAGCAACGCTGACGGCAAGCCAAGCCAAGAGGCTTCCTCGACGATTGGTCAAACATATGCACGATCTGATCCTAGCACTGCAAGATCACGGTATCCCTGTGGTCGTGGAGCTGCATTGGTGCCCACGAAACAGTGTGCCACAATTGTTGACGGCTGATGCGCTGGCAGGCGAGGCGATGAGAAGTGGCCTGGGATACTGCAATGTCACACAGAACTTCTGGTCTAAAGCCATGGAGTCGGTGACCATGAAGCAGCTGGAGCCGATGCTCTCGGAAGCCGTCAGGTTCGCTCGTGTCGTTGTGGACGAGGAAATCAAGAACTTGAAGACAAGACGGGGGAAGAAGGCCGGAGAAAAACGCAAGGCAGAAGAGGAATGGGAAGAGAGCGAGAGGAGGCCAAGAAAGAAGTCAAGGCGATCAAAAGCTCAACCAAGAAAACAACATCGGCCCACCATGCCGGCTACCTGGGGACTGGACGCCGAGACCACGACAGTTTTCACAAGCGGCCCTGGAGGAATACACAGTGAGATACCTGTTCGGCACGCTCCATAAATTCGAATGGTAGCTCTTTCCACCCAAGAGACAAGGGAGAAGAACGTCTTCATCAACGACGGCGTTAATCATTTCTCCTTGATTGAACCAGTCGATACCTGAGCCCACTAGGCCGGAAAGGGTGGGGTGGTCACAAAGCAGAAGACGAGGAGAGGTTGTCGAGCGAGACGCTGTCCCACGAGAGGTTGTTCCACAAGAGAATATCCCGTATGAGACTACCCCACGAGAAGGTGTCCTACACGGAGTGATCCCACAGGAGGATATCGCACGGGAGGGTGTCCCACAGTAGGGTATCCCACAGTAAGGAGTCCCATAGGGAGACTATCCCACAAGAGACTATCCCACAGGAGGTTGACTTACAGGAGGTTGAACCATATGAGGATGTCAACTGCATGCTATCCCACAGGAGGCTGTACAAGAAGAGATGGTTGCATCGCGTGGTAGCCGCCGGCGGGTTTCTCACAGGAGATCGTGGCAGAGGACGCAATGCTGTCGGAACGACATTGTGAGATGACAACGAGGAATGTGTCGGGATGGTTATCAGAGACATTGGAGTCTCCGAGAATGACCGTTGAAGTAAAATGTAGATAGAATACTTGATGATAATGCCGATAATGAACGACAGGCGTTTTACGACTCTTGCAATGTTTGACGACATGAAGTTGAAAGAGCCGGACTGCGCCACATGACGCCACAATGTGCCACACCTCCATGCGAGTATCGGAGACAATGCTCCGGGCAATCCGGGCGGTTCTAAGTTTCCGTCACAGCGACAGGCCAAACCTTGCACGGCAGGGGCCGAGGTTAGACGTCATCAGACGGGTAGTCTGTCAGTCACTCAGTCCAGGGATAAATCTCACTCACACTTACTTCGACGCACAGACAGAGATCACCAACAAGAAAAGCAGCAACCAAACAAACGGCAAACGCAAAATCATGGATCTTGGCCGATAGCACGATGCCCTCGACAACTTCTCTGCTCTTCCTCCTTCTCATATGCCTGGTCCTCGCCAGCCCAGTCGCAGCGTTTGGCGCTGGCGAGGTGCCGCCAGGCAGCGAGTTCAAGGGCTATGTCTGGCGCCACGGCGACCTGGCCGAGGTGCTGAAGTTCCTGCCGACCAGCTTCATCACCGGCTACAGGTTCACCAAGCTGCAGCGCAAGCAGATCTACTTTGGCAACTGGCTGCGCGACTTTTCGCAGGTCATCGACACTACATGCCTCGAGAACGTCCCCGAGCCCATCCTGCGCGCAATCGTCTCCGTCATGGCCTTCATGGAGTTTGGCTTTGCCACCGATGAGTTCGACGTCACGCGTGAGCGCCTCGGCTGCTACACGCACGTGGAACATATCGATAATCCCTGTGGCTACCCCGAGGATGCAAAGAAAATTGACGCGCGCCTGCGTGGTCCGGTGGATCCGAGGGAGCTAGAAATCGACCCTGAGACAGGCATGAAGAATTACATCGCCAACTCCGGGAACGGGTGGGATACGTCGGCCGACTACCTCCGCGGGCAACTGCTTGAATGCGTCGAACTTGGGCGGAAAGGACGGGCTCAGCACGAAACAGAGGCGAGAAAGGATGCGTTTCGCCGGCTGGGTGCTGCCTTGCACACGCTGGAGGATTTCTCTGCACACAGCAACTTCATCGAGCTGTGTCTGCATGAGCTCGGCGAAGACGGCATTTTTCCCTTCGTCGGCGACGCTTGCCGGATCACGATCCCCGACGGCGCCAGAGCAGGAAAGGTTGTCGCACCTCTAACTACTGGGACTTTTGGCATGTTGGACATCTTCCACTCTTTGCTGGGAGAAGCCGACGACAAGGCAGTTCTGCAGTCCAAGGGCTCCCTGGGAGAGCTGGCGAGTGTAAGCAACTTTGACTTGTAGTAAACCTGGCCAACGCTAACTATCGTGTCGCAGAAACTCAACCGTGGCGGGTTGGCCTTTGATCGCCTCTTCCAGCTTATTAAGACTGGGATTGGAAGGCTGAGCCAGATCCAACCAGACATCGACCCGCTCTTGCGACAACTCCAGACCGTCCAGGAGATATTCAAGAAGCATACGCCTGACGACAAGGAGCTCCCGACCCCTAGTGACCTGCCCGATGCCAATCTCTTGTGGAAGACGATCGAGCCCGTCATCTATCTCCACGACGCTGTCTCCAAGTACTTGCAAGCCGGCCAGGAAGACGAGGAGGAGTCGACACAAGACTACTCCCACGGCCAGCTGGGCGAGTACACCAACCAGCTTGTATTCAGGTACCTGGCAGTGATGATAGAGTCGTCCGTCATGGAGCTGCGCAATGCTGTCAAGGCAGCCCGCGACCGCGTCGACGAGGAGGCCGCCAAGTGCGACTCCGCGAAAGTCTTCAAGGACGGCAGCTCGGCGTCCGACCCGAGCCACTCAGATCTCTCCAAGGATCATTTCAGCAACGTGCTCAACCAGCCCGGCGGGCTGGTTGCGACAGTGACGACCAACTGGACCACTCAACAAATCGTAAAATGCTGGGATGACCCAGACATCGATGCAGAACTGGTCATCGACAAGGTCCTCTCCATCCTACACCATCCATCTTTTCCCGACAACAAGACCCCGATACAACAGTACATGTTCGACACGGTCAAGGCTTGGTGGGATACCACGCCGTCGGATGAAAAGGACCGCATCCGCGGGAAGCTCACCAAGGGGAGTGTGCGCGAGCGCCAGCACGAGGACCACAACCTGACCCTTCGCGACTTCGAGAACAAGCACAAGGGGCCAGCCGACTTCCCCGGCGCCTGGCCCGAGGTCAAGCAGCCACCCCGCAAGGCTTCTCTCATCCAGGCCGGCGTCAACGACGCCATCGCCGACTTCAACTGGGCCCTGGCCGTCACGCAGAAGGCCCGGACGGACCCCCGGGGTGCGGGGCGGGACGTGTGGAACGCGTCGGGGTATTTCGTGCACAACATCATCCTTCTTTATTTGGCGGTGATGTACCGGATCTTGGGGGCGTTCACGTGGGTTTTCTCTAAACTGATATGGCCCTTTGGGCGGAACGGGAACTCGGACGTAGATAGACTACCTGAAGATACCACTTGAAGAGGCACAGGGCTGGCGCACCGAGATGGTTGCATTGGGGAATACTCGCGCACGGTTTACAGAAGGTCTGATTATACATTAGACTTATTTACAGGAACGCTTTTTTAATGATATTACGCCTAACCCACGACCCCTTGTTCACCACACACATTCGTTTATATCCTCTCTTCCCACCCGCGGCTTGAACAAAATACCACCTCACTTAGTAGTTGCATAGCAGTTGTCGTTGATAGGCAAGCAGACCGCCGTGCCCCGGGTGCAGGCCGTGCCGACAAGACACGCCTCGCCGGCGCCGCACTGGGCGTCGGACGTGCACACGGCCGTCGAGGTGCCGCACTTGCCGCACGAGCTGCACACCGACGTGCCGTTGACGTCGGCGTGGCACGCGCTGAACCCGGTCGCCGAGCTCGGGTTGCACCCGTTGAAGGTGTTTGCCGCGGCGGGGGTGTTGAAGTTGTACGACTGCAGGTCCACGCCGCAGACCTTGTTCGGGGCCGCCGAGGGGCTGGGGACGACGGAGGAGGTGGAGAGGCTGCTTGTGGGCAGGTCGCTGGATGTTGGGGAGAGGGTTATGGTGGACTGGCTTGAGGATGGGGTGCTTGAGGGGAGGGTGCTGGAGGTGGAGAGGATGTCGGATGACAGGCTTGATACTGTGGATGAGAGGCCGGAAATTGTGGAAGAGAGGCTCGGCATAGTGGATGAGAGACTAGGGACAGTCGAGGACAGGCTGGGAATAGTCGACGACGAGATAGGAACAGATGAGGACGAGCTAACAACAACAGACGATGTCAGGGAGCTGGCGTCGCTCGAGGACGACAGCGCCGGCGTGGTGGTGCTGACGGCCGAAAGCGATGGCGAGGACACGACGCTTGAGGCCTGTGACGAGCTCGGCACAATGGAACTTTCTGGGGCGGATGAGCTTGCAGCTGCGCTCGACGAGCTCGAAGCAACCGAGCTAGGACTGGCCACCGACGGAAGAGCAGAAGAAGCCGATGACGATGCGGTGTTGGAGAGGATGGACGAGACGATGGAGCTGATGCTGGACAGCTCTGCGCTGTTTGTCACGGTGCTGACGGGCACGAACGACGAGCTCACGCTCAGCACAGAGGTGATGACGGACGATGAAGCCGGAGTCGTCGCAGTGGATGACAGGTGGGGCGTAGTGCTCGTCGTCGTGGGCTTGCTGGTGGTGGTCGAGGTTGTGCTTGCCACAAAGCCCTTGCTCGTGGACGTGACGGTGGCTCCCTTGACCGTCACGGTCGTAGGAAGAGTGACCCTGGCTGTGGACACCGTCACCGCCGTCTTGCCTGTGACGGTAGTGGTGACCGTCGGCGCGGTCCAGACGGACGAGAAGCACGAGCAAGCAGCGGATACCGCTGGGATGGCCAGGCCAACACGAGCTGCCGAGGCAAAGACTGCAAAATCAAGCAGGGCGCGGTCCTCGAGTATGGCCCGCTCGTCCAACTCGTGGACATGTTCGCTGCGGTAGTAGACATCACGCTTTCCGTTGACGACCACGGTGGTTGTCTGTGTCTTATCCGTGACATAGACAGTCGAGTATGCAGTAGCTCCGACGGTGCTGTGAAGAGGGATATTAGAACGGCTCGGTTGAGGACGGCTCGGGAGCGAACAGCGAGGCAGGGGCACCCACACAGTAGGCGCAACTGTCACGGTGGCAGTTGGTGTCTTTGGTGGCATATTCACGGCAGCCTTGCAGAAAGGAGCCGCATAGGCCGGGAGAGCCGCCATGAGGCGGGAAAGGACATCACTCGAGCAGGTAACTGCTCGAGGGTCCACCGCTACGGCGGCTGAGTTTCCCAGCCCTGCCATGATGGCGGCAGCGACTGCCAGGGGGGCCTTGGTATGCATTGTTGCTGGAAAGAATGCGTCGTATGTGAAAAGATTGTTGTGTTCGTGGCTGCTGGATGGCTGTCTGGTAATTACTAACGAGAGACTGGGTGCTCAAAGAGTGGAGCCCGGAAATGAGTGAATCAGAGTAAACAACGAGTGTGATTGCTAGCCGTGACGACGAGTACAGGTTGACTTCCAAGAATCAACAAGGGATCGACAGCGGCCATCTACTTTATAATCCATCCTGTCGGGACAATCCGAATTTCCGCTCATGTGCGTGGAGGCGGAAGGTGGGCGCAGCTGGGGTGAAGCTAGTCGAAAGCTGTGCACGGGCTGGGATACAGGACCATGTTATATCCCGGGTGCGTGGGGTGTGACTGGCGAACTATTAGGTTCCTGCATTAGCCAGGAGGGAGTTGAAGCCACCACAGCACATGCAGGGGCCGTGGGCAGAGCCAACTCGACCGAAATAGGGTGCCTCACTCGTATCTGGTCGCTAGCCGCGTCCGAGCTGAAGGTCATTCCGCCATGTGGGCAAGCTAGCTAGCGCCGAGTTGCCCCTGGGTCTGTATGCTCGGATGAGATGACCTCGCGCTAGAACAGAGCTTGAAACGCCCTTGGGTTGGGTTTCTGCTCGCACTATCAAGCCACAGCTGGCCCTCTGCCAAGACGACCCGGAAAAGAAGCCGAAAGGGGGAGGGAACCACCTAGCCGCGCAACCGTATCCGATGCTCGACGACACCCGCCGACGGCCGAGCGTATTTAGCAGCTGTGTCTACTTAGTGAGAACATCTGAATTTAGAATACGGACTACACTAGACGGCTATGAGTGCCGACGACCAATCGGGCCTTTAACGAAATCGGTTAGTTGCTGTGCGGAAACGATGTAGGTAGTGTGAATCGTGTAGGATTTGTGTTTCTTCTCTTAAACTAACTTGGCACGCTTGTGCACCGACGAATATTCTGCAAACGGTCCCGAACAGTTCAGCGTTCTAAGTAACTTTGCCAACAAGTCTGTTCAGGAGCTGGCCACATGATCGAAAACCGGACGTCGAAAGTGAGCAATAATGAGCATGCACACAAAGATGGTTTTTTTCGCTTTGAATATGACCCTGTTCAAGACGACGGGCTCTCCGATGAGTGTCTAAGAAGGGAAGGATGGGATTTTTGGCTTGCGTTCGATGGAGAGCATGAAGTCAGACAGGATGATTATTATTATGTTCCTGTAGCGCCGTGATGAATGTGGCTTTTCGTTTATTGGAGCCTGATGTATACTGAACATTTCCTTCACATGTGATCCTTGATTCTCCGGCTAAGATATCTTACAAACTGGTGACTGTGTGTCTGTCTACCATTGGTACATACCGCCAACAGTGATTATTCGCTTGGAGTATAGTAACACAAATTTTCAAGCCGTAGGGACCTTCAATTAAACGTAAACCAGAATATTTTGGAATATTGGGCGGCGCAGTGATCAAGTAATGTGAACTGGGCACGTCAGTTGGACTTGCTAAGTCTTCTGTAGAAATCTATTATGAAATACCTAAATTACATTTCTCACACAGACAACCACTGGCATGTCTTCTAGTAGTTGCTGTGGTGCTCTTAGCAGCTGGAAGTTCTTCCCACGGACGATCCCGTAGCTCGAGATATGACAGTAGACACAAACGGCCGACATTCGAATGAAAATGTCTGATTTCAATGACCTGACATAACCAAAGAAGCATTGATGGACACAAATTTGCTCAATGACGGAGTGTTCGAGCCCATGGCCAGGCCCTTCCCAGGGTTGGGCCCCACAAGTTCAGATCAATCATGCTCAGTGGAACCTTTCTTATGAGAATAATAGATGTCATTATCCTCGGACTTTCCAGTTCCAATCCCATATATTAATGAAACGATGCGTATTCTCTCCTTATGGGACCTTCCTTATCGTGAGTTCCTAGGCAGCATCCCTGACAAAACGACGATTAACACTACCAGCCCCAGGGCCCTGATCCCCTCTACGGCTGGGCATAGGGGGGCGTCTCAGGCATCTTCACAACAGGAGGAGGCAAACTGGAAACTCCATCAAATTGCAGGACCCTCTGCTCTCCCTTGTTGCGTCGAAGACCAAGTGCCGGAGTAGGAGGCCGATGATCCAAGCACGCCACTGTGGCTATACCAGTGCGCTGCATTTCATCACGCTGTGGCTGAATCGTGGATCCGGTAGTGCAACCTGCGGTACTGGGGGCTGTTGTTGATCCTGTGTCTATGTCGGGGGCATGGCGTTGGCTGGCGGCCCGCGAGATACTTGGTTTGGGGCCAGTGTGGCGCACTTCGCGAGGTCCTGCCTGCACGCCGAGACCCTGTGGACCCTCTGGGTGAACGACAAGAGCTGTCGAGGATTGTTCTGCGTTGGTGGCTGGTATCGTGGGGGGCTCCCGGCCTGCGGACCCGCTACAGATAGCTCGCCCGTTCATTTTGGGATGAGACTCCATTCGATGTCACTGGATACCGTTTCCTTGGCCGTAAGAAAGTGGCGAGCTTCCTGGCGTGAATTGGATTAGAAGAGGAGATATTTTCGGTTGGGATGCTTCTGAATGGTTGGTAATCTTGAGTGTTGGTTGCCAAATGCGATAACAGTGACGAGTTCTGCTCCATGTAACGCAAATCATCACAGCGGGAAGCCTTGGCCTTTAAATCAGGATGCAAAAGTGGAGAGAATTCGGATCAACACCATACGCCGCATTGTTTGAAGACATGGCTAACAATTGGACCACTAGAAGTTACAGGCCCTCATCGTTCGGCTCAGCTTCAGGACCTGGGCTGGTCAAAATAATGGGCACGGTGGAAACTCACTCCACTGTTTGGGACCTGCTTGGGCCTGTCTCGCAGTAACTTCATGACTAGACAATAACCGTGGGGATTGCTTTAAGTAATACAAAAATAAATCAAGCCCCCATGATACGGAGTGTTGTCTTCGCTGAAATTGGGTCAGATTTTCTCCTGATAGCCCTCCAAATGTTCTGTCGGCGGCGCCTCACGCGTTTAGAGCAAGCCGGGTGAAGGTCGATACCTACTTGTCACGGCGGTTGCGAGACAGGTGCAGAATCCACCACAAATGCCAAAAATATCGTCAGGACGCCCACGGCCCCAACCTGTTAAATGACCCACGTTAGATGCCCTAGATGCAAATTATTGGCTCTCGCCTGTTGTTGTGGGTACCCCACCGGCCGTGCCGCATTCCTACTAAAAGCCAGCCCACCGTAGATACGTACATCTATGTCAGCCTTGGGTTGAACGAATCCAACCCGAACTTCAACTGAGTCTCTGGTGAGAATTTGGTATACCGCGAGATCCGTAGTATTTTGCACTGCGTTCACAGCAGCGAGGCACCGAGTCGGATCTACGGTTGCCTGAGATCTTATGTCCTTGACATCTTTGTCTTCGAGGGTGATTCGCCCAGCGTAAAGACTCTGGAAAAGTCAATACTGTCTCAAAAACAATAGAAGTCCTCAAAGCTTCTGTTTCAGGCCCACCACTTAACGTGCGGCTCAGGTGACCGAAACAGAGAAATTTGACAAGGAGAAATGCGTTGCTTTGCTCCTATAAGGCAGAAGCTGCTTGAATACACATGTCATTTTCGAGATTGTCAAGTAGAAATGTTATAAACATGCTCTAGACCCTCTTCCTACCACCCGACTTGGCCCGGCTCCCGAATGAACAAGAATAACGCGGATCATGGCGCCCACATTTGTCGACCTGTTTTGCGGAATTGGTGGGTTCCGCATTGGCCTCGAAGCAGCCGGATTCGAATGCGTCTACGCAAACGATATTGGCAAAAAGGCTGTTGAAGTTTACAAGAAGAACAGGCGACCTGATGCACACTATCCTGTGGAGTGCGCAGATATTCGAGATGTCTTCAATAACAGACTGGACACCATTCCACCACACCATGGTATGTAACTTCCCTCAGGAGCCGTACGTAGCTTCATTCAAGTGTCCCTGCAAGTTTTTCTGGAATTTATTAGTCTCCATGGCTTTGAAATCATACGCTGGGTTAGAACTTCCCCAGTTCACAGCGCTCTCCGTCTCAAACGTCGTGTTGGTTAGCTCACCATGGTCTTTTAGTGCTTGCCGCAGGATTTCCATGCAACTCTTTCACGGTGCTGGGGGCTGGCCAAGGCGAACAATGTCCCAAGTATGGCGAACTGGGAGGGTACGTTGTCAAGGTAGCGGCAGCGAAGCGTCCGGTTGCCGTTCTTTTGGAGAATGTGCCCATGTTCTTCAACGGCGGAAGGCCCTGGTTTCGGCACATGGTAGCCGCGTTCACAGAGGCTGGATACGACTGCAGGTACAGCATCTTATCAGCCTGGGATTTCGGTCTACCGCAGCACCGCAAACGTGGCCTAATTGTCGCGGTGAGGAAGGACGTGGCTGGTGCTCCATTCAAGTTTCCTCTGCCACCCCAGAGGGCGCAGGTGACACTACGCAGCGCCCTACTTCCCGCGGATTCTGTGGAATTGTCGGGCTCGATAAAGTTCAGGCAAGATGAAGTTCACGTGGAATGGAAGGAGACACGGGATCCGGGATCCACGTGGGATGAGATTGTGGATGAGGTCCCAAGCAGCTGGCAAAGCCGCTTCGGACTCATAAATCTTGGATCAATAAAGGCGTTGAGCGCAGGAGCTAATAGCCAAATCTACCATGACCTTGGATTCCATCCTTGTGTTACGGGGCTAACTGTACGGCAGTGGATCTTCACACGGGGCACCGACGACGAGGGCCCGGTGATCCGCAGGATACACCCGCTTGAGCTACGCAAAATCCAGGGTTTCCCTGACGACTTCGAACTCCATCGCGCTAAGACAGTTACTACCAAGCAACTCTCCAACGCCGTGCCTCCTCAAATGGTCGAATGGGTCGGTCGTGCTGTGGCAGAGCAGTACCGTGAGTCTTTCGACGAAGATGAGCACAACGTGACCAAGACACCTGGGAAGCAAAGATCAAGCCGGAAGTCGAGCCGGAAGTCGAAAGGGAAGGCGAGCCGGAGGCCGAGTCGCAAGCGGAGCCGTGAGTCGACTCGCAAGTCAAGAAACAAGTCGAGCCACAGTCATGCGTCGAAGGGGAGACACAGGTCGAAGGACAGCCACAGGCCGAAGGACAGCCACAGGTCGAGCCGCAAAAGGACACTCTCTTCAGGTTCGAATGAGACCCCGCCACGGAAGCGTCAGCACCGGCAGTCCGCTACGAGTCCGGACTCGCGATCTAGGGAGTCTACCGGCACGGCTGGGTTTGACGGCAACGTGAACTCGTCGCTGAGCCCGGGTTCGCAATCTAGGCTGTCAACCGGGACGTCAGGATTTGATGGGAACGTGATAGCGTCGGCCCGCAGGCGACATAGAAAGTGAGAATGTTGTTTCTGCTGTGCTTTGGCACGGGTTGGCGAAACACAATGCTTAGATCGCTGTGGGACGGGGCCATCAGTGCATTGAATGACACAGCTGGAAGTTTAAGACGGCTATTTTGAATTCTAGTAATTCTACATGGGTAGGGTAAAGTGATTTGTACATGTCTCCAGCCCTGAGCCAAGCTTTTCCGCCATGGTATTCAGACCGACTTTGACTTTGATGACATCAGAGCACTCAACCCAAAGTTCTTCAAGTAGACCGAATTCTGCCACAAAGCGTTAGCAGTCTGCAAGCCCTCAAGCACTCTCCGTTACTCACCATGATCCCAGGCCAGGCGAAGTAGCTGAAAACCCTCCCAATACCGGCCATTGGTCCCCTCCAGAGGACCGGACCCGGCTTGCCCAGCAGGTCATTGGCAACCTCCTTGGCGTACTCCTCGGGCGTGGCAAACTTGGTCCCCTCCAAAAATGCGCGATCCTCGACTTTGTCTTTGCAAGGCGTGTACATGCTCCCGGGAGGCATCTTGTCACCAGGGCGCTCCGACCGAAAAAGGTTGGACGTAACGGCTCCAGTTTTGATGTGGACGACCTTGACCCCGAACGGCAAAAGCTCGGTCCGGATCGTGTCCGAGAAGGCCGCGATGGCCGCCTTGCTGGCGTTGTAGGCCGCCTGGAACGGCGGGAGGAACACCTCATTGACGGACCCTATGTTGGCGACCGTGCCCCGGGCCTCAATGAGCTGCGGCAGGAACGCCTGGGTGACCGCAAAGACGCCAATCACATTCGCGTCGAAGACGCGCCGGAAGTCGTCGACGGCGCAGTCCGCGAAGGGCATGACCTGGTTGACGCCGGCGTTGTTGACGAGGATGTCCAGGCCGCGGCCGTCGGTGGCCCGGCGGACCGTCTCGGCGGCGGTGTTCACGGACCCCGAGTCGGTGACGTCCAGGACGAGGACCGTGACGCCGAGGTCGTGCAGGTGGGCCATCTTGTTCGGGTCGCGTCCCGCGGCGAAGACGCGCAGCCCCCTGGACTTGAACTCGCGCGCTAGTCCATCACCGATGCCGCCTTTGCTGCAGCCTGTGATGAGGATCGATTTAGAAGCCATTGCGACGTGTTAGGGGGTGATATATAGAGGGTGATGGCATTGGAGAGGGGCCATTCTCTTGACTCGGTGTTTTGCGTGGCCGCTTGTCTCCGTCTTGACTAGCATCCACCCCAGTGTTGCACGCTAGCGGTAGTAGTTAGGCAAAGGTTAGTTAAGTTGACCCCTGGTTTGCTGCTGCAAGCGAGTCGAGACTTAATACCACAATTTGGAGTTCATCTGTACGGACCTCGATCGGCTTGCGCAACGATATACTTTCGGGAGATGCATGACAGCAGCAAGGGCAGGGGAGTCATGCACCGTAGATCGGTACCTTCGAAGCTTTGTTTTAACCATAATCTGGAGAAATATGTTGTTCTTGCTTGGCTACATATGATAGATCTAAGTGGGGCCTTCAACGTCCTGCGAAACCTTCTACCTACGGCCCCATCTTTGAGGTGATATATTAGCTTTCTCCGGCGAACGGCTTGGCGAGGACACAATGGACCGGAGCTTTAGCTTCAACGGGTTCTCCCAACCTCCGTCATGAAATACCGAAGCAAAATAAAAATGACTAAACCATAACCATCATCGACATACATCTGATGGTCGCCCACAACAAGTGTCAAGAGGAACAACCGGCAATGTTGGTAGCACACTTGCAGAAACTGCGGTCATGAAATAAATCACTTCATCAATCAACAATGTCCAGTCAAGATCAAGAAGGTGCATCCTATCTTCCTTTCTAGAGAATGATTAATTCAATTACGCTCAATGCAGATGCTACTTTTTGTACAATTTGTTTTCACGCCCGGCCCACTTCAAAATCAGTCAAAGTGTATCCGCCACAGCTCCCGGTCACACCCAGCCGTGAAGTCGCTCCGCGTATGCATCATAAGGATGTTATCCGAGACCACCAGGTCGCCCTTGTCCCACGAGTGCCAGTACGCCACGCGGCGGTCATGCAGGAGGCTGTCTATCACGGCACACAGCGCGTCGTTGTTCTCGATGGGCCCGTTCTCGTCCTCGATGGTCACGCAGGTCGGGTCGAAGGCCGTCTTGGACTGCGGCCAGGGCTCGTGGTACCGCAGGCAGGGGGCCCCCGTGGTCGGGTGGTCGATCACCAACGGCAGGCCGCGCAGCCTGGCCGCGTCGAAGGAGGAGGTGCTCACGCCCCAGGTCAGGGTGCGCAGGTAGGCGAGGTCCAGGTCCGCCGGGAGGTACTTGAAGACGAGGGTGGAACTGGAGAAGAGGGTGTAGCCTGTGTCCTTGGGGGAGCTTGTGACGCCGGTGAAGAGTTGGAATCTGGAGGTTGGCAGTGTTAGCGGTTTGGCCGTGGCATGATTTTGGAGAGCCAGTCTTACTGTGGTGGGATGGAAACCAGCTCCTCTGTTCCATCCTCCTTAGGTCCTCTTCTCGGTCTTGAACAGTCCGTCATAGTGGAAGGGCATCCACTCAGCAGAAAGGACATTGTTGAGTCCTCTTGTGTCCGCGCCACGGTCTTTCACCTCCAGTACAAGTCCAAATTTCCACGGCAGTGGCTTTCCAAGCTCTTCTGACTTTGCGACAAACAGATCCCTGTCCGTGGTCTTGGAGAAGCCACGCATGATGATGGGAGAGTTAATCTCCGACAGCGACCGGACCTTGGCCGAGTCGACGTCGTGGATGGACAGCTTTCCAGGGCCGAGAGCGGGCCGGATGATGATGCCAGCCGGGTAGATGGGCTCGCAGATGATGCCGCCCTTTTCTTCTGCCCAGGAGAGCAGGTCCGACTTCTCGCGGAAGTAGCTCGGCCGGCCGTCCTCATACACGAGCTCCAGCTTGGAGTCGTTCTCGAAATCGGCTCGCAGACCGCTGGTGACGGTGCCGTCTAGTCTGAATGCTACGGTGCTGTGCCATGGTCGTGTAGAACGTATCTGTGGGGAGAGGGCTGACTGAGATCTTTGATTCACCGGTAGATGGGTGGATTGACAGTCGGATGTGGTCAGAGAAAGTCTCCCTGACTGCTCGTGCAAATGCCTAATTGTTGTCAGCTCTGTGTTTCAAGCGGGATGGTATAGTGTGCTGTGCTCACATCGCCTCGGAAAAGCATTTGTTTGGCGATGTAGCCGAGGCCCTTCTTGTACTTCTTCTTTGACCTCTCCTCGGTGATCGGGTAGATGGTTTGCAGATCAGTTTCCAGGAATTTCAGGTATCCCCTGTAGGTCAAACAAGTGTCCTCGTGATCGGCAATCTTCAGGTCGACGTCGTAATCGCGTTTGCTGAAAGAGTTGAGCAGGGCCAAACGGAAGTTTGTAGCGTTGGTAACATATGTGATCTCGTCCATCTCATCTGGCACATCTACGTGCACCAAATCCTTGAGGCGGTTGAACTTGATGTTGTTGAACTCCTTTGCTGCGCTCATGGCACGCAGAGCCTCACCGTAGGCCCAAACATTTCTGTCTGGGACGCCGAGGAGGTCTAGGGGAAATAGAGTCAGTGTGTATGAACCAAACACTAGACCACCAAATTCACTTACCATTATACACCAAACCATCGGAGATGATGGTGAGCTCGGAGCCGGGAGAGTAAATGTTCTTGATCGCATCACACAATCCGTTAAGGTGGGCAAGGGCAACCTCCTCGGCCTTGTCCGGGAGGTAGCCAAGAACTTTTGTGATAGAGTTGGGTGACTTGAAGGGGAAGGCGGGCAGGCACATGTTGATTAGCCGACCTGCCCGGACCTTACTGTAAATCTGGGCGAGGAATTTCAAGTCGCCCTCGTCGGACTTGGGGGTCGGCTTGTGGCTCAGCCGGTAGCGAGAGATGACGCCCAGGATGTTGGAGGCAGTCTCCAAAGCTTGTTCATCCAGCTTGGCCGGCTGAAGTAGGAGCGGCGGCGTCATCTTGCCAGTTGGCAACGCTGGCGGGGCCGAGTCGACTGCGACTGCGGAAGGCATGGCGCAAGTTGTTGTTTGCTTCACCTCAGAAAGAGGAATCAAAGGTATCAGTGAGAGAGAATGGCAGGCTACAAAGCAAAGGAGGTGGACCTGCTGGACGGGCCGAGTTGGGATGATGGCCGGGTAAAGTGAATGTAAAAGTGTGAATGAGAGCGTGTACTTCAATTGCCGTGAAGGAGATGATTAACCATATATTTAATCTCGCCCGATACATCAAACCGAGGCCCTTGCTGCTCAGGCGACCTTGGTTTTAGCAGATCTTTACTAATGGAGCAGATCCCAGATCTGACGAGTGACATTAGCCGATATCACCATACCTCCTGAGCCCAGCCCCGGATGTCCCCATCAGGAAGCAGGAAAATGTTTCCAGCTTGGTCTCGGACTCACACGCATGCTACGCCCCAGTGGCGCCGCCCGCATGGTTTCCGACCCTGTGGACAATCAATCACTAGCGAACATGTTCCCATCGGCCCAGTTCCAATCGGCGATCGCGTCCCCACAATCGCCTGTGCTGCCCATATTGCAGTCCACATTCAAGTGTCAGAGTGGAGGGCTTGGCGGCGGACGGGACTTGCATGGTCGATGTGCCAACTTTGGCCGAGGTCTCGACTCAGCCTTGCAAAGGGGAAAGAAACCCTTGCCTTGGATGTTGCATGTACTTTGTACATGGTAAAAGTCACCAAGATCTGCAGAGCGCGGGCGAGGGACCCATATCGTCCCTAACCCACACAGGCGCGCGGAGGTTTTCGGCGCCCGGGCCTTACTCGAAATCGCTTTCAGGGCCGTGGCCAGCCAACGTCGCATCGTACTCGGCTGCCAAGCCTAATCCCCCCCCCTTCAGTGCCAGTCTACCCTGGCGGGATGTTTCCGAGGTGGTACCACAACCTTGTAACGCCCGTTGGGAAAAACATTCTGGCACATAATCCGGCTTGTACAATCTTACGATATTCAGGTGGATGAGTTGCCCGACTACTGGGTCAGGGGGGCCGGCGAAAGCATCCAGACACTGCCCCATAAGGCCCCTCCCCCCTCTAGCGATTTTCGAAATAACGTTGTGGGGCCCCCCAACGATCGCCACATCTCCATAAGGTGACGACTAACGCAGGAACAGCTCGTGGTGTTCTCATCGCAACAATCGGCGACATCCGATCCTGACCAACCGCTGAGTCGCCGACACAGTCCCGTCGTTCAGATATTCACACATAAGCCACCGGGTACAGATCAGACCGGGAAACAACCGGAAGCATTCAAGCTTCGTGATCTACGTCGTCCAGCAAAACCAAAAGTTCTATAGCCTCAGCACATAGTTCTGTGAGGACATCTCGTTGATCACAATGGGCGAATACGTTGCAACACCCGCGATGGAAGAACATGTTGATCTCGTGGTCGTGGGCGGCGGCCCAACTGGCCTTCTCTCGGCGCTTTTGGCCCGTCGTCTCGGTCTCACTGTCAGCATAGTTGGTTAGTCACTGCTCCTCCTCCTCCATATGTATAATGGCTAACGGTGTGATCAAGACGCAAAATCTGGACCACTGGACTTGGGAAGGGCAGATGCCCTCAATGCTCGGACCCAGCAATATTTCGAGGTGGTCGGCATACTGGACGAGCTCCTCCCCCAAAGCTTAAAATGCAACAGTGGGTTTCTACCACCCAGACGTGCAACACCGACTCCTTGATCTCTAACACAACACAGCAAGCTCAACCTTTGGCGAGGGAGAGTGGAAGTCCCGCCAGAACAAGTGGTGGGTGAGCCTCGAGCACTGCCTGCACAAGAACTTCGCCATGATCGGCCAGCCGGTGGTCGAGAGGATCATGACCGAGCGGCTCAAGGAGGTCGGCACGGGCGTGCACTACAGCGAGAACGTCACCGGCATCCAGGAGTCGGACGACAGCGTCTCGGTCTCCACCGACCTCGGCCGCAAGATCCAGGCCAGGTACGCCGTTGCTGCCGATGGGGCTCGCTCCACCATCCGCAGTGCCCTTGGGATCAGCTTCGCCGGCACGAAGCCCGAGATGCTCTGGGCGGTCCTCGATACCTTCATCGAGACCGATTTCCCCGTGTCGCCAGAGATCGTGACGTTCGAGCTCAATGGCCAGGCGCGCGTCTCCTGGATTCCCCGGGAGCGTGGCATGGCTCGGTTCTATGTGCTCCTTGACGGCGGCGAGGTCACTCAGGAGAGGGCGGAGAACAGTATCCGCGATCATCTTGCGCCACACAAGGTGGAGTTCAAGAAGACGGAGTGGTTCAGCACATTTGATGGTAAGCTACTTTTGGCCATATCCCGGTGCACGGAAGGACTAATCTAATGCTGATGCACCCAATAGTCAAGGAGAGGATCGCCGGCACGTTTGTCACGAAAGAGGGCAGGGGGCGCATATTGCTCGCAGGAGATGCCGCACACGTGCATTCTGTCAACGGAGGCCAGGGGTTGAACACCGGCGTTGCAGATGCATTTGCCCTCGGCTGGCGAGTTGCTACCGCCGTCAAGAACCAAAGGCTGACCCCGGACGGTGCCCTAAAGCTTATCCGCAGTTATGACACCGAGAGGAGGACGGTCGCCCAGAATGTCATCGACGTCGCGGCTGCACTGGTCCGGGACACCGTCCGAACTGCCACAAAGTATGTCTCGACGATCGAGAAGAATGCGGGCTACATCACAGGTACGTCGTGCTTTGAACTCAATTAATCCCTGCGCGGACCGTGCTGATAAACTTTCGCTAGGAATGGGTGTCTCCTATGACGAGGTCGGATCCGAACTCATCCACGTTTCCAGCAGGGGCCTCTGGATAGCTGGAAAACGATGCCCTGACCTAGAGCTTACACCGGTGGCCGGCACCTCACAAGAGGCCACCCGTCTGTATTCCATCGTCGACTACGGCAAGTACCTCGTCCTGTCGATCGGAGGCCAACTTGAAGAGGGAAGTACATCCAACTTCGAGGACATCACGAGGGCCCTGACCTTGCTCCCTGCCAGCTCCGACGGTGCGCCACAGTCGACCGGGGAGGCGTTCAGGTCGGAGCTGATCGGGGCCGACGAGTCATTCACTGTCGTCATCCGGCCGGACATGTACATTGGCTATGTGGGGACTGGAAACGGCTGGAAGGACTACTTGGCCACTGTCTTTGCATAGTTGTAGGAATGGAATGGAATGAAATATTATCATTGTTATTGCTACCTTGCTCTGTAATCAGTCACTCACAAGCCTTCTACGTGCCTAGGTGCCTAGCCAGCCATCCAAACAATGCACTGAGATACCAGTGACCAGACGGAAATGCTGTACCAGACAGGCAGGTCCTGAGGCACTTGAGTGGATCTTTGACCTCGTTGTAGGGCACCAAGGACTTGAGAGCGGCATTTGTTCCAGATACCTAGGCAGATCTGGCCAGCGGTTCTTCCTACGTGATAAGATCTTCTCGATAAACAGGGTCTCAGGAGCCTCGGGCCCACACACCACGCGAGTCACATCGCGCTTCCCCACAAGAGCCGCTATGGGACGCCGAGCCCGCCCCTGACCCTGTTCGCAGGTGTCAGAATGCGGGATGATGAATTCCACCCTCCCCGGTAAAGAAAATCTGCTAGCATTTTCAAAAGCAGCTAGCAAACCCATTTTAATTTTTAATATTTTTAAGTACTTATATTACGCCCTTTTAATTAAAATGATTTTCTTAAGTTAATAATTAAATTTAAAAAGGGTTAATTAAGATAAAAAATTAAATATAGTAAACAATTAATAAGTTTTATATAAGCATTACTTAAGGCCTAACTTAATACTCTTTATATTCCTTAAAAAAAGTAAGACGCATTTTTAAAAGTAACTTTAAACATTAAGACGCGCTAAGAGATAAAACTAAGTTTGTTAGCTGCCTTTAAAAATGCTAATAGATTTTCTTTACCGGGGAGGGTGGAATTCATCATGCCGGTCAGAATGTGACATCTCCAGAACGTTGCCGTTTTAGGTAGTGAAACAGAGAATACCACCGCCCCCCACAGGACCTTCCAGCCAGCCAGCCCCAGATCTGCAGTTGCCCAGGGCTCAGCCGTGCTGCCGTGCAAGCAAGCAGCAACTAGCCAGCTAGTTCGAGAGCCGACGGATCTTAGTGCACATAAGCATAACACGTGGAACGGCGCCTCGGGAACTCCGATGTCACGTCTTTTGCAGAACACAAGTGGTGGACTGGGTGATCACATCGCCATTGCGTAGAGACCCGACAGTTGACGATTTTGCACAATATCTAAGACGCCAGCTGCGAGCTTACTTGCCGACCTTCCACTCTGGGGGTCGATGGTATCTCTTGGCAGGGGCTCGTAGCCTGGGGGACGCACCGGATCAGATTGCTTGTTCCGACGAGGTCGGGAATTCGGAACGCGCCTATGCAGGATTTTTGCATTTGTAGCTGGTACATCCCCACAAACCGGTCCCACAGACTGTGGGGATTAAGCAAACGAAAAAAAAAATCATCAGTCGATTTATGTGAGCCGACGAGATCGTGCCATAACTATTATCAAGCATTGGAAATCACTGCTTGCCTTGCCTAGGTGCTGCCCGCCCGCTCAGCTATGTAATAACAAACGGGATCGTCCCAGATTCACGATGGGGCCCTGGTCCGCAGGCGATGTCGGGTGTGGCTGCCGCAGTCGTGTGGACCCGCCGTACGAGAGAGCAAACCCCCCCCCCCCCCAAACAGTGGGATCTTGGGCATTTGTGGGACATGGGACGTCTGAATGTGTGGGATGTGTGGGATCGTGGGATAAGTCCCCTCCCATCTACACTCTGGGGCCTGGAAGAAGTTGGCGCTCGCTGCGCGGGCGGGCGCGAGCGAGAAGGTCCATGCTGTGGTCTTTGGACATCTTGGACCCAGTGTTTCGCAACAAGCTACAAGAGGGCTCCACACAAACCCATCGACAGATCAGAACTTACCATGCCACGGGGAATTCCCCGCAGTCAGAAATGATCATGTCTGCACTAATCTCGAACGGTGCATCTCAACATCGCTGCTGCATCAGGGGCAAAGGGGTTATTTGACATGCAGCAGCAAGTTGCAAGGAATTCTGGATGAACACATGGCGGCGATGCTATGTAGATACACGGCCAAGCATGCACCGATTCATAGCCGCGTTTTCCAAGGTGGCAGCGTGCCATTGTCAACAATATCAACGTTTGCCTCGCGTGGCGCACGTCATTTTGAGTGCCGAGGAACATGGGCGCCCAGCCACCATGGATCGATAGGGCCAGTGGGGCCTTGTGCTACGGACGATGCGACCCGAGACGGGAGCGCGGAAAACATGGCTCAGGGAGTCTGGGAGCGTCTGCCTGCCCTGAGTAGGGCGTTTTGTCTGGGCTGCTTCGTATCTCTGCTACCTCCTTCCACAAAAGGAGAGGATCCTATGGGTGTGGGTATGACAGGTAATCATCTCGCCTCCTGGGCCCGGTGAATATACCCAGATTGTCAATGTGGAGCAAGAGGCGCCTGCGGCCAAGGTGCGGGTCCCCATCTGCCGCTGCGGGCGCACTGCGGCCAAAAGCGGCCAAGGAATAGGGGACCGACATAACACCTGATAGGTAGGTGAAATCTTTTCTGGTCTGGTACGATATTGCCGCAGCGTTGCTCAAATGTTTACTACCTACCCATGCCTGCGTGCATGCATGTTGCAAGGCTCTGCATGCCCACGGTATTGATCATATCCGGTGGTCCCCCTAGGCGCCCTTGCCACATGATACACCTGCACCTAGACAAGCGCGTGTACCAAGGTCCGACATCTGACCCTCGTTCCGGAGGATTGACCTCAAGTGGCTGCCGCGTCGACAGAGCCGGATATCAGATCTCGTGAGCTTCGAGCTAACCACCGCGGAAACCTGGACGCTCGCCAACACAAGCTGCTATCATGGCTGCTTCATCAGAGCAAGATGCAGAGAGACAGGTGTCGCCGGCGACAAACGATACCGTAGAGAAGGAAACACCGAAGGACATTTTCGAGACGGCTTCCTCAACGCCTGAGGTCAAGCCAGTGCGCACAATACCCAATGGCGGCCCTCAAGCATGGCTCCAGGTCGTGGGCGCCTTCTTCCTCTATTTCAACACATGGGGTGAGTATTCACCAGCCACACAGGACAACTCGATCCAGCTCATACCCAGCGGAACCCACAGCTGACAGCACAAACCCAAAAAGGCCTCCTCTCCAGCTACGGCACCTTCCAGGCATACTACGAGACGAGCCTGCTCAAGGGCTACACCGCCTTCGAGATCTCGACTATCGGCTCCGTGCAGAGCTTCCTGCTCGTCTTCCTCGGCTTCGTCACGGGCCCCATCTACGACGCGGGCTACTACCGCTACCTGCTGGGCGCGGGCTCCCTGCTCGTCGTCTTCGGCACGCTGATGCAGAGCATCTGCTCCGAGTTCTGGCAGCTCCTCCTCGCGCAGGGGTTCTGCATCGGGATGGGCTGCGGCTGCCTGTCCATCATGTCCGTCGCCATCACCGCCTTCTGGTTTAACACGAGGCTGCCCATCGCGAACGGGATCGCTGCCTGCGGGAGCGGCGTCGGCGGGTCAGTACCATTCTTGATTTGCTCACTCGGCGCGGTCTTCTCCACCCGTGGTCCCCCCTGCCCTCCCCCCTCCACCCATTTTGCGGGTTTGCGTGACAGGAAATACTGACTCGAAGTGGGAATTTTGCAGTGTCGTCTTCCCGATCGTCGTCAAAAATCTGCTGCCGACCATCGGCTTCGCGTGGACCGTCCGCGCGGTGGCCCTCATCGTCCTGGTCACGCTGGCGATCTGCAACGTCGTCCTGCGCGGCCCGGGCGCGTCGGCCAAGCGGCGGGCCCTCGTCCACCGGGAGTCGCTTGCCGACTGGCCCTACGTGGCCCTCATCTTTGCGTACTTCACCGTCTTCCTGGGCCTGTACACGCCCTTCTTCTACGTCGAGAGCTTCGCCGTGGGGACGGGCATCACGTCCGAGAACACGGCCTTCTACCTGCTGGCCGTCGTGAACCTGTCGTCTATCTTCGGCCGGATCATCCCGAATATCCACCTGGCTGATATCATGGGCCCGATGAACATGATCATGGTGACTATGGCTATTCTAGCTGTGACGAGTCTGGGCTTCATCGGTGTCAAGAATGTCGCCGGGGTCTTTGTGATATCGGTCGTGTACGGCTTCTTCACGGGCACTTTCTTTGCTCTCCAGCCGACGATCTTTGTGCGCTTGACGGGGGACATGAGCGTCATGGGGACACGATTCGGCATGGCTTTCTCCATCATGTCGTTCGGGCTGCTCATAGGTAGCCCCATCAGTGGGGTGCTGCAGCGGTCGTTTGGGTCTTATAATGCCAGTTGGGTCTGGGCGGCAATCACTTTGGCGGGGGGCTCGGCTTTACTCGGTGTCTCGAGGACTCTCAAGGTCGGTCCACGCGTGGGCATCAAGATCTGAGTTTTGAGCTCCCTAGGCAACGCAAAAGGATAGTACTAATGGAAATGTTTACATTCGTGATCAATCTAGTCGTTCAACCCACCCGCAACCTGCTGCAACCTGCTCGTGTAATCGGCGGAAATGTGACTTGATGCATAACCCGCCAAAAAGCCTGCACAACTTACGAAGCCGGGTAGGCAGTGGCAGCACTATCCTGAGATCTACACATAACCCATATTCACATCAAATGCATTACTATAGTCACCAGTCGATATTTTCCGCATGCCGAACGATGCAGAATTTATTGATTGTACCGCATCGACGTCGAAGGCGTGAATTGCGGACAGCTGTACATCATATCGTGATGACAGCGGCTTTATACTCGTGTCGTTGGTCTCAGGTATGCTCGCGCAGGGGTACACTTCTCTGGCTATTAACGGAAGCAGTTTGGAGAGCACGTAGGCAAATCTCAAGACATCCTGAATCCCAAATTTACCAGCTAACTTCAGCAATTATCTACTCGCCTTCGTTGATCGATCGTTTCGCCTTCAAGTTGCTAGGCTGGAGTCTCAGAGGCATTTTAACCAGATAGTATATTCAAGTAAGTATTACCCACAAAACTTTACTACATCACAAACAAGAGTAACAGGTCCTTGGGCTCCCAACGTCCTCGGAAAGACTGCGGTCAATTCAATTTATGCATTGCTTTTCCTTCAGTTCATAATTTTTCCTTATCCGTATTCTGTTGTTCGAAGTTGATGACCCCTACGGAATACATATATTGAAGCTATAGGGAAAATGGATGCACCCACTTCCCTGAGCGTGGTTTGAGGCCTCATATAGCGGCTTCCTGGATTCAGCACAAATAACGCATGTTGCCGCTTGCTGCTCCAGATATATCAGCTCGGCACATGTGAAATTGTGTTTTGCTCGAAAGGTTTTGGATTGAGGTACAATTTAAAGTGAGGGTTATATGCACGGAATGTGTTGAGGTCGAAGACACAGCAGAATTGCAACCGTACAGCAACGGTGGTCATGCAAGAGGTTGCGTTAAGCATTGATGCATGTAAGAAATAAGCACAACGTCGCAACGTAATTGGACTAAATGCCCAAGCCTCCCAGAGTATCTATCATTCACCAGTGAGAAGCTTGCACTAAGATGTCAGCACCAGAAACAGCAAGGCGTGCGCCACGTATACGCCTAAATAAGGAGCGGGAGGATCATTCCAGAACCCGTATTGCAACACGGGCAGGGATCTTGGCGGCAGGGTCAGCATCAAGATGAAAGAAAATACATAATGAGCCGCGCCTAACGACTGCAATCTTCAAGTTATTTTGACATTCTTTGACTCTCCGTTTCTCTCGTCTCCTGCGGTTTCCCAACTACCAGACCTTCGTTTAGAGAAGACGCCGTTCCAGCGCCGACTCATCACACTCGCTTCGAAAACATTAAAAGCAGCAAAATTTGCAAAACCATTGGCACAGAAACAATCAACCAATATGCTCTCCTCAACTCACCTCGCAACCCTCTCCCTGCTGGCCCCTCTCACCCCTGGCGGCCCTCGCAAGGACAGACCTCTCGGGCTGCACGACCTTCACCAGCACGGTGACCATCAACCCAACAGCGCACGAGTACGGCAACGTCTACGAGTCGCTCGTCTACTACGACCCGGACACGCTCGAGATCTGCACCGTCCCAGACTGCGGCGGCGGGCGCGCGGCGCCCAAGACGGGCGTCCCCGGGTGCCCTCTCTACTCGGGCACCGCGGCGCCGACGCCGAGCTTCCTCTCGGCCGACCCGCTGGCGCCGGCGGCGACGACGACCCCGAGCGTGGCTGCTGAGACGACTACCGCAGACTCCTCTTCCGGTGCTGGCTCAGAGTCGTCGTCGTCCTCGACGACGGCGGTGGTTGTCACGGGTGCTGATTCGCCTGCTAATGCTACTGGGGCCTCGACGACCGCGCGGGCGACTGGGGGCTCGACGGGCGTGGAGGGGACCTCGACGGGATCAGCGACGGGTGCTCCGAGCAGCTCCGTTGAGTCTTCATCTGGAGCTGTGCTGAGGGTGGCTATTGGCGGACTTCCTGGAGCTCTGGGATTGGCCGTTGCCTTTCTTGTGTGAGAATTGGACAGACTCTTGTCAGCGGGCTCAAGTGAAGGGGGGGTGGAGGGTTAAAGGCGAAGGTAATACTATGGATTCATAATATACAAGTAATTGAGGACGGCGTTCTGGCAGTTCAGTGTCTGGAGCGACACGATGTCTGTGGAAATCCCGAGCGTGAAGTTTCCCGTCCCTTGTGCTTCCAGCACCAGGTTGACTGCGCTGGATTGGCAAGTTATATTGGGACGGTCGACTTCCTCAATAAACCCGTCATTCAAAATGGTGTAGCTTACCACTAAATGTCCCTGATCGACTCAAAATAGAGGCGCATATCAATCTGTCTGCTAATTCCAACTCAGGTCGGTCTACCTGGCAGGGGATTCGAGCATGGGGCGGACTGATCCTTGAAGCCGACAGTCCACTCTGCCTTTTGATTGCTTTCGCTACTGCTGTCTTGTCCTCAAGTCGTATTTTACCTCGGAATCGTCTTTGAGGGGTGTTCGTGCCCTCGACTCCCAATTTTGAACGTAATATCTAGTTACACCAAGCTCCTTGATCAAGCTGGTCAGTTTCAACGATATCTTGGACCTCCATGTGCGCGGCGGATGAGGCCGAAACTTTGGTGGCAATGTCGCTGATGCTGCTTTTCGAAATGAGGTGAAATCTGGTTGAAGTGAAGGGACGGAAGCTGTCCAAGGTAGCAAACAAGCTTCATCCAAAGCATGGCACAAACAGACCTCTAGGGCGAGTCACAGCTCAATGGCCATGACCCAATTCTGAGTTCTCCTTGTACGTTCTCGTCCTCTTTTGCTCTCTCACCACACCCACGCAACAGCTCTTGAAAGCAAACGTTGAAGACTTTCGTCTTAATCGACGTTCTTGACATCGGCAAGTCAGCCAAAGCTGTCATTTTCACCCTCGATCAACGCTCTGTATTCTCCCTTTGGACGAGATTTGGTGAATCAGCAATGGCTTCCGATCGCATCGCTTACAATGTCCTCCAGACGACCATGGCTCGCCAACGCGTGATGGTCTACGACCTCTACGGCCTGTTGGGCGTGTCTCCAAACGTCGACGAGGACGGCCTCCGTGCCGCTTACGACTCAATCACCCAGACCCTGCAGCAGGTTCCAAGCGACGTGGTAAGTACCTGGTCACTCAATGCTCTTTCCCTTTTCCCAGTCGAGTCCTGTCGTAACAAGCCTCCTGCTAACACTCCACTCCAGATCAACGCGGCCTACTCGGTCCTTGCCAACCCGTTCAAGCGAGCACAGTACGACCGCGACCGTCTGGAGTACCTGTACAGGCAATTCAGCAACCACGAGTCATTCCCTCCAACGACCAGCATCCCTCCTGCAAACATCAAGGGCCGAGATGACCAGATCCAGGTCTACACCGCGACCCTCGTCGAGCGCGTCAAGGACCCCATCGAGGACAAGAAGAAGGCCATCAGCCGCCGCATCGAGACCATCCGCAACGAGCTGGACGAGTTCAACGAGACCTCAGGCAGGCAGCGCCAGGACTGGGCCACCAGCAACAACCGCGTGCTCCGCATGGCCGGCAACGCGCTCTGCGAGGTCGTCGTGTGCGCCGAGGAGGACCTGCGCATGCTCGAGGACGAGCTCGGCAGGATCGACGGCAAGCTCTCGCCCAGGGACCCCGACGGCCCTGCCGGTCGCGTCACGAGCAGCGGATGTTACGGAAGCGAGATCATGGCCATGCCCACCGGCACCGCGACGGGCACCATGATGCCTCCCGACAGCCAGCCGCGCGTGCTTATGAATAGAAACGTCCCCAGCCTCCCTCGCAGCCCTACCGTCCGCTTCCTGCCCCAGTCAGCCAGCAAGCTGGGCATCGATGGAACCACCAGGGACACCCCCTCAAGCGAGGCCAGCCAGGAGGCAAAGGAGGCCGACGGCAATGATCGTGTCAACGACTTCCTCCTCGGCCCGACCAACGGTCGCCTGCAGCCCTACCGCTGGCCCGAGGCCAACAACAACGCCATGGCAACAACCCAAGCCGCGACCCAGATCCCGCACGCCCGCGCCGCCTCCCTGCTGGAGAAGCTGAGACAGTCCACAGATCAGGAGCGAGTTGGTGCCAACAACAACAACAACAACCCTCCGGCAGGCGGCGCAATGGGCCTCGTGGCCTGGCAGCGCCTCAACGGGCCCGGCAACCCGCAAGACAGCCCCGAGACCACCCGGCGCACCCAGAGCCACCCCGACGACCTCACCGCCTACAACAGGCCCTACGAGCCGGCGCACACCCAGTCGGCCGACCAGCTGGAGCCGGCCCGCCGCCCGTCCCAGCAGCTCGACGTGCCCACCCCGCCCCAGGCGGCCTGGCGCAACTCGTGGGGCCCGGCCTTCTCCCGCGGCTTCGACGGCGCCGGTGCCGGTGCCGCACCCGGTGGAAGCTGTGGCTTCGACGTCGCGCGGCCTGCTGCGCGGGGCTTCAGTGCCACAGCGTCCAACACGGTGCTCTTCAAGGAGGTGCAGGACCGCGCTGCTGCGCTGGCCCGGGCGCCTGGCCGCTGGGTCGTTGGCGGTCCGGGCCTGACCAACTACGATGGCGGTCAAGCTGCCTCCCCCGAGGAGAAGGACAAGGGACCCGATGATCCTTTTGCCTGAGGGTTTGGATTGGAAGGCATTGCTGGATGCTGCGACAACCCTGTCTGATACGGCATTTTGATGTCTTTCTTGTCACTTGGATTGATGACGCGAGTTTCTGGATCTGTCCCATGTTGGATGGTCTACTGGAGCATGAATGGGCCCGTTGTGGCTCTACTTGAACCTGGCTTGTGATTATGGGGTCGCAGTTGAGCACTGGATCAACGTCTACTGTGCACAATAATGATAATGAATGGTATGCGGAACGCATTGAGCTGAGGATTGTTAGGTGCACCCCTCCCCTGATCTGGAGTTGGGCAGATTCCTCCATGACTTGACGACGTCTGATGGTAAGACGAAATTAATGAGAAATACACTTAGGTACACAAATTCATGTGGTTGCTCTTCGTGAGAAAAAAAGTTGTTTTGCGAGACAGTGTTGAGTCCTCACTCATTGGGCATCCGGGCCAATTCTCTGGGCTTAGTGAGAACCTTCGTGGCCGTGGGCACACTTTTAGTGCGTTATGGCGTGGTGTTTATCGCCCAGAATTGACCCTTTCATCATTTCTAGCCTGTGAGTGAGGACCTTGCGAAGCTGACTGCAAAACACAGTCCCGATAAATTGATGAAAATGCCTTGACGCCCTCAACTAGTCCCGCACCAAGCTCGGTCTAAGCCTTGACCATTCGGGCAGCGACCTTGCGAGCTAATACAAAATGAAGAATATTCGAACAAACTTTTGTAGCGACAAAGGTATTGATCGCAATTTGGCTATAGAAGAATGCACAGCTCTCTTTGTTGCAGTCATGAATGCATTCTTCCCGGCCTATTGTCATTCAATGAAGCAAGAAGCACATTGAATCCACCCACAGTCCTCACCACTGCCCTTGTCAAGACATTGTTCAAGAGGGAACACCAAGATTGGACACAGTCATTGTCCATTCACTACGAGATTGTTTAAATTGTCATCGATTCACCCACTGGCTCACTCGAGATGGCCAACATCAAGCTCTACGCTGCCCTTGTGATCGTTATAGAACGATTACCGCAAAAGGTCCAGGCACTGATACTGGTGATCTTAATCGTTGTTACTATTTACCAGATCAGCAGGCCACAAGTTGACCTCGACACGGATCACGAACTCCCATCGGCGCCATCTGAAGACCACCGAAGTTTGGAACCGGCAGCAACGACCCCAGCCTTTACCCGGCCACCATTACGCCGTCGCAACTGTTTCGTCCTTGGACCGAACGGAATAACTTCAGAGCCACTATCGTCCGACTGGGAGTTTGATTCAACTTACACATCTGACGCTGAAGGCTACGAGACCGCACCCGAAGACGAAGCCCCAGCCAGGACCATGGCAGAGAAGAGAGCCCTCGCGTACTTTGAGGATCGGCTCCGCCAGCACCGCGAATCGGTAAGCTCCGAGACAAGCGCCAGCCCTGCCGTGCAGACATCACTGACCGACGCCCAGATCAGGGAGGACCACTCCGACGTTGAGGACGCCGAAATGATCAAGCGCCGCAACGTCAAGATGCGCGAGGAGGGCGTCCGCGTCAACGTCAGCTACTCCCAGCTCACCTCTTTGAAGCCGGCTCCCGCCCCGCGACCAGCGCCGGCAGCCTTCAGCATCACCGCCATCACCGAGGGCCTGCGGGGAGGTGCCTCGGGACCAACATCCCCTCCCTCGTCCTGCTTCTCACCGCCGAGCTCGTACGTCTCCACCACACCGTGCCTTTCGGGTCTCCAGTCCCCGGCGCCAACACCCATCACCGGCACCACGACGCCCGAGCTGCCAACCGGGCCGGCGTCCGTCCCCCCCACCAGCGGCCAGGCGGGCGACGAGACTCTGTGCAGGATCGACGAGAAGATGCTTGCCGTACCCGCCGACGCGGTCAGCAGGCGGCTGCTCCGCGATGGTAGGGGTATCCTGCACCGGAGGAACAGGCTGCCGAGGAGTGCTTCGGACGCGGAGGGGGCTGTTCAGCGGACGCCCTCTCCTGTTGAGGCTGGGCTTCAGACCTCGAAGTCCGACGAGATGTGGTATCCTAGCGAAATGAACGAGTAACAATGGGCCACGGTTGGTGGACGACGAGGTCGGGAGTGAGGTGGTTGTCGATAGGGCCTTTGTTTCTTTGAGGAGAGCCGTGCGGGTAGTTTAAAATCGCCTTTATGAATGCATTGTTCTCATCGTGTCGTTGCAAGTAGCGCAGCACGCCGTGGAAACGGAGACTTGTGGGTTCATTTTGGATCTACCTATTGAGAATGTAGAGAACAAATAAAAATCGTTGCGGTCATTTCATGATATGCTGTGTGCCCTCATCTTGCTAAAACATCCTCTCCAGCGAGGATTGCGGATAATTAATTGGAATGTGGTCCCCGGCAATATCACCTGATCGAGCTCTGGAGAGAATATTGCCTGTTCCAAGGCCGAATGATTTGCCTTTGGGGCGTTGCCCAGGGAGTTTTGAATTTTGTTTGGTCACAGAATTTTGCTAAGGGTCTCTCAAAACGTCACCATTGTCCCTTGGTATTCTGGTAACAAGTGAACAGGTCGTAGTTGGTAAGCGATGATAAAGGCCGGTCCACGATCCGGCACTGCCCGAGACTGCACCCGCTGTTAACTCAGCAGGAGGGGGCAACCGGAATCATCCCATATGCCGCGGCTAGCGAGATGATCGCTGCAAGGTACGATGAACTGACCTCGTGGGCCCATATTAAGCTGAGGGCAAGTGCTGGAGATGATTGGCGTCCCCGCATCATGATCTCATTGTGCGGTAGTATTGGTCAAGGAACTAGCAGCGATCGCCGAATCTTGGCTGCGGCTTCATCCTCGCTCCCACTCGCGACAGCGTCCAAGACTGCCGGGTACAACGTCACGACTCACTTCTTGTTGCATTCAGAGGTTGATTAATCAGAATCTATGATCGCTCACACTAACGATCTTGGCTACATATCACACATTTGCGTCATGGTAAGTGCAGTCCTATTCCGTTGCTCCGCGACTTAAACGCCGCTCTGCCCCTCGGCCTCAGCTCGGCTTCTTGATCCCATCGTGCCATCTCCTGCAACGAAGAGCTTCATCTCAAAGTGCACCAAGATGATTTACTTGAGGTTGGCAGCATTCACTGCTCTGGCTGGGCTTCAACTGACCAGAGCCCAAGACCTCTCAGACTCAGGCCGATCCGGCCCGGAACTGGAGCTGGTGCATCAATACAATGACCAATGGCCAACCGGCATAGCAGTCTCATCTACGGGCCGCAAGTTCTCCAACTACCCAGGGGGCCTTGACCCAAACAACACCAACGACGGCAGCAATGGGAAATACACAGTAGCCGAGCTGTTCGACGACAGCACCGAGAAGCCCTACCCGAGCGCAGAGATAAACAACCCTCCTGGCGGAGCCATCAATTCCTCTACCACTCCTCCGTCCGGCGCCAACTACCAGGACTACCTGATCGGCGTCCAGAGCGTGGTCATCGACAGCGCAGACCGTCTATGGATCCTCGACACGGGAAGGGTCTTCACACCAGAGGGCGTGCTCGTCACGGCCAGCGTCGGCGGCGCCAAGCTGATCGGCGTCGACCTCGAGACAGACTCCATAATCAAGACCATCACCTTCCCCAACACGGTCGCCTACCCGGACACGTACCTCAACGACGTGCGCTTCGACCTCGACCCGGGCCTGACGGACAGCGGCGAGGGCGTCGCCTACATCACCGACTCGTCCAGCGAGGGCCGCACGGGTCTCATCGTCGTCGACCTCGGCTCGGGCGAGTCGTGGCGGCACCTGGATGGCAGCCCGTACGTCCAGGGGGACCGGCAGTTCCTCGCCTTCGTGTGGGGCCGCGAGCTGTATGCCGCCCAGACGGGAAAGCCCGGCTCGTTCCTGACCTTTGGCGCCGACGGGATCGCGTTGGGCGCCGACGGCAAGGACCTGTACTTTGGCGGTGTTGGCAACCGGTATCTGTATAGCATCCCCACGGAGCGCCTGCGGGACAATGGGCCCACGTCCGAGATCAAGGCGCAGGCGGCTGTGGTCAGCCGGAGCCAGAAGGGGCTTGCGGATGGATTCGAGACGGACAGCAATGGATTGATTTACCATGGCAACATGGAGGTCAACGCAGTCAACTTCTTCAGTCCCGAGAACGGGACGGATCAGATCTTCCTCCGGGATCCGAGGATCAATTGGGCTGACACTGTGAGTGGTGAATCTTCGCTCCCATATCTCCGTCATTGTGACGAGCAGTGGATGGTGATTTTGCTGACCAACCAATCCAGTTCTCGGTGGCCACAGATGGTTACCTGTATTTCACTAATAACCAGCTTGCCTTTGGCCCTGCTGTTTATCCTGGGACAGACCTGCGGCAGAGACCGTTTAGCCTTTTCAGGGCCAAGCTCCCGAATGGCGGTACCAAGGTCGGTGGAGGCTCATGACCTCACATGACAGGTGGCAGAAATTGGGGATACGCAGTGGCGAGGAGTTCAAGACAACTAGTTCCGCTTCTAAGAGATTTCTAGGATAATTTTAATATGGCTCGACTTTCGGTTCACCGTTCCGCCCCATCGCGTAGGGTTTTTTGCATCGAGCTTCTGTAACTTCACATTCTCTTCTAAGCTCTCATTGACCCATAAATAAATTTTTGGCACTTTCGTCCAACGACTACATAGGGATGGATGCGGTCGTATCCGGGCTCTAAGATACAAGTCTCAATTCCACCCAACAAGGTTGAGGCACAGGGATGTACACGCCATCGCCAAAAGTCTTGCAGGTAGAATAGGATGCGTCCTTGCCAGATGCCGGGGTTGTACAGCATGAGATCCCGCCGGCACGGCCGCCCCCCGGCGTGTTGCCCAGGGAGCTTGCTTGCGTCACTGCAGGAGGGTGAGGTATGCTCTGCGGTCTTGACCATGTTATAGTCGCCATCCCCTTGGACGGCGCACTGGAGCAGGACGGTCCGGGCCATGCTCTATTGTTCTGGGACACCAATATACATTTGCACGGTTAGTTCTTTGCTATTCGTCTAGAATAGTCTGTGAGCGGAAAAAATGACACGCTAATACTGCCAGATGCAACTTAAAGAGTACAAGCTGATTGGCTAAGCGAGGTAATATTGCTAAGTAATATAATTGCTAAACTAAACTTAAAACTTAAAAGTTAATTAGCTAAGTAAAAAAAAAAACTATTAAATTAAACTTAAACTTAAGCAGCTAAGTCATTTAAATAAAACCCCTAACCCTAATTTAAATGTGAGAGGCAAGGGCGTAAAGCCCCCCGCCGGGAGGGGGGTAAGCGCGAAGCGCGAAGGGGGGGGCATGCGAAGCAGGTGGGCCCCCCCTTTTGTTCTCTGCTATTATAGTCATGCCTATCCAGATGAATAGCTCCCAGGGCCCCGGGAGGGGCTTCCACCTGGTTTTCAAAATCTTTATTCGGCGCTAAGGATCAACATACGATAGGGACAGGGAAAGCAATGTCTACTCAAATGGTGCCGAGCACCTGATTTGCTGGTCAGGACCCGGCTGCCGGAGGGTAGCATTCTTGGCGACGCTGAATACGGAAGCTCCATCGTACGGAGAAGCTCGTATTGACCCTGGCAGGTGGGACTGCCGGAAGAATACCCACTTGGACACCTTGGACACACACGACGAGAATAAAAACCAGCAGTAGCAGACAGAAGGGAAAGGCCGTTGAAAACAGATGCTGTTCTCACAGGCTCTGCAAAGACCCGGCAGACAAAATGCTACCACTCCTAGCCGGATGTGCCCTGGGCGCGCTGCTCACCGGAGCATCCACCGCCAGGCCGACCCCAACGACCGAGGACGCGGTGGTCCCGGGCGCGTACATGATTGAGTTTACGGACGACCATGCAAGTTTACCAGCCCCGTCCGGAGGAACCAGGCACGGCGGAGCGGCTCAGAGACAAAGGCGCAGGGACTCGGTATGCTGACTGGCCCGGATACAGGATGCGGAAAGCTTCTATGCCGGCCTGGCCGAGCGGGAGCTGTCCGTCACGGGGCGGATGAACATGTCGTTTCCCCTGTTCCGGGGCGCTTCATTCCATCTCAAAGACGTGCCCGATGACCTGGCACACGGCCGCATCATGGACGTACCAGGGGTTAAAAACCTGTGGCCAATCCGGTCGATACCACCGCCCGACGACGAGGTGCTGTGGACTGGCAACAACCGCAGTGCCGTGCCGCCCGTTTTGAAGCGACGTCAGTCGTCACCTGCGGCCGACAAGTACATCCCTCATGTCATGACCGAGGTAGACCAGCTGCGTGCCGAGGGTTACACCGGCAAGGGCATCCGGATCGGCGTCATTGATGTCGGCGTCGATTACACCCACCCGGCGCTCGGCGGCTGCTTTGGCGAAGGGTGTCTGATCTCGTATGGCTACGACTTTGTTGGCAATAATTATACGGGTGCTGCCGATACGCCTCAACCGGATGCGGATCCCATGGATTCTTGTAGCGGACATGGCACGCACGTCTCAGGCATTATCGCGGCGCAGGTCAACGACATGGGGTTCACGGGCGCAGCGCCGGACGTGACGCTGGGCATGTACAAGGTGTTTGGCTGCACGGGCAGCAGCGACACAGACATCGCGGTGGCCGCGCTGAACCGGGCGTTCGAAGACGGTAGCGACGTCATCTCGATGAGCATCAGCCGCACGTCCGGCTGGAGCGAGGATCCCGTTGCCGTGGCCGCCCAGAGAATTGTTGAGGCCGGCGTGCCTTGTGTCCTGGCGGCCGGGAACAGTGGCTCGGGCGGCCTCTTCCTGGCCGGCGCCGGGGCGACCGGAAAAGGCGTCACATCGGTAGGGTCGGTCGACTCGACTGAGCTTGGTCTCGTCTTGGTGCGCGGGTCGTTTGCCACTCAGGGCTCCAGCAACGCATCCAGGCCTACTGAGCCATTTGGATGGGAGCCCGGTACGCCAGCCTTTGGAAATGTGTCGTTGCCATTGTACGCCATGAGCAACAACACGAGTGTTGAGGATGACGCTTGCAACCCGCTTCCCGACAGTACTCCCGACCTTTCTGGATATGTCACGCTCGTCCGCCAGGGATTTTGCAGCGACTCCATCAAGGCACAAAACATTGCTGCCAAGGGAGCACGGTACATGATGGCGTATTCGTACTTTGAGGACCCGTAAGTAAAATGCCCAAGTTGGAACTGCTGGGTCCCGGACCTCTTTGGCTGATCTTGCACACGTAGGACCTCTCTTAGCGGACCATTGGTAGGAGAAGAGGAGCCTAGGATCGTTGGAACCGGAGCCGTTACCGCAGCACAAGCAGCAGAGTGGGTTGACTCTCTCAACGAGGGTAACGTCGTGACTATCGATATCGTAGCCCCAGCGCAAGCGGGCAACGTCGTCGAATCGACTCCGAACAACAACAGCGGGGGAGCCATGAGCCTGTTCTCATCGTGGGGTCCGACGTGGGAGATGGACCTGAAGCCGACCTTTTCCGCGCCCGGAGGATATATCCTGTCCACTTGGCCGCTTGCCCTCGGCGGCTATGCGATCCAGTCCGGCACGTCCATGTCCACGCCCTTGGTCGCTGCTATCTTTGCGCTCATCGGACAGGCCCGACAAGACTTTGACCCCCAGACCCTGAACAACCTGGTCACGACAACAGCTGCGCCGGTTGACTGGTATGATGGGAATGTGATACACAGTGATGTACTCGCTCCGCCGACGCAACAGGGAGGTGGTTTGGCACGGGCACATCGGGCCGCGCACGCGACGACGTTGGTCAGCGTCTCGAGCATCTCTTTCAACGACACTGCCAACTTTATTCCCAGTGGGAACTTCACTATCAACAACCAAGGCGCTGAACCAGTGACGTACAGTCTCAGGACGGTCGAGGCGGAAACAATGTTCACATTCAACCCAGGGAACGACTACCCGGCCTATTTCCCAAACCCCACAGCAAACAGCACCGCCAAATTAAGCTTTTCAGCGTCCGAAGTTACCGTCCCTGCTGGTGGCTCGGTCGAGATCACCGTATCGTGCGAGCCTCCCGCGGTGGACGGGGCCCGCCTAGCCGTGTACAGCGGCTACGTCACGCTCAATGGCGCGAACGAGACATTGTCGATCCCCTACATTGGTGCCGTTGGCAGCCTGCATGCAGCCAAGGTGCTTGACGACGACTACGTCTACCTCTCACACTGGAACGACGGCAGCCTGGCACCCTCTGCGGGCAACGAGACATTCGTGTTGCCCAGGCCTACAGCCACAACACCCGTGGCCAACTCCGGCTCCGCGATCGGCTACCCGGCCACCGTCATCCAGCTCAATGTCGGCACGGCCCTGCTGCGGTGTGACCTTGTGCCTGCCACTTCTGGCGGCAACACGACGGCGGAAATAGACGAGGCACAGGCCCTGGGCACGTTTGGTATCTTCCCTATGGAATATGTGCCGCGGGCGTACTTCATCAATGCATTCACTGGCATGCTGACGGACGGAACAATAGTCCCGGAGGGTACATACTCGTTTGTAGTCCGGGCGCTCAAGATATTTGGGGATCTTGAAGCACGCGATGACTACGAAGTGCTTAGGACGGTGTCGTTCACTCTCAAGTACCAAGCTTAATGTTTCAATGTAGATGGTATATAAGTAGCTTCATCCTTATTGTAGATATTACATACACACTGAGTACTTATGAAGAAGGGGTACCGAGACCACTTAAGAGCCACAGAGCTTTGATTATAGACGTGCTGTAGGTACTTTCTCATTCTCTTTCCTGGCCTGTTCAGCAAGCACTCTCCTGAGCAGTGCCACTCGCTCATGTATTCAATGTTTCAGATCCTTCTCCATCTCCCCATCCCCTTTATAGCTATCAGCCAGAACGATGACTGCTTTTGGTAGCTCAGTCGCCCGCTGCTCGCTGTATACTCCTACCACGGCCACGTCAGCGACGGCTGGGTGCGCGAGCAGCAGGCCCTCGAGCTCTGCCGGTGCAACCTGGAAGCCGTTGGTACTTGGTCAGCTCCTTCACGGTCGGTGACGTTCGGTCCCTTGATGCAGATCTCCCCTTTCCTACCTTGGTCGACTTCCTTGCCATCTGCCATGATTCTCATTGACATGGATGAGACGAGACGGCCACTGCAGCCGATAGGCTTGTTCCAATCCCCCAGCCTCTGAGAGCATACCAGTGGTGACGCTTCGCTGAGTCCGTAGCCTTGCTTGACAGGCACCTTGAGGCGCTCGTGTATTGCTTCAATTAGCTCATTCTCCATCGGCGCTGCAGATGAGTGCAACATTCGCAGGGAACTTAGGTCGTATTTGCTGACCATGGGGTTCTTTGCAGGTGCGACGCCAACCGGCGGAACGATGTAGGCATAAGTGATCTTCTCTCGCTGTATAGTGTCGCAGAACGCTTCGAGACTGAACTGTTTCATGACATAGATGGTGGTCCCCTCGTAAAGTGGACTAAGAACCAAGAGAGCGATTCCTGGTCACATTGTTAGTTATCAGCCGCGATCGGGAAATGCTTCGAGTCTTGTACGTCCCATAAATGTGATACATTGGTAGAAATCCAAGGCCCCGATCGTTTTTCCAGTTTACCACGCCAGGGTCTGCGGTGCTTCATTGGATTATGTTTGCGACAATGTTCTCGTGGGTCAACAAGACCCCCTTGGGAAGTCCTGTAGTCCCTGAAGAGAACACAAGGAAACACAAATCGCTCGGCTTGTTTGTGACCATTTCGATGCTTGTTGACGAGCCTCGCAAGCTCAAAGCATGCTGAAATCGGCGTTCCGGATCGTGATCGCCCACGAGGAGAATCTTGTCCAGGGGTAAGCCAACAGCCAGCGCCGCTTCGCAGGCAACCTTGAGGCTAGCCACGTTGGTCACGAGAGCCTTCGCCTGAGAAGTTCTCAACAGCGACACCAGTTCCTCAGTTGTGTGCTTGTGGTTGACCGGGCAGACAACCCCACCTGCAAACCAAGTGCCAAACGTGACTGGGGCGACGTCGGCGGAGTTCGGTGTCATCAAGGCCAGTAACTTATGTCCCCCCTTTTCCATTTCCAGTGTTGGAGAAGACCTTTTCCGAACGCCTCTGCGGCTTGACGTATGGCGCGGAACGTGAATCTCTTTTGGGTTGCAAGGTCCACGTAGATGACTGCTCGTGTGCTGTTGCGGGGTCAACCTGTGATACACGCACCATGAATGCTGACAAGTCCGATCAAAAAGATACGTACCATGTTCCTCGGGAAACTCGCGATCATTTCGCGAGAATATCAGAGTCCACACATCTACGGGAGGCAAAGCGATCGGTGGATAGGTAGACTCAATAGGCATGCTCTCAAATGTTGAACTCGAGCCGGGTTTGCGAGGATGAGCGTGGATGTGATAAAGGTACGTCCAAAACGTATGAGATTAGACTAGGAAACCTAGCGGTAGCAGGAGATCCAAGTCAAATAGAGTAGAGGAACAGATCTTATTGTAACAGATAGTGCTGACCTACCGATCTCTTCGCGATTTAGGTCTGCATTACGTTGTGTCTCGGCAGTGGATTTGTTGATTAGCCGTAGGCGGCCAGCACCTCGATCCGAAACCCTATCTGGGTAGAAAGCGGCCGCTTCGTTGGAACGTTGACGTAATCACTGATATTCTTGCTTTTTGTCCATCGCCCACGGCCAAGTCCAATCCACTAAGAATTCATTCTTCAGAGAGACCTGATTTTACATTGAAAGACTGCAGCTCTTGTTCAGAGTGACGGGTTTCTGTGTCTCTCGACCAGACATCACAGCCCAGGCCTTAAAACCAGCACTTGCTCTCAGGCTTCGGCACTATGCGGGGACCCGAGGGTGGAAAGCTCAACATTTATTTTGATTGTGGTATGCCCGCTCTCTAAGCTCTCAACCGCCATTCCCGTGTGCTACCGTAACCATATCATCTTAGTGTCCCCTTACTCATGGTTCGGGTTCACCAACACTGTTCGCTTCCGCCCACTCCTTGAAGCCTATGGAGTTTCTGTAGAGATACTTCCATTCTTCCGCGGAGGGGCTCGCGACAGCGTGGGCAACCCTTACACGCCACCCCTGAAAGCAAAGGAAGCAATTGGGAACCAAGACTCAAACATGACTGGGGAGATTCTGGGCCTGAAAGTCGTTCCTCCCAAAGTCTTCCCCATCTCATCCCTATTTGTGAGCTCCCCTGCCGCCTGTCCTGCCGATTGGGCTTGGGCGGAAGCTGATGATCCAGAAAGCCGGTGGGGGTTGCGACTTGGGTCAAAGACCATTATCCCGCGGACAAATTTGAGCAGACCTTTCCAGCATTTAGCGTGGCCTACTGGAGCAAAGGAATCAATATTTCGACCCCAGAGGGGATCCTTTTAGGCTCTTGAAGGTGTCTTTTCACCTGAAGAGATCAAAGAGATCATGAAATTGACCGTCTCTCCGGAGGATAAGAAGAGAGTGGTGGATCTCACGATGGCTACTGGCGCTTTTGGCGCACCTTGGATGTGGCCGTGCATGCGGATGGCCTGAGGAAGGACTGGTTCGGGAATGATCGCTGGGATCAGGTTTTTTATCATTTAGAAGTACCCTTCTCCCCCGTGAGGATCGTCCCACCTGGAGAATCAAAGGCGAAATTATGAAGCCGTGCTATATCTTGGCTGAAAGTCTGGTCCTTTCCTTCGAGTCGGCCTTGATGACTTCCCACTTTGAGATCGATGGCAAAACAGATGGTAACAGTGTAGTGAACCTCTGAGGATCACACAGAGTCGACGTATAATTACAGACTTACTGGATAGACGACTCGACCTTTTCAGCTCCTTGATCCGCGATTGCCTTTTCAATGGTAAAGGTGTTGATGACTGCCGAAGCATGGTGAGATTTGAAGGGCTTTATACTTTTTGACTAGTCCTAATTCAGATTGCTCTATCTGTGATTCAACTCAGCTGTCCCTGATACACTACTATCTGGACCTCACAACTTCCACTTTTACGATGGGCCTCTGTTCCAGAAAGGAGTAGACAACGTGGTCCTCGGATTGGCCGGACAAGAAGATACGACTAAGTTGACTCGTGGTCACTTGCACAGCACTCCACTGGGTTGAAACGGGCAAATTGGCACCCTGTAAATTAGAGATGACCATCTTGCGATTCTTGCCAAGGTGGCATGGCTTAGAGCGCTCGCCGTTCCACCGGGAGGCCTGATGAGAATAGCTTCGGGTCCACAAGCAACCACTTGTGACCGCCGCGGCCCCCGAGGCCCTCGAGAAGGTGTTGCCCATTCGTACAAATCTGCTGTAAAACTGCGCCCTTTCGCACCTGGAGTCGTTCGCATACTAGGGTAGCCAGCCTCCATCTCTTCCAGTCTCGATAGCTTTGGCATAAAGCATTGAGCAAAGAGAAGGCCCACCTGAACTCCGTGAACATTTCTTGACATGGCTCTAATCCAAGAAGTGCGTGAGAACCGTCCCCGATCAGAATGACCTACGGTCATCATAAATTTGCGCCCTTGATCTTCTCACATGGCTGTGTATCTGTGTGGGTGTCATTCGTGACCCAGTAATTGCGTGCTGGTTTTCTTTCTCTCCCACATGATTCACTGACCCCAATTTAACTGAGGTTGTGCCATGGATAAGAGTGCACTGTCTACCTGTCAGCCCAGGTGTATTACTACCTACATGTAATCAGCCGGGCACGGGTCGAAAGCCCTTACGCATCTCTTATAACCACCTGGCTGGGGTTGTACAGTAAGCGGCCTCAAATTCCCTGTTACTGGTTACCAGGGCCAAAGAGCGTCACGCATTGCACTCGCTAATGCAAGGCCACAGCCACCACCGCATGCACCTGGCCCCGGGGCTTAGCGGATGCTGATGCCCGACTTCTTTGCACGGGCGATGATCACAAGTATGCCCGTCTGAACCGCCTTGCAACCCGAGCCTTCTGTGATTCTTTCGTCTCGCCCCAAGATGGAAAAATATAGGTCCTCCAATCTCCTGCCACACTCTTTTTAACTTCCAGCAGCCCATTCAGTCTTCTCGTGGTCAGTGAACATAACGATGCACGAATTCACCTCGCTCGCTTTGTGCACATTGTCGGTAAACTGGACTCTGACCTTCCTGGCGTTTCTAGCCGTGCTGGCGATTTGCTGGTCCAGATTCTCTTTTTTGGTCATCATAACCAGGCCAGATGACATCCTCGTCCTTGTGGCCTTTCTCATCAGTACAGTCCTAGTCTCCCTATCGACATGGGCGATTGTTGATGAAGGTCAGGGCAAGCACCAACAAGACGTCTCTGCGTCCAATCTCGAGACTGCAGCAAAGGTATGTCCACATTCCATTTTGGGGAGATTTGTTCCCGTGGCCACGTGTTCTGACATGAGAAGTAAATACTGGACAGTCCCTTCTCGTCTCAGAAGCTCTATGGACTTTAGTCACAGGCATGCTACGAATCGCGGCAAGCCTGTTGATGCGCAGTCTTACCAAAGGGACCCATGATCGCGTGGTCCATCACAGCGCCATTGGGATCATGGTTCTCAGCACCGCACTAGCCACGGCTTCGATCATTCAAATCTTCCTCATCTGTCAGCCATTCGCTGCACAATGGGACCCGCAGGTCTTGGGCACATGCGGCGACCAAGTGACGTCGTTTCTTGTAATCGAAACCGCGGGGTTATTGCTCGACATTGCAATATTTACGTTGCCACCCGTCATAGTAATGCGGCTGATGACACCGACGAAGATGAAGGTTCAGCTTGTCTTGGTCTTTAACATAGGTGCTGTGTAAGTGGGCCCAACGAATTTATCATGTCACTGTAGATAGACCAAAGCACAGAAGCACAGAACGGACCTTCCTACTCCTCAGTGTACTCGTTATCACTGGGCTTCGGATGGCTGCCCTGCGCAACGCCGTCTCGCCCGACTTCACCTACTCGCAGAGCTACCTGTCCCTGCTGTCTTCGGCTGGCTGTATGACCGGAGTCATCTGCTGTGCGTCACCAGCAATACGGGCCATGTTCCAGAGAGTTCGTCAAAACAAGGCCATGACGTGGAGACCAAATATAGACTTGGAAGTCCACGTATCTGGGCCGAACTTCCTCAATACTAGGGGCACGAGGACTGAGCGGCGGGAGGAGGGACGAAGTGACCGTGACCTTGAAAAGGGATCCGACTCCGGGGCTGACGCAGACGGAGACGACCAGCGTTCATCACGCGATGCTGTCAGCGAGAGTAAGAAGACGTTTGCTCCACTTAGCGAGGAGGTGAACGCCGTAGCGGTTGCCTTGGTCGATTCCGGTCGTGTTGGTGACAACGAGCTGCCTCTGGATCAGGGCCAACTGTTCTGGATCCACCAAAAGCACGGGCAGGGATGGCTGCTTGCGCAGAACCCGAGAACGTACGAGATCGGACTTGTTCCTGAGAATTTCGTGCAACTAAGAGGAACTGTTCCCTGGGGCTGGGACAAGCAAATTGAGATGAGCAAGTACTTGCAAACCTACCTGCAACGTCGCGCTGAGCCTGGACCTCGGTAGCGTCTCACGCCCTGATGCGGTATCGACATTTACGAAGAGTTCAGTCTGCTCTTGGTGAGACAAGTCGGTCGGCTGACAAATTAGCAATTACAACTACTGTTGTGGTCTGACGACGAGTAATGAAATTTCACAATGGCTGCGCTGGATGCTGCGATTTTTATCGGGAAGTTGGTCGTAGTTAAACTTTCCAACACCTTTCCGCTGGCGCATGGACATTTTGGACCTCCAACGTATCAATTGAGACTGGCCGATCCAGAGACAAAGATTTCAGTGCTAGACCCTCAGTCTGATTGGCATTCACGGCTGGCGGCTGTATGTAGAAGCTGTATGATCGGAAGTGTTCATAGACGATACCTTCAGCAATTCTCCGCGACATTCATCCACCGTCTCTCTATAACGTAAATGGCTGCCGCCGTCTACTGGCACTGGAAATACCCTGTAAAAAGGCGTTAGCACGTGCAACAGAGAACAAAAAACCCAGCAAGCAACTTACCGTCGTTCACCTTGACGCAGGTGTACGGGCTCGCGCACTACGACAAAGTCAGCATTCCAGAGTAGATTCTGTTCAACTTCAAGAGCGTAGAAGGAAAAGTAACATACCGCTGTCGCCCCCGTCCAGCCATTCCCACCACACTGGGCCCAGTGTGGCGCGGTTCCCGAGCCTCCAGCAGCCGTAGTCGTCGAACTGGCCGAGGAGGTGGTTGTAGACGCCTGGCTCGTGGTGGTAGGTGTTCCCGGCGCTGACGTTGGGCTCACTGGCGTCTGCAGGAAGTTGACATGGTTAGATTTATACATCTCGTCAGGAGGTTTGGGAATTTGACTCATCTTACCGTAAAACCAAACCACTTGAGATCTTCCTCCGGGAACACATCAAATAGAGTGGGTGACGCCAGTGCCCAGAAAAGCCTACACGCACACCCCCGCGGTCAGCTCATTGTCCCTCCCTTCTCCCACAATCAAGTCCACACTCGTGGCAGGGCACTCACCTGGAACTTATCCCCAAACACGTACTTAGTGTACGGGCTCCGCGGGTAGTTCGCCGTGGTCGAAACAGCGGTGGTCGAGTACCCAAAGACACCAGTCCACTGCTTGATGGTCTCGTAGTAATTCTGGACGTTTAGAGTCTCGTCTGCGCTTCCGTGGTATATCTGCATCTTGGGCCGGGAGCCAGTATAACCCGGGTACATGTTCTTCACGACGTTTGTCCACTGCTGCGTCCAGACGGACTGGCCCGTCGAGCACGTCGAGTTCCAGAAGTCCGGGATGTCGTCGGCGCTCATGAAGCAGCCCGCGGGGACGCCCGCGTAGGCGATGCCCGCCGCGAAGACGTCCGGATATGTTGCGGCCAGGACGTTCTGTGTGTGTGCTGTCAGCATCGTCAACAGTTCTGAGCACGTCTCCCTTTCCCTCATCGGGTCAACATACCGTCATCATAGCACCAGACGATATCCCCGTAGCAAACACCCGGCCCCTGTCCGCGCCGTACTGCGTAGCCACAAAGTCGACCATGTTAGCAATAGAATTACTCGCGCCGCCACCGCCATGCGTGAGCGTCATCTTGCTGGCCACGTCCCAGCAGTTGTCGCGCGTGTACGGCGTCTGCGGGTAGACGACCACGAAGCCGTACGTCTCCGAGTACCGCGCCCACTGGCTGCCCTGGTAGTAGGCCTGGGCGCTGCCGCTGCACCAGTGGATGCCGACGACGACGGCGGGCTTGGCGGCGAGGTTCTTGGGCACGTACAGCCACATCCGCGCCCCCGTCGGGTTGCTGCCGTAGTTGGTCACCTCGGTGAAGGTCGCGCGAGGCACGGGCTCCGCGCCCAGGGCGAGGGACGCGAGGGCCAGGGCCCAGAGGCTGAGGAGGGTTAGCAGGTTCGTCATGGCTTGGGTTTGCGGCGGCGATGCGTACCTCGAGAACGACGATGCGCTGAGGTGATCATCGGTGCCTTTTATTTGTGGCCTGTGCTGCACCTGACAGCATCGTGCGCGTGTGGGTGATGGTTTACTGCGTTCTGAACGGCATTTGCCTTCGTTGGGCCACGCGGATTACGAAACTCCGTTCCCGAACTGATCCAGTTACATCGCCAAGTCCCTGGTCGGATGTTATTTCCGTTCGCGTTCGGTCGAGCGCATGGCTTTTCTGCTTCTTGTCCCCCCATCACAGTGGCAGGCTTTTCGAGTCGTGGTCTATTAGTCCGTCCATCGTGGCGTCCCACTTCCCCGCTCGCACTACCTCGCCGGAGATGTCACCGCCATCCCGGAGGAAGCATCGCCACATAGGCTCGGGCTCGACCGCATGGTCCACACAAACATGCAAGCTTCCTGCCATTTACAGGCTGCTACTCACGCCATTCATTCCCAGTCGCTCATTGAGTTTTTGTCAAGGTAATAATATGCCTAGTGGCACACACGACGGTCCGTAGATCCTTGGCACCTTCTCAAGCTTGGGGCTTATTATGCTGACTAGCGCTGATTTGAAAGAGGCATGCGACGGTCCTTGGCATGCTTTTTCGATGGGTTTCGTGGCGTCGCAAAAAGAGAGCCTGCAACATGCTAAGCTGCACGCCAGTCAGTACGAGTGAAGAGTAAGGTGTGTTAGTTTGGTTTACGAGAAGGGCACACGTCGAAAAGAGATTCCTCCAGCGGACCAAAGGCTTCGAGCATCGGGCATTTTGAGCCGAGCTGATGCCGTCCAGAGTCCTTACGCAAGGTGAGTGGTATTGTTCGTTGCTGTCGTGGCTCGTCGTCTAGATCTCTTACAGTTCATCTCGTGAATATTTCAGGCACACCGTCATTTACATCTGCGGCGTGATTTATAGTGAAGGGCCTTCCCAATTCTCCCTTCTCAGCCGCCCAAACCATGACTGTTTATGGGGAAAGGTCACCTCCTTCTCTTTGATGAATCCACCGGTCTGAAGATGTTGTATGAACCTGCGAAGGCCATGTCAGCTTCCCGGTGATCGTATCGTCGCATTGCCGGGATCAAAACTCACCTCTCGTTGTCAACCCTTGGCTCGATGCACACGCTCTGGGTCCTGTAGTCGGCACAGAATATCCAGTGGACCAGGGCACCCAGCCACGACTGCACTATACCACGCGCCCATTCCTCGCCGATGAATAGGTGCAGCCCTCGGTCCCAGTCGTCGACATCGATGTGCCGCCCCAAACCGTCCTCTTTCACCCAGTAAATCTCGAAATAGCCGAAAGGCACGCCGTCCCACATCCCGATGGCCGGGAAGCTGTGCCTGCTCGCGAGCGCGTTGGTCAGGAAGTTGGGCACATATCCACCCCAGAACTTGGCCACGCGCGGGTTCGACAGCCACATCTGGACCAGGACAATGTCGCAAAGAGTTTTGAGGTGATGTTCCTCCGCGGGCGGGTCGGAAACAGGCCCGAGGTAGGGGACCGGCTTTGGCGAGGAAGAGGCGACGCGGAAGGATAGGTACTTCCCAACGCTCGGGATGAAACGGGTGTAGAAGACCTCGCCCATGCGTGGAGGCTTGGGTCGCACGGGGTGGCGGATGTTGTTGCTGAAGGTATAGTGGAGGGGGCCCGGTGGGTAGTAGGTGGGCAGATGCGAGGAGGAGAAGAAGGGGCCGATGGGGAAGCTGGGGACCGTGACTACTGTCTGTGGCGGTGGCGCACCTGGGAGGTCGGCATTGAGGTGGAAGCTCGGGGACTTGGGCTGCTGTGGGCTCGTGGTGCTGTCGTTCCAGACGGGGCTGGTCGGCCTCGACGAGATTGGCGACCCAGGGTGGGAGCTTGTGGGTTTGCTGGCGGGCTGAAGGGTGAAGAGGAACAGGCGGCCTGGGATTTGCCAGAACATCTTCTGAGACACGAACATGTTGGCCCACTCCAAGCTGGTGTCGTCCATTGACGATCCCACTGCCGAGTCCAATGTGGCGATCAGGCCCCATCCTCTCGAGCTTGGGAATCAGGTTGCGCCCCCTCAGTACTCCGTCTCTTTTTATGTTTATCCGCCAGTCTCCCCTTGGTCTGCCCTCGGCAGCAGTGTATCGAATTCTCGTTGGCAGGGAGCGTCTTGGACGGGGCGGGCTGGTGGAAGTACCAGTAGAGGGTGATCCACAGGATCATTGCGATCTGGCGTGTAGGCGAGGCAGCGGGCTTGAAGTTGGCGGAGGAGGGGTTCGATATGGAGGAGATATAGAGGCTGTCATTCTGCAAAGTGGGCTTGGCGAAGGAATGGATGTGGGATCGGCGAGCGACGCCGTTCTCGTGCTTGTCGGCGCGGTCGACCACCATGGCGTCGTCATCGCTGGGCCTGCCATCGTCCTCGGTATGGATAACAATTGTCCAACCTATGGGAAAGGGAGACTGGTGGTTTTTGTTGAGCTCATGGCTCTTGAAGAAAAGGCCGGCGAAAACAGGCTGGACGGTGAATGTCTGGCCGTCGGGCAGCCGCACTGTGGAGGACGAGGGCATCGTGTGCTGCGGGATTTGTTCTCACGTGTGTCGCTTTAGGGTCTGTCTCACATGCGCGGACCGCCACGGTGCGCATGCAATTGAACGCAGCAGAGGATCGGTTCCACCTCAGGCCTGGTATTGAGTCGACGGTGATTTTGGGGTTTTCGCCGGTGTTGATGTGAAGCTGTTGGGAGCTGCTGCCAAGGGCGGGGTAGCTGCGCGCCTCGTCGATGACAGCTGACACAGTGGGCTCCGCGCTCGCTAGGACGACGAAGAGATGTCGCGTTTTGAAATGAAGCGATCGTGATTTTGACGTTGGCCGTGGAATCTGGCAGCTACTGTCGTTAGACAAGCAAGTCATATCAGCTCATGTAGGGGGCCGACACTGGGAAGGAGCTCAGGTTTATAGATACATGGCAGTCACGCATCCACATGCAGCTGCGACATGCATCCTGCAGCCTGCAGGGAAGCAGCGCACCCCCGAGCTCGGCAATACCAGCAGCAACAGCGGCAGCCGCGAACAGCCCAGACAGAGTGAGGGGCAGAATGCGCCGACGATGACGCGGGCCTGGCCCCAATCTGCCCAATCTGCCGCCAATCTGAGCCCCTCCAAGCTGGATCCCTGCTCCAAGGAGAAGCTTGTTCAGCGGGTCCATCCGTGCAGCCCTTGCGTGGATCTCTGAGCACGGACGAACCCAGTCACGGCCCCTCTAATTGTCAGCAGCCTACCATGAATGGCGCCAGCTTGCCCGTTCTGATGTCTCATCGCAATTGTATTACACTGGATTGGCTCCCGGGCCCCTTGGCTGTCTCCAGACTTGACCACCGTCGGAAAACCTCCTTTCAAACATGTACAGAGTGACATACACGACAGCTTTACCTTGAGACACGTGCCACAGCAGTAGACAGAACTTCCAACCACCACTGATACTGCTAGTCCCTGTCCAGCCATGACCTTGCGGGGCCACGCCTGAGACATCGAAATGCAGGTACTGCTGGTTTGCCTAGCTGCGTGTCTCAAAGAGAACAGAAAAGTGTTTGTATGCTGTTCGAGGTTCCATCCGCATTTTGCCGCAAGCAATCGATAGGCTTGCAAAGCACTTCTTTAGCGATGACAAGTTCCTCCAAGCTGTGATTGCTGGCCCATTCCTTTCCCTATATGGAGTCCACCAGGGGAGAGCATCTTGACCTTTTGTGCTCGTATTCAACTCCATCTGCCATTCTCACATGTCCGCCCGTGCACAGGTGGTTGATTTCTTGCCTTTGACGATGGAAGGGTTCCTCTCCAGCCCTCCTTAGAATCCATTCGAAAGATTCTCTCTGATTCGGAACACTCTGACGCGGAAGCTTCGAGTTCCATTCGTAACTCGCTCTCTTAGCCCCAGTTGTTAAAAGGCATGACGAGCAGCACTGGCCACCACATCAATACAAATTTTGTTGAGTCGACCAATGACTTCGAGATTTCAACATTAAGTGCCTGTGTCTTATCCCCTTAACGATTTATGTTGACGCTCTACGGCAGTGTTGCGATTCTCACAGAAGCCATGTGAGCGGCATTGCCTGGTGCTGAGATTAGCTTTTTCAGTTATGCAAGTATTCTTGTCGGGATTAAAATTATCATCCAAAGGTGTAGAAAGAAGATCTTACACAGGGACTTACTGAATGAGCTGAAGCATCAGGGGACAGACGAGGATGGTGAAATGGCCACAGAACGGCGTGACTTCTCCATGCCGATGGCCCACAGCGTATAGCAGCCCAAGTCGTCAGTCACTCGCACTTCCCTTGAAGTGATTCATCGTTGCTCTCTGGTTTCTTCAACTATAAAATTGGTCGATATTTACCCTGAAGTCTTTCCTTTCTTTCCATCAGCGCCACCACGATCGAGCCCGCCGTCGCGCACACGCAGAACCCATAACAAATCCCAGATACAGATCCGAGCGTAACACGGCTTCTATTGACAGAAGCACACACTCTTCTCAAAGAAATCTCATTACATTCAAGATATCTTACCTGGCATCATACCAATCATGTGTATCTTGGAGACAAAGGACTTGTTGTGCTCTACACAGGGTTGTCCCAACATCATCGAATATCAAGGCCATGAGAAGAGGCGCAAGTGCCCGTTTGTCGAAGCTGAACAAGAGTTTGGTTCGTGTGGGCGCCGGGACCAGGTGAAGGTTCCTGGGTCTGAGAGGTCAAAGAAGCACAAACCATGTGGCGACTGCGCCCGCAAGAAAGCCGATGACGACGCCAACTATTACAGAGATGTGGCAGAGCACCTGACGAAGTCACTCCAAGATCAGTGGAATCGCGATGATGAGCGACGGAGGAAGAAGAAGGAGCAAGAAACCGCGCTCGTTACAGGTGCTGGAACGGGTTATTCTGATGGTCAGGGTGGACATCCTCACGAACCCTCTGGGGTATACTTAGATCCCGGAATGGACCTTAGTGCGATGCCACAGGAGCTCGACTTGGATGACTTTGGCGAGGGGCCAAGTCACGGTCATGTCCAAGGGCACAATCAGAGAGGTGATGAGGGGCACTACCGGCAAGATGGCCAGGGCTCCGGCGGTTGGTCCCAACAGTGACGGCGGAATACTTCAAAGGCGTTTTCAAAGGGATGGCAAGAATTGGGTTAATGGTTTTTTGGTTTTTTTTGGGGATAATCGATGTGATGTGAGGAGATCCATGTCCAGTCCATCATAGATGATTTCAGACTGAATGAGCAATGCAAGGCCAAGAACACGGGTGGCGTTTATGAGTGATGTCAGGGGCGCAGCTTTGGAATCACCATGCTGGCTGAACGGAATAGAAATTGCTCTGACACAACTACAAACTGTTTCCGTTCTCGATTATTCTAATAAGTAGTAGGTTTTAATTTCTCAGATTGAAACTGTATTGAACTGGCTGTCACCCTGAACAGTGATTGCGGTGACGGCATACGATGTAGCTCTTCTGTGCTGTTCGCAGTCCACGATACATTTTCCATCTCTCCTCGTGCCACAAATGGTCCGGTATTGACGTCCGGCCTTGTGAATATCACTTAAAGCAATCGCCATCGCCGATGTCACGCCTCTAGCGGTCCACCAACGGGACGCTGACGGAAACAAAAAGCTGCGAGGCGTACCAAACACTACCCTTGAAGGACTGAATCCCACGAGCTTGGCGCACGCGGTCGCAGTGCTTTGCATCCCAGAATCGTGAAGGAGCATTCTTCACAATCCAGAAGTTGCGCATTGTCCTAATCGCTCCAAAGGGACGCTGATAGCCTCCAGCCGTCCCATATACCCCTGGTCTGCCGATTGCAGATGGCGTCAACTTGGGATGCGGGTACGGCGCCCCGAACAGATTCCAATCCCTCTGCACGCTTACTCGTGGCTTCCACCTGGGGACCTCGATCAGGCACAGCGAGCAGACACGCTCGCACGTGATCAGGTAGATGAAGCCTCCGCGTTGCCGACAGGTCGCGCAGGCCTCGTCCGAGAGTGTGATGTAGGCGTCGTTGAGGGTGAAGCTGTTTGCCTCAAGTGTCAGGGCGCCCCGGATGCTGCAGGTGGACCATGTCAATTAGCCAGTTTTCCATGCCAATGCAGTCAGTGGGATCCTTCATGCACTTACATCTGCGGCGCACGGTTCATGATCTCCCGGTACTCAAAGGTTCTGTCGACCATGTGCATGGCGCGTTTAGACACGCGCCGGAACGTGGTCAGGGAGCGAATGTCCAAGTGCTTGATGATCCCCCACACCAGCTCCACTGGAAGCGAAAGTGCGCCAAGGTCCTCACTTTTAAATGCTGCCGTGATATCAATTCTGCCGTTGTCGAGTGGGCAGCGAACGTCCAGGTCTTGGGCGTCGAGGGCTCTGATCTCTTTTGGGTCGGCGTTGCCCGCGGAAATCCATGTATACGGACGAGCAAAACGGCAAACGGCCACTATACAACGATGGGCCTCAAGACCAAGGGTCTGATTCACGGAGCCCACGCAATCGGTATAGTCATTATGGTGAGGAATATCTGTCGTTGGGTTATCCATTTGAGAATGATTTTGAGACGTTGAAAGAATATGTTGTTGTTCAATGATTGATCAAAGAAAATTGAACCAGGTTATGGAGAAAGAAAAACAAAATTTCGTTTGGAACATACCTAAATTCTGGCCGTATGTATCAGGATTTCTCTAATGTCTATTGTACTAAGAGGCCGGGCCCAGTTGACGGATGGTGCGCCATGGAGATCTAATCGATCTTAGCCGGGATAAAGCGCAGCGAGAAAGATCACTCGACCCAGAACCACGAAAAATGTATTGACTCCCTGACTGCACGATATACTGGCGATACAGAAGCTCATCTTGACTTTTGAAACTTGATTGGTGCTAGTTTGGTCAGGTGTTCATGTGGACGGCCCTACAGTTACGCTACCGTAGGTAGACGTTCGCTGGCGTGGTTGAGATACACATTTTGATAGTTACACATTTTCCGAGGCAGTTTGCTTGTTCCAAAAGATGAATATGTACATTCCGATGCTTCTGCTTTTTTTTTTTTTTTTTTTTTTTTTTTGAGGGGGACTAGCGTTTCCAAACAAGAGCAGCGCTTGGAAAGATTGAAACATTACCACACGACGCTTAGAAAGCCCTACCAGGCGCCTCGCCCTCGTAGGATACCTCGATCTTGGTGGTAGTCCGAATCCCCTGGCTCCTCCCACCCATGATCGGCAACTGACTCTCCATGCTTGCGGGTGTGTCCAGCGGTCTGCCATCGTCGTCCCAGTCGCTTAAACGATTCCCAGCCACAACCGTTGCCGTAACCTCGCTCTTTTTCAGACCGTCCATCGCCGCACCACGCGTGACAGGCACAGAGATAGGCTCCATCGCGTAGTCGTCGCTGCCGTAGCCAAACTTGGCATAGCCGTCGCGTTGGCGGGACAGGCCCTTGGAAGGTGTCGAGCCGTATGTGACGAGTCCGGACCGGCCTAACGTCTTGGGTGTCATGCCGCCTTTGCTGCGCCCATAGGTGCTTCCGTCGATGAGCCTTGGTGCCACGGAGAGGATGAACTTTCGGAGGGTGGGAAGCATGCCGCACACGATGATCAGATTCGCCTCGACTACGCTGTGCAAGGGTTATTTTGGGTGGCATAGACTCGAGGGTTGGTCTAACATACATGAGCAAGCTGGCATAAGATACGTCCCATGTGGGGTCGGTGGAGGTCAATAGTGATGGGAGGACAGCCGCTCTCAGTATCGAGGTGACGATGGTTCTGTCGCATGTCAGGATTCGAAATCGCCCCCAATATTATTCAAGTATTAACTCACATGGAACCAATACCAAAGATGAACATCAGACCTATCTTTTGCTTGAGCGGCACCTGTAATTTCACCACCATCGGAATGGGCAGAATGAAAAGGATCACGTCGGAGGTGATGTTCGCGGCCGCAGTCGCGATGTAGAGTGCGGCTGAGTTGATACAAGAGCCGGTGGTTATTGTGATGTCGAAGCTACGCTCGATAGGATCGCATGCGAAGATCAGACTGAAGAATATCCCCGTTGTGTAGCCGAAGATAAGAGCGAGCGTCGCAAAGACTGAGTAGCGGAACCACTGCTGTGGCGAAAGTCGCAGGTAGAAGACCAGAAGTGCTATCTTGGCGAAACTTCCGCTGAGAACGTAGATCCAGGCTGCAATATATACGACCTGCGATTCAGAATGCTTAGTGAATCTGCTCTCAACCGCTCGCTTGCGTCTCACGGTCGCCCCAGCTTACGAGAAGGTATTTGTTGAATTTCACAAGCGGTATTTCCCAGGAGTGTACTCCGCCAATACCCGAAGCGAACATATCTGTAGCCATGACATCTATCAGATGCCATCCATCCAAAGAAAAAGATTACGGTCAATGCTTACACAAGACTAAGAACTGGGTTGCTATCGAAGTGACCTGTTCTTGTAAGACGCGAGTCGCTTATGGGAGAGACCTTAATGAAGCTTACCCAGGCAAGGAAGAGGAGCACTATCCAGTGACATGTCAGCAATAAGACATTATAGCAGAAGATAGAACAGTAGTCGCGGTTGTCAACTATTGGTGTACTTGGGTATGTCACATGTACGTACAATCATCGAGCTGGAACCTCTTGACCACAACGGACTTCACGTACACCCTTTGGGCCGTAAAGAGCATTGCAAAAATAAGGCCGATCCCAGCCAGCCAGTATGTAGGGACATCAGCTTGCCGCTGAGGATTATCAAAGTTGACGACATAACCCGGCGGTGGCGGTACGAGGACCAATACCCCGTCAACGACAGACATGGCGACGATCTCGAGGTCTTGGTTTCCAACAGGCCGGAGGTCAAAGCCCAGTTCAGCAAAGGCAGTGATCAAAAGAACGCGGGCCGACCAAGCAATGAGAAGTGGCGGCACCGATATCTACAGGGCCAACTAAATAAAAAGAAGTTGTAGTAAGTGAGGCGGGAAAAGGGATCTGAGTGGACCCGCAGGCTCGGCCCCTTTTTGTTGATCAATGACGGAACGTGGTAAGGCTACGCCGAGGACGAGCGCATAGTTAAACTGCGGCAAAGGCTGGGTGACCGTTGCAAGGGAGCTGACACGCGCGCTTAAGACTTGGAGGCTTGTGAACCGTTGCACGTCTCAGAAGGACGAGGAGGCACCTCTGGCAGGAACGCAACTGGCGACTGCGGGACAAGCATGTTGACGAACCAGGCAGTGTCCACACCTTCCCTTTATCATACGTGGCCCGCAGGTGGCGGGCACCGTAGGGCAACATCGCCTCCTCGCGAGGAATACTCACGCCCTCGTGCAGCTTTAAGTCCATGAGGGTGGTAGAGAGGGGCGCTCTCGCCTGGTTGCGGTCCTGCACATGCCAAGTGATTGTCTCGGTTGAGTCGGTACAAATCGCACGAATAAACTTAAAGTCCCGGTCAGCCCTAGTCTGTTCGCGCGGCTTGATAGATGGAAAGGCCGGGATGCATACGGAAGACTTATTCAAGTCCCCTTGGTCTCTGGATCCTGAAACCAGATCACATCCTACAGACGAAAGTTCACACGGGATACTCATCCAGGCAGCCCAGGCCTTGACACGTGGGCTCTTCTTCCTTTTAGAAGCTGTGACATACGTTCATCTCGGAGAGCAGGTTCCGTCGCTACAGAGTGCTTGTCGTCTCATCAAGCAGGATCGGCACTGCGAAACCTTCTCGTCATGATCATGTCCCTCTTCTAGATCTTTACCACCTTTCATCCATGCAGACACAAGAGACTGACTCTGTGTCAAAAACGTGGGCATACCCTGATCAGCTGCTCACTTCAGCCAACGGCGAGCTGTGGTCAACGATAACGAAAGGGATCGAGACCGAAGAGAGTAAAGCGATAAGTCTGGGCCCAGAAAGTAGCGGGGATCTCCATTCAAGCTCCAGGTCCGGCCGTGGTACACGTGTAGATAATTATTTAGGCCCAGATCACGGATTTCAAAACGCCGCAGTGTTCTAAAGCATATCGCGGCGCTATACTTAATTTGGAATTAAATTTTAACTATAAGGTGCATTTAGTCTTTAAACGCGGTTTAAAAAGTACCTTAAGACCTATTATAATCTTTATTTATGTTATAATTTTTTTAACAATAATTTACACTAATTTTCCACTTTAAAACGCTAAAATTTTACAAAAATATCGTTTTTAAAACGCTTAATTAATAGCGTTATGCATAATACTAGCTAGTGTTTTAACTTTTTAAGGCTTTAAGGTGAATCCTCCCCCATAAGTAACTTCTCGGTAAGCTTCGGTAGCGCCTTGGCACGGAAGTTACTTTGTAGACTACTTTAGAACATTGCGGCGTTAAGAATCCATCATCTAGCCCTTAAGGTTTCAGCCGTGGCCGTTTCCGATCACCTAAGCTGCAGCCACGCCTGTCTTCTAGGCTCGTTCTAGAAAACTTGGCCGCAACCGAGAGGCTGGGTATGGAATAGCAGAAACTCCGAAGGCGAGACCTTCTGATACGCATGAAGCCTTGGGGGTGAATCCTCCCCGTCGGCATTCTCTGCCTGGCTGGATGGGCATGGGGTGATAGGGCAGTCTAGTTCACCGGTACATTGACCTCGATCTGGAAAGGCTCATCCGCTGGTGGAGATGCGGGATCGAAGATCAGAGACCGGAATCCACACAGTTAACTCGCCTGCGGGACCGCTGTGAGGGGCGACCCGTTAGGTTAAATAGACTGCGCTTGGCCGAGGTTTGCCATTTTCTCGTTTTGCCCACAAAATGCTGCCAAGGCTGTATTTTGTCGATAGGTCGAACAGCCTCTCCGTTTGCACCTTAAAATCCTGAGCTCAGCTTGGGATCGAAGCCTAACCACGAACGTTCAGCCCGTGCGGAGGATCCGACCATTTCAACTGAAAGCCAGTGGCGGCCTTTGGGATGGCGCGCGGAGCGGGTCGGGCAATGGAAGCTAAACGGATAAGGTTCGAGTAAAACGCGTCCCTTGAACTCTGAGCCTTGATCTAATTGGATATGGATCTGAGGACGGGGACAGCCGGCCAATTTCCCCTAATCCTAGGCTAGGATAGCGAAATCCAAGAGACTATCATTCTTAGCGGGACTAGCTCCAGCAGCTTCTACAACGGGCAACCCTCGATCGTTGACAATGCTTGGATTATCATTTGAACTGCTGGGTCTTGCTTCTGCTCTGCCGAGCTCTTGACCAGTCTCATGTCTGGCAAGGCACCCTCGTTCATCCGTAGCAAGCCAGCGGTATTGTTGATATGTTTTTTCAAGTGTAGCAGCGAACCGGAAGCCTATGACGGGCTCATTTCGCGGTCACTTGACCCCCCTGCATGGTCTAGTCATGCTGCTGTGCAGCAGGAGCACGCATTCGTTCAACAACTGACTCGGAGCAGACCACATACTATTCAAGCAGCCCGGGGTCTTGTCCCTCGGCAAGTGACGAGCTTTCATCCCGGGCAGACATGCCGGACTCCGTGGGTTGCACAAGTTCTCCTCTGAACACCCTCACCACTCTCCGGTGGGACCGCCTGCAGGACCGATTCCAGCCAGGCTAACGATTTTAAGGTATCCCCTCCGGATGGATCCATCCACCTAGGTTTGAGGTTCACAACACATAACTAAAGCAAGCCGCACTCTGGTCCGTGGACGTCCAAGAGGCAATATCCAGAGGTACCGAGACGTTCCCTTCGTGCCTCAGCCACTCGCTCTTAGCAACCACACTCGTTCGCACACAATAATGACTTCGTTACAGCTTGATGCCGTGGGCCGCCACGCGAAGAAGACGGCGGCCATGTGTGGTGCCCTGACTCTGGCGTCGCTGGTGTCACCAGTTTGTGCCACGTCTCCAGCGGAGACTTGTGTAAGTGCACTCACTCAAGTCTCTTCCATGTCCGCTTGAACTTGTGTCTGCCATTACATGCATCGTCCAATGCTGCTTAGCTGAAGCTTGCTACAAGTTTGAGTTTATGTTCACACCTTCACCAACAACACCATGTTTCGCACAGACTGCCCGGCTAATTTGACGACCACGTGGATAGTGCTCGGCACTTGCCTCCCAGCGAGGCCTGCAGGCCAAGATCTACTATCCTAATACGACACTATACTCGGACCGCATGTCAACGTACTGGTCCGTGAGCGCGGCCTTGGATCCATGGTGTGTAGCCCAGCCGGAGGCGGCAAAAGATGTCTCTTCTATCGTGAAGACGCTCGCCGCCAATGACTGTCCCTTCGGAATCCGTGGTGGTGGCCATGGCTTCTTCGCCCTGTCCAACAGTGTGGCGGACGGCGTAACCATCGATTTGGGCTGTAAGTAAGCCCGAACAGCTTTCAGTCAGACCAACTGCACCATGTCCCCGCCCGTTGAGTCGTGGCCTCATGATTCGGAAGGAGCATGACACGCAATGCTTGGAGTGCAGTCTCACGACTCGACTGCCACGATGACTGACTCTGCTGCCGACGAACAGACCTCAACACGACCACGTATGATGCCGCCACCAAGATTGCCTCGGTGCAACCCGGCAGCCACTGGCAAGAGGTCTACGACACCCTCTCACCACAGGGTGTCACCGTCGCAGGCGGGCGCGCCGGCACGGTAGGCGTGGGCGGATTTCTGAGCGGCGGCGGCAACAGCTTCTACGCGGCCTCGCACGGCATGGCCTGTGACACGGTGGCCAATTTCGAGGTCGTCCTCGCCGACGGGTGCGTGGTCAACGCCAACGCCGACGAGAACTCGGACCTCTTCTCCGCGCTCAAGGGCGGCTCTGGCAACTTCGGCGTAGTCACGCGGTTCGATATGTACGCCATCGAGTTCCCCAACGCCAAAGACCCAGCGATCTGGGGCGGCATCCTCATCTACGACCTCAGCGCGGGCGACGCCCTCATCGACGCCATGGTGAGCTTCACCGAGGCGGCGGCGGGCGACCGCAACACCAGCTCCATCCTGTACTGGGCGTACCTGCCCGCCCTGGGCGGCATGGTCCTCAACGCGGCGCTGGAGAACACCCTGGGGATCGAGAACCCGCCCGCGGCGGAGGTGTACCTCAACGTCAGCGGCATCACCTCCAACACGCTGCGGCGCGCGGACCTGACCGTCATCACCAACGAGCTGGGCGCGGGGCAACCCGCCGGGTTCCGCAACGACTGGCGCACGCTGGGGTTCGGCAACGACGCGCGCGTGATGCGGTTCGCGGTGGCGGCGCACGAGTTCGCGGTGGCCCAGCTCAACGCCACCATGACGCCCGACAGCGGCTTCAACACGCTGTGCATGTTCCAGCCGCTCAACAACGTCATCGCGCGGCACGGCGCCGAGAAGGGCGGGAACGCCATGGGGCTGGACTACTGGATGGACGGCGGCGACGGCATCATGTTCCTTGCGACGCTGGCGGTTAACGGCGCCGAGAACGAGGCCAACGCCGCGCCCATCATGAAGAACTGGACCGATTCCGTTGCTGCGTATGCGGATCAGCTTGGCGTCGGTTGGGGGTGGCACTATCTTAACTACGCGTCGCCTGACCAGGACCCGCTTGCTTCGGTCGGGCCTGAGAATATTGCCAGTCTGCAGGCTGCCTCGGCCAAGTACGACCCTGATGGTGTCTTCCAGAGGCTGAGGACGTCGGGATTCAAGATTCCGCAGGGGGTGGACTGGCTAGGCTCGGAGTAATGGCATCTGGTCAGGACCACTGTCATTGAAATTGAAGCTTTATAGTTCTATAGATACAGATGAATAAATGATACATCCTAAAAAACGAAGAGTCATTTGGACAACCAGATCAAAATGTGCTGCCCAATGTGTACTGTCGAGTATTCATTGACTTGTTTGACAGCTCAGGTGCTCAGAAGTGCAAGCATCCAAGAGTTGTACTGGTCTAATATTGACTCTGCCAGGCTTTGATCTTCATGTTTGTCACATTTTCATCCTCATATCCGAGTCCCTCAGCTTTGACCATACGTATCAGATCTCCAATCATACAAGCTGCGTCTGCTCCTAATTGATGAATTGCATACTAGTAATACTTTGATCGAGATACTTTGCATCACCTTCTCCAACAGGACCTTTTTTCTCGACTGACCGTACAAGCTGCACGGCATTCTTGTCCCGCGGCTCGACAGTAACAGAAAATGGCAGAGGGCCGGCAACCGCGCCAGGGCCGATGCCAATCTCAGGCTCGATCTCTCATCCCTGGGCATCTCGGCCCTTGGTCATGTCAAACGTGGCGAGGACCTTTGCCATCGCCAAAAAGAGGGTGGACTCGGATTCCGCGAGGCGCCGCCCGGGGCAAATCCGACGGCCAAAACCGAACACGAAGCCGGCGGGGTCGGGTTCCTCGAATGGGGCGAGGAACCTCTCAGGCATGAACTGTTCTGGTTCGTGGTACACGGCAGGGTCGCGCGTGAACCACCACGTCGAAGGCAGTAGTATTGCGCCCTTGGGGATACGGAACCCACGCAGCTCGTCGTCTGCCTGCGCGGCGCGAGGTACACCTAAGGGCGCCGATGGCAACCAGCGGAGTGATTCTTTGACCACGGCGTTGATATAAAGCAGGTTGGTGCGATCCTCGAGTCGAGGCAGCCTCGATCGTCCCACTACATCGTCGATCTCTTGCTGAGCTCTCTTCTGCACGTCGGGGAATACCGACATGGCCAGGAAGAAGGCCCGAAGTGTTGATCCGGTTGTGTCGACGCCGGCGCCATATAGGGATGCGGTTGTCCATTGGATATCATCGTCACTGATTCTATTGTCGTCTTGTCTTGTACGCAGAAGCTCACCGACGATGGATGGCTCTGACCAGGTCGTATCATCTTCCGTTTCTGATGCGCGTTGTTTTGCGAATCGGAATGGTACTTCCGCAGATGCCATGATCACCAGTCGTGCCTTGCGCGCCACCAATTTGAAGCCGGCCGCAGGCATCCAGTCTGGAATGTACTTCAACCACTGGACTATGTCGACGAGCCATGCCCCTGGGAGGGTCACGGACGCAAAGATCTCTACTAGGCGATCATTGATTGCGACAAGGGGGTCGGGCCTTTCTGTCTCGACACGGTAGCCATAAATCATCTTCAGCAACATTGACCCGATCATACTATTAGCGGCGTCAGCCTACATTCCTGCGGGCTTGGACGATGAAATGAGATGTGATAAAGTGCTCCGTTCCCTACCTTTTGATGTCGCCATCGAGTTCAGCACCGGAACTGCCAAGTAGGCGCGCTAGAAACGTTCCGATTTCCACTTCCTGTAGCTCGGCGAATTTCGTCATAGCCGGCTGAGAGCCTAGCTGTGAGATCGCAAGCTTGCGATACAGGTTTAGTGTCGGTCCAGGCTGCCGGCTGGCCAGGACTTGGTCAAGGCCGCACCTGTCAGGCCAGATTGTTAGCCACCGCTGGCAATTGTGAAAGAAATCTCATAGTTGGACTAGGCTCAACGGAAAACACGGGCTCACATTTCCATCGCGAACGTCGCGGTTGGTCTCCCGGAATGAGTTGTTGCCCGCTTCTCCATGAGCTCCGAGGCTGCTTGCTTGTCGTGAAGGATGATGATAGTCTGTCCTAGGGCAGTGACGGAGCTTATAGGACCGTAAATATCCATGTGCCTGAGCCAATGCTTACATTCTCCTTGGCCTCCGGGAGGCATATCTGTAATGTTTCCAAGTATTGGCCATGGCTTTGGCCCAGGTGGGAGAGGTAGCTTAGGTCGTCGATGGAAAGCCCTATTGACCAAGAACAGCGCTAATACAGCCGTGGCTACTCCTAAAAAGAGATTGGGAGGGAGTATTGTTGTTATCATACTGGTAAAATCGAGAAAGGCACCACAGCATCCGAAATCCTTCAACCTCCTCCGACTTAAAATCACGGAGACGGATATATAGATGCGACTGGGTGATAGGCTGCGGGATATTCAGAAGTGCTCATACATTCTCGGGTAACGTACCCGAAACTCCGAGGGGATTGTTGTGGGCTTGTACTACCAAGCGCAAGTAGCACCTGCGGAGGCCCTGGACTAAAGGACATGCGAGCAGCACAATTATCACTCATCAGATTGTCTCCACCACTTTACACTCGATAGGAATAGATTGTCGAAAACTGCGTCTTAAAGTATCCCTCAGTGTTCGCGATAGTTTTTTCTGGCTCGGCCTTCACTATTCAGCCCGGATCTTCGGATATTTTATGCGAAGCCGTTGCGGGTCTTGACTCGGATCGAGACTATTGTTACGACTCGAGGATGCTCCTGGGAGGGAATTACCTAGATACCCTGACCCTGAGAGTAGGGATAATGTGTATGTCACCACTTGAAAATGAATATATCGTGATATGTATGATTCCGACACTTTGCATAAGATCTTTTCAGCATGAGTAGGCTCACTTTAAAATACGGCATCTGTGTCGTGGTTGTGTGATTAACTGATGTATCAAAATAGGCTCACAGACAGGTTGAGTACCCTCCCTAGTACCGACTGCAGCATTAGGAATGGTGTGTACACTCCAGCAGTGGGAGTCTCGTGGGAGCTGTTGTCGGCTTCAGGGTGCACCAATGAGAACATCGTCTAGTGTGAGTACCAAGATGAGAACATCGTCTAGTGTGACTACCAAGATGAGCATCCAGGGTATCGGACACATAGAGGTCTCATTCAAGGACCTCTTATCTTTGTATGACAAAACTCCACATGATCTCAAGTGGTGATATGAACCATACGATTGACCAAGGCTTGGGCATGTTGGTGATTAAATGTATAGGTGCACGAGCATATGGGGATAGCAGACGAGGTGAAGAGGTCCAGAAAGAGCCGAAAATAGGATCTCCCACCCTTGCAATGTTATCTGGCGCTTGCTGCCAACAGCCACGTGGATGCGATTCTCGGTGATGAAATAGGCGCCGGGGTTAGATGACGGAGTGGAGCAGCTGACGTCCTGATTGAGTGAGGCCTCTGCTTTGTTTGGCGTCGCGCAAGGACGCGAGCGTGACGTCACCGTAACGAGAGCGTCCCCGGGGCGGACCCTCCTAAAGCTTGGAAAGCTTGCGACGTTCAAGACGCCAGCCGAGCCCCTTGGCCTTATTACACTTCGGATTCCCATGATGAAGGGACCTGCAAGGCTCAAGTGACTGCGACACCGTGGTCTTTGAACCCGAGATGACCTCTGCTTTGCGACGACTGCCGTGCCAGTTGGGCAGGCTTGCCTCATCAAGACCTTTTGCGACTTCAACCTCGGCCTCAACCTCGACCTGCATCTCAACTTCCCTCCGCACCACATGGGGATCACAAAGAGTTCCAACATGTCGCACTAGCCTCATTAGCAGTCGGCCTTTCAGCCACTCTCCAGTAACACGAAGAGACGTATCTGCCGAACGGCCACAGTCCTCAAATCCCAAAGGCCTAGAACCAGACGAGCAGGAAGTCAGGGTCAAAGAGAAGCAAGTCAAGCGGCCATGGATGCGAGAAGACGCAGACAAGCCCCCAGCCGATCAAGACCCAGACGCCAATCAGAACAAGAGAGGTGAGTGTCCAGCTCGAGGACAACTCGCAAACTCCCAGTCGCCAGTCCCCAGTACAACGCACTAACAAGCCTCGCGATCCACAGGCAAGCTCTTGACAACTCCGACACGACTCCTAAAGCTCATCGTCCCCCTTCCCATACGCGTCGAGAAAGACAAGGAAAACAATACCAAGGGACTATGGCCGCGCCATTTCAATTAATGACAGCATCCAACCACTCGCCCTGCTGATCCACCCTCAACAGCCCCTGTCCTACGTCGAGCGACTGATCCAGGCCGAGCTCCCTCCCGTCGTGGAGGACGGCAAGGAGAAGATCCCCAACATCTACTTCCGCGCCGAAGACTCGGCAGCGTCCGAGAACCGCCCCACCACCCGCAAAGAGGCCCGCGCAAAGGATAAAGCACACGACGACGATGGCGAAGAAGATACCCCCGAGCACCCGCACGTGGCATCCTACTCGGGGCTAGGCCACGAGGCCGAGGACACGCACGCCGACAAGGACAAGGCGTGGGTGCGGTGGAGCAGCAGCACCGATGGGCGACTTCATCCGCGACGCGGCAAGGGGCCGCGAGTTCGCCATCGAGGTCGAGGGCTACAACCTCGAGATGCGCGTCTCGGTGCCGAGCTTCAACGACCGGACCTACTACATGCGCATGCGGCTGCGGCGCATGTCGCGCCAGATCGAGGAGCTAGCGGGGATCAAGCGCGAGTGCGACGAGGTCGCCCACCGCTCCGCCCACCGCCTGGCCCAGGGCGGGTTCGCCGCCCTCGCGGGCTGGTGGGGCGTCGTGTACTATGTTACCTTTCAGACCGAGTGGGGCTGGGACCTGGTCGAGCCGGTGACGTACCTCGTCGGCCTGACCACCATCATGGGCGGCTACCTGTGGTTCATGTACATCAGCCGCGACCTGTCCTACAAGGCCGCCATGAACGTCACGGTCAGCAAGCGCCAGAACGCCCTCTACGAGACCCGCGGCTTCGACATGCACCGCTGGGAGCAGCTCGTCAACGAGGCCAACGGCCTGCGCAGGGAGGTCAAGACCATCGCCGCCGAGTACGACGTCGACTGGGACGAGATGAAGGACCTGTCGTACTCGAAGCGCGTCAAGAAGGTCCTCGAGAAGGAGAAGCAGAAGCGTGGCGCGGCGCGGGATGATGACGAGGGCGATGAGGAGGAGTCGGCTGCTGAGGAGGAGGAAGTGAAGAGTGAGATGGTCCGCGGTGGCAGTGGAGGTAGCAGTGGCAGTGGTGGTGATGGCAAGAAGAGCGAGTAGGCAACGAGATAATGGTGGAGTTCCGTCAGACACCATGCGCAATAGAAGGGTGGTGCCAGTGATACCCTTGTTCAGCATATGATAGAAGGCAAGAATTTAACAATTAGCACCGTATGATTTGCGTCGATGTGGTTCATCCTGGTTCAATGGTGGTAGAGCTCGGGTACGGCAAATCAATGGGGCTTATCGCCTGTGGCAGATCCATCGAGGTACTGCGGTTGGACGTCAGGTGCTACAAAACAAGCATGTGTGACTATAAGCAAGCCTTGAGACTGCACTTTGATGTGTAAATTATTGCGATATCAAGCGCATCCTGAACATTGTTTCTCATGGTACAGTTCAACGTTTTGTGACAGGCAGAAGACCGTGAGACACAGCCAGAGGATGTGGCGGCAGTTTCGCTCGACCGAACGCCAAACTGCCGGCCCAACAATATTTTCCTAACTTTCGTCATAGCACTCGTCTGGGCGACTTGCAAGCTCCTACCGAGAAGGTAGTCCTAGCCGAGTGAAAGTCTGAGAATCAAGACATGGTGAACTCCTCACTATATTTCGCGGCGGAAGTCATGAACATAGGGGGAAACCATAGTAACGATTCGACTGCTTGCGTGTGCCGATTCTCCACAGAATTGGCTGCCCGTCTACTCACTGTCATCCTCTTCCTCCTCTTCGCTTTCGCTGTCATCTTCGTCTCGCTCTTCATTCTCACTTCCGGTCTCGCCTCCATACTCAGACTGGTCAGCAGACACAGGTGATCCTCCCCTGATCTCCTTTTCATACTCATCCAAGTCAGTGTACGTGTGCTCTGGGTCATGCATCTTCCTGCTTTGTCGAATACATTTGAAGCACAAGTGTTCACTGCATATCCGGCAATACCAAACTTGACCAACGATCCACTGTTCACTTCTACGTCAGCGACCTTATGCTCAATAAAAGCCTGTCGAGGGAGGGTGGGGTATCATACCGTGTGACAAACATCACAATCATACCCACGATTCCTCCCAGCCGCCGTTTGGGAGTAGTACTGCGATTCGCGGTCCTCCTCATGGCCCTGAGCGTCAAGATCGGGTTCTAGAACTTCGGCCTCGCGATAAGACCAACGTACAGCGTTCCGGCCAAGGCTGTCCACGGAGTTTGTGTGGGCTCCGTGTTTGAGGAGGTATCCCAGGAGAGGCTCCCTCCCCACCCCCCCCCCCCCCCCCCCCCGTACGCTCACCCACCACCCGCAGAAGAGGATAAATCCATTTGCCGCCGCGAGCGTTGTCGTCGACGCTGACTTCCTCCACGAGGTATTCGATGATCTCTCGTCCGCTCGGTTCGTGTTCGTGTCCAACAGCAGAGTATAGCACTGATTCGCCGAACGCAGAGTCCACGATGCCGTGGTCGGCACCGGTCCGGACGAGCTGTCTCACCATGTCCAATTTGCACTTTGCGGCAGCCATGTGTAATATGCTCCCGAATGATGGGTGATAGAAGTCAGATCGTACGCCCTTCAGAGTTGTCAGGTATCGAGCCACGCTGTCTGAAATAATAGCGTTGGATGCTTAGTCTATTAGGCTAGCTAACGTCTATTCTACGGGAGGGAAGGCCCCTATTTATAGTTATTATCCTCCATACAGTAATAAACATATGGGGAAAAGGATATCCCGTATTAATAATAGCCTAAATATCTAGAATATTCTAACAGCCCCCCTTAAATTAATTCCCTTTTATTTATTTTATTTTATTTTATATATAAGGGATTTAGTTTATAAAAGAGGAATATTTAATTATATAGTAAGAAAACCTTATAAAAAGGGAAAAACTCACTTATTAAGTATTTATATATTTAAGCAAAAAACCTAAAAATTTGCTATTACTTAAACTTAAACTTATAGCCAATAGGGTATTATATATTAAATTATAGTTTTATATGGGATTTACTAATTATTTTATAATAACTATAGTATATTACGGCATTTTTACACATTAAAGTCACACGTCATTTTATTTATACTATATATACTATGGAAATACGATTTCTATGTAAAATTAAACGTATATAAACGCAGTGTAGGTATATTATAACTATATATATATATGGTATATATAGGCCGTATAAATAACGCTTATTTTTCAGGAAAAACCTTTATTATTTTAATTATTTCTTTTAAGGGAAAACCTTCAGTATTTAGGGTAATATTATATATATATATAATTAAGTTCACTTTATCTATTTATATATTTTATAAATAAAGAAAGAAATCTTAATCCTAGTTATTAAAGAGTAAACACCTTAATTTATTTTACGCATATTATAATATAAATGGAAAATCTCTTTATTTTCTGGCTTAATATTTTTATATTATTTTTCTATTAAACTATACTTTTCTTTAAACTCTTTATAATATAATTTATTTATTAATTTTGTAAGCTAGTTTACTAAATTTTGCTTAAAATCTATATATTTTAATATTACTTTATTATTTTCTATTACTTTTCTTATATAGTAATATGCAATATTTATATATTTAATTCTTTTATGAAATAAGATATTTTTATCTAATTTCTTAGCTCCATTATTATCTATATATATAATAGGGGGCTTAAAATTAAAGCTAATATTTAAATTATTATTAAAATATTTAAGTAAATTATATAAATATTTAAGTAAATTATATAAATATTTAGCTTCTTTTATAGCTTTTCTTAAAGCTATATATTCTGCTTTTATAAAGAAAAGTGCTAGTATTTTTTATAGCTAAGAATTCCAGCTTATAGGGTTTATTTTATTATTATTATTATTATTATTAATATTATATAAATTAAATACATAACTAAAGGTGCTCTTTCTAGTAAATATATCGTTACCCTAGTTTAAATCTATATAGCTTATTAATTATAAATTATTTCCAGAGCAATTATATACTTTAAATATATATAGGAATTTATATATATATCCCTATATTTTATTTAATTCTTTTATATGCTTTAGTCCTGGGTTTGCCATATATCTGGCTAATTCATTTATAAAATAGGTTAAATCTAGCCTTATTTTTAAGTTAGCATATAATATAAACCCTATTTATTATTAATATAATTCTATAATATTTTTATTAACTTAGTTAATATATTTTTTTTAATTTTCTATTAAGGGTATATAGTATAAGTTAAGGGATTATTTCCTTTTTTTCAACCTTTTCTTTTATATTAAATCTTTTTAATATTTTATCTATATATTTATTTTAGTTTATAATTATTTATTTATCTTTTTTATTTATATATATATTGCTTTTAAGGAAATTTATTAAATCTCCTTAAAAAATTAATTTTATATTCTTATATAATTTATTAATTATTAAATTTATATCATTATTATTAAGTCTTATAATAATAATATTATTTATATAATATATAAATATAATTTATTTATTAAGGTATATAAATACCTTTTTATTATATAGGCAAATAATAAATCCTAGCTTAGTTAATATATTTTTTAAGTATTTATATCAAAGCATAAGTATTTATTTTAACCTATATAAAGCTTTGTTTAGTTTTGCAACTTTATTTTTATATTTTGGTTTATTATATATATATATAGGTAATTTTATATATATTTTAAAATTAATATTAAAATATAAAAACGCGTTTTTAACGTTATAACTATATATATAATATTCTTTATTTATTGCTATTATTAATAGCATAATATAAGTCTTAAGGCGGCAAACTATAGAAAAAGTCTTTAAATAATTTATGCTTAATTTTTTATTATATCTCTAAATAACCCATTTAAATTTAAATTTAATATTATTCTCATTATTTACTATCCAACTAAGCTTTATAATAGCTAGGTTATTTATAAATTTCTTTTTATATACCCATTTCCCCCTTAAAGCCATACGGCTAGGTAATAAATTCATTATTATATAAGTATTTTATTCTTATAAACTATGTATTCCGTTTAGCATAAATTTAATCCATAGGGGTTTTTTTAAGTTATTTAATACCTCTTTTAAAGAAGAAGGTTTATTAATATTAGCTATAGTTAAGCAATATTTTAATATATTTTCTTAGGAATTTAATATAAATATTTAGTTATTTAATAGTATATTTTATATAATATATATATAGTCTTTTAAATTCCCTTGAACTATTATTTCATTTAAAATGAAAGGAGAATTTACTTCCCTATTTTCTTCTCTTTATTTTTGCAATTCTAGGAATATATATATATTATTATTATTATTTTTATTATTATTATTATTATTAATATTAATATTAATATTATTATTATTATTTATATATTACCCTTTTAATATTTAAACATCTTAAACTAATATAGGCTTTTTATTATTTATATCCTATATTTAATATATATTTAATTTTAGAATTATATTTAATAATATACCCTTTTTATTTCTAAGTTTTAATTTAATTTTATAATTATTATTCTAAAAATATATAATAAATCTTTATATTTTTAAGTTATTTATATAAGGCTTTTTTTTATTTATTACCTTATAAGGGTACTTATACCCTAGGTTTTTATAGGGTATAATATTATATAAATATATAACATATTTTATTACTTTTCCTTATAGGTATATAGGTAAATTTATTATATATAAAAGGCTTTTTACTTTATTTATTATAATTAAATTTAATCTTTTTATTAAGCTATTTAGTTCTTTTATATATAAAGGCGTTATATAATAATTTATAAAGTATTTATTTAATAAGATTTTAAATCTTTTATTTATATATTTACCTTTATTATTAATAAAGAATTCTTTTATTTTTTTATTATATTTATTTTTTATCTTATTTTTATAATTATTAAAAGCTTTTAATGCTTTATCTTTATTTTTAAGCAAAGAAACTTTTAAATATTAAGTTCTTTTATTAAGGAATAATATATAATATTTATATTTATTATATATAAATTTTAAGGAATTGCTTACATTACTATATACTCTTTTAAGTATATTATATACTTAATTATTTAGGCTAGTTTTATTTATTTTAATTATATGCTTAGCTTTTAAGTATACTTTATAATTATTTATATATTTTTAAATAGATTTATTTATTAATATATTTATTTTATATTTTTAAAGAAATATTGCCAAAGCTTAAATATTTATATAGCTTAATTTATAATGCTATTTATATATTTCTTCTTTATTTTTATTATTTATATTTAAAGTTTATTAAGTTATATATATTTTTAAGAAGTATATTTAGGCTTATTTATTTATTTTATTATATTAATTCTTATAAAGTATAAGCTATTTTTTTAATATTCTTAAATTATTAGCTTATTTATTTCTTAAAAGTATAATTTAATAATATTTCTTTTTAATTTTAATTTAATTTTATTACTTATGCATTTATATTTAAGTATATTTAAACTTAAAGAAGGCATATAATATATATTAAAAAATCTTTTTATAATATTTATTTCTAAAAACTTAATTATTAAGTCCTTTATTTTATTTATAAATATAATACTTATATTACCTTATTTTATAATTTTATTAATTATATATATAATATTAAAGAAATAAATATCTTAAAAACTTATTATATTTATAATAATATTTATAGCTATTTTTATAAAATTTATATATTATTAATTTCTTATAAATTTATTATTAGCTATTATGGTTATTATATATATATATAAGGTATATAAGGGGTTATTTATATTAATTTCCATTAAGTTATTAAAAGAAAGTTATAAAAGATTTAATAAATTCTTATTATATTTAATATTTTTTATTAAATTATTTATAGCTATATAGGTTATAAATTCTTTTTAAATGCCTTTTAAAGTTATAAAAAACTTTATATTAGCTAATAAAGCTAAAAGTTACTCTTATATTTTCTTTTATTTTTCTTAGCTTATATTCTTCCTTAAAAGAATAGTTTTTTTCTTTTCTTTTCTTTATTTATTTATTTTTTAATTAATAAATGCCTTATTTAAATAAAGGAAATAGCAATTTTCTTAAATATAGCTTTTTATTTTATAATTAAAGTATATAATAATTTTTTTCTTATCTTTTTTACCCTTTATATATAAAGCTTTTATAAATAATTTAAAGGATTTGCTTTTACTTTTATTTAATAAGCTAAAGAAGAGAAATTTAATTATATAAGCATTTAAATCTTTTTTAAGACTTTAAGTTATATTTTAAATAAAATTAATATATTTATTGTTTAAGCTATGAAAAATCTAGCTAATTATAACTTATTTAAAAAGAATTATATTATTAGCTTTTAAATCCTTTAAAAAAAGCTTTAGCTTATTAATATATTTTTTTATAATTTTAAAATTATTAAAATTAATATTAAAAAATTCTTTATAAAATAAATATTAATTTATAAACTTAAAGAGTTTATAATAAGATTTAAATATATTTTATGCTTTTTAAGTAATATTTATATTTTTTATAAATATAATAAGCTTTTATTTATATATAAGTTTAATATTAATAAGGGCTTTTTTATTTTAAGCTAAAGATAAGCTTTAAAAAAGATTTTTAAAATTATTCTTAATAATATTTTCTTTTTTAAGCTAAGCTTAAATTTTAATACTTTAATATATATAGTTTTTCATTTTATTAAGAAATAAAATATTATACTTATTAAAAAATATTATTTTAAGATAAATAAGTAAAGTATTTATTAAGATAATTAAGATAATAAAAAGAAAGATATAATAAATTTTAAATAAATTTAATAAATTAAAAAATAAAAATATAGGTATTAAAGTAATATAATTATAAAGAAAAGAAAAAAGGCTTTTAAATAATATATTTTTAAGATATTATAAACTAAAGATAGCTAAGATATAATTAAGTATTTTTAAGGGAGTTTAAGAATTATTATAAATTTATTAAAATTTATATTTTTAATGTTAATTTAGTATAATTTTTAAAATTTAAAGAAATGTTTTTATTATTCTTAATAAGGGCTTTTAAATAATATATAAATTATATAAATAGGTTAAGTATTAATAAAAAAATAATTAAGTATTTAAGTAGAGAAAATATGGTTTTTATATATAAGCTTTTAGTTAAGAGATAAAGTTAATTTATAACGTTAAATAAGGTAATTTAATTAATTAAGGGCTTATTAATTAGCTTAATTAAGTAATTAATTAAAAAGTATGTTTTTAAGTATAAAGCTTATTTTATTTAAAAAGTTTAAGAAGTGGTAGTAATTAGGGGTATTATGTAATGTATGTTTTCCATATTAGGTTAGCGTTGCCGTTTTAGGTTAGCTTTAAAGCTTATAACCTTTGAAATAATAACGTTAGATGCTTAGTTTATTAAGCTAGTTAATATTTATTTTATGGGAGGGAAGGCCCTTATTTATAGTTATTATCCTTTATATAATGGCAAACATATGGGGAAAAGGATATCCCGTATTAATAATAGCCTAGATATCTAGAATATTCCAACACGCTGTAGTTCCTACAGTTCACGGCCCATGCGAGGGGGCTGTAGCCAACGTCATTGATTGTGTTACTGGTGCACCCTCTTCTACCAGGCGCATGACAACAGACAAGGGTGTATTAGATTTGATATTGTGTAAAACCATACAACCCTGATTATCTCATAGGCCCAGGTTTGGCCTCCGCCTGAGCATAAATTCGATGATGTCCTCGCAAGCCGGCGGCATCAGATCTGGTTTGAGGATCTGGCCGAGAGCGAATCGACCGTCGCTAGATTGGCGGTTGATGTCTGCACCACCTTCGAGAAGCATTTTCACGATGTCTGCGAGACCGAATGTTCAGCAAAAGAGAAGCGCTGTCTCCGAGGGATCGTCTGACGAAAGCACTTCTAGGTCTGCTTTTGGGTTCGTCTGCTTCAAGAGAAGCTCGACAGACTGTGAGTGATAATTTCGTGCCGCCAGCATAAGTGCAGTCCAATTCTCGTCGTCAGTGGCGTTGATATCCGCACCGTTTTGAAGGAGCGTAGACAACGTATCGGCTAAATCATACGCCGCATGCAAAATTGACCAACCGTTAGCTTTGTTGGTCCACTGGATGTTCGCGCCATGCTTGATCAGACGCTCAATCACGTCGGTCAACCGGAAATATGCAGCAGTATACAGTGGTGACCAGCAATCTGGCTTTTCTTCAGATACTAGGATGGCGTCTGCCCCTCACTCCAGCAGCAACGTAACGATGTCAACAAAGCCACACTTGATGGCCCATGACAGAGGTGTGTCGTATTCGGTGCGATTTGGGTCTGCAACGTTGATCTTGGCACCATAGTTGAGTAGCATCTCCACCAAGAGCTTCTTGCCAGTCCCAATGGCTCGCACAAACAACATGTCCTTACCATCGTAGGCGGGGTCGTCTGCCGCGAACTGGTTCGGGTTCGCTCCCTTCTCCAGAAGCATGAGGATGGTGGGTTCATCTATCACATCAGTTATCGCGTGATATAGAGCAGTTCCATTTTCAGAGACGGCGTTGGGGTCCGCGCCATTGTCCAAAAGGATGCGAGTACAAGTCCTATAGCCTTTCCCGGCAGCTATCTCAAGAGGAAAGGCAAGTCCTCCGCAGGTGATGCTGGCTTTGCTGCTGATGCGGGTTTTGGAGACGACTTGGGCGTCGATGAGCATTCTCAAGGCCCCATGACTCGCCGAGCAGACGGACTCAAAGAGCACATATGTCGCCGCGTCGAAGTCGTCGAGACTGACACCTGCATCTAACATGTGTTTCATCGATTCTGTATTGCCATTCTTGACTGCTAGAACCAAGGTCGATTGTGCGAGACAGTCTTGGGGTCCGAGATCCACGCGACCGCTGTCAAGCAAGATCTTTAGCACGCGGTCCTGGCCGTACCTAATCGCGGTATGAACTGCGCGGTCTTCACCAGTGCCGCTTTCCTCGTCCAAATCGTAGCCAGCTTCCACAAAAGCTGATACAAGATTCTCAACGCCTGCCACTACGGCACGATCAAGGATGAACGGCGGCCATTGGTAGTGTTCTAGCTCTTGCGCTTTTGAGATCAGAAGATCCAGTGCTCCTCCTTCACCATAGCTGGCTGCCCAACGGAGAGCTTCTCCTAGCCCAGCGAGGTCCGTGTCGGTGTGTTCGAGGAGTATAGCCACCGTCTTGCCATGTCCGTTTCGAGCGGCTTCTGCGATTGCAAGCCAGTGGTCCTGGATCGAACCACCGTGCTCTGCCTCGCCCTTAATTCACTCGAGAGCCAATTGTCAAAAATAGGAACAAAAGAAATGAGAATGAGAGGGGATATTCGCATCCATAAAAACGGATGATACATCCATAATGTACCTCATATCACGTAACTGCAACCTCACAGTGCCCTCTACTGCTATAGCTACCGATGCCCTACGCAACCTTCATCACCACCTAAGTTAACTTCATTACCTTATGCTAACGCCATATTAAATTAATTAAATGCTAATTAAGAACAATCCTTTAAGTATTAAAGATAACTTTTAATCACTTAAGTCCTGTTTTTCTAATATTATAGCAATAACATATACCTTAGAGAGTATAAAAAAAAGCTATATGAGTGATAAGAATGGTAATAAGAATACTGATTAATATGCTACTTAAGGTGTTTTAATGTTGCTAAGGGCAACTTAACGTTACGCTATATTAATTTGCTGGTGGGACATTAACCGTGTATTAGCTATAGCATATGTAAAGGATATACTATCCGTTTAGATGGATGCAAATATCCGCTCTTTAAAACTTTACTCACAGGCCAATCAATGGGGTCTTTATGGAGAAAAAATGGGATATGATAAGATCTAGCTTGAATGTTGGACGTGGAATTCCAGGTTCAATGACTGTGAAAATTAGAGCTTATTGGTACTCACGGACTCCAGCCGCAATAGTTGCCAAAATGCACGTAAGGTATTTGTTCCATGGACAGGGAAATGGATGTGCTCACTAACGCATACACCAAGCAAGCTAATCCTCCAGGGCTGTTGAACAGTCTAACACAAATCTCTGTGGTTTCTGCCCCACCCTCCTGCAAAGACGGCTTGGACGGACAAGTCTGCCCGGTTGCCCGAGCCGAGCCCATCTGCAAACTTTAGTGGCACGTGCGTTTGGACGACAAACGAGACAGGGGCGGGGGCTCCTGATGGATGCGCTTGGCTTACCTAGGTAAGTACTGATGGCTGCCTTGAGCCACTCAGGCACCAGGTGTGGTAGTCTACTAGGCGCCCATCCTGTCCCGTTGCCATCCCCAAAATGCTTGACATTGCGCTGCCATTCGAACTGCCAACAACCTCTTTTGCAACAAGTATGGATACAACAGCACCGAAATCTGTCATGGCTTCACCCACCGGAAGCCAGGATACTACCGCAACACTTCCGCAAGGCTCAACATCGGGCTCAGCGACGACGAGTCATTACGGATGCTTCATTACAGCTCTGTCAATTGAGCTCATCCAACATATCATCGACGATATTCCCTATGAATCACAACTCGACTTTGCGTGCACTTGCAAAAGACTTGCAGACTGCTCTAGCCGGGTCTTGAAGCGTCACCAAGAAGCTTTCAAGAAGTACCGGGTAGCATCAGACATTTCTCCAGTCACCATCCCAACATTGCTACGCAGCGTCTTTGGACGCGCTGACCCAATCCTCGCCTGGCATGTTCGTTCGATCGAGATCTGGTATGATCGCACAAGCTGGCTGGACTGGAAACCGCTTCATTTCGACCAGCCTCTGCATGAAGAAGACATTGATGTTGGCAGCACCTCCTGGAAATGGCAAGATGATGAGCTGGAGGAGTACCTCGAAGATATCGAGGATCAATTCGTTGCGATGACTGATGGTGGTGACGAGGAAAATGACATATACACTGAGGCCCGCGAGCATTTCGAAGACGGTCTCGACGGCATCCTAAAGGCGCTTCTTATCGCGTATTGCCCAAGACTAAGGGACGTCAGATTCGTCACGCATGAGCACAAGCAGAAGTCCACGCTTGGCTGGCTCAGAAGGCTGATCCAGGGCAGCATCCTGCATGGCAGCCACTGGCCTCCTGGTCTTTGCAACCTCCAAAACGTTGCCGTTGGCGTCGAGTCAGACACGTGGATGACGACACGGCACACAGAGAGCGACCAAGGTCATTTGGACGGAACGAACAAGTCTATGGAAATCTTCTCCACTCTAATGCGCCTACCTCGCCTGACCTCGATCTATTACAACGACCTGCGGCGCACAAGCTGGGACGACCAGACCAATTTCGAGTCACGTACTCTAATTCCTATGCACTCTTCCACGGTCAAGCACATCTTCCTTGACGACTGTGGCGACATGCCGTATTCCTTTCGCTTCGCTCTTCCACGTGCCCCTCACGCCCTTGAGACCTTTACGCTGCGTGCCGGTAACTCCGGCGACCGAATGGATGACGCCGACCAGCTCGTTCATGGTCTCTGCAAAGCGCAGGACAGTTCCTTGCATACTCTGATGTTCTACGGTCCATACAACTGGAATGAGATCCATGGGTATCGCTGTTCCGTCTACCGCAACGAGGAGCTCAACGACTCGAACAATCTGGAGACGGTGGCTATCAATATCTCGGATGTGGAACTGGACTGCTTCTACTCAACATCTGATTTCTCCCACGAGGAGAACGAGGAGAGGACAAAAGAAGAAAACCGCAAATACTTTGTCAAGTGGTTTCGCGAAGCAGCATTCCCTGAAACCACTCAAAGGATCGTGTTCTGGGGTAGAGTCGATGAATGCTATATGCCAGGATGCCAAGGCAAGTTCCTCGACTGGCTGGAGGACGCCTTGATCAATGTCATTGAGTCATGGCGCTGGAAGGAGGGGTGGGACTCGGCAGACGAAGAAGAGTTTGACAAGCTTTCCACTGCTTATGAGTCATTTCTGCCAAATTTGAAAGCTGTCTATCTCGAGGATATCGAGCGCCAGTACAAGACTCGGAGGTCACAACATTATCATGAGATTAAGGAACCAAAGACGGACAAGGTCTACTTCAGGCGACTTGTTGAGGTGGCTAAAGAGGCGGGGATTGATGTTTATACGCTGACCAATCGCGCGCCGCCAAAGCACTCACATGAGTTTCCTACTGCGCCGGATAAGTATGATCTGAGATCTGGACCATGGTGGGAGCGGAGAGATGAGACTATGGATTGGGTGTTTGACGTTTACAAAGGGAGAAGGGTGCCTCCTGGGTGTGGGAAGTGTGGCAAGTGCGAGAAATGTCTGAGCGAATACGTGAAGGAGCTGTGGGAGTCTCTGGACGAATGAGCATAGGAACCTGGCTGCAGTTCTTTGCATTTGGACCAGTCATAACAACAGAAGACTTGAGTCTCATTCATAATTTTTGAGATGGGACATGCCCACCACTGGTGTCTCCCTTTCTGAACTCGTTGTTGTGCTGGGGCAGTGTTCAGTACTGGGACTGAATTACATCGGATTTCTTTTAACGTTATGTTCCACCTGCCTTCAATATTATCCTTAAATTCGGCATCGAGGCTCGTCGTTGCACTTCCCCTGCTGAGTAGACTTGGATTAGGGGTTCCCTACAGGTGACTGTACATTTATTATACGAATCACTCCACAAGCCCTACGGGCTTACTTTGTGAGCCTCAAAGCTCAATAGTCAATGCAAATAGCAACTCTAGTACTTCGCACCTCCCTCCCAGGCGCCTTCCCGAGTCTCGAGGTGCAGGCGTCTCTTGTCGAGATCTAGATGTAGCCACGTGGTCTTCAACTCGGCTTCATGGCTCAATTCGGAGAGAAGATCATCCAGTGATCTGCTAGTCACGTAGAATTCTCGCGACGGCTGATGGGGTTTGGGTAATGTTCACGGCGGGGAGTTACAGGTCTCCCTCCCGGATGGAGTTTTTAGACGTTCGGAGAGGTCTCCACTCGAAACCACCAACACTTCGCAAGTGTGGAGCTGTAGAAGCCAAGCACAAAGGGCACATTCAAACCCTGTCTGTCTTCTCCCAGATGTACACCAGTGCAGCCAACAGGAAAACAGCGGGGAATACTCAATGGTTCCATCTAACGCTATTGGTGGTTGGCTGCCGGAATGCAACACAAGCCCACACCACTTGACCAAAAAAAGCGAGATATGCCTGTCCTCGGGTCCAGAAGTACTGTGTAGGAAAGAGGAGCATAGAAACCGAGTTTTCCACTCACAGGCCACAACCCTCACTGAACGGCACAGTATTCTAGCTTCGGTGTGCCCCTCTTGAATTTTCAACCTGATCATCTCGTACAACGGCATTTTGGATTGCAGTGCCTCGCATATTTCATCTCATCATTCAGAAACGTCACAATTCCCTCCGCACCATGAGGCCTGACGCAGCTTTTGGATTCGTCGCTGCTTCAGCGTTAACGGACTTCACTAGTTCAAATCAGTATCCGTTTCGCCCCTCTCCGGCCACCATTTGCGTAAGATTTCAATTTTCTGCCTCAGGAACATGAATTTGTACTCACGTATACGCAGTGCCATGCTCTTTCCGAAAGAGGCCTTGCCGTATCTTACCCGGATTCTCCCACATATAACGAGCGCACGCAATCGTACTGGTCGGTGGCCGCACAACTGACACCCTGGTGCATTGTCCAGCCCAGCGATACGCACGAAGTCGCACTCTCCCTGAAGGTGCTTCTCGCTGACCCCGAATGCGGGATCGCTGTGCGCAGTGGCGGGCACACCACCTTTGCCGGTGCCAGTAATATCGAAGATGGCGTCACCATCGACCTCGGCAACATGAACAACACGGTCTATCACCCAGAGAACAGCACGGCTTCTCTGCAGCCAGGTGCTCGCTGGTTACAAGTCTATCAGACCCTAGACGCTCTCGGTGTCACCGTCCCTGGTGGTCGGGCCGGCACTGTGGGCGTAGCTGGGCTGATCCTTGGAGGTGGTAATTCTTTCTATTCTGCGAAGACAGGAATGGTGTGCGATAGCGTTGTGGGCTATGAAATGGTGACATATACAGGCGATGTCATATACGTCACCAACGATACGTATCCTGATTTGTTCAAGGCGCTAAAGGGTGGCGGTTCGAACTTCGGAATTGTCACGAAATTCAACATGATAGCCTTTGAGTCGCCGAGGCTCTGGGGCGGCGCCGTGACCTACAATAAGACGGCTGGGCCTGAGCTCCTCGAGTCCATGGTTGACTTCACGGAGAACATCGAGAAAGATCAGGCCAGCTCCAGCATCATCTTCTGGACATTCCAACCCGCACTCCAGGATACCATTATCGTTGCCGCGTATGAAAACACTGACGGAGTTGTGGCTGGACGGTCATTCGACAAATATCTCGCGATCCCTGAGAACCTTACTTCTACCATGAGGGAGACAAATATCTCGGACATTACTCACGAGCTGGAACAGCCAGCCGGATACATGTAAGTCAATGGCTGTGAAGGGTTCCCGCGTATTTATTACCGCAACTCCCGCCTTCAACAGAGGTCTGCGCCCACGGAATGCTGACAGTCCACGAAACAGTGATATTTGGTTCACCCTCTCTTTCAAGAATGACCAACGCGTTCTCGTGCACGCGGTATCGACGCACAACCAACTTGTCGAGGACATGCTCGCTCAGTCTCCCGACGGCGATTTCATCACCCAGTGCATGTTCCAACCGCTCCCGACAATATTTGCAAAGCACGGGACAGCACGTGGCGGCAACGTCCTCGGCCTCGACAGGCTTACTGATAACGCGGTTCTCTGGCTCGCAACCCTGGCTGTCAAGGGTGCAGATCAGGAGGAGTTTGGACGAGCGAAGATGGTTGCTTGGGTCAAGAATGTGCAAGATTACGCGAAGTCGGTCGGGGCACATGTGGAGTGGCGGTATCTCAACTACGCTGATTATACACAGGACCCTCTTGGCAGTTATGGCGCTGAGAATGTGGAGTTCATCAGGGAGGTGGCAGCAAAGTACGATCCCGAAGGCGTTTTTCAGTCAAAAATTCCTGGGGGGTTCAAGATCTCGAAGTCGTCTTGAGCAAACTAGAGGGAAAAGGCAGTGTGCGTCGGTATTGTAGTTCGAATTATACTATAGTCATTGCTCGGGTTCCTCTACCAAGCCCAAACGACAATTATAATCCCATTATACAGAATTACAGTCCATTTCGCTGTAGAAGGCTCTAGAAAACGACTGGTCAACCTTCTTCTGCAAAACAGTTTCACGTCAGAAGCTACCGTCTTTGCACTTTAGGTCTTAGCGATAGGCCATCTCCTCCCTCAAAGGATCCTCATTGTCAATTAGATTGATGTCTTACACAAGACGTGCTGAAATTCTGGTGCCATAGGGATGCAAGACCTCTCATGATCTCGATGGAGAGCCTGTGTTCTCAATCAATGGTACAGAATTCGGAGTATTCCGTCCCACGGTTCCAATTCGTACGGGCGGAATTCCCCACTCTCTCGATGAGGAGGGGTGGAGCTCGAAATATAGGTACTGTGTGGCCCCCGCGAGGTCACATTTGGAAGACTTTGGGTGACGATCGTTATGGATCAAGATACACGAATGCGATTGTTGGGCCTCAGCCACGGGCTTGGAAGTCCCGCTCAGTGGAGAATGTTTTCCAATTCTCCAAAACTTTCAGCTGCCTCGCCGTACATAATACCATGGGCATAACAGGGTCCTAGCACATTCCACTTAGTACCAGACTGGCGCAACACCACCGGCATCCGGCTCCCGGATAAGACAACAAGGCAATCACTATTACGCATCGCTTGTGGGCCAAGCCCGACATATCCATCCTTTGTTGTGAAAAGTCTCCGGTTCCAGCAGGTGTACTTGATGGCCCAGACGCAGCGACGAAAGCTAGGGTCTTCGAGTACTATCTTGAAATCCGCCAAGAGTGTTTCGACATCTTGGTGCTTGAGCCTCTCGACCTGTTTCGATATAGCCTGGATCTGCCACTCACCCATGGTCAACCACCTCCTCCTTGTCGCGAGTTTGGGCAAATCGAGTACATATAGAACTGCTGTCTCTACATTGTTTGCAGGGATACCGGTCGTCACACCTAGTCTTCTTGGCTCTGCATCTCGCACAAGCTTTGGCGGTCCGCTTGGTGCGCTTGGAAGTTTGTCGAGGGCGAGGCTGAATAGGAATTCGTCTTCTGGAATTTGTTGATATTAGACTAGGAACTTTTGACTTTTTGTTGCGTGCACCGTGTCGAAAATTTGAATCTACACCAGGACTAACAAGAGTCAGGAGAGGAAAATATTCAGAGCTGTTTCATCGGCATATATGGACAGAGCAGAGGATTTATACTTGTTTTTTGGACTTTGAAATGTGCTGTATAAATCAGCATGGGTGGACTTACGACCCGAGGAGACAGGACAAATTTGCTTATTACAGAACGTCGCCCCTGGAGCCTTCTGCGCCGCCAGATGACCTGGATGAAATTTTGAGTTGGTAACAGTTGAGGCTTACGCTGCCTCCATTTCGGCGCAGTAGTTGTACGCCGATCGACGAGATCATGCAACCACAGCATCCAACTGATCAAGCACGACGTGAGGGTGGGGCCGCTAGCTTCTGATCATCTACTTGGTAATCGCTGTATCGCACTGGTGGAAGTTGATACGACCTCTGGGATCTGTGAGTCCGTAGATAATGCAAATGCGTTCAGAGACATATGGCCACCTGGACGGCCAGGCAAAGTAGCAGCCATCCAACCGACTTGCCGCGGCCCAGCCTTGGAGCACACATGCTCCACCAAGTCGTAGCCCGCTAGGACTTACGCGATCCATTGGACTAGGCTTATAACCTTCGACGTCGGATAGTTAGTCTCCCCGTTGATGACAAAAGTCTGTCTTGAAATGCGGCTACTGGTTGGAGCTGATTGTAATCATATTTCCTGCTTTCTTGAACGCGGGTCGCGAGAAGTCGCTGAGACTTCTCAGGTAGGTCTCGTGAGCCGAAAAGGGAAATCGGTGATCCCTGCCTCAGCTGCATTAGCGCAAAGTTATCTTTACCAGCTAATCCCTGGATGTCGGCCTTGCACTTTATGAGGCTCATATTATTCGGCGTCTTTGACGCTGTTATTTGCGTTGCCCAAACTCCGCATGTTGTCAGGTCGAGAACATCTTCATTTTGGATTAGAAATGTAAGTTCAGCCATCAATCGTCGAAGTCCGCGCGTTTTGACTCCAAAAAAAGTAGATGTGCCCTTCTTCTTGTTCCCATAAGCTTTCTCCCTCCTGTCATCGTGCAGCATATTACCACCTAGCCTACCTGTCATCATCGTCCTCTACATCAGTTTTTACGATAAAAGTGTTTTCTGGGCTGAAACTTTTGGGTCCTCATCCAGCCATGAACCCCGGAAACCTCGACCTCGAGTCGTCATGCGAATATCCTGCAACACCTCGACCAGGCAGGAATTACACCCGAAGTTTTAACCCATTCATATCGCGGAGATGGGACAGCCGATACTCCGTATCTCGTCGAGTTTCTCCCTGAAGACGGTTCAAACCCAATGACATTTTCTGTCGCAAAGAAATGGACTATCACCATCGCTCTCAGGCTTGCCGTTGCAACCTTGGTGGTCGCCTTCGCCAACGGCGTATTCCAGCGGCATAGAGTGTATCATGCACAACTTTCAAGTATCTAAAGAGATCGCACTACTGGGGCTCTTATTGTTTGTACTGGGTCTGGCAGTCGGGCCTAGTATTCTCTGGGCACTGCTGTCTGAGGAATATGGCAGACAATATTTGTTCATCAGCACTTATGCGGCATTCGTGGCCTTTACTGCTGGGGCAGCCGTATCGAAAAACGCCCAGACCCTGATCATTCTTCGTTTCTTTTCTGCCTTCTTCGGGGCAGCACCATACACGAACGCGAGCGCTGTCATTGCCGACATGTTTCCTGCGTCTGAACGAGGCCTCGCCATGACTATTTTCGGAGCGGCGCCGTTCCTCGGACCTGCGATAGGTGCGTTGTTTCAAACTTTGAAGGATTGAGTGCAAATTGCTGACACGCTCAAAGGTCCAGTTGCCGGAGGTTTTCTAGAGCTGCTGGTGGTTGGCGGCGGATTCAGGGGCTCATGGCCGCCTTCGGCGGTGTCATCTTCATCTTGTGCTGTGTCTTCGTGCCAGAGACGTACGCACCTTATTTGCTCCGTCGACGAGCAAAAAGGCTAGCTACAGCAACCGGAAAATACTTCAGATCTTCTTTCGAGATCCACCAGGGAAGGAAGACATTCGGCCAAGAGCTTGCGCGTGTACTCGGTCGACCATGGGTTCTCCTGGTCCACGAGCCGATAGTCTTGCTCATGACGATCCACTTGTCAGTAATTTACGGGACTCTGTACCTATTCTTTGCGGCTTTTCCCATCGTCTACCAATTACAGAGGGGCTGGCCTCCGGCCATCTCCGGTTTGGCCTTCCTCGGGACGGTCGTGGGAATGTGCGTCTCGATACTCTACGTGGCCTTGTACGACAACAAGCGATATGCTCGGATCATTCAATCAAATAACGGCGCTGCTCCCCCGGAGGCACGGCTCCCCGTGGCTATGCTCGGTGCAGTGCTCGTCACTGGGGGCCTGTTCTGGTTTGCATGGACCAACGGCTTTGACGTACACTGGATCGTCTCCATCGTTGCATCAGGCTTCTTCGCTGCAGGAATGGTTCTTGTGTTTGTTGGCGTTTGTAATTACTTGATCGACTCTTACGTCCTCTATGCGGCTTCGGTGTTGGCTGCCAATACTGTGGTGCGGTCCATCTTCGGCGCGGCATTTCCTTTATTCACTGAGCAGATGTACAACAACCTCGGTATGCATTGGGCTTCCTCTGTTCCGGCCTTTCTAGCGCTGGCTTGTCTTCCTTTTCCATTCTTACTTTACAAATATGGGAGGAAGATACGCGGAAAGTGTAAGTATGCCGCTGAAGCAGCGGCGATGCTTGAAAAGCTTCGCGCTGCCAGCGTACGTGATGTAAGTGACACCGGTGGTGAGAAGTAGAATGAGAGGCGGCAATGATTCGATAAAACGGACTTTGTCAGCCATATTAAGCCCACGTTGGAGCGGAGAGAGTTTTCTCTTGAGGTCAGCCCAGAGATGGAACCTGATGTTGCTCAGGCGGGAAGACGTAGAACATTTCTTTGCGATTGATGAGGCGTCTATAGCGGTGGTTACAGAGAAAAATAGAAGGCTGTAAGCCATAGCAAATCATACAATTACCAGTGGCAAGTATGTACTATAAGCGGCATATATGGGTATATTATCCGTTTCTACGGGTGTGAATATCCGTTCTTTGTAGAATCTTGGGTGATTTCAAGCCCCACGAATAGTCTTCGTAACTAGACACACAAGCATTCAGTACTCCGTCACACGACATCGCCAAGCGCCCCTTACGCCACTTTCTCAGCTCTCGCCAGCCATTCAGGTAACGAAGCAGTATCTATGAGTAAATCGTTACCTATCTATCACATATTCATTGCTGAGGAGTTGTGGGATAGTTGCGTAACGAATATGGTGGCTCCACATGCACTCTCAGCGTCAAAAGTTGATAGCGACAGTTCACGAGATCAGTCCATAGCCATTTTATACTTGGATAATACCGACAAGAGTATGCTATTTGTATGCTTTCTTAAACACTTGTGCGAAATCCCCTTTGTTTCGTTTCGAGTACGACTCCATCCCGCAGCTTGCCCTGCTGGAAGTCGACACAACACAATCTTCGTACGAGCCTGCGTTCTGCGAAGACCATCTGGGGAATTCCCCTCGACGGAGAACAGAAGCTCCAAGAGACGCTTACAGATGTTTTAGTACGTCATGTGAGAACTTCATGGTGAGGTTGCCTCCATCCGACTTCAGACAGCACATCCCCTATCCATTGTCGAATCTCAGCGGCGGAGGCTGGTGCGCAGCGTTTGTCGAGGAGCTCTAGGTGGCTTCCAGGTATATCGACGGTGACATCAGCTCCTGGCCAAGAGGGCCGCCATTCGTCCTCGCCCTTGGGCATGTTAGACGTAGGGTACTGGGCCCGCAAGAACAGCGTGGGCAACGCGACAGGCAGAGGGCGAGGCTTCAAGTTCTGGAGCGTCTTAAAATACCCGCCGACCTTGGCTAGTGCCAGGTCAGAGTCTCCAACCATGTGCAGGAGACCTCCGTTGCGTGCCGTGAGGGCCTCGGCTGGTAGCGCGTTCAGCCATTCTGGATCTTCTCTCCCCGCCATGTTGAGGTATGTGTCAATCAGGGCCAACCCTGCCAGCTGGACCCTGCTTCCTTTTCCACTATGGCATTCTTCGGACAGTCTGGTAGCCACGGCGTGTGCAACGACGCCCCCGGCAGAATAACCAGCGAGTACAATCGGGCCCGCAAAGTGCTCTTGTATAGTGCTCACATGCACAGCAGCAAGGCTTTCAAGGTCCTGCGGCACAGCCAGCCCTTCTGGATGTGGGAGCTCGAAGACGTCCCTCTCTCCCTTCATCTCACTTGCCAGTGCACTGTAAGCACTGCCCCTGAATCCCTTGGCAACAATGGGCGGAAGAAAAGACGGGAGAAATACCAGCGGCAAAGGCAGACTGGGAGAACCTGAGGCACCATTCGTGAGTCGCTGGGGAGCCGCCGCGAAACTCGCCATGTTCTGTCCAATTCTGAACTTCGGCAGTGCGCAGGAGGCGCATCCCAGGAGTCCGTCTGCTGCAGTGTACTGCTGGAGCTTGCACAGCCGCGTGTAAAGTGCAGTCAACCCACGGAATTCCCCAATGGAAACGTGATTATTCTCTTGTTCTTGCTTGTCATCTGTGGTATATTCCGTGTCGTGTTCATCCGTGGCGGATTTTGGTGATGTGGCTGCGATATCCTCCTCGGTGGTAGGGCCCTGAATCCGAGCCTCAGCTTCTGGTTCTATACCGAGCCGAGCAATGTCTAGCCGACCGGCCAGGTACTGCACCATTGCTGGAAGCGTTTCATAATCGAGTGCCAGTGTAACGGGAAGATCAAGCAATCCCATGAATCTCCGTAACCTATTGCTGAGCAGGACTGACGTGGAGGAGTCGAAGCCAAGGTCTGCCAGTGGTCGATCCGGTAGATTTTGGTCCGGATATCCAAGCACCGCAGCGACCTCACCTGTCACCAGGCTCAACAGTTCATCATCACGCTTCTCCGGTGGCATTTCTTCAAGCTTTGTAAGCCACTTCGCCGCACCGCTCTGGCTGGATAACTTCGTTTTAGATGCCGTACCGGTACCCGCTGACATCAGTGGGAGTGGTCCCTCAACGAGCAGCGGCGCCATGACCGGCTGTGGTGGAGTCGACCTCTGCATCGCCATATCAAACAATTGTAGTCCTTGCCGGTCCCCAAGCGGCTTCGCATTACCGAGCCGGGGATTGTGCGCCTTCAATCTGTTCTCAGCGGCCATCCCGACCTCGTTCAGCCAAGGGCCCCATGCCAGCGACAAGGCGGGCAGCCCACGGGAAACGCGAAGCCGGGCCAGCGCGTCGAGGAAAGTGTTGCCTGCGGTGTAGGCAGCCTGGCCCTCGTTTCCAAGGATGCCCACGAATGACGAGAACAGTACGAATGACCGGACCGTCGCTGGTGCGAGCTCATGCAGGAGCCAGGCGGCGTCAACCTTTGGACGGAGGACACGCGATACTCGTTCTGGGGTCTGGGAGCTCAGGACTGCGTCGTCTACTACGCCTGCGCAGTGGATGATTGCGCTGACGGGCGGGCGGCCTTGGCTGCTGTTATTTCCGAAGAGTGTGGCCAGTTGCTCGCGGTCGCTGCAATCGCATTCCTCAATTTGCACGACTACGCCTGCATTGCATAGGTAGTCGTGCAGCTTGGGCGCTTCTGGCGCCTTCATGCCTGAACGACTCACCAGGAGCAGAGATTTTGCTCCGTAGACACGGGCGACATGTTGACTGAGCAGAGCACCTAGTCCTCCCGTTCCGCCCGTGATCAATACAGTTCCGCTGACATCGAGCGTTGAAGCGGAAGCAGAAGTCTCTGGTGATATCAGTGCCTGAGTTGCGGCCAGGGGGATTTTGTTCAGCCTTGGAATCATGACTTTTCCCCTTCTCATGGCAAAGACTTCCTCCGTGGAGGAGAGCGCCGGCAATAAAGCGGCTTCTGATTCGGGGGACCCGTCCAAGTCGACGAGCACGATCCGGCCCCCGCTCAACTCTGCTTGCGCAGAGCGGGCAAAACCCCATACGGCAGCAGAAACAAGGTCTGGATCAGAGTCTCCTGACGCATTCTCGGTCAAGACGACGAGGCGTCCGCCATCGTATGCGTTTTCGGCACTCCACTTCCGTATCACACCAAGCACTTGGGCGACAGCCTCGTGGACACCGTTCTGAATCATGTCTTTGCTTGCTATCCTTCCATCGTCGCGAGCGCCACGGACTCGGTATAGCTCATCGGCTTGATGTGGGGAGGCCGTCGACTCTCCCCTGGTGTTGACCTGGGCTGGTCTGATCCATTCAAGGCGGTAAAGATCGCCTGTTGCAGGGCCAGCAGCAGCTGGCCCTGTCCTGGAGCGGGTGACTACTTCAGACACCTCAGCGATCAGCGCGCCCGTCGACTTGTCTGTGATGGTTACAGAGAATTTATTCTCCCCAAGCTCGCGTATTCGTGCTATAACTGGGCCAGTGCCACTGGCCGCAGAGATTCGCACACCTCGGAGCAGGAATGGCAGCCGGATTTTGCCAGCAGCTGCGTCTGGCGCTGCAAGTAGGGAGGCATGCAGTGCGGCATCGAGCATGGCCGGGTGCAGGGCATATTTCTGGCTCTGGCTCTTAGGGCAGTCGATATATGCTCTCAGCTCGTTATTGTCCTTACCGTCAGCATGCGGACGCCAGACGGCACGCACGCGCTTGAAAGATGGCCCATAACCGATGCCCGCGCTTGCCAGTACATCGTATGCTCTGGAAACATCTGCCAGTTGTTTTTCACCCTCACATACATCTTCGTCTCCAATAGACACTGCGTTATCGATGGGTTCATCGACGTCGGTGTTGGACAGCGACGCCAGCTTGAGGGTACCAGTGGCGTGTCGTGTCCATTCGTGTTGTGTCGGGCCCCCTTTGGGGCGTGAATAAATGTCGACACTCCGAATTCCGTGCTCTTCTGGCTCTCCCATAAGTACCTGGATATCTAACCCAGCATCATCCTTTGGGTTCAATTCCAGCGGGGCGACAAAGGTGAACTCCTCCAGTATCATCGACTCGCCTGTCCTGGTGCATTCCCTGCTGGCTCGCAAGGCTAGTTCGGTGAGCGCCGCGGCTGGAACAATCGTCTGTCCACCTACAACGTGGTCGCGAAGCCAAGGCTGTCTGGTGGTTGACAAGTGCCCGGGGCAAATGATCTTGCTTGTCCCCGGAATAGACGTGGCATGGAGGAGTATCCCGTGTCCCAAGGACCCCGTGTCTGCAGGTTGCACTGCCGCGGGCTTCGGTGGATCTAACCAATATCTACGCCTCTGGAACGCGTATACTGGAAGGTCAACACGATTTGCCTCAGTGTCTTTGAAGACAGCTCGCCAGTCAATTTGTACGCCTCGCACCCAGAGCTGTCCCAGCGTGTCCAGCAGCTTGTTGACCTGGGTGGATGTGGCGATGGAGCCCGGCACATGTGTGGAGAGGACTGCAGACGGACCAACTTCAACAAATACCGAGACGCCTTCCTTTTGAAGGTCGGCCACGGCGTCAGCGAAGCGAACAGGTTGGCGCACATGGCGAGTCCAGTGTGCCGTGGACTTGAGCTGAGATGTTTCAGCTCGGCTGCCAGTAACGCTGGAAACAAGTGGAATCGTCGCTTTTCGTCCACCTTCCATTAATGGAGTCAGTTCTGCCTCAAGGTTGGCCAGCATTGGATCCATCAGCGGGGAATGAAAGGCATGCCTAACATTCCGCAACTGGGTGACTCTTCGTCCTAAGCCCTCAAACCTGTCTGCAACTGTCTTCACAGCCTCTGTCGTGCCAGACACGACGACCGAGCTCTTTGAGTTCACAGCTGCAATGGTCACTGGACCACCCCGCAGTTCTTGCTTGTGCCGTGATAGCTCCTCGGCAACTTCATCCTCGCTGGCGGAGATGCTCACCATGATACCGTTGCTAGGCAGAGCGGCCATGAGTTTGCCTCTTGCAGTCACGATGATGGCGGCCTCGCGGAGGGATAGAGCCCCGGAGGCGCGTGCTGCCGCAATCTCTCCGAGGGAATGGCCAGTGACGAAGTCGGGGTGGATATTGAACGACTCGAGAAGGCGGAACATGGCCACCTCGAATGCGAAGAGAAGAGCTTGGGCGAAGTCGGTGCGGTCTACGTGAGCGACACTGTCACTTCCCTCGTTTCTCCTCAAGATTGAATCCAATGGCATATCCAGGTGCGGGTCCAGTTCATCGCAAGCCCCTCGGAACGCATCTGAGAACACGGGGAAGGCAGCACAGAGCTCCTCCAGTGCAGCCCTGCCGGGAAGTCGGGCGCCCTGACCGGAGAACAGGAATGCCAGGCGAGGTTTGGTGGTGCTCGCTTGTCCATTTGAAAATCCTGATCCCGTCACAACATCGGGGTGCGGTTGATCCTGGGCCAATGACGCGAGTGCGGCCTCATAGTTGCCTCCCAGAGCAGGAGTCACTGCAGCTTTGTATCGAAGGGTAGATCGTGTGGTTGCAAGGGAAAACGCAATGTCAGAAGGATCATGGCTGCAAACTGTTTTCGATGCCAGCAACGCCTGCGCCTGTGCACGTAAAGCAGCTTCGTCTGCTCCAGATAGAAGCCATGGGAACGTCCAGTTTCTCTTGATCGGCGTTGTGGGAGGGGTAGGATTCCCAAAGAAACCTTGCGTTCGTTCGTTGTCATGCTCGACAGGCTGCTCCAGGATTACATGCGCGTTTGTACCGCCTATGCCAAACGATGAGACTGCAGCACGTCTTGGTCTTGGAATCCCATCCCTCTCGCACGGAATGACTGGCCACTGCTTGGCATTGGTGAGAAGTTGTACGCCACTGCCTTCCCAATCGATATGTCTTGAGGGCTCGGTGATGTGCAATGAAGCCGGAGCGACGCCATTTTGGATGGCGTGCACCATCTTGATGAGTCCTGCCACACCGGCCGCAGCTTGCGTGTGTCCGATACTGTCATCCAGCAAGCACGTCAGCCAAACTGTTCCAGTAAGCAATGTTTGCCGGCAATAGGAGACTTACTTGGACTTGACCGATCCCAGAAGCAACGGCCTCGATTCAGGGCGGCGCGTGCCATCGCCGCCGTTCCCATAAGTTGAAATCAAGGCCTGCACCTCTATAGGATCTCCCAGAGGTGTTGCGGTACCATGGCCTTCGAGGACGTCCACATCCGCCGGCGACAGCCCCGCCTGAGCCAGTGCTGTCTGGATGACCTGCTGCTGCGCAGGTCCGCTCGGCGCCGTGAGTCCATTCGAAGCACCGTCCGAATTTACAGCAGAGCCACGAATCACGCCGAGCACGCCATGTCCATTGCGCCTTGCGTCTTGCAGTCGTTCGAGGAGTACGAGGCCCACGCCTTCGGACCAGCCGGTGCCGTCCGCATCACTGGAGTACGCGCGGCACCGGCCGTCCGCGGATAGGCCTCTTCGTTTGCTGAAGGAAATGAATGAATTTGGTGTCGCCATGGTCGTCACTCCTCCCGCAACCGCTAGCGAGGACTCTCCGCTTCGAAGAGATGCGGCTGCCAGGTGGATTGCGACCAGCGAGGACGAGCAACCGGTGTGAATACATATGGAGGGACCATGCAGACCCTGTGAAAAAACAATAATTAGTTTTTGTCTGGTGAAATGTCGTTGAGAGCATGCTTACAAAACAGTATGATACGCGCCCGCTGACCACGCTGCCGGATGAGCCGAGTCCGATATATGCGTCCAACTCTATGTATCACTGATTAGTTCATTTGGTCAATTTGAATTGATAGATGGGATGTGGATGAGTTACCGTGATTATCTTTGCCGTTGTCTCCATAGTCGCCATACATAATTCCAACAAAAACCCCGGTCTGACTCCCACGGAGTGATGAGGGAGCTATGCCGCCTCGCTCCGCCAATTCCCATGTCGTCTCTAGCAACAGCCTCTGTTGTGGATCTGTGGCAAGGGCCTCCCGTGGTGACATGCCGAAGAGCCCGGCGTCAAAATCGGCCATGTTCTCGAGAAAAGCGCCGCGCCGCGTCGTTGAGGTGCCGGGTGCGTCGGGGTCGGGATTATACAGGGCGTCGAGGTTCCAGCCGCGCTGCGATCTGCATCAGTGAAATACAGTTACGGAGAAATGTCATGGGTAGGTGGGCCAAACAACGCAAAATAACACTTACATCATCTGGAAATTCAGAGGTCACATCCACTCCCTCAGATACAACACGCCACAGATCCTCCGGTGATGAGATACCTCCAGGGTACCGACAGGCCATCGACACAATGGCGATTGGCTCGACCCCACTGTCCACATTCGAAGATTCTGGTGTTGGTGTTCGCAGAGATGATGGTGTTCCTGGCTCGAACAGCCGTCTGTAAAGATATGCGCTCACTGCTTCCGGGGTGGGGGTAGTCAAACACGAGGGTCGTGGGGAGGTCCAACCCAGTGAGGCTGGATAGTCGGTCTCGAAGGACTACACCAGCAAGCGATGTCAGACCCAGGAGAGTGAATGGTTGGTCAGAGTGCCGATGAAGCCATGCTGAGCCTGATTTCTCTGGCGCGATGTCTATGACACATGCGCTGGCGGTTTCGGTGAGCACTAGAGCCTCGATTGCGTCTCTTGACAGTAATTTGGACCGAGCAGTCAGTGGTCTGCTTGTGCAGGAGCTTACAGCCGAGCGTCTCGGTTTGCCTAGGAGAGTTCGAGGTACAGCGTCGATCTCATAGAAGGCTGTCAGTCTAAGTGTCAGCAGTGTATTCAAGATGATCACTTTATATCGAGGTTTTCGAACTGGTCTACCCACGATGGAGTAAAAGGATGTCTCACCTGTGGGCACCTTGCATTCAGGTAGGAATTTTCGACACGCAGCCAGAAGCGTCGATGGGTCGAGTTCCACAGCATTTTCTCCGTCAGGTGCAGTTCCGTACCTCTCGTGCACAATAAAGGCGGCAGGTGTCTCCCCGAGTAAGCGATGTTTGATGCCTGCCACAACGACATCTGCGACACCATGACATTGAAGCAGCACCCGCTCCAGCTCGCTGGGTTGGATGTTCTCACCACCTCGAACGATCAGTTCTTTCATCCGCCCAACTAAAGTCAGGTCCGATCCCGTTTTCGAGCGGCGTGCGATGTCTCCAGTGGGAAACCAGCCCTCTGCTGTAAATGGCGTCTCGGTCTCTTTAAGGTACCTGATCATAAGACCGGGACTGCGGATCCAGACCTCGCCTTCCTCGCTGCCATCAACTTTGTTTCCATTTGAGCCCATCAGCTGCACCTCCGTGCCTGGGACTATTGTTCCGACTGAATCTTCGCGATATAAATCGCCTGGCTTATTCACAGCGATGGCACCACATGCTTCTGTGCACCCATAGTTATTCAGGAGCGGGACCCCGAATAATTCCTGGACCTGGGCGCTTAGATCTGCGGGTGTGGAGGATCCAGCAACCATACACGCTCGCAAGCTGGACAAAGCCAGCGAGGCTGTCAATGTGGATGCTGCGGCAACAATCTCGTGGTAGGATGCGGGTGCGCCGACAATTATCGTGGCTGTCAGAGCCTGCTTGGAAAAGAGGCTATCAAAGAGCGTGGCGTTGGGGTCGGTAAGATGTGCGCTGGCGCCCACGACTACTGTGGCGACGATACACAGCGCATGGCCAAGGCAGTGGAACAAGGGAAGAGGCCAGAATAATTGGTCCTCTTCTGTCAAACCGAAAGCCGAAGCAAAGCTGTTGGCTGACCATAGCCAGCTTTGCTGGCTGGATAGCACCCCCTTGGGTGAGCTTGTCGTCCCTGATGTGTAGTGCAGGAAAGCTGGCTCGAACCCAAGGTCCTCGTCTATGTTGACATCTGAGGTCGTGCACTCGTCATCGTCGGCCCAGTCTTGATACCGCACAAAGTCTGAATCTCCTTCGGGAACGGCAACATCTGGTGGAGACACCACGATAATTAATCGTCGTCCTCCTTGAGCGGCGGCTCGCACCTGGCTCAAGTGGCGGCTATCGGTAATGATGGCACGCGCTTCGCAGTGGTGCAGAACATTGGACAGTTCGGCGGACGGCGAGCGTGGATCCAGGGGAACGCCCACCGCACCTGCTCGCGTGCTCGCGAGTACGCTCTCGACGGCCTCGAGGCATCTTCCCAGGACAATAGATACGAATTGTCCTCGTCCTATGCCAGCACGCACCAAATGGACTGCGATACGCCTTGATCGTTTCTCGAGGTCACTGTAAGTCTATGGGGTACTCTGAGGATCAGCTTTTCACGTCCTCTGGAAAGATCGGGTACAAATCTGCATGGAGGCTAGATTCTCGGGATCTTCGTTGCATGGAAATGGTGCATCTCACGATCCACAGAATCATCTGAAGTGGAGAGCATCTACGGCCAAAAACGTACTATTTCCCGCCCTGGTTCTGAGAAAGCCACCTTTGTGCCGCGTTGCTCTGCATGGCGGACAAGTAGTTCTGGAATGGAAGGCAGTTGAGACATTTTTGTCTCACCGTCTGCAAGGTGATTGGACCGCTGACTTTTCTCCGGTTATCGATGTGAACACTGCCAGAAACATTGGGGTTCAGGCATGAGCCGTAAGTTAGTAGACTGACAAAAGCTAGTTGTATTTTGCGCTGCTCTGAAAAGGTCTGCACGGTTTCGTATCAGGAGAGATAAAGGAGACCGACCCAAAGGTACCTTTTGCCTGAATGGCATCTCGGAAGCCCCCAGCTTCATCCGCTCCACCGTGGTCTCTTCCCCTCAAAGCCCTGATCCCTTCCTGGGCGTTGGGTAAAGATTTTCCTCTCAATGCGTAGTGGTCAGTAAGCAATCCCCAGCACGTGAGGGTCACATATGCATATCTTCTCAGCTGCAGACGAGCCACTCCACTAAACCATTCTTGTTTACCAAGCCTTTTGACAGGACCTAGAACCGGAAAAATCCCTTCGCAGCCAATTCTTCCCCTCAATTATCCCTCAATCGGCGCGTTCTCGTTTGAGTATCGTGAAAGCCTAGATCCATGCATCTTCGTGAACAGGTCAAAACCTTGCCCTGCATCTGTTGTGCAGCCCAATCATCTAGTTGACTGGGAGACGGGTCGCCTCTAATCACATCCACTTGACTCTGTTCCGCGTTTTAGACTGGTGCGGCTGATATTCCGAGAAATCAAGACGCTCTCTGGGAGCTGCATGGTATCGTACTAGAGACCTCTTGCAGCTAATGTAGTCCCCGGGCAACCTTCAAAGTGCCATTGACGCCATTGCTGCTAGTGCTGACATGCATCGTGCAAATCACCTAGTAATGGGATTACGAGCGCCAATCGTGATACGCCTTTAGCTTTCGTATTGCCTACGTCGCTGAGTAATTCTTGCTCATGTCCTGCCAGCTCGGAACTGCCAGCTCGGACTGAGCAGGCGCCTAGCACGTGTCCGTTCCACTCCACACTGCCAATCACTAACACTGAAATTGGGAAAGCTCGCAGGTAACACCCTACTTCTATCAGCGGAGCAAGCAAGAGAGATTGCTTAAGCTAGTACACTAAGCTCTTAGCCCCGGGCCCTAGCCACTCCACATGTCCAATACCAATGAATACAAGCGAGGTAGTTATAATTTATGAACTTGCTACGTTATAAAGTCACCTGACCTCAGTTGAGTGCAAGTCATGTAAAAAAAAAAAAAAAAAAACCTCCTAAAAGTAAAGGGAGCGGAGTGATATCGTGCTATTCTCCAGGATTGTGTGATTAAGTAAACATCGCTCATTTCACGGTCTGGGCTCAGCTGGAGCTTGGGCCCCCGCTTGGCAGCGGGTCCTGTGTGACCCATCATCAACATGAGCTCACAAGCGCAGCCACCGCCCGGGGTCCACCCCACCAAGGTCGCCAGGCGCGCCATTGGTCGCTCCCCGGGGGAGCATGCGGCCCTTGAAAGAACCCTGGCAGATCGCCGACGCCGCCGCGGCCTGGCGGAACGCGGAAACGGCGGCAGCAGCAGCAGCAGGGCAAGGAGCCGGTCGCCTCGGGCTGGGCCAAGCGAGGATGGGACAGACCTGGCACAGCAGCGCCGGGCTCTCGAACGGCGGGGGAGGGAGTTCGAGCAGCAGCAGCAGCGCGAACACCTACTGCCAGGAACATGACCTGCAGCGGCGGATCCACAGGCAGGAACAGCAGCTCGCCGCACAGGAGCGGGACATCTGGAGTTGGCGGCGCGTGCCCAAGCTCAACGGGTTGTCGGTGGCCTGCCTGAGATTGATGAGGACCAGGCGCTACTGGCGCCGGTTGTGGCAGAGCTCCTCGCGCATATGTTGGCTCCTTTTGGCGTCACCTGTGGCAAGCGCCGAGCCAAGGGGAAGAGCAAGGGCGTGGGCTGGCACGAACGGTGATATGGGAACGATGGTGGCTATATGTGGATAAATGTGAAGGAGGGCGAGGTGTGTATCAAAGGGCTGGGTGTTCACGAGGGCTGGACGCTGGCGGAGTTCGTGCGGGAAATCCAACGTGAGGACACTTATGTCTGGATGCTGTCAGCGATGGTAGATCGCTCACTGACTCAACTCCCCCCTCGCAGGTTTTCAAGAGGGCTCCGACTACGGGTATCAGGCGCGGCGAGGAACTGTGACCTGGGACCTACTCTTCCGCAAGAAGTCCCTTCGAAAGCTCCTCGCAGATCTTGAAGAGGCTGGGCTGGAAGAAGAGGATGTCCTCGTTCGTGATTTGCTTGATGGCGGAGAGACGGTATACTACCGACTGTATGATGAATAGGGGGCCTATGTGAGGCATTTATATTAGATGGTTACTGCCTAGAAGTCTTCGCAAGATCATGGGTCTTAATATGACTGGTGCTCTTAACTGTGTATATATACCCTTGTCGGGAACCTGGGGTGTGTCCCGTCGATTGAGAAGTACTTCAGGTTAATATTGATAGTGTAAAAAAAGCCTAGGAAGCTATCCCCAAAAGCCTCTTGGAGAATACTCTGTCCCGTGGTCCGAAGACCATGAGTCTTTGACTAGTTTCGCCGGTAAGTTTGCTTCTCATGACTGCCTACATCCCCTGTGGAACTCAGAATAGGTGGTGGAAGGGCGCTTGTGATTTATCCCTCAAGCCATTCAATGAGACTGGCTGGGTAGGAAACTACTGTTCGGCTCAGTGTGAGCTTTGTGCCGCCATGTGCTTCCTCACCAAGGCTCTGGCATTACTACAGCAATTCAAGGCACAGGGGCAATGACTAAGAGGACAAATGATCGCAGGTTTTGCTGCAGTCACAGCCGACAGTATTCAGTGATTGTAAACGTAAAATATTGATGGATCGACGATCTTTTGTGGCAGGCAGTCCCCCTGCGCAAAAAAACCCCGCATCTGGGCCCAGCTAATCAATGAATAGTGGGTTGTGGAGCGACTCTTGCAGTTACGGCCGGGGGACCTACTCCCCCTCAGGTCATGGGTCACCTACACTCGACAGGCTTTAATTTTGTCAGTTCGACATAAAGTGGATGTGGGTGGAGAAGTAGAAAACATCAACTTGCACTCAAATTCTATGAAAGAAGAAGTCCTATTACTTTCTCTCCATAAATATCCAAAGAAAAGAGGGTATTTTAAAGGGTTAGGCAGGCAGGCGATTCAATCCAACCTAATAGCAAGGGGGAGTGGATGCTTATGCCGAACTAACAAAATTATAGCCTGTTAAGTGTACTGCGCTTACATTCTATCGCTACAACCACGGTAAGCCAGAAGTAGCACCCAGACTGGCAGACTGCAAAATAAGCCGACCGTACCTCAATACCAGAAAACGTACCTTGCGGTTCTTCCATTTATTTATCCACCATAGCCTTGGAAGTTATCTAATATTTTCATATTAATAAAGTTAAACGCTGATTCTAAGCATTTCAATTCTATTAAAACTAAGCACATACTATTTGGTTGTTAAGCAATTCAGGCTGTAATGCAAAGGGCTTTGGTGGGATACGGGGTCCCGGTCGGTTTATTTTGCAGCCTGCCAGCCAGAAGGGGCAACGAGTGTACCCTGCTGCGTTAACATCGCGCCTGGAACCCATCAACCTACGTGCATTTCAGTGGGTACGTACCCGCAGCTGCTCTTTGTGTCCGTCCATCTAGGAAGTGTTGGTTGTGATACCATCATGCCACACGCCTCCACCAATGCCAATCTTCTCTCCGTCCTCGTTCATGGGCACCCCCTCCTTCTTTCTAAGCTCCTCGGAGATTGTGTACAGCCGCCGGCGCTGAACAAGCCTTGTAGATGGCTTCTGTCCCGCCGTAAATCATGTATGGCTGGATTGCTTTCCGCGGTAGTACAACGCTTGCCAAGCTGGCGATCACCTTAGCGGACGTAGAAGGCCCGCCAAATCTTGCCTCCTCCTCGCGCCGTTGCACAGTGGTCTGGTGGAACTCTCGCCTGGGAGTTTCTTACGACCTGTACAGCAGCGACTGCGCGCGGGCTCTCGCGCGGAGCGTGGTCGGGATTGATCAACGCCCGGAGCCAGGTCGCGGCAAGGTCTGCAAAGCCGGCCCGCCATGTTTGCAACGTCGATTGGCCCGGGTAACAAGCGACAGGGAGCCGGGGGGTCGAAAAAGCCCCGGCTGCGATGATCTCGGTCGCCGTCTGTGTCGTTCTGGGTTGTTCGCGTCATTCCGTGTGGATCACATCGCCCAAAAATCTAGGGCTGCAAATCCCTGTTCGCTGCCGGCAGGCACTCGGCAGGCCAGCGCTGGAAGCCATCAAACGTCTTTATATGCGGCAAGCTTGCCCACGTGTGCGTGTTATCGAAAAGCAGCAGACCCCACCGCGATATGTATGTACATAGCAGGAACACTTGGCACCTATCTAAGCATGCAGGTTGTTGCTTTTGCGACAGCCAGGTCGCTTACGGGTGACGTCTGTGCCACGTTGAGGTTCAGGTGGAGTCGTTGTGTGTGGTTACACAAAAGACGACAAGACAGGAAGACTAGGAGACTTGTCCCCCGGCCCCTCCCTCCCGGGTTCCCGGGAGTACCAAGCATCTTATAGCTTGAGCTTGGGCCGATCCTTGGAATCCCGTGAAACTTCCACGTTCTGTACTTCCTGTCACTACTTAATTTGGTTGTTTGATTTTTATTTTTACTTACGTGAGCCATATAACTTTGTGGAAGTGACCCGGGAGACGGACAGGTGGTTGGTGTTGCCGTCGTTCAAAATGGACAGGCTGGTAGAGGCTCTCCAATGCCATGTATAAGGCGAGGAGGGAGGGGGAAATATATTCAGCAATCAAAACCGGGGATCTGGCCTTGAGCGACATCGTTTTGCTGCCAGGTCGACAGTGCAATCGCGCAGGGCTTTGCTAGATCATGCATTTTGCCGGGAAGAGAGCCATCAACCTTCGCCATACCGTCGCTGAATATTGAACGTGTTTACTATCGGCCTGCGCTCGAGAAGTATGCTGTCCACTGGCACACGACAAGAGTCGACTGTACGTCCCCGTTATTAAAATTCAACGTTGGGAAGTCTCCAAGTTTTGGAAGAGTTTGCATCAAGTCACTGGGTATGAGCAATACAGGAACGAGCAACCAGGGCGTTCTTTTTCGTGGCGAGAAAAAAAAAAAGACAACGGGCCCAAATGGTGAATTAGTCTAGAATTTTGAGGTTATGTGTTACTATTTACACTTTTCTTCACTTCCCATTGAGACTTGCTGAAGAAGGAATCCCCGCTGGACATGGATGATACCAAGGTTGTCTATATAGCCAGCCCTTCGGGGAATTTGTTAGGTAGGATGCAGGCGTGTGCTCATTCTCGGCGCTATCTTGCTTGGCTTTACGCCGCCCTCGCTACGGCTTGGCTGAACGCAGGGGTGGCGTAGATTGCCGGCAGCCACAGCAAGCTGTAGACGTTGAAGCTGAAACGGTCCGCCTTGCGTGTTCTGCAGAGCAGGAAGCGAGCAGCCGCGAAGATTCCGAGAAGCCCTGGCAGCAGGTAGCCCACGACGGAGCACTCCCAGTAGGCCGGGCAAGCAAAGGACCAGAAGACAATGAAGGACGACATGAGGACGCGGGTGACCCCGTCGCCCAGGGCCAGGGGCAGCGTGTTCCTGCCGCGGGCCTTGTCACCGTCCAGATCCCGGAAATCTTGGGTGTGAATAGTCGTGAGAATCAACAGTGCGTCTGTCAAGTCAAATCCGGATTAGTACACACGTGGCATTCGCATGGGGCAGGCTCAGGGGGGCGTTCGAGAGGGCGTGTTCAGGAGTGGGTCGGCGCCGGCGCAAGGCCATGACTCGTTGGGGGCCGGGAAAATTAAAAAAAAAAGACACGTGATTTTTGCCTCACCAAGTGTTTTCCCATACACCTCTGAGACACCTCGCCAGACAAGGAAAAGAGAAGGGGGGAACGAGAGACGGCAGAAGAAGAGAAGGTTATCTTACGTATGAAGCACCACTCGTAGCACACTTTGTTCACGGTTGTGAATCCTCCCGCTGCCACACGGATCGCACCAAGTTGGCTGGTCGAGAAGAAGAGCGGGTTGATGATCGACCGGCCCCACCAGGTCGAACCACCTTCCAGGCGGTCATAGGCCTGGGTCTCCAACATGAAGGCGATCGCCTCAGGAAGGGCGCCGAACCAGAGGGCGACCGCGGGCAGGATGCAAACCGAGCACCGGTACCAGCGCTCTGCGGCCTCGATGCTGAGTCGTCCCGACGGGATCGCCCGCCAGGGCTTGTTGAGCCTGTCCTCCTCGATGGATCCCGGGTCCTTCTGGTTGCTGCAATCGAAGTAGAGGTCGTAGAGCCAAATGTAGAGCGCTATCTTGGGGAAGGCCGTGGCCAGGTCCAGCCAGCTGGGAATGTCCGCCGTTACGCCCCCGGATCCCACAGCCAGCAAACCGTTAAGCACGGTCGGCGCGACAAAAGCCTTGATGTTACTCTCGGTGATGAGATGTGCCAGGGACAGGATGTCCCGTAGCTGGGAGAAAGCCGACCGCAGTGCCGCCATGATGGAGACGAGTGCTGTGGCTCGGATTACGCGGTGTTGCAAATTCAATTTGTCGGGAAGTGGAGCCTGCTCGAGGGCGTGCGGTTTATGAATAGATTTGGACAGGAATACAGGAGATATTACCTTGAGATTTTCCACACAGGCTTGTGGGCTTTATATCCTGAGACACTGCATAGTACCTACCTAGGCTACCTGCTATGCGGTCCACTGGCTTTTCGCAAGGTCGTATATGTTCTGGGGCTCAATTGGTTGCGAATGTCGGAGGCAGCACCCGACAAGGCCTCGCTTGCATGATTTTGCCGCAGTTCGCGGGAAACAGGAACGTGCGAGGGTGTCACGAATCGTATGCTCCACTATTGTGCTGCTCGCTTCTATTTAAATAGGAGCGTACCACACTCTTCATTCACTAGCATTAGAGACCAGTCAAGTTGCTCTGTTCGATACACCACGCTCGGAATCGTGACAGAAGGCCTCTGCATGTGCATCCTGATTCTATGGGGAGGCAGAAACAGCAAGAGAAAGCGAAGAGGCCTGCGGCTTGGTGTGTACGTTTTCCGTCTCGAATTAGCATACACGGGCATATGTTGTGTACGCGGGCGGAACCGTCGGCAAGCGTCCTTCGGATTGTGGAAGCCCCGTAGTCAGAACTCGTCGACTGCCAACTGCCGGTCTGGAACGGGCGGTCGCGTAGCCGTTGCATTAAGAAATGTCGAAAGATATCAGTATAGGATCCATACAAGATCCGTGTTTTGGCGGTTTTGCATGTGACCTGTCAGCATTTGAACAAGGCGGTAGCAGAACCAACAGGACCAAGTTAGATCAGCGAGAGCCGTCTCCACAGATAGGACACGGTACGTGGCACCAACATGCTATTAAGTACGTCACCGCCAAGTCGAATGACCCCTGAGCCAAATGAGTAATCACACCATTATTGTGGTACGCAAAGTGGGGTGTATTAGAATTGCATTTGGGGGTGTTGGTACACGTGGTAGGGGGCACCCAGGCCAGGTACTTGTGGGGTGGACCCACGACGGCACAACGGTACTATCTCATGCAGCGCCGCAGAAAAGCTGCAAAACGCGCGGGCCATAAGGACTCTGGCCGGGTGCCCTTCACGATGGATAATCCAACCACAATCTCTCAGAGGCTTGATGGTGATGTATTCATCATAATTTCTCTCTCTGAAATAAGACACGGTTGGACAACCTTTCCAGTCAGCCGAGTTGCTACAGTATTTACCGACTTGTTTGCTGACAATTCGATCTCGCCCCGCCGGTTTCCACATACATCATGAATTACGATGGCTAACTAGTGAATTAGTCCTGGGACAGCTTGTCCTTGTCCCCATACCCCGCTTCGATGGGAAGGCTGTAGTTGGTGACAGATCAGTCGCAGACGGGAGACTTCCGAATCTCTGCACAAGCACTTGATCCCTCGCGATACGAGTAGGAAACTACTGCATCATTCACCGATAGTCTCTTCATCAAAAGTTCACTGTGGGAGACTTTGAAACACATGCATCTCCGCAGGTTCACGTGTCAATGAGGGTGTCTTTCGCCGTCTGTTATATTCTTCTGTGTCTGTTTCAGGTCTTGTTAAGTCGCCAGGGCCCAATTTTGGACAAATTTCTTTTCAGCTTTGGGGCGGGAAGGAAGAACATCCATTTGCCTTTTTATTTCTCTGCTCATTCTTGACTATAAGTAATTCGTCTTCTGTAGTAGCAAAATCACAGTTCTACCCTAAAACGACATTCCTCCCACCAGCCCCTGTTGCAATTTGCGTCTCAAAGATGCCCTCAATCAGAGCGGAGTTTACCTTCCTCAACTTACTGAACCTAAATCATTTTATGCAGGCCTCTCGGAAGAATAAGTAATCTTCATGGGTCGTTGCATAAATTATGCTCCATGTGGGTGAAAAAGTTGAATCCCATGATAAGTGTACTGCAGATGTTTCCTCAAGTGTTCTCACATGGCTTTGTTTACCCAGGGCTCGTAGTTGTACTTTCTTACATCTCGGAAGCCAGATGTTATTGAAAACCAGCAGCCCGGAGAGGATGGTACTACTCTTTAACGTCCAATCCTTGAGATGGAAATACCCATCTCTGTGGCTCAAGGAGACCTCCTTCGTTATCCATAAATCGATATCTCAGAATGGATGGACACAAGAAATTTATGATGATGTCCTCGTGATGAGAGCCGAGGCGAACACATTGGTGTTAGGGCCGTATTCTAAATTTAGGCATCACGAGAATGCAGGTGACAAGATCAGCGTGTCCCATCAGCTCTTCCCATCTGGAGGGCGGATTCGTAATTTAGTACGGACTCCGTGGTCCAGAGCCTTGGGACTTTCCTGCATTATCATGGGTGCTTCGTCAACTCTCCCATAGCACGAGCTCAGCAAAGTGGTTCCATCGATTTTCGTCTAGCCGTGACCAACCATACTGAGTTGCACCTTGTCATACTGCTACTTCATTGGTGTGATAGATGATCATACGGAGGTTCATTCTAAATTGATCGATGATGTCGAAGCAGCTTGGACCTACACGCCGTAGAATCAAACGCGTGGTTAGCAAATCGAATTTGGGCAGAGTAGCAATCAATTATTCAACCTAGCCGAAAGCATTTCTTGCGAATCCCCGTCTCGCATCATATCCCCTCTCGCCTTGCTTTCCCCTGAGGGCCTGGCGAAGGACAGTATTGGTGCGGGCTGCTTCGTGTAGATCGATCTTTGTTAAGGCATCCCCATCCAACTCTCACGGTTTTCTCTTCTTTATCCGCTCCTTCGACTCATCTTTCTCCATTATTCTCCCCGTAGCTACCCTTTTAATTTTGCAATTTTACAGGATAATAAGAAACGCTATTAGTACGCAGTGCGACCTGTCTCTCGTGTAACATGCTCGTGCCAAATCCAACGGACCTAGGATTCGCTGCTATCCCCAGGAAAGAGATTACTTGCTCCATTCCTCAAAGGCCATGACCGCATAAAACACAATCCTCAAACTACCTCACGGTAACTGCTACAATATGCTATTCTTTGCAAGATTACGCGGAGCTTGCTACAATCTATCGAGGCTTTTCATCCAGTTTCAGCCCTGCTCAGCCGTCCAACCCTTCCAATCCTCTTCGGGGCGCGACTAATAGTTGGCATCTACCTATCAACTGTTGGTTCTAGACTCAGAAGCACAATTTCAGGGCCACTCGAACCCGGCCGAACAAGCGCAGATGACCTGCCGAAGAAATTCGGGCGGGGTATTGAAATGTTGAGGCTGAATGAACACGCTGGCCCCTCACCCGACGGATTCCCGCTCTCAAGTTCAGATGGCGTTGCACGCGGACTACTGATTCAAGTGATCCGTACTGAGGTTCTAGGGCCCTCCTCGCATGAATGCGGTATGAATCGCCTACCTGGAAGTCCATCACGCTCTCAGGGCGTTCGGAGGAAGCCAACCTCACGACACCAGCCACTGTCTCTTGCGTCACGGCTTCAGTACAAATATCAAACTATTACGATATGGTCCCCGTTCAAATCCATCTGAGTAGTATATGCAAAGTTTTCAGACAATGTGCAGCATCAAACGCCATTGGACAAATGTGCAAGGTCATGGATGGACTCGGCTCTCGTTGGGGTCCTTGTGTGCTTTAAGCATCTGCTGAACAATTCTTGTCCTCTTTTGAGGTCTCTCCCAAAAGCTGAATCAGTCTTCCTGGCGCCGACGGATGCCATCCCAGCATCTGTGTTAACCTGGATGTCTCGGGTTGGAACAAAGGCGACGTGCAAACCAGGAAGTTTCAGGAACAGCTTTCATAGCTTCCGGCGATGAGTCGATTTTCTTGTTACAGTTTCTACGCCCACCAGCCAGCATGACAAGACAATCACGCCTGACCCATTGAGAAAACACTAGATCCCAAAGTCCTCACTCACCAATACGACCCTGCTTAGATGTCATCAGTTGCACCGGCGTGCAGCCCCGAAAGTCCTCCTTCGATAGATCTCGTGCTTGTGTATTCAAAAGCAGCAGTAAAGCTGGAAAGAGGACGCGAGGAGCTTTGCTAATAAAAAAGATCTTCTAGCAATGGTACTCTGCTCAAACTACTGACAAATATACGAGTAGACACTTGCCCGTCAGATCCATGCGACAGGTGCACAATCTCTTTCAAACAAAGGCAGCTAGTACGTCTCCGCAGAGGTGATATTGATGACACAATGGTGGTCCCATTGTGGCATTCCTCGCGTTCACCTTCTCACTGGCTCTGCCATGCAGCACCGTCGTAACGTCCATGACAATATCGCTGCCCCTTTCTCGAGATGAGGGCAGTCTGCTCCGTCAGGAATGAATGTCTAGATTTCCAGCGATCCATGGTATAATGTGTTTTCATTGGGGGTAATTTAGTGATGATCGCTTTGTGTTGACCTTCACAATGATTGTTTACTGAAACTTCTCTCGGCCAAGAGGGAGGCTGATGGTAACCGTGGGAAACCGGGGACGGTTTGAAGAGAAGAGAAAGTAGATGCAAGTAGTGCCATTTCACGTAACAACGTTGTCGTTTGCCTTCGTTAACGCCAAATTGGGGCATCGCTCGCTAGCTGTCGGCCCCGCATGTTATCCTGCCGGCGATCTGCTCCGGCATGCGACCAGAATCCGCAAATGCCCTGAAGATTAATTGCCTGATGAAGCTTATTTTGGCTGCATGCAGGTGTCTTGGCCCGCCAGTGGTGATACTGCCCGCGAGAGAGACTGAAGACGGAGCGGCGGCTAAAACAAAGCTCATTGGAACCCGAGGCTCAGCAGGCCTCGCTGACATCTTCATCTCGTGTCCGTCTTCTCTATAGACATTATCTCAAGGTCAAAGAGGGTGCAAAAGTTAATGATCGATTGAGAAAGCACGGATTAAATCTAGGAGAGGGTTCAACCAAAAAAAAACAAAAATGATAAAATGACAAAAGGAAGGATTGAGCGGGCCTGGCCGGGGATTGAACCCGGGACTGATTGACTGTTAGTT